TAACCCTAACCCTAACCCTAACCCTAACCCTAACCCTAACCCTAACCCTAACCCTAACCCTAACCCTAACCCTAACCCTAACCCTAACCCTAACCCTAACCCTAACCCTAACCCTAACCCTGCTATCTCGCTGAATGGTCTGGTTCATTGAAGCTCGGGGTCGAGCTTATTCAAGAGGGGGGGGATAAAGCTGTGGGCGCACTATCTCGTTTCGGGATTAGTCCAGGGCCCTTACCTATATTTAGTTGTCGAAGGGGCTTTCTCTTCTGACCTTACCAATACCCAATACACTGCTTTGTTAGCTCCGAGTTACCTTGCCTTCAGCGTCCGCCATATCTTACAGGAAGCGATCGAACGCAGCCAAAACCGATGAGACGGATCAAGTGGTGCTGTAGCGAAAGCAATTCATTAAACAATAAGAAATCTATGCGATATGTCTAAGCGAATGTAGCGAAATCAAAGTAGTCTATGCTAAGTCTATCAGGTAAGCCATCTCTTCTATATCCTCCTGCTCTCTCTAATTCGCCGCCTTACTCCTCGCACGAATGGCCGCACCCCACTTGTAGAAGATAAGCGGTACAGCACACATTCCAATTGCGATGAAACCCAACAAGGAGCTGGCCCACTGGTTCCCCAAGTTATGATACAACGGGAACGTCGCCATCGCCAACCCAACACCACCTCCTGAACGAACGACGGTCTTGGCGGCAAGTGCGGAAGCGACGTACTTGGAGAAAGAGTCGATGATGTAGTTGTTTGCGGCATAGTAGATCAACACCATGCCGTAGCCGAAAGGAATACCCGCGATGGCGGGACCGACCCAGGAGACGTGAGGGTATGCTGTCCAACCGAAGATGAAGAGGGAGACGGGGACGAAGGGGCACGCGAAGATCATACCCGGCAACCTGTCTTCCGGAGTAGCGACACCTCCTGGTCTCTTCGCCGCCGTACGCAAGTAGATCCTCTCGAGGTATGGGGTGGTGATAACAGCGAACACCGCACCGATGAGAATACCGACGAATGTCACACCAATCAATCCATCGTTAAACCCATGCGTCTCGCCAAACACAACCGGGTACGCAAAGAAGAACGCGTAAAGCATGGCGTAAATCATCGCGATATACACGGACATGAACAACAAAACCGGCTCGACGAACAACATCACGAACGGCCTAACCATCGTCTCCTTCAACGCCTCCTTAAACGACTTGGCCCCGAGCTCGTGTTCCGTAACATACTTATCCGATCCCGTCTCCTCCCTCATCTTCTTCGCGCGACGACCCAAAATGACGGGAGCATAAGTCTCCGGGAGAAGAGATCCGAGAACCCACATGACACCGGCAAAGATCATGTTGACCCACAACACCCAACGCCATCCACATTTCAAACCAACCCATCCACCAACGAGGGGACCCAAAACGGGACCAGCATACGGCGCAGCAGCAAAATACGCAATCGCCTTCCCACGTACCGCGATAGGCCAGATATCCGAGATAGAACCACCAGCGAGCGTCAACGGCGCCGACGCAAACAACCCACAAATAAACCGACACGCCAACAACGCGCCAATATTGGGTGCCAGCGCGCACGGAATATTGAACACGGTGTACAAAAAGAACGAAGCAAAATACATCGGTCTCCGTCCGTACATCTCCGAAAGCGGCGAGAACACGAGAGGACCGAGTGCGAAACCGCAGACCATGAGGGCGGTGGTAAGACATGTGACTTCGAGCGAGACGTCGAACTCATTCGCGATTCCGGACAAATCACCCGTGATCACCGACGACCCGAAGGCGACACAGACGACCATACCGGCGACGACGATGGTGATGTACCACCGGTAGAGACTTGACCAGTTATGTGGGTTTTCGGGATCATCAGGGAGCCAGGTAACGAGTTCGTAGTCGCCCGCAATATTCTTCTCGAGATCGGCGAGGGAGATTGCTGTTGGTGGGGTGGTGGGGAGTGCGTTGTTGCCGACCTGTTGGTCATGAATACCCGTTACGAGGGTATCAGTTGAATAAGCACGTACCGCTGCAGGAGGAGGAATAGCAAGACTGTCGACCGGGACGTGACCAGAGGGAGACTCGATGTCGTATTCAACGCTCAATGGCTGCGTGCGTTCGCGGGCTAGTTGTGCCTCAGCGGAGAGCGGAGCGTCAGCCATGTCGATATCGACTATCTGTTGTTACGATGATTGTACCCATAAGAAAAAGGGACGAGTAGATGACTTATATACACTCCTACACAATGGCCACCTATAATGCCGAGCCTTCCATCCTTCCGTTCCTCCGAAAAGTTCCATGTCGAGGCGTTGATTGTTTTCGTACGTCTGAACTCTATTTTCCATGAATTCGGGCCGATTTCGCGCGTGGCGCCGGAGAAACTTGACATGTCAGCGGTCGGCAAAGTCGGCAAGTGTTAGCATAAGCGAGTAGAATCCCGGGCCAACGGAGGTTGAAAGGGATGACTCGATTGACTTGATGATGGGAGATAAAGGAGCATAGACGAGCGTAGACGAGCGCGGATGGGTGTCATTGTTGTGATTGTCCTCCTGCGGATGGGAGATTCGTAGAAGGACGGGGTTCTACCTCTCGTAGACTGCCCCATCTCATTGATCTCGTTCACGACCATATGCATGTCTATAGCATATGCCTCACGCTCACGGACGTTCGCACACTCGATCGATTCTCCCTCACCCGGCCGCGGAACTCGGCACCCACCGCCCCAACTAATGAATCCCGTAGAACCACCCAGCAACTTTCATCAAGCTGTCCGGCCGTACACTAAACTTGACATGGCGAGCATCCTCTGGCCTTCCTACCGCATTACGATCACCTTCACTCTAACTTGGTCGTAGCTTCCACCGGGTCAGTTTTCCCAATGGCCGCTCGGATAAACGTTAACGCGCACACATGTGAAAACTCGCGCGAGCAGGCGACGATTTGATAAGATCCAGATCAAAGAGATAAGATCAAATTGGTCGACAGAGGCCGTAGGCAGCCTGACTCGGTGGAGGTCTACACAAAAAGTTAGGATACACGGCCTCGTTCAGCTGGGTGTACTTACGTCGCGAAACTTAAGTTATACCGCCCCAATTGGGCCGTCATGTTGCCCGTGACTCAATTCTCAAGCTTAAGCTTTGCGTTGTGCCGGCCTCGAGCTCATTCCCAGTCAAAACCTACTGGAAAGTTTCGCAACCTCGCGTTCTCGAGCTCATGTCGGCTGGTTTTCTTCGAGGAAGAGTACGCTTCTTGTAACAATCCAATTTTGTTCTCCAAAGGCATGTCTTGTCTCGCCGTCCGTGTTTTTTATTAATGGTCCTAATAATTCCACCCGTGTTCCGGTTAGTTCCACTCACGGCCCGTCAGCTTATTAGCAAGAAATCTTCAAGGCGTGATGAACTGAGGGTATGAAACGGCGCACCGTAATAGAACACACTGGATGCTATGTGTATGTCAAATTTCAGCCCTATCCAAAGGCTTTATGAGCATGTAGGAGCTGAAAAGCTGGAGCCGGTATGCGCGCTGCTGTACGCTCATGCATGTGCGTGCGGCTGTGCGAAAATATCCAAGTTAACTTGACAAACCAGCCCAAGATCCCACCTCTAGCTGGTTGGAAGCGGTGCTATCTGATAGATCGAAGTCTTCTACATTATTTGCTCCAATTTAACCGTCTACAGTCGCTTCTACGTTGCACGTCATCCCAGAACTCGGTGTGGCCGGGGACGGGAACTAACCGGCGATCGCGAGTGGAATTATCAAGACCCTTTATCAAAATGTGTTTTGGCCATCCCAGACTGCACTTTGCACGTCGGAACCGCATGCTAAGATTCTCATTCGCTGAAGACGTCTCCTGGGCTTCCGGGCATCCTGCTCTCTGTTTAGGAAATTTGATCATCGTTTCACAGGCGAGTCGATGTGCATATATATGGCGGTCGGATGCGTGGGAACCTGTCTGGCCGAACACTTTGCGTACGTGCCGTGAAAGTCAACTCTCGCGAGCCAATTGGCAACTACAGTTATGGCACTTGTTCTGGAAGATAATACTCGGGACAGCAAATGCTTCCCTCCTGACCAACGCAAGCTTCTGCCTGTTGCCGTCCCGTCTCTCGTGCGCGCGCGCTTCGAACTGCCAACCGCGGCTTGAGCGCATAACCTTTCTCAAACACGGCAATGGCCCGTTAGCCATGGCCATCTCAATTGCAATGGACGTCTGTCGTATCGATACTTAATCCCATGATCCGTCCTCAGCGACTCCCTACACCTTTTGCCATCAACCCTCAGCTCGCCAGATCTTTCAGAACTACCATCCCTCTCGCAATGAAGCGCATCATCGTCTGCTGCGACGGCACCTCGAAAGACGACAACGCAAACTCCGCCGACGACACCAGTGCCCCCTCCAACATCGTCCTCCTCTCCCGCGCAATCTCCATGGTATCCTACACCGCCATCCCCCAAATCGTCTACTACCAACCCGGCGTCGGCACCGCAGACGCCGGCCTCCTCTCCCGCCTCGCACAATCTGCCCTCGGCAAATCTCTCGGCTACAAAGTCCGCTCTGCATACACCTTCATCGTACACAACTACGAGCCCGGAGACGAGATCTTCTTGTTTGGGTTTTCGAGGGGAGGGTTTACGGCGAGGAGTGTGGCTGGGTTTATTGAGTGGGCGGGGGTATTGAGGAAGACGCAGATGTATATGAAGGATTTTGATAAGTTGTGGGAGGCGTATAAGAAGAAGGAGAACGTGCCTGATGAGAAGGATCGGTTTGATGCGTTGAAGGGATTAGAGTATCGGGATCGGTACACGAACGTGTACATCAAGTGCGTCGGTGTTTTCGACACGGTTGCCGCGCTTGGGATTCCGTCCTTCGCGCCCATTGACGACGACTTCGACAAGCTCGCCCGATCCGCTGCGGAAGCTCAATCATTCTACGACGTTGATCTGGGCGAACACGTCGATTACGCGTTCCAAGCTCTCGCACTCGACGAGCACCGTCGTGATTTCTATCCCGCGATCTGGAAGGTGATCAAACCTCAGCATTACCAAGTTCGAGACAATGACGGCAAGGCTGACCAAGTCGTCTATCAAACTTGGTTCGCGGGTGCACACTCCGATATCGGTGGTGGTTACCCCGAAGACGGACTCTCCGGCGTCTCCTTAGCCTGGATGATCTCTAAACTCGTCCGTCATGGTCTCCTCGATTTCGACATGAAGTACCTCCGAGAGATCTTTGCCGAGAACAGACCTAAGGAACAATGGGAATTTCCACCTCACGATTCAGCCTACGGATTCTCCGGCTTTCCCCGCTTACGCTACGTCGATCGTAAACCTGGCGCATTTCCACCCGCACCTCTTTCTCCTCCACCTACGCACCCGGACGATCACTTCACCTCCATTCAGACGATCCATAAGAGCGTGTTAGAGCGGGTGAGGAAGGAGGAGGAGACGGGTGTTTCGGTGGGTGAGAGGTATTTGGACACGTGTACTGCGCTGCAGAAGTGGGGGTATGGTGAGGCATGGATTGAGGAGAATTTGGAGGCGCCGGACACGAAGTCGTTGCCGGAGGGAGCGGGAAGCGCCGCCCGAATGTTGTCCTGAGGGAGTTGTGTCGTCCTACGCTTGAGCTACGCAATATTATTCAATGGCGTGAATGCTAGTTTGGATGTCGGTAATTTTAACAACAGCGACCTTATATCTTCTACCTGCCAGAGTCCACGCTCGGTTCTATACCAACAACTGTCATTGTTGATGGCAGCCGTCGGTACAATGCCGTAGCCGAGGTTCTCTCATCACGGCCCGAGCGAATATGGTCTCGCAAAAACGACCCGCAACGACGCAGAATGATCATGTGGACATGTTTGTTTCGCCACGCGATGCTTTCACCTCGGCTGAGCGCAAAGGGACCGGGCTCTTATGAATGTGAAGTGGCCCTCTTGATCCGCCGGAATCAATCAACACCGAAACTTCATGATCGTCCACTCTATGGCAAGTTACAATCCAGCTTTCGCCGCGAACAGTCGCCCAGCTTTGAAGAAACGGATCATTGTCTGCTGCGATGGCACATCTCAGGATGAACTCAATCTTCCCAGGCCACCTTCCTTGCTCCATACCACGCTTGGTCTCTTCGCCTCATCCTACACTGCCGAAAACCGTCTCAGGGAGGAACAGTTTATACATCAAGATACTGGCCGTAATAAGCCCGACCTGCCGTGGTACAAGCAGAAGCTCTACAACTTTCATGCGGGTAAAGTCAAGCCTCCGAGCAATATTACTCTTCTCGCTCGCGCAATCAAGAAGACCGCGATTGTTCACGGCGAGAAGATTCCGCAGATCGTCTTTTATCAGCCCGGTATTGGCACCACGGGATTATTCTTCTCCCGCTTCTTCCAGGAAACCATGGCTAAGGATATGGGCTATAAGGTTCGGCAAGCTTACTCCTACATCGTCCAAAACTACGATGAAGGTGACGAAATCTTTCTGTTTGGCTTTTCGCGTGGAGCGTTCACCGCAAGAAGCGTTGCCGGCTTCATTGAGTGGGCAGGTGTATTGCAGAAGGAACATATGAGCCACTTTGATGAACTGTGGTACGAGTATAAGTCTGAGGGCGAAAACTCTAACCACACCAGAGCAGAGCGCTTCAGAGTTCTCGATGATCCCAAACGGCACTTTGAAACACGGTACCGGAACGTCAACATTCGCTGTGTCGGCGTATTTGACACCGTTGCCGCTCTTGGTGTTCCGTCTCTGCGACATGTTGATGATGAGGACGTACCGGAAGCAGCTCGAGAAGCCCAAGCGTTCTTCGATGTGGATTTAGGAGAGCACGTCGACTATGCTTTTCAAGCACTTGCCCTTGATGAGCACAGAAGGGATTTCTACCCTGCCGTGTGGAAGATCTTGAAACCTGAGTACTACAAAGCCCGTACTAAGAACATTCCTCAGGTTGTTGAACAGACCTGGTTCACAGGTGCTCATTCGGACATTGGCGGCAGCTACCTCATTCACGGTCTTTCAGATGTTACGCTCAAGTGGATGGTCGACAATTGCGACCGTAACGGTCTCCTCGAGTTTGATCACAAGTTTCTGGAAAGCTGGTATCAGGACAGCCGACCTGCGGAGCAGTACCTCCATACTCCTCACGACTCCTCATACTCATTTGGCCTACGTCATGTGAATCGTCATCCTGGACTATTCCCGCCTAGTGGCGAGGAAACCGAGGACAAGGATTACATGTACATCCGACCCTCACAACAGCGTCTTCATCAAAGCGTGATCGAAAGACTCAGGATGGAAGGGTTGCGCGTCATCGAAGGTCGCTTGCACCCGGAAGATACGTATCTCGAGACATGCACTACATTGAAAAAATGGGGTTTGGATATGTCAGTCTTGATTGATCGATGCTCGGACAGTCGAGGCTTCATTTTCCCTCCGCCGGAGGTCGAGAAGAATCCTGGTGGGCGGGCTGCAACTGCAAGCGACGGCGTTTAAGCCTCAACGTGCGCAACCGCATATACACGTAGCCAGGTTGTTGGATGGATCGGACGTTGTCTCTCTTACGTGTTTATCTGTTAGCCACATGTACTTTGTGATGATGGTGTGAGAATGCACATATCTTATACTTCACACGGCGCGCAAGCTGCAATACCCCCACGTATGATATTACTGACTCAAATCAACACCACAACCCAACGAAACACCCTAAGCAGGCTCCAATACCGCGGATCTCACACCCGTAACAGGAAGGGTAGGCTTGGCTAGACAAGTCAGAAGGTTCTCGGGCGTTGGCGTTAACACAATACAGTCTTGTTTCAGTCTTCCCACCAACACAAAGAACGCACCGTGCAGGGAGTGAAAATGCGCTTTAGCAAGAATCATATTCCTAACTAGGGTATGAGGGTATCCATATGCTACACAATATCTTCCACTTTTACTCCGCATCCAACGGGCACTTGGGCGGCGTATCATCAACCTGAATCCCCCCCCTCTTAACCAACTTCGAATCCGGAAACGGCAGCGCCCACCCTCCCTCCTTCTCCGGCGTCGCCAACCACAACCTAAACAAATGCCTCCTCTTCTTCCCCGTCTCGGGCGCATGATCCCTATACGCCGTCCTCGCATGGAACACATGCAGATTGGACACAAACTGGATATCCCCCACATCGAGAATCATGTGGAGTGACTCGCGTTGGCAGGCTTGTTCGAGGACTTCGATCGCGTCGAGTTGGGGGGCGGAGAGGGGGGGGACGAGACCGGCTTTGATGAAGCGGTCCAGGGAGCGGACGAAGTAGGGGTCCCATTTGCTGATGAGGCGGCCATGGTAATAGCTGTAGATCGGGTTTGTGAACCAGCCTTTCTCGCCCTGGGAGACTTCGCCTTTGCGGTCAAAGTACCAGAGTTCGGTGAGAGTTTTCACGACGTCCGGGCGTTCGCGTTGAAGAACGTTCCAAACGTGATGAGAGGAGACGATATCGGACTCACCGCCCTCCAGCGCCTTCTCTAGGCAAAGGAGACCGACGATATCAGAGTCGTCGGCGTGGAAGTATTGACGGGCGTTGGTGGAATAGATACGGACTTTGTCGATTTGTGTGGGATCGTTGCCCAAATCCTTGACGTGCCCGAGGATATGGCCTTTGTGGTTCTGTGAGACAGCGTGACCGATGTATGTACCGAGACCAGTGTAGATGGTTGCTGAAGTTTTCAGGGAGTAGCGCTGGACGGGAAGGCCTTTGAGCAAGGTGAATCCCTTGCCGTTAACGAGGTCTTCGCGGATTGCTCCGAGTTTGGTGGCGAGTGCAGGAGAGAGACGGAAGTTGTCTTGCGAAATCTCGGTAAGGTCCAAGCTGGACTCCTCAAACTCCCTGGCGGCACGCTCGAGGTCGGCAATCTCCTCCTCAGTCCACCAAATTACCCACTTCTCCGGGCGGTCGATGTAATCCTTCGCCTCCCAGACTGTTTGCCCACGGACTTCCTTTGGGTACGCATCATAGGGAAGAATGGCGGAGGGGAGAATGTCGTGCTGACCGGAAGTCAAGTTAGGGTTTGCCCGGATGGTGTAAGTGTACCCGTCATCGGGATGAGACTTGCGGTTATAGTTGCTTTGAAGATTGGGAAAGGTAATTGGAATGTCGATAGGGAGTGAAGACACAGGGGATTGTGCAACTGCTGCGGGTGCCATTGTAGCTGGTCGTTGATAAAGGGACGAGGAGAGCAGAGGACCAGCTTATATGTTCTGCGGTGACTCTTCCCCACTCTTGCCAGCTGTCTCGGACATCATCACGCAATCCTGATTGAACTCTACCGGCCGGCCAAGAAGCGTAGCACGCAATTCATCATATTCTGAACGTCGCTCTCAGCCGTGCGAAGTGTCGATCACTTTCCCAATTCGGCAGATTCTGGGTGTTGCGCGAGTAACGAAGACCAGCACGCCATCCTCGATAAGCAAGCACGTCAACTCTTGGCTGTTCTGACCTTCATGAAGAGCCGATTGGATCACCTGGCCGTCATGGAGATAACCTTCTCTCCGGGTGAAGGAGGGGTGTGGAGAAAGCACGTCATCATGAGACGAAAGAGCTCCGTAGGCGGAGAGGAGGACGGATCAAGGAGCTTCAGGATACGAATTGCGCGATTTCGATGTCCGTGACGTGATCCAAGCTTATCCCTTTCACATGGAGGGGATGGAAAGATAGATGTCGACATGAGTTTGGGTATTACATAAGACGCTCGATGACCCGATCCCATTGGTATGCATCAGTAGAGACAGAGATTGCAATTGCAGTGCACTTCAAAAACTCCATTCGTCATGTCGGACATCATCGAAACCGCCATTGCTCATCCCTCATCTGGGAAGCACGTTGACGAGAAGGCCGCTGCCTTTCCCCCGTCAATCACCTCTGTCAACTCTGATCCCGCCTTCGAGAAGCGTCTCCTCCGCAAACTCGACCTCAAAATCCTCCCCATCGTCACCCTCCTCTACTTACTCTCCTTCCTCGACCGCTCTAATATCGGAAATGCGAAGCTGGACGGTCTGACGACTGACATTGGGATGAGCGGAGACGCTTACCTCTGGACGCTGACGCTGTACTTCATCGGCTATGTCATATTCGAGGTACCGTCCAACATCGTACTCAAGAAGACCACTCCCCGGATCTGGTTACCCCTTATCATGTTCGTCTGGGGCATCGTCTCCGTCCTCATGGGTCTCGTTTCCTCCGGTGCCGGCCTCCTCGCCGCTCGCTTTTTCCTTGGAGTAACCGAAGCTGGTTTATTTCCCGGTGTGGTGTACTACCTCTCCCGATGGTACCAACGCGAAGAACGCGTCTACCGCGTCTCGCTGTTCTTCTCTGCTGCAGCAACAGCAGGAGCCTTCGGTGGTATCCTTGCCTACGGAATTGGCAAGATGGACGGTGTAGGCGGAAAACCTGGATGGTCCTGGATCTTCATCATCGAAGGTCTCCTCACTATCGTCGTGTCCGTCCTCGCTCCGATCTGGTTGGTAAACTACCCTGACACCGCAACCTTCCTCTCCGAAGACGAAAAACGACTCCTCACTGCTCGTCTCTCATCCGACTCCGATGCCGTGTCTCAGGAATCATTTTCCTGGGACGGTGTTCGCCAGGCGCTCAAAGACCCCGCGGTATACCTCTACGGCATCAACTTCATGGGAATGTCACTCCCGCTCTACACTCTCTCGCTCTTCCTCCCAACGATCATCAAAGACCTCGGCTACACCGCCGCCCAAGCACAACTCCTCACTGTACCGCCCTACGCAATCGCCTCTGTCCTCACCCTCATCATCGCCGCGCTGTCTTTCCGCGTCTCGTCACGCGCACCGTTCATCATAGGATCTGCCGCTGTCGCGATCGTAGGCTACATCATCCTCTTGGCATCGCACACACCCGGTGTACAGTACTTCGGCACAATCGTCGCCGCCGCGGGAATTTACCCTGCGACCGCCATCGTCCTCTCCTGGCCTTCGATGAATGTCAGTGGACAGGTTAAGCGCGCTACGGCATGTGCTATGCAAATCACGATCGGCAACACGGGTGCAATTATCGGGACGCAGATGTACCGTCCAAGTGGATCTCCGAGGTTTTATCTCGGACATGGGATGGCGGTTGGATATCTTGTCATCGCGATCGTGAGTGTTGCTGTGGTCTGGTGGTGGTGTTTGAAGGAGAACCGGGCGAAGGAGGATGGTAGGAGGGATTATCTGCTGCAAGGCTTCGCGAAGGCTGAGCAGGGTGACGTGGAGGCGAGGAGGGTGTTGGGTGACAGGCATCCCGCATGGGCTTTTAAGACGTAAAAATGGGTCAAGTCCTTTTTTGGAGAACGGGGGAGTTCATAGGATAGGTATACCAAGTATTTTGTTGATAGTAATTTTTGGTAGCGAATCTCAAGTTTTGGATTACTCATGTTCACGTAAACGATTTCATAGTCAACCACTCCATCACGGGCTCCGGCAGAAAATCCCTGAACATCTGACTGAGCAGGGCATCATACGCTACCGTATACACCGGCTGCATCCAAGCCTCACTCAACGCGTCCCGCACCGTCTTCGCCACATTCACCGCCGGCGTCCCCAGACGCGTCTGCGTCCCCACCTGCTTCTTCCACTTTTCCATCATGGTCTTATACGCCTTCGCCTCTGCCGCCGCAGAGGGATGTTCGGGCTCCATCGCATTCCCGAGCGAATCAAACCCAACTGCGGTGCTCGATTTGTCATACTCCTTCATCGCCTCCATGATCTTCGGTCCGATTCCCTCCGTCCTCACCCATCCCGGCCTCACAGTGGTCATCCGCACCCCAAGCTTCGTCGTCTCATAACTCCACGCCCTCGTCATGTTTTCCAAGCCGGCTTTAACTGCATTATACGTTGCCCACCCCGGAACGGGCATGTAGCCTCCGTAACTCCCGATATTGACCACACGACCTTGGCGCTTTTTGAGCAAAGGGAGAAAGGCGCGGGTGACGTCGATGTAAGCCATGAGATCGAGATCAATCATCCGCTGAATATCAGCACGGGAAGTTTGTTCCATCGGCGAGATCATACAGAAGCCGGCAACGTTGACGACGGCGGTGAGCGGGCAGTCACGGCGGTTTGAAGAGAGCGCGGTCATGTCTTTGACAACGGAAGCGATAGCTTCCTTGTCTAAGACATTGCATACCATGTAGTACAGACCTCCGCCAGCAACCGGCCTCTCCGGCTGCGGATCCTCATGCGTTCCCCAATCAGCTTCAAGCTTGAGCCCGTTCGCATCATTCAAGACACCCGCCCAGACGGTCCACCCGTGATTCGCTAGATCAAACGCAATGGCCTTCCCGATCCCCTCATCTGCGCCCGTAACGAAAACGCTTGGACGATATCCCTTGGATGGGTTCGGACGTGTGGTGTAAGATGGAGGGATACCGCCGAGGAAGTAGTAGAGGATGGCGTAGAGGGTGTAGTTGACGCATAGGGACCAGTACGCGTACACGCGATTGGCGATGTACAGGATGTATGACAATGGTTGCAAAATGATCATCCTGGATGTTCCTTATGGTGTTGGCGTGGGCTGTTGTTCTGAGGTTATCCTGCTGGTTGTCGGGTTCGCATAATTATGACGTAACAGTATGTGACGTTAAAAAATTATCATACTTCAGAACGAGTAACGTTTTGCTTGTACGAGAAGGTATAAAGACTCTCTAACTCATGGAGACGAGCGTGGGTATGTTGGGGCGAAAGAAGTTGTGTGTTTCGGTGCTCGCGCTCCTAGCGTCGTCGAAATTCTTCCAGTGAGGAAATTAACGCCGCCGTAGGCGCCTAGCTTCGGTTTACCATTTCCCTCTCGCCGCGCACTGCAGCTGCAGCTGAGAGATGGAGATACGAAGTCATCGCTTTACCTGGGGCATGCGCAAGAACGCCTTTGGATTGAATGAAGAACAGTGTAAAAATTATCAAACATTACGTTCATAAGCGTATGCTATCCCAACAATCACATCTCAATCCAAGCCGGACCAAACCCAAACGTTCATTAATGTCCATATGCCAATACCTCCATCATCAACGCCTCATCTGCGGATGATGATGCCTCCGATGTTTCTCGACAACATCCCGCAATACCGGCACCTTGAAGACATACTCCCTCGTCTCCCCCTCAACAGCACCCTGCACCTTCTCCGCATTCATCACAATATCCAAACCCCCCTCCTCCACCCTCGGCAAAATCGAACACCAATTCCGGCACGGCAAAAGACAGGTATTCTTCAACTCCTTTCCCTGCGGATTATGCGTAAAGATATCCTGCATAATCTCATCCGTATCATGATCCAAATGATGCACCTTATTACGGCGAGCAAGAACCGACGCGATTTTATCCCCGGGGGGCGCGTTCACAATCGCCGACGATATGATGTTCGCCTGCCAACGGTGATCATTCTCCGGCTTCAACCCCAACTTCGGATTGGAATAAAACAACCCAATCGCACCCAAATGTACATCGCCGCCCAAAATCGTGATACGGACATTCTTCTCCAACGCAAACTCCTGTAAATCCTTCAAGAACTTGTTGCGCTCCGCCTTGTGGTGCTTCGCAGTCCAATGATCATCTAAATCATCCAGAATCTCAACACCACCATCGAAGCGATTAATCAACCCACTCAGCCCCTTGAACCACCCCTGCCTCGCCAACAATTTGACCGGATCCATCAAACGCGAGGTCAAAATCCTCTCCAACCACACAGTCCGTGGATAGGCAATCGGTACACCCAACAACACGATCAAATGCTTACAATCACCCCTCTGAACATACTTCCGCATATGATCAAACACATGCGCATAACTTCCCTCACTCAAAATCAGCTCCCTCCTCCTCTCCGTCCGGCAATCCAAGCCCAACAACCAAGACTCAGGCCCCAGGGGCGTAAACACATGTCGTGGCAACTGCTTAATATACGGTCCCCTCGTTGTTCCAAACAACGTTCCAGCCGGCGTATGCTGCGGGTTCTGACACTCTGCCAACGTCGAATGATGCTGGAAGAGGGTGTAGTACTTGTGCGCAGCCATACCGGCCTTGGAGAGTACCTCGCTCATCTGCATCTCATGTGGATAACTCCCGAATCCATCAATGATATCATGGTCATCCCACACATTCACCCCCGGAATCTCACCCATGGCTTTCCCCGCAATACCCTGTCCAAACCACTCGACATAATGCCACAAATAGTACGTCTCGACCTCAACCCTCATCTCTTCCGTCCACCTCGCCGCGATTTTCTCTTGCATGGAGTCAGAGCCGCCCGCTGACATGGTTAACCACTCTCCGAACAGCGGAGATGCACGCGAAATTCCATCACAGTAGATCTGGTCACCGCCGCCGAGCAAAACATGAAACGGCATCTTCTCATGCTTCCGATACAAATCCTTCCACAACGGATCCGGTCCACCAAAGTCTTTAGGGTTGATCGCGGACGAGAATCCATTACACGAGTGAAACGCGATTCTCATTTCTTCCTCTGATCCAGCGACCCAGAATGTGCGTTCGACATTTGCGCCTTCCTCATCCACATCGTCTCCGGCTTCTTTCTCGCCTTGGACTTGGACGTGCATGGCGACGACGGCGGCGGTGCCAGTGCTGGAGGGCATGGGTTCGACCCGGGAGAGTGGAATGCGGTAAGTGACGCGGCGCGAGGAGTTTCCGGGGCTCAGAGGCAAAGTAAGGTAGTAGCGGTAGAAAGAAAGGTAATGATCGCCTTCCCGGTGAATAAGATCCGGTTGGACGGTGTGAGGTTGATGCTGCTGCTGGGACGACGACCCACCAGCGCTATACCCATATCCGTACTTAGACTCAGACTGGGACGCCGACGAGCCGTTGCCGTTGCCGTTACCGTTACCGTTCTGATACGACGGCGCAAACGTACTTTCCTTAGCAGAAGTATACGGCCTCGAATGCGCAGTCTCATACCCCGCCGCCGAATCCTGCCCGTAACCCTGACCCTGTCCCAAATACTGCTGATGTCTCTCAAACGTATTCATCTCATACGTGTTCGCATCCGGTTGCGCATACGGATGCCCATCGTGGTTGACAGGCGCCGAGGTGTTGAGCGGGTACGTGACATTCCCGCCACTTGTATTCTCGTACGTCGCCGTTGTCGCTGTCCCGTTCACTGCAACCTGTGGGTACACAGTGTTGGACTGCTCCTGATACTCCTGTGCCCGTCCTTCATCATGGACACTCATCCCCGCCCTCTTTCCCATCGCCCCCTCCTCCCTCTCCCTGACCACAATCAACACAGTACCATTCCACGTCCCCGCGCTGTAATCAACATGACTATACTTCAGCAAAGGACCACATACGATTCCTTCGCGAGCGTCTTTGCGGACTTGTTCGTAGTTGTTGAGGTTATTCTCCTCGTTGAACTTCTTGGGGAGTTTAGGGTCGCGGTGCTTGTTGGGATGATTTGGATGCTCTGGAGGAGTCTGGAAGCACGAGAAGACGCCCATCGTATCGTATGTCGTTACGACTGGACTTTCGTTGACCCGCTGGTTGATGGGATAAAAATACGGGCCGTCTGGTTGGGTGAGGCTGTGCTTGGAGGTTTGGACATCATTTCGGATAGAAGAAGCCCGCGCGTCATATTGGGAAGAGAAGTATGTATATGCACTTATACATCGTGATTCACGTCTTAACATACAGAATATCATATGATGGGCCATATCGATACCGTTAACATAACCACCGTCCTCCTACTCCGCCTCAAAACACTCCGTAATCCTCCTCTGCCCCTCCGGCATCCACAGCTCGGTCAACCTCACCTGTCTCGTCCCCACACCCTCCTCCCCCTCCCCTTCCCCAATCCTCCCCAAACACTCCTCACACAACCACTCCGGCAACTCCTCCTCATTATCTTGCTTCCCCCTCCACTCAACATACGCCTCGACCTGCCTCCACCGCAACCTCATCGGATCACACACCGCATACAAACACACGACACGTCTACACCCCTCCCCCCCACACTTCCACCACAAACTCCGATCTTTCACCGGATGTCCTCGCGCACAAGAATCCCTCCCGCCATGTTGCCATAACGTGTCGGGTAAGACATCCGTCGCGTAGATAGAATCACTCTTCCACTCATCACCATGCTCAACACATATATGTTTCGCCAACCTCTCCAACCCCATCCCCTCCAAATGCTCCTCACCCCGGCCCAAACACCGTCCACACCAATACCTCGCCCTCCTACTCGGGTAAAGATAGAGTCCGGCATAATACACCGCATACCCCGCATGCAAAATGACATCGCCCGCAAGATGACTATCCACGTGCGCAATGAAGCTCTCCAAATTCTCGCTCCGGAGAGAGACGCCCTCACGCTTTAAGAGGGTGCCACACCGCCGAATACACTCCCTCATCGCACGACACATCCACCCCGCAAACGCCTCCGGTTTCCATTTACTCAGCGGCCCCAACACGTTCCCAGGGTTCTTGAGCTCCGCATACATCCCGTCAAGAACCTCATGCATAATCGCATGAAAAGCACGATGAACCCGCTTCTTCCGATCACTCGCCTCGAGTAGCCTCGCTTGTCTTGGGATGACAAGCTTGAGTGCGTCCTTCTTGAGTACGCGATCGTACTCGTCCCACAAAATCTCAAACGGGATACCCCAATCAACATTCCGATACTCATGTATCCTGACCAACATCACCTGTCCAATGGGTGGCTCGAGCGTCGCGCACCGCTCCACAATCATAGCTTGATACCTCTTCTTCTTCTGTTCGGCCCATTTGCCGAGTTCGGCGCGTCGCTGGGTTTGTACCGAATACATCCAGTACGAATACGAATACGCCTCGAGCTCCTCCTTCTTCTCCCACCTCTCCACCAGCCCCCGCAAAAAGCCATCCATCTCCCCCTCACTCCCAACCTCCAACAACCTCGCCGACACGACCTCGAAAATCTCATACACCTTGCTCTTATGATAAAGCGACCGACTATCACTCCCCTTATCACACGGAATAGCCTGGAGTAACGCAACCCGCTGCCTCTTGGTCAAATCCAGTCCGAGGCTCTTGTTGATTTCGGCCTTGAGCACTGTATACGAGAAACACCTGGCTACCGCACACTTCCTACACGACCGGATCCCAAGAACCCAGTAAACGCGTGCATTTGCCCGGTAGCAATACCAACAGCGATGATCCGTCCCCATCCATTCCTCGAGTCCAGTGATGGTGATACCGGGTTTGTGACCCATGAGGCGAAAAACGCGATACTCCGAGAACCCGAGCGGTAAACTTCCGTCATCTCTCATTCTGAGGCCGGGGTACTCCCTCTCCCTTGCCGTCGCCCAGATAGCCGATGCGGTCGCTGTGAGCGCTGAAGGATTTTGACGGCGGGATGAGGAAGAAGAGGGGGGCATGACAGCCGGGACGAGAAGTTGGCGGAAGTATTTGCAGACGCGGGTGAGGCGGAAGAGAGTGTGATACGTGCAGTTGGAGAAGACGGTCAATAAGACCTCGACGGGTACGTTCGCGATGTTGAACGTGGGTGATTCGGTATCAAGAGCGACCTTCTTCCTCACGCGCTTCTTCCTCGCTGCGTCGGTCGTCCAGTCACTATCGCCGTCGTCGAAAACAGCACTCGGATGGGCATCAAGAGCAGCAATGCGCGCTGACCGGCGGAGAGGCATGTTCGCGAAAGGTCAGTACACAACCAGACATTTGCTGCGCTTCGTGAGTGTCCCCGTGGTGTCCCTGTGGTTGGGCCGCTGCCGCTGTGTTGCGGAAGTGTCAAAAGGCAATCGTCTTATCGACCGCGTGCCTGGGTGCCTGCGTTAGTGCGCCCACTTGCTGGGTGAGTTGATATAATTGCGCGCACCTGCAGTGAGTTGTGTCAAGCATTGTGCACTTAGCTATACCCTCCACTGGAGCTCCAACACTCATGGATACCCCAGTCCCCTGCCTTATGCTGGCCGACAACATCGCACTATTGGCTCACGACGAGAATGCTTTACAGAAACTTGTCAACTCTCTTCGGAAATTCAGTTCTCGCTAGGGACTCCTGATCAGTTCTAACAAGTCTCAAGTGCTCTTCTTGTCGACAGGTACACAACCAGACATTTGCCTATTACCAGATGGTCCAGCATTCAAAGTTGTCGACAAATTCGATTATATTGGTTTCTCTATCTCCCATGGAGGACTATGGAACTCGAAGTCACACTGTCAACACAGTCTCCCCATTGCTCGCAGAGCCTTCAACCTTTTGCAGGCATGCAGACACATGTGATAGGTCGTCTTCCACCCATAAAGCAGATCGGCCTCTACCACAATCTTGACGAACTCCCACTCTCTCATCGACGAATTCACCTTGCCCTAAAATACCGCAACTACCTTCAGAACGAATGTGGGGTCAAATCACCTGGTCCGGAAATCTTATCTACAGTCACAACGACTCTGGCAGAATGGAAAGAAATGGTGTTGGTATGGTCAACTTCATGTCAACCATTCCTTGACATCGACGCTTCAGCAACATTCTCCCACCTCGCCCCCCCACTACATGAACTCATGACACAGAAAACGTACTCAGACTACCACGACGAGATTGCGAAATCCTCCAGACTACAGTTCCTGCACACCCACCTGGACCATGTCAACCGGCCAACCAACAACTCTCTCCGTCCTCAACCATACACATACAGCCAAACGCAAAAGTCATGCGAATCGCGCGCAAAGCTGAATGCACCCCCGCACATTCGACGACAACGGGAGATTACAAAACGCGTCCAAACTCCATGGCCAAGGAGTCTTAGGAGCAGGTTTCAGTCAGGACAGCTGTAGAATGACGTTGGACTTCTGCTCATACCTCCGCCTGCATCGTTTGCTGCACGTCTATCCAGTGTTACGCATCATGCGATGTCATGCACGTGTCCCTGTAACGTAGATACGGCGGGAGCGAAAGGCGAGAAATCTTGCCTCACAGCATATTGCACGTGCAGCTTGGGCTACAAGAAGATGTAGATTACCCTTGCGAATCTTATGATATCTTGAACTGCAGCTCTGACCTTGTACATGAAGAGATTTGTTGAGTTTTATGTCTACCCGCGCCCTTTGGTGGGGGTGCGTCGCTGATAGGCGCGCGATTCGCATGACTTTTGCGTTTGGCTGTACTGCTGTGTGCAAAATTCTTGACGTAACTTTCCCATGTGCGCGCGAATCGCAAACTCAATATGACAAAAACCCCTAAAACAACATAATTAAAGGCCTCGGAGGTCGAGTAAGGGTTCAAACTGATCATACCTATCCTTAGCAATCACGTCATGCCACCTGTTTTGGGCCACAAGGCCTCCCTCAGTCGCTTCATGCTGAAAATGTGTTTTCAGTTATAAGAAAGAAACGCACCCTGGGAGCCAGCTCCGGGTCCCATGAGATAGAGGGAGCTTAGATGAACATGTTCTGCGTGTGGTTTCTTTGATTCTAACAGTCTTTGAGGTTTTGTGGGTCCAGAGAGTGTTTTCGATGCTTTCATGCATGTTCATGCAACATCATGCACCTACGCCGAAACTCTTCATAATGTCACAACTCTATGAGAAATGGTACTACACGCGTTTCGAGGACATTTATCGATCCCTAAGAGTCTGATCTATCGACTTCTCCACTGAAATCGCTCTCCCAAGTCTTGTCTATGAAGATTGGGGGTTCGTGAAACTATCCCCGCACAGATAGGCGGTAAAACGCGCGCCGTCAAGAATTTTGCACACAGCAGTACCTTGACTTTCGACAAGCTCGTGCGCACGCCAGACTTCGATTCTCCGCCCACAACCTGGGAATACAAAGGGGCCGCAATCAACATCCACCTATCCCTCGAGGACTCGGGCTTTGTCAACAATGCAACCATAACGGCAACAACCTCAAGATCGACAACGAATTCCACGCAATTATGGAATGTCCTGTGTTGGATGAGCAGCGGAGGGTCCTCATGGGGAAGATCGAGGACTTGAGCCCTTACTGGGAGGAACTCGTACTCACAAACGACAGACGTACCCTTTTCGATAAAGTCATGTCTTCGAAGTCCAAGGAAGTTCTGGGTCCCCTCAGATCATTCCTTATCAAAGTCAATAGAGTCGCCGACGAGGAAGCTCTGGGAGGAACAGGTTGAGCCTTTTACCTTCCAACCGTCCCCAGGCAGGGGCACACATCACTTTCGCCACTTAGAACATTTCTTTACCGTAAGCGTCCTTAGTAGCGCGCTCTTGCGGTGCCATATTATACCTCCTAATTTGGCTTAGCTAGTTATTGTAGGTTGGCGGTCTGCGAATATACTCATTACACACACTTCATCCACCCAATCATCCCCGGACCTCGCACACCCACCCCCCCCTCCCCCTCAGCGTACGGGCAAGCAACCTTGTCGTGGCTCGAACCTTTCATTGTCGTGGCTCGAAAGGTTATGTCTTAGCCCTTGAATAAGATGGTTGGTCAGAACCTTGACGGACGTCGACCAGCTCCTGTACCGGCCGCGAGCTTGCGCGTGAGAAATCAAGACGAATCACAAATCATTGTTCGCAAGGAAATGGCAGAGCGGGCATTTGTAATGGAAACCCATGCTGCGATTCTGCATTCTCTTTTGGTCAACCCTCTTGTTCATAAGGACCCTTGAATGACGTCATGGTCTACGGTGCTCGGATTTGAGAGAGCTTGAGTCCGGCGGCACAACACCAGATCAACTCCAACAGAATATGTCATCATCACCAGACTTCAAGATTACCAACCTCTTTGACGTCGAGGGCCTAAAGGTCCTCGTGACTGGCGGCGGAACGGGTATCGGCCTAAGTTGCTCTCTCCTCCTCGTTCCTCTCCTGCTTATTTTACTGACCGGCTTCCTTCAGTGATCGCCCGTGCCCTCGCTGTCAACGGTGCAAAGGTTTACATCACCGGCCGTCGCGAAGATGTGCTCAAGTCCTCCGCCGAGCAACATAGTGCCGACGCCGAAGGCGAGATCATCCCCATCACCGGCGACGTAACAGACAAAGCCTCCATCCAGGCCCTCCTAGACGACTTGAAACAAAAGGAAGAACACCTCGACATCCTCATCAACAACTCCGGTATCGCCGGCCCAGGCATCGACAACGCTGCAAAAGAAGCCACCCCCCTCGCCAAATCCATGTGGGAAAACGACTACGAGGAGGCTCTCTCCGTGTTCAAGGTCAACGTTCTCGGATACTACTTTGTCAGCGCCGCGTTCATTCCATTGCTGAATAAGTCTCCCAATCACCCACAGATTATCAACATCACTTCGAATGCGGCGTTTGGGCGGGTAGCTATGGCTGGGATTTTGTATTCGTGTACGAAGGCCGCTTCCACTCATCTCACCAAGATGCTGGCTACGCATTTGAGTGGTACCAACATCCGTGTCAACGCGTGAGTTTTGTTTCCATCCCTTTCCTGGTTGTGAATGATTGACATGAACCAGCATCGCACCCGGTCTCTTCCCCTCCGAACTCACCGCCGGCGACTCAGAGAAGGACAACCGTTCCGATCTCAAGGGTGACACGCAGGGTATCGACATTCCTACTGGAAGACCAGGTACGGAGGAAGAGATGGCTACGACGGTGTTGTACCTTGCGAACAAGAAGCAGACGTACACCTCGGGGAGTGTCGTATTCATTGATGGTGGGGTGCTGACGAGGATGCCGAGCACGTACTAGAAAGGAGGATATACCAGCTTGGATGGAGATGCATTTCAATTGAAACCGCAAGAAACGTGAAAAGAGTGACAACTCGCTTTCAATTCGCAACTGCGTATGCCCAGAGTTCAACAAAACAAGACAAACAAAAAAACGCACAGAACACCTCCTATGACACTTCTAATCGAACTTTCCAGTTCCCTTGCCATTACTAGCCGCAGCCCCCGCCCTACTCTCCACGTCCTTAAGCCCAACCCCATCCAAAATACCTCCCTTCCTCCTGTTAAACGCACCCGTTCCCTTTCTCTTAACGAACCACCACACAGCTCCGAGCACCAACAAGAACACACCGAATCCCGCAAGAGAATGTCTGTGTGCCTCGCCTAGTTCCTTGGCGGCGGAGACGGCGGACTCGAAACGGGTCTTGGTGGATTTGAAGTGGATGGAGCGGGGGTTCTTCAGGACTGCGTTCAAGGTGTCGAGAACGAGGGCTTTGGCAGGGGGGATGGGTTGTCCGACTTTGGTGATATCCCAGAACCTCTTCTCGTCCTGCTCGTTGATGATGACGCGGTGTCCAGTCTCATGAACGTCGATACCGTATGTGCCGGCGATCCACTTTTCCCAAAACACGCCGTCGACCCAGGCGAAGCCGACCTTCTTCGGCTCGGGAACAACGACCTGAATGCCCTTCGCGCGGTCAACGGCACCCTTGTCACCATCACGCTCAGCCTCATCAATCTTATCCTGCTTCTCCTTCCGCTGCCTCATCTTGTCCGCCTTCTCATCCTCAGCACGAGCATCCGCAAATGCAAGCGCAGCATCCTTCATCTCCTTCCTCACAGCGTCAAAGTCCTCGGCCTGGGGATCGAGGATAGCGAGGACGACAGTTTTCTCGGAGGTGATGATCTCGTGAGCATTCGCGGCGGACAACTCGGGGAGAACGGGAAGCCAGACGGATTGCATCCAGCTGATGATACGGCGGTAGTCGCGCATGTCACGAGGTCCGAGGGCGGTGTAGTAGTTTGGCTTTCCGTCGCGGACGGCGATGAGCTTGGGGAAGGCGTTGACGCGGAAGCGCGCGGCAAGAATGTCGCTTTTGGTCTTCAACAACGGTGCGTGACCGATCAGGGGAAGAGAAGTGCGCTCGAGAGCAGCAAAGTCCTCAGAGGTAGTAGCGTCATCGTAGAAGTAGATGAAGGTAACCTCGTTCTTCTCGGCGTACTTTTCCAAACCAGCCGCGTCAACCTCGTGGGCGCCAGCCTCAACAGCCATGTTCGAGAAAGCCAATAAGTCTCCCAATCCACGGAGACCCTCGTACTCCACCTTCTCACCTCCACGGAAGAACATGAGAGTGGGGTAACCTCTCAATCCAAGATCCTTGCACAACCTCGGCTCAGCCTCGCAGTTGACGCTGCCGATACGGAGCTTTCCACGCATCTCCTTCGCAAGCTCGGTCCATGCAGGGGCCATCTGCTGGCAGTAGTGGCACCAAGGAGTGTAGAACTTGATGAACCAAGGGTCGTTGGTGGTGGAGACGAGGGAGTGGAAAGTCTCCTGGGTGAGTTCGGTGGCAATACCGTGAGCGTTCACATTGGTAAGAGCTTTTGGTGCCTCGGCGTTGAGCTTCTTTTCGATTTCGGCGTTCTTTGGCGTAGCCACTTCGGTAGCTTTCTCAACATCGACCTTAGGTGCCTCCTCCTTGACCTGCTCAGGAGTCTTCTCGCCGACACCAGCATTCGCCTTCACGTACTTGCTGATCTCCCTCTCAGTCCGGGAAGCATACATTGGGTACTCCTCGATCTGCTCTCCCTTTTTGAACAGTCTCATGGAAGGGTATGCCGTCACACCGATCTTTGAACAGAGATCTCCATATGCCGCGCAGTTCAACGAGGCGAAGTGGAAGCCCTCCAAGTCCTTCAACTGCTCGGCTACCGCGTTCCATGTTGGCGCAAGGTCTCTGCAGTGACTGCATTGTGGTGAGTATGCCTTGATGAAGTAGGTTCCGTCCTTGATGGTCTCGTCAAAGTTGTTCGGGTTCAAATCAGGAGAGTAGGGTGATGTGTGGACGTCGTCTCGAGCCTGCACGGCTGCTGCTATTGTCGATGAGACGCTGAAGCCGAACGCTACGATTGCTGAGAACCGCATCCTGACCCCTCTGTCTTTTGCTTCTCTGGTGTAATGTTTCGTTGCGGTCTACTAAGCGCGTCGTATCCTGGCATGTACAGTCACGTGAATGACCGGCCGACCCCAAAGCGGCACACCTGTAACGTAGACATCAGATATCCAACACCATGGCCTCGGCTTTTCCTCAGTCGTTCGTTCATTCCATTGCGATATCCGTGTCTCGCGAGCTCGGTACATCCAGCGCCAATGATACCCTTGCCTCGCGGATCATCCAGATTGCGCTCGACCAGCCTTCCGTCACTGCCTTTGCAAGGGCATGCTCGGCTTTTGGGAGGTTCAAGGGCAGTTTTTTACACGAGATCTATGAGGAAGTCACGAAGAATAAGCCGAGGGAGGGTGTGCCAGCAGGGAATGGGTCGTTCAGCGCACCGGAAAGAATGACAGGCAATGAGTTGCCGACAGTAGGTGGACTGCTATTGCCGGCCGATAAGGAACGACACGCCTTCAAAGCACCGTCAACGCCCGCAAAGAAATCTCAGCTTGGTCTGGACCGCCTGGCTGCGGAAAAGCGACAAGAGAATGCCGACCGCGAGCGCGACACGAAGCGTCCTCGAATCGACCATTCGGATCCAGATACAGAATCTATCGAGTTCAGAAAGCCGGTCGTCCAGCGCGGAAACATCCGTGAACGGCGACCAGAGACACCGAGTCTGGGACCAGGACTAAGCGATGTTGCGAGGCAGAGGTTGGCGGCACATCGAGCAAAGAGATCAGAAGGTGGACTGTCGACTTCGTCGCGGGCGCACGAGAGAAGAAGAGATGACACAGGGGACGAATATGGTCGGGACCGAAGGGACTACGATAGACGGGACGACCGTCGAGATCATGACAGGCGAGATAACGCGAATGACCGCACCTACGACCGTTCTTCTACGCCGCGCGCAGATTCCCGCCCTCCCATATACCGCTCTTCTGATCCCAACCGGACACCATCTTTTCGTGATCGCGGCGGTCAGACTCCCCTAGCACGCGCCGACACCGGTCGATCCGCCGCCCTGGGCTGGAACACCCCGCGTGTCGCCCATACAGCATGGGACGAGCGCGACACCCACTACCCCGAGGAGTCCGCTCCCAACCAAGACTACGCAGAATGGCAAGAAGAACAATCCCGTCTCGACCGTGACTGGTACGGCGGTGACGAATACGGCGGCGCAGCTGGCGACTACGACTCCCATAACCCCTTCGAAGCATATGCCGATAAAGAAGAAGCTCTGCGTGCGGAGTTGGCTGCGGAAGTGAAAGCGAAGAAGAGGCAGACGGCGCGACAAGCAGAGTGGCAGCGCGAAAATGAGTTGTGGGAGAAGAATCGGATGTTGACGTCTGGAGCTCTGCAGCGGGGCATGGTTGATACTGATTTCGAGGATGAGGCGGAAAATCGGGTACATCTTCTCGTGCATGACCTTCGCCCACCGTTCTTGGATGGGAGAGCCGAGTTTACGAGGCAGAAGGATCCCGTCCCGGCGGTGAGAGATCCACAGAGTGATTTGGCTGTGTTTGCCAGGAAGGGAAGTGTGCTGGTCAAGCAGCGACGCGAACGAGCTGAGCGCGAGAAGGCCGCTGCGAAGGCTGCAAGTCTGGCGGGTACTGCTCTGGGTAACGTCCTTGGTGTTCGAGACGAGGAAGCGGAGGCGGCAGAGGAAGCTAAGAGGAAGGAAGCTGCGGGGGAAGAAGAAGATGTCAGGGGCAGCAACAAGTTTGCTTCTCATCTTAAGGCAAGCGAAGGTGTTTCCGAATTCGCTCGGTCCAAGTCTTTGAGGGAGCAACGTGAGTTCTTGCCTGCTTTTGCTGTCCGCGAAGAGCTTCTGAATGTCATCCGCGATAACCAAGTCGTCATCGTTGTTGGTGAAACGGGTTCCGGCAAGACCACCCAGCTCACCCAATTCTTGCACGAAGATGGGTACTCCAAATTTGGTATGATTGGATGTACGCAACCTCGTCGTGTGGCTGCTATGTCAGTCGCCAAGCGTGTCAGTGAAGAGATGGAAGTGAAGCTTGGTGGGGTTGTCGGTTACGCTATTCGTTTTGAGGATTGCACGAGTGAGGATACGGTCATCAAGTATATGACTGATGGTGTACTTCTTCGTGAATCGCTTGTGGAGGCTGATCTGGACAAGTATTCATGTATCATCATGGATGAGGCACACGAGCGTGCATTGAACACCGACGTGCTTATGGGGTTGATCAAGAAAATCATTGCGAGACGAAGGGATTTGAAATTGATTGTCACGTCCGCCACTATGAATGCAGAACGCTTCTCTCAATTCTACGGAGGCGCACCGCAATTCATCATTCCCGGTCGTACTTTCCCCGTCGACGTCTTGTTCTCCAAGTCTCCTTGCGAAGATTACGTCGAGAGTGCTGTGAAGCAAGTCTTGACGATTCACTTGACGCATCCACCGGGTGATGTGTTGGTGTTCATGACAGGACAAGAAGATATCGAGTGTACTGCACAGGTGATCAAGGAACGGCTGGAGCAGCTGGATAATCCACCAAAGCTGGCAGTATTACCAATCTACTCTCAGATGCCGGCGGATCTGCAGGCTAAGATCTTTGATAAAGCGGCGGAAGGTGAGCGAAAGGTGATTATTGCGACGAATATTGCCGAAACCTCGTTGACGGTTGATGGTATCATGTATGTTGTCGATGCCGGATACTCCAAGCTGAAGGTTTACAACCCTCGTATGGGAATGGACACCCTTCAAATCACCCCCATCTCTCAAGCCAACGCCAATCAGCGTTCTGGACGTGCTGGTCGTACTGGTCCCGGTACTGCTTACCGTTTGTATACCGAGCAAGCATTTCGAAATGAGATGTACCTCCAGGCCATTCCGGAAATCCAAAGAACCAATTTGGCAAACATTGTGCTCTTGCTGAAGAGTCTCAATGTCAAGAATCTACTCGAGTTCGACTTCATGGACCCTCCTCCCGAGGATACCATGATGAGCAGTTTGTTTGATCTTTGGGTGTTGGGTGCGCTTGACAACTCAGGTGAATTGACCAGATTAGGTAAGAGGATGGCAAGTTTCCCAATGGAGCCCTCGTTGTCAAAGTTGATCATCATGTCCGAAGAATACGGGTGCACCGACGAGATGTTGACGATCGTGTCGATGCTTTCGGTGCCCACCGTATTTTACCGGCCGAAGGAGCGTCAGGAAGAGTCTGATGCCGCTCGTGAGAAGTTCTTCGTTCCTGAGTCTGATCACTTAACCTTGCTACACGTCTACAACCAATGGAAACACAACGCATATCGGGATGACTGGTGTACGAGGCACTTCTTGCATCCCAAAGCGCTTCGCCGAGCTCGCGAGATTCGACAGCAGCTTCTCGACATCATGAAGTCACAGAAGATCACATTCAAGTCATGTGGCACGGATTGGGACGTTGTGCGCAAGTGTATCTGCTCTGGTTATTTCTCGCAGGCTGCTCGTGTCAAGGGTATTGGTGAATATGCCAACGTCCGCTCCGGTGTGCCCTGTTATCTTCACCCTACGTCGGCATTGTATGGTCTTGGGTACTTGCCGGATTACGTCGTCTACCATGAGCTCATTCTTACTTCAAAGGAGTATATGTCTACAGTAACCTCCGTGGACCCTCATTGGCTCGCAGAACTGGGTGGTGTATTCTACTCTATCAAGGAGAAGGGTTATAACACTTCAAAGCGTGCAACGGAAAAGGAATATTCTAGGAAGATGGAGTTGGAGGCGCAAATGCATGCTGAAAGGGAGCAGAAACTGAAGGAGGAGGAACAAATCCAGCTGCATAGGGCACGAACAGAAAAGGCAAATAGCAGTGCCAGATTAGCGACACCAGGGATGAGGAGGCCAGGCAGTGCTACGCCAAGGGTCAGGAGATTAGGCTTTTAGATACTGGTCTAGTACCACCATAAATGCCAATCATTTGATGATAGAATGCCCATGTTGAGCTCTATTCTACCCAATAACCATACTAGTGTGACATGCTCGATGCTCCCACTTCCCGGATGGGCGGTTTTAATCCAACGTCGCGACGGCACCTGCATCCTTCTCCTCAGCCTTTGCCTGCAAGCTCGACTCCACCTCATCCTTCGCAACCTCCTTCGCCAACCCCGAGGTAGTATCTACCTCCGGAACCTTGCCCTCCGCTGAAAGATCGTCAGCCGTAATCACCGCATCCTCCGCACCTGCAATCTTACCCTTCTTCCTCGCCTGGTTCTCCTTCTTGAAATCCGGTCCGTTGGGGTATTTTCGCTTTTGGCCGGGAGCCGAGCGTCCGAGTTTGACGTCTGTGCTGTCTTCGCTGTTGTCGGCTTGTGGTTCCCTTCTGCGCTTGCGGAGCTGCTCTGTAGTGTAGAATGGGCAAAGACCGGCCTCCACATCCAGTGACTCGAATGCAGGAGTGTTGATCGACTTGTACTTTCCTTGGCTGTCGGCCTCGAATGCGACAAGTACGGAAGCTGAAGGTACTTCAATGGTGTCAATGCTCGCCCATAGCCTGTTCGCGGAGTCGGTGACGAGTGCGAGAGCAGGCGCAGGGAGTGCGATGGCTTCGGTGATGGACGGAACCTTTTCATCAGAGAAATCGACGACGAAGACGGCTGGCGCCTTCTCAACGATAACGAACACCCGGTTTTCCACAACGTGTAACTGAGACACAGCGCTCTTGCCATCCTCGCCGCGTGCCTCCTTCACCGCATCAGCAAGATCCAACTTGTGCAGTAACTTGCCCGTCTTCCAGTTCCAGACACCAACCCACGAGTCTCCACCGGCTGTCAATACAACATCCTCGTCAAGCTGAGCCACGGAGCCGACGAACTCAGTGTGTCCAAGCAAAAATCTCTCCGTTACATGCGCCTTAGGATATCTGGATATTCTCACGTGCTCATCACGGTCAGCGGTCATGATGTAGGTGGATGAGTTCGAGTGCAGCAGAGACATAGTCGTCAACATACTGACATGGCCGAGCAAAAGGTTCTCTGGGATGGCATCTGTGTCCTTCGTCTTCTGTCCCCAAGCAAGGTCGTAACCTTTGGGAACCTTTCCTTGCTTCTTCGCCGCAGAACCCGCTGCTAGCGATTCGGTCTCCTCGGTGATTGCTGGCTTTCCATCCTCAGCAGGCGCTCCCTGTCTTTCCTCTGATGCCAGCGTGAAAGGGTAAGAGGAGACGTCTCCGTGCTTGTCTCCAGTAAGAATAGTTGCGTCGTTGTCGACAAGAGCCAATGAGCAGACTCTTTTAGGGACGGTCCTTTCTGAGATCAATTCGAGTGTAGACGCGTCAAACACGCGGAGAACCTTGTCCTCGCCGCTTATAGCCAACTTGCTTCCGTCCTTGGTCAAGACCATCGTCCGAATCGCATCGCCAGCAAGAATTTCTTCCCTTGTGGGCTTCTTGTCGGCTGGAGGAGCAGGTGCTAACCATTTCGCAAGCGTAGCTCCAGTGTTCAGATCGTAGGAGCGAAGATGAGGTCCAACAGCCGCGAAGAGAATGGGTTGCGATGGATGAGAAAGGGTCGTTTGCAGAGGATGGGCTACCATTGTGACGGAAATTTGTATGCTGCCTCGGACTTTTCCTACGCGATGTAACGACGACTTCGACCCGCATCGACTTGCAGATGTCACGGGAGCAACCAAACGAGAAGAGAGCTGATATATGACAAGTTTGTACTGCTAAGATAATTTTCAAAAACAATTATTCTCTCTTTGTAATATCAGGCTTTGCCTTTAAACAGCGCAAAGGATGGCCGTTGCGAAAACCAAAGATAGCACAGAAAAAAGTGATCAGAATCATAACAAACCCGGAAGCGAAAAAGCGGAACGTAGGGCAGGGTGGTTCAGGGCTTTACCAGGATAGTTCCAACTTAAGAGTTTTGACCTCGAACGCCCCCATAGGGAAGTCCACAGCGACAGACGTGACGTGATCCATCCTGGCTCTCTTGTGGTCCAGGACAGTGATTTCGTCTTCCAAAAGGTTCACTTTGCAGCCATGTTAGCCTCTGGTTTGTGACTGGGAATTCTTAGCTTACCTTCAGTCGCCTTTACCACCGGTAGCGTCGTCACCACCTTTACCTTGGTCTTTCCTCCGTACGCTTCATAAAGCCTGAGAACGATAGACTTGTTCTTGGTGCCACTGCAGGAGGTGGGTCTGTGTCCGGCGGCGACCACAACGTCCGTATCGTCCTCTGCCCTCTTGATCGTATCAAGAACCACGTTATCAGCACCCTCGATCCAGATACTCTTCAAGAGGTCTTTGAGGCTGTCGAACTTCTCATCTTGGACGGGAACGTAGCGCAACCTCAACGGGTTGTTGAAGTTGTACCCGGCTCTGACAACCGCAGCTTGCGAGATACTCCCACGGTGAGGCAACATGGCGTAACGGAAGTGATGACGACCCATATCAGCATGTGCATCTGGCGCCTTAGGTGAACGAAGGAGTGAAAGACGCATGGTCGATCCATGAGTAGCGAAACCGTATTTGCTGTCGTTGAGGATTGAAAGTCCGTAACCATGTTCCGAAAGATCAGCCCACTTATGACAGACAACCTCGAACTTGGCCGCGTCCCAGCTGGTGTTAAAGTGCGTGGGTCTTTTGTTGATACCGAACTGGGTTTCGTAGCTGGCGGTGTCGCAGAGGATGTCAGTAGGGAATTCGACCTGTAGGAGCATATGAGCATCAAGTATCTCGGATGTCCTTCAAGCTCTTACCTTGAGGAAGCTACGGCTCTCCTGCCACTCCACCTCAACGTCAAAGCTGAGCATGGGCAATGCCTTCTCGAAGGTGGTCTTATGAGTGTAATCGGCACCGGACAACACTGCGTCCAGACTGATAGTTGTCTTGATCCAGGAGTGCTCGCTGATCTTGCTTTCTACGAGAAGAGATGCGCGGAGGGGACCCTCTTCGACGATCGTTGTCTTGCACTCATCGAGATACGTGCGGGGACCAGTCAAATGGTAAACTTCGACATCCCAAGCATCCCAGTACAGCGGTCTACCAGAGCAATCAGCATCAACGTTATAACCTCAAGCCTTTGGGCAACCTACTGGTCATCATAGATAACGTATCGTCCCGCCTTCCCGTCCTTGGCGACAACCTCGCGGTCCATTTCAACATCGTACAAACTGGTAACATGACCGTTTTCGACCTTCACGCGGAGGACACCGTTATTGAGCACAAAGATGCCCTTCTCCACCTCCTCAACTGTGATGTTGTCAGCTTACGTTTCAGCGAAATAACAGTCGGACTCACCAGTGACTTCTTTCGTGATCCCCTTCTGCTGCACCTCCTTCTTCTCCACCTTCGAGACACCCGTGCTCTCGGTGCTAAGAACGACATACTTCTTACCACTCTGCTGCTCAAAAACGACACTCTTGTCAACACTGGTAGCGATCTCCTCCTCAACCTCAACAACCTCAGTACGCGGCCAAGCGACGGTACTGACACCGGCGAGAGGAGTGTGTTTGCTCGGGTGAGACGACATGCCGAGGACCTTGAATGCAGACGCAAGCATCCTTTGACCGCGATCCCAGATCTGCGCATGGAATGCCGCTGCATCGTCAAACACCATCTCAATCGCCGACCCCGGAAGCACGTCATGGAACTGACATAGGCAAATCATCTGCCAACACTCATCAATCTCCTTCTTCGGGTATTCGTACTTTGAGTCATAAATCGTAGCCAGACTGTAAGTCTTTCGGTCAGCACAGCAATGTGTGAGTTAAACTCAGAAAACCTCAACACCTACCTTGCGAAGAACTCAACATCCCTCAACAAGAACTCACTCAACCTATTCCCCTTCTTCGTCTTCGCTTGACTCGTGTATGTCCCGCGATGCAACTCAAAATACAACTCACCGACCCAATTCGGCAACGTCTTGCCCTCCTCCGTTCTCTTCTCCAACCTCTCATAGAACTGGTCCACAGACCCACCCATAGAAACGCGAGGAAGACGGCCAACGGTGTCGGATACTCCACGGCAACGACGGAGTTTTTCGAGCATTTGGGCGAGAGGGCCGCCGCCGCCATCGCCGTTACCGAAGACGAGGAGAGAGGAGGGGTCTTCGCCTTTGTTCTTGTGTTGCGTGACAGAGCGAATGAGGTCGCCAACTGTGAAAGCCTATCAGCAATGACGTCAAACGACGTACAAAGGGTCTTCACCATGCGCTTGAGCATTATACGTCTCCGACGGTGTCATATGACACAAAACCTGAGACCTGTACGATGTCAATCAGCAACCATCTTTGTCTGACAACTGCGCATCGTACCCATCAATCCCAACCCAATTAAAGCTCGTATACACAAACTTATTAATATTATTCCAACTCAACTTCTGCGTAAAGAAATACTTCATCCCACTCAACCGACACAACTGCGGCAACTGACTCGAATACCCAAACGTATCCGGGAGCCAGAAAACTTTACACCGAATCCCAAACTCTTTTTCGAAGAAGCGTTGGCCGAGGAGGAATTGGCGACAGAGGGATTCGCCGCTTGGCATGTTTGTGTCACATTCGACCCAGGTGCCGCCAATGGGGGTGAATGCGCCAGAGTGGATGGTCTCGCGGAGGTGGTGGTAGAGGCCGCCGGGGCTGGAGTGGTCTTCTTTGAGCCAGGCGTATTGTTGGGCGGAGGAGGCGGTGAAGCGGTGTTCGGGGTACCTCTTGATCAAGTCGATCTGTGTGGACCAAGAACGAGCAATCTGTTCGCGACATCAGCACATACACTCAAAAGAAGTACGTAGACGTTCCGAACCTTCCGACGTGTCTCAGCGAACGGCCAAAGCCAGGCAGTATCAATATGACAATGCCCAATCCCAAACACAAGCGGCTCCCCCTTCCCCTCCCCCCTATACACCTCAGCTCCATCAACGCCCCCACCCAAAAACTCCCTCGCAACCTCCCTACACTCCTCCAAACACTCCTTCTTCCCCCTCCTAAACGTCCCCAAAATCTTCGTAGCAACACCCAACGCCTTCTCCCCCTCCCACCCTCCCAATTCGCGCGCACAATCCGCGATAATGGTGTAATCCCAGAACAGGCGCCATGCGGTCATGTTTGGGACTACGATGTCTGCGGTGCGGAGTTCGAAGTAGCGGTTTGGGTCGGGAGGGGAGATTTGGTCGCCGCAGGGGACGCCGAACATGCCGTTCATTGCGGCTTCGATGTAGATGATGCGTTCGGTGGAAGTGGGGGAGGAGGAGGAGGACCACCAGGCTTCGGGGAGGATGAATTCGACGCGGCGATCGCCGCCGCCGCCGCCAGTTAGACCTGGATAATGGAGTCAGGAGGATTTATGCGGATGTGTTGGGAGGAGGTGCGTACCTTGGAGCATAAGACCCTCGGGGGTGAATACCGCACCTTCGCCTTCACAGTCAAAGTGCAGCTCGAGGTGCTGGTCAGCGGCTGGGTGCCGCAAGATTTGATCCAAGTTGCGAAGGGTGATACGGAACCAGTGAGTTGACTGTGTGAATGCGGATCAGTTGCCGTTCGTGTTGGACGAGGAAAGGGAGGAGTAGGGATAGGGACGACTCACCCAACTTGGACCGAAACGCTCTCCCTTACGCGCCTTGCGCCATTCAGCACGCCTGTGAGTCCAGTTAGCCCAGTCCTGTGCAGACCCGTTCGCGTTTGACACACTTCATCGCCTCATCAAACGACGGTCTACTCTCCCTCTCCCGCCCCACCCCCACAAACGGCGCACTCCAAACCTCCAACTCGATATATTTCTCCTCATCACTCCTGAAATCATACATCATCGCCGGGAGGTTGCAGTCTTCGAATTGACCTCCATTGGCGGTGAAGGCACGGAGATGGTCGATGTCGAGGTTGTGGATCTTGGGGAAGGAGGGGTTGGGGGCGAAGGAGTGGGTTGGGTAGGCGGAGGAGGATGGATTAAAGCGTTCACCGCCCATGTTGACTTTGGATGATTGGTTGAATGGACGTGGTGGTGACTTTGAATGATTTGGGTTGTGGAGCCGACCAGCCGCCGTGCGGTACCCCGCGCGCGCACCGCTGCAGTCATGCGCTTCCTTGACGATGCTTGAGCCTGTGACGTCCCGTGCTTCTCTCGGTCAGGTCTATAAATGGTCCATTCATATCTTATGAACGGGTTGTTTATAGATCTGGTCAAGACACCCAACACGCTTTCCCGTAGTTTGTCTTTTCCCACGGTCTTGTAAACGGTAAGCTTAAGAAGGAATCTCGGGGTTCGCGCATGCAAGGTTTAACTTAGAAGTGGTTGGTGTAATGTCGGTTTTCTTAGTAGTAACAGGGTTGAAGATGGTGTAGTGTTTTGCTTGCGCCTTAGTTAGGTTAGCTTAGAACATCGTGCCGGTCAAAGTCACTTGACTGCACCATGCCAAGTCTTCAAGTATCCTAAGTTCCATCACCAAACGAGAGTAACAATACAGACGTTCGATCTCTATGAGCCAGCTCATTAAGTATTGATGCTGGACCGATCTATTGCCCCGTCAAACGGAAGCGGGGTTGGCGGCTGCATGTACCCGCAGTCGCCACACTCTGCACCAGCTGATTGACTACCGCTCCTTCGCGCAACCCGCCTATAGATGAGGCCCATCACCGGAATGGAGTGCTATAGGCATGGTGTAGTGTTTGGCCTCGCGCTCCACTCATGCAAATGCATGCACGGTCACTCGATGTGCTGAACCCGTCAACATCGCGGCAGTCAAGTCGTGATTTCCAACTCGGGTTTTCTGCGACATACCACTTACAGAAGGTCACGGCGGAGGAGTGTTGTATCTACGACACGGTTATGAAGGACCTGAGACAACGTTCACGGCATCCTTACAAGAGACACGAACTCATTGATATACGCCAAAGGAAGTCCGTCTATACTGGTTTTACATCCGGAATTGTCCTGTAGTTTTGTCGTATTGTTGTGGTTACGGTGGCAACGAAGGCTCCGACACGGCGCTAAGGCAAGATGATTAAGGGCCGTGTTGGAGGTCTCGCGTATGGCGGTCTGGATACTTTGATAATGTGAGAATGCGACGGGCGGCGAAACTGAGTGCATTCATTCGGGTGATTATTTGGATCTTGGTGATTTTGGTGGGTGAGCCGGATGCGGTGAAGGGGGATGGGCCGGGGAATGGTTCCCACGCGCGTACGTTTGCGGAAACAACTGGGATGCACGAATACAGAGGAATGTGATTACAGGATGGGTGTTTTCCCTGTTTAAGAATCTTATGAGACCGTTTGAATTAAAGTCAGGTGGATTGAAGTGGAGTTGTCGGTGGGTGGACAGCAACCACGGGCTCACCGGCGTGAGTCAAGCCGGATCGGATATACTTCACAGTGGTCGATGTTACTTTATATGAGAATATACATATCGTTTTACTAGTTTATTTGGTAGTTCATAAGGCACTCGTTGACGTTGTCGGAGGGCCACCCACGTAACGGCACCACCGGTCCGAGAAATCCGGATCCATACTCGGGCGAGAAGCTGAATCCTTGCTCCAATGGATATATCATGATCATCTGGGCATCTCCACAGTTATTGTGGATGGGGTATACACGAGTAACCGAGGATTTGACCAAAATCATTCGCAGGATGTCTAGGGGTACTGACGAACGGCGTAAAGGCAAATCGCGACCGGAGAATACATTTCACGGAACCTCAATACCTCCCAACGCGTGCTTTACCTATATCCATTTTCCCTACCTCGTCCCTGCCCCCGGCCTTTCCTGCGATGAATAATTTTTCACCGTCTCTATATACACGAATTATATAAGGGAAAGACGGCGAAGAAATCGTGTCAAACTTCTGGAATTTCGACAACAGGTCATATGGCTATCAGAGGTGTCGAGCAAATATCGACCTCAAACGACGCCGTTTCGACGGGGTGAGTGCGATCCCACGGTCTACACCGGATTTGACGGGTTTGCTCGTTTTCAAACTCTCCCTCCTTACCAAACTACGAAACACACACACACACACAAACTAAAGCAAAGCAAAACTCAAAATGGCTTTCTCTATCGAGGCCGCTGCCTTTGAGTACGCGGACAACCTCGCCGATTGTGGTGCCTCTACTACGGAACACTCTACCGTTGAGGTCGCCCGGGCTGAGAACGAATCTCCCATCGAGATCAAGTTCCCCGAGTTCTCCACTCCTGAACTCACTCTCTCCGAGTCCGAGCCTATCGACTCTGACTTCCTCACTGGTCCCATTCGACCTCCGCTGCCGTCTCCCTCATTCCTCCCGGGTTTCCTCCTCCTCCTCTCCTTACGGCCTCCTTCAGTATTTTTTATCCTCTTGCATTGCTACTAACGTAGTACGTCTCCGACTGCCTCATCCGGGAGGTTATCGACTGGGTCCAAAATCTGGCCAGTCGGTTACATCCGAGTGGAGTGTTCGATTTATGAGCTATTTTTAATAAACGCATGCGTGGAGGTAAGGATATTATTGGTAAGTAATCAGAACCTTAATCGCTTGTTATCGTACACTCACGTCTGGCGGTCCGCTATAGCTAGTCCCACAGATATCACGCATTTGCTTTCGTAATATCTTCCACATACTGCACTACTCCAACACCCTTGTCGTCACTTTCGATATCCATCATCTCAGTCGCGGACGGACTTGTCGTCCTTGTCACGACTGCCACCTTCGCGGCTGGTCCGTCAAACAAGATCGACAGTTCCTCCAAGGTCGGCCCCTTTGTCTCGGGGTAAAAGAGGTAGATGATCGTCAATTCGCATGCCAACCAAACGTCATACACGATGTAGAACTTCCAACCCAGGTTGCTGAGACCAATTGGGTTGACGAACTGGTTGAATGCACTCCCGGCGCGGGAGAAAATCTGCGTGATGGCAACGCCCTTTGCACGAGTGACGAATGGAAAGACCTCGGTCACGTAAATGTAGGTGAGTGGCATCATAAGGTTGTATGCTGGATAATACAAGAAAATCATAGCGACGACGGCGCCGGCTGCGTGGTGGTTGAAAGTCTGCGCATACACCGCACTCGCAATCGTCCAACATACGAAGAAGAACGTCATGGCGGCATAAGAGCTCATGTATTGCGTACGTCTGCCCATGTACTTTGTCATGAACGATCCCGTAACACCAGTGATGAAGTTCCAGCACATGAGACCGAGGTTGATGACGTTCTGGTCGTGCTTGGCAGTGATGCCGACAGTAGCGAGCACTTTCGAAAGATAGTAGCTGACCAAGCCGTTCCCAGACCACTGCGAGAAGAGGCCGACGCACGCCGCGATGAGGACTCTGCGGCGGTTTCCGCGGGTTTGAAGGAGTTCGACCCACTTTCGCTTGGAGGACTCTACCTCGAGCTTGATCGTCTCTTGAATCTCGGCAAACTCGGCGGCGACAAATGCGGAGCTGCGATCACCTTCAGCGTGGTACTTGACGAGAATTTCGAACGCTTCTTCGGAGCGACCCTTCGAAACGAGCCAACGCGGACTCTCCGGGAGCCACCAAATGAAGATCAACTGAAGAATAGACGGTGCACCCTGGAGAACCGAAGGCAATCTCCAGGACCAGTTGTTTGGAATGTTGTACGTGCCGAGCGTGACGCCGGCTGCGATGATTGCACCTACGTACCAACTTTCATTGAAGAGACCCGTTAGGACGGCGCGTTCCTTAGGGTACGCGAGCTCAACGATGAGCTGAGATGCACCGGAGATCGCGAACGGAATGCCCATGCCGAGAATCACTCGAGAGATGACGAACATGGCGATGTTGATTGAGACGGTCTGGATGATGACGCCAATGAGGAGGATGACGGAACCGACCATGATGGAGACCTTCCGACCAAAGCGATCATTGGTCCACGGCACGAAAGGAACAGCGAGGACTGCACCGATAGAAAACGCGGCTGTCATGACACCAAGGATTGCGCCTTGCGGGTGACCAAAGTAGTCGATCCAAGGTTGCACGGCCTGCAAGCCATTCAAGACTGACCCGTCATATCCAGAGGTCATCTCAACGCCAAGGGCGGCTGGGACGAGGCAGAAATAGAGGTTGCGGAGGCTGCGCTTGCGGTACCAGGGCACGGTGTCCAAGCCCAGCAGGTAGTTGACCTGGGAACGCTCCGCGAGGTCTGCAGCGGTGTCTTTGGTCGCCATATCCGCTTTTAAGGTATCTCGAACTGACGTTGGAGACTATTGGAATGGCTTCTCCTGGCTTTATAGCCAAGCTGATCTGGTGGAGAACATTTGCAACCAGAGTGGGTCCGTCGCACAAACCTGATTTAGCCGGCGATATGAAGACATACTGCGGGGGTCTTGAAGGTCAGCTGAAGCTTAATTCCGGTTGAATCGACTTCTCGTACTCCCCAGATTCGAATTTCTCGGTACGAAATAAAGTCACATTGGCGCGCGACCCCACACACTACACCTCGGCAGAGAGTGCTCCGTGCGCCTCCAAGTCTTTCATTCTTTTCCGGCGCCGCAGCGGAGACGTATAACCAGGATGTGGGGTCAATGAGGAGGCACTTGCGTCATCAAGGATTTGAGTAAAGAGCTTCAGGCAACGATTGTCCGGTTAAACGTCTGGACCGGCGACCGTAGAGTATACTCGCTCGCCCCGCAGGCTATTTGGCCGGCTAATGGATTCCATATCGCTATCGATCCGGTTAGTACAGGCGCTGCTGGGGTCATGATTGAATCATATAAGAGCTCAGTCGTGCTCGGCGATGACTTCCTCAGCACAACGGCCGTCAACAACCAACATTCGCCATGTCACCTTCAGCTCTCAAACCTCGATTCCTTCGCGTGGAGGGGACCGATATCGTGAACAGCGATGGAGAACGCGTGATCCTCAAAGGAGTATGCCAACTCCTCCTCTTGGCGTTGATCTAGGCTGATAGTAACAAAAGGTAGCAACCGGTGGACACCTCAACATGGAGAACTTCATCACTGGATATCCCGGTCATGAACATGAACTTCGTGTCGCGATGCTCGAAGTCCTTGGCCAAGAAAAGTACGACTTCTTCTTCGACAAGTTCCTGGAGTACTTCTTTACCTCCTCTGATGCCAAGTTTCTAAAGTCCCTCGGCATGAACTGTCTTCGCATTCCGATCAACCACCGCCACTTTATGGACGACCGCAACCCGGGCGTGATCAAGGCGTCCGGTTTCAAGCTCGTTGATCGCATCGTGGACGCTTGTGCGGCTGAAGGTATCTATACCGTCCTTGACTTGCATACTTGCCCTGGTGGGCAAAATCAAGGCTGGCACTCCGACTCTGGGATCCACAAAGCCCTCTTCTGGGAGTTCAAGGACTTCCAAGACAGAGTTATCCAGCTGTGGACGGCGCTCGCTAAGCATTATGCTGACAACACTTGGATCGCTGGATACAACCCCATGAATGAACCTGGTGATCCGAAGCATTCTGATCTCCAGGAGTTCTATACTCGTGTGGAGAAGGCAATCCGCGAAGTTGATCCCAACCATATGCTATTCCTCGATGGTAACACCTACGCCATGGATTTTAGCGGCTTCGAGAAGGTGCTTCCTAACACCGTCTACGCCATTCATGACTACTCCAACATGGGTTTCCCTATGGGAGATGCGTACAAGGGGACTTCGGCGCAGAAGGAAATGCTGCAGAAACAGTTCGACCGCAAAGTTGAGTTCATGCACGAACACAAAGTAGCCGTATGGAATGGCGAATTTGGCCCGGTGTATGCCAGTCCAGAGGACGATAAGAACTTCGAGGAGATCAACCAACAGCGGTACGACCTTCTCGGCCAACAGCTATCCGTTTACCGGAAGGAGAATGTAAGCTGGAGTATTTGGACGTACAAGGACATTGGTTTCCAGGGCATGGTTTACACCGACCCCGGTTCACCTTACATCCGCCTTCTTAAGCCTCTTCTCGAGAAGAAGAAGAGGATGGGTCTCGATAAGTGGGGCAGAAACGACAAGTTCGTTGCTGATATCTATGAACCTGTGATGAAGCATCTGGAAGCCGAGATTCCGGATCATCTTCACAAGATCAGGTATCCGCACCACTGGGGTCTCCGCGTGCATGCTCACCGCGTTCTGCGGGAGATGCTGGTGTCGGAATACTTGGTTCAAGAATTTGCAGAGTACTTCAAAGACAAGTCTTTTGATGAGTTGGATGAACTCGCGGCTTCGTTCAGGTTGGAGAAATGTGTGAAGCGTGATGGTCTCAATAAAATCCTGGAGGCGGATGCAGAAATGACCAAGTGAATGTGCTGATGCTGGTTGTCTTGTGCGTGTATAGACAATTCTTTCTTTTTGTCGTATTGTCGATAGTGGGTATCACATATTTTTCTTCCTTCCCTAACCGACGCCTTACCTCCCCTCGATGATCCTCACAACATCCATCAAGGAACTCGCTGAAGTAGCCTCATAATCTTCTCCTCGCTGCATCCATATTGATCTCCATCCGGCAGTCCTTGCACCCTCGATGTCTTGCTCCTTGTCATCTCCGACATGGATGCACTCTGCCGGTACGATGTCTGTATCTCTCGTTCCTTCCATCACTGGTCGCACTTCATTTGCCTTATTCAAAGCAGCTTCGAAGATCGCTCCATGTGGCTTTTCATGGCCGACATCGTAAGATAGTGTCGTCAGGGCGAAGTATTTCGAAATACCGAGTGAGTCGAGGACGAGTGGGATTCGTGGATCGGAATTTGACATGACCCCGAGAACGACGAACGGATGTTCGCGGTGAAGGTACTTGAGAAGCGGCAGTGTATCGGTGTGTAACTTGTACCCCTCCGAGGACGAAAAACGGTGTAGAAGATCATGACCAAGTGCAACTGGCGGTTCCTTGCCATTCGCGTGAACGAACGTTCGATGGATCAACTCGTGCCACCATCCCTGCCATCCTCTCCAATCCTCGGATAATCCTGATTCGTCCTGACCGCGTCCATAATTGGGCCGTCGCTTGATAACGTGCTTGAAGGCAGTCTTGAAATGAGGCTTGAGTTCATCGGCGGAGATGTTGATGCCGTGCCTTTGAGCAGCCAAGGCGTATTGCTGCTGGATGGCAGGATAAGGATAGAAGAGGGTACCGAATGCATCGAAGGTGATTAGGCGAACGGGTGGGGGTCTGTGTCTGAAAGGAGATGGCATTTTGGGTGGTTTGCCGAGGCAATTGGAAATCCTTGGGGAGGCCCGAGGATCGAGGTGGGGGTGTGCGCAGTCTGTTGCTCAAGCGCGAGTCTACGTTACACGCACGTACGGCCTCAATTCACATTGCAAATGGCATCCCAGAATATCCAATCAATCGATCTATCGTCTCTTCCTTTCACATTTACCGAGCGGATCTTTCAACCAGTATTCTCTTTCACTCCTATCAGGAAGCTCATCCAGCTCCTCTACATCTGCAGCACCTCCTCTCTCGTCGCCTTGGCCATCGGCCTCAAGGCTCTCGGACTTCTCAGCGGTACTCCGCCACTTACTTCAGATGAGAAGGAGCGGGGACTACATCTTCTTGGACGTGACCAGACATATGGCCGACACGAGTTCGTCTCAACACCTGACGGTCAAAAGTTACACGTCGTCATTGCTGGACCAGAAGATGCGAAGGATACAATTCTTCTGATACATGGCTTTCCAGGTGCGTTCATGAGTCTTCCACAGTGGAGATCATATACTGACCCTGACAATCAGAATGCTGGTACATGTGGAGGACGACAATGCCTTGGCTTGTTGAACAAGGATATCGCGTGTGCGCAGTGAACATGGTACGAAATCTCGGTAAGCATTCGGAATTCAACTAACTAGCTTTATAGCGAGGCTATGCGCTCAGCTCCAAACCCGAAGGGTTCAAAGCGTATGAAGTACAACATCTCGTGAATGATATGGTCGCCGTTGTTGATTATCTCAACACGCCCAGGACACACGTCGTCGCACATGATTGGGGAGGTATCGTTGCATGGACCCTCCTTCACCAGCATCCCACTCGCATACAATCACTCACTATCATCAACTCACCACATCCACTCTGTTTCCGAAGAAACACGACTCCAAGCCAGTTGCTACGCTCATGGTACATCTACTCATTCCAGCCGCCATACCTGGCAGAGAAGCTCATGGTGGACTATTCATTTGACTTTGTGGAGGATAAGGATGCAAGGTTAGTATATCGGTCGAATGTCACGGATGAAGGCACGTTGACGGCAATGGTAAATTACTACCGAGCCTTTGCGCGAGGTAGAGAGATCAGGTTGCCGGAGTTGGGTGTCAATGGGCAGCGCGTGCCTCCCGTCATGGTGATTTGGGTGAGTCGACACCCTATCTGAGTGATGAGAGTGCTGATCAATGCGAACAGGGCGAAAACGACACGGCATTGGGATTGAAAGAGTCGTTGGCTGGCGTCGAGAAGTCCGTCGAAGGCGTCCAGGTACGACAGGTGAAGGGTCGCTCGCACTGGATCGTCGAGGAGGAAGACGGGAGATATGTTAAGGAAGTACTTGATCCATGGTTGAAGGAACATCACCGTTGAATTACTCTACTTATTTTTGCTTTCGATACCCCGAATATGCCTGTGGCGCAGTGACTGCGGCGAGACCCCCCTGCGCTGCGCGGCTGCAATTTGGTGAAGCACAGCGAGGAGCGAAGAGAGTCCGTGTCCCGCCAACAAACTCGTCAAAATGGTCGCTGAGTCCCGTAACCGCCGTATGTATTATCTGTGAGCTTTGGAGAGGCGATTACTGTCGATTTGAGGCCGATTTCGACCGGGATCATGGATGGATGTGTCGACGGAATTTTCGGTGCTCGACGGTGAAATACGGCCAAACTGGAACAGAACACCATGGAGATCGATTCGGCAAGACAGTGTGATACGAAGAATGCAAAAATTGCCGTTTCAAAGGGTCAGCGACGGCTTCTACCTCGAATTTGCGACATTGTTCACTTTCACCACCTCCCATACGCACCTCCTACATCCTGGTCCTCGGTCACATCATCTGCAGCAATCCCCTCTTCAAAGTCATGTTCCATGATGGCAGATGACTAACATGAATCACAGTCTACGTCAAGGGTCGTCACCTTTCTTACCAGCGTGGTAAGCGTAACACCAACCCTGACGTCTCCCTCATCAAGATCGAGGGTTGCGACACCAAGGAGGAGTCTCAGTTCTACCTCGGTAAGAGGATCGCCTACGTCTACAAGGCCAAGACCGAGATTAGGGGTACCAAGATCAGGGTTATCTGGGGGTGAGTTATACAGAGTGCTTGTTTGTGAATGGGTGTGCTGCAAAGGTTGAGCTGTGATCTGCGTCCTTTCGGTGATATCGTGGAGACGCTGCGAACCTGGTGTCATGAAATTGCGGACGACCATCTCACGGCTCAGCTCACAAGCAGCACACGCATTGCATCAAGTGCTTCTTCGCATCCGGAACAATGGCTAACAAGATAACAGTCGCGTCACCCGTCCTCACGGTAACTCCGGTCTCGTCCGTGCCAAGTTCAGGAACAACCTCCCTCCCCGTACTTTCGGTGCCTCTGTTCGCGTGATGTTGTACCCTTCTTCCATCTAAGCGACCAGTCAGGCGTTTAGTTCGGGATGATTGACAGCGGGTGGTGGATGTCTTTTTCATTTATCAGAAATTCACTTTTTTGACAGCGTTCGCCCACCCGCGGTGTTTCAGGTTTTCGATGATCAATGGCGTTTTCTTCCGGGCAAAGTACTTTGGGATACGGGGTTTCCGCTGGTCAGCAGGAATTGACGATAGATGTGAAAAACATGTCCTTTTGGCGGCCAAACCTTGTCCTTGTCCATCATTCTGCTTTGCTCTGTGTACGCGCGAGGCCGGTCCTGCCGTTGACACGAGTCCATCCATCTGCTCGAAGCATAACAACACGAATTCAAACATAGATTTACAAATGCGTTTTTCCCGTACTTTATCTCCCCATGGTGTAGATCACGTGTAAGTGTAAGGTGCTTGGCCCCCGACGTCGAGCAGCATCACCGAGGACAACTACACCACCAGGGCAGCAGGAATCACCGGTATCGTCATGGACGCTTTGGAAGCCATTCGCGAGGCTATCCCCTCGGGAGTAACTCCAACACTCCTGCCAGAAGGTGCGCCTGTCACCTCTGCTACAGATATCAGCCTGGGGCCCGACACCACCTTTCCGCTGACTGCGGCTACACGGTATCGCTCAAAGTCTGGTGAGCCATTCGACCTGCGCGCAGTCTGGTATGCATATGTCTGCAAAGATCTTGGTACTACAGAGTATATCCAAGGATGTTCGGAGTCAGATATTCGCAACCTAAACTTGTTTGAGAGGAAAGAGTTGGTTGGGTATCTGGATGGCAGTTTGGACGGGAGTGCGGTGGAAGGCTTACAAGACGGTTCATCAAAGGCAGAAGCACCGGCAGATCAGGACACCACTACAGCGGAAGCTTCCACCACATCAAACAATACAGCAGGCTCTGCCATGGAACCTATACCTCGCGACCACGAACGAGTTCTTACCAATCACAACCTCATCCTCCGTGGGACCAAACGCATAGATTTCTTTACCGGCATCGGTGACTACACCCAAGTTCTCAAGAAACCCAAGACATCATCTACGAATGGCGCTGCAGGAGGTAAGCCGGGCTCAGGTAATGCTTCTGCGGGTGCACCAAAACAACCGGTATCACGCAACAAGCAACCCATTATTATCATTCCATCATCGCCTTCTTCGCTGTTGACGATGCATAACATCAAGAGGTTCTTGGAGGAGGGTGTGTTTGTGCCACCAGAGGAGGCGGCACGAGAGAAGGGAGGTGATAGGGCGCCAGATCACATTAACGTCGTGCATCAGGGGATCAGGCTCAAGGGCAGACACGGAGAAGAGCGCATCAAGTTCTTGGTCGTTGACAGCGTGGAGAAATTCAAACCGGAGTACTGGGACCGTGTCGTCGCAGTCTTCACCACCGGCCAAAAATGGCAATTCGGTTCATACAGATGGACGGAACCCACACCGTTGTTCCAGAATACGCAGGGGTTGTGGGTTGCGTACTCGAATCAGCCGAATGACAATGTGAAGGCGTGGAATGTGAAGCAGTTTAGGTTGGATCAGAACAGGAGACATGGGGATCGTCAAGTTCAGCAGGCGCTTTGGAATACGATTGAGGGGTGGATGATTTCAAAGGGGTGGAATAAGTGAGAGTAATGACAAATATGGATTGAATGACGGATAAGATATTACGGACATCTCGGGATAGTATGATGTGCATGTGCGGGTGGTCCCATAGGAGCACACAAGGTCAAGCGTCGGCTATTCAGGGCTTTGACGGCTGATTAAAATCACTATTTGGAATGAATAAAACAGATGTTAAACTTCCGTCTCGTTCGTCTGCAGCCTTGTAATTTCAATGTACGTTTCATCCCAAGTTTGGTGTGAAGGTCGTGTGAGTTTCGGGGGTTGGACCTTCGCGTCGCTGTTTGCCTTGAATCGACCCAACTCACAACACCGCCCCCAAGTCCTAATCATCATACGACACCTATTCTCCCTTTTCTTGCCCTGCGTGACGACTTTGTCGTCCTTGCTATATTTATCATGTCCTGTCTGGTTGCTCCGCTTGATTCCGCACTCTGTCTGTTCACCGTGCCCGTGGGGGCACCTCCCAGGGATCCTAAACTCTCAAGGAGCAAGACTCGCCCGCAGCATTCGCCTGGTAGGAGAGAAATCAAGAATGCGAACGCCAGACGTCAGGAAGAATTGGAGCAATATATGCGTGGGAGGGCAGCAAAGGGGGGTGGGCAAACGCTCGATTATGAGACGGAGGTGAGCAAACACAACCTATGTATGCGTCTCGAGAGAAGTATTGCGGCCTAATCAAGAGCCTACAGAAGCAGGTGATCCCTGGAAGACGCCGCTCCGATGATTTGGTATGTGGCATGGCCGAGGGCAGAGCATACACACGGTCCTATATTAAAGTGCTGATGGACATGTGCCTATCCCCTCTTCTGGTTGCTAATGATGTTTCAAAAGGAGTCGGTACAATCCGAACGGACCCGAATTCGGTCTCCGAGACGCCTTTCCGACCTTCCACCCCGCAAGATGCTCGATGTACCCGCCGCCGTCGAGGAGGATGTCGAGGAGAAGGTCTCGGCTTTCGACCTTACGCCCCTGACAAGCAAGGGTCACAACCGTAATGCCTCCTCTATGTCTTTCATTCGTATCACTGAGTGGTTGCGTGGGAGCAAGTTGCGCGTTACTTGGGCTAGCTATGCTACGGTTGGGATGGTCGAAGGTGGCGTGACAGCAGCCAAGAAGAAGGTCGGTGGTACATTCAGAACACATGTGTCTAGGAAGAAGAGGCTTGAGGGAAGGGCAGACAAGCTCTATGCTACGTTTGAGAGTTGAACAACGTGAGTGGGAGTGGGCTTGATGACATGAATGACTATAATGGTTTTTAGGCAGAGGTTAGCTGTACGAATATATTGATTGATGGTCAAAACTGCTAAGAATATGGCTCAGCGGCATTCATAAACTTACGCACGGGAGAGAACCGCCCTTCATGTCTGAGCTTACGCCTTCCTAGCCAAAATCTCCGCAATCGAAGCGAGTTTGGCGATAGTCGCCTGGTGTTTCTCGGCCTATGGACGTGTCAGCATGGCTTTTTACTCCAATAACAAGGAAGCCTTACACGTTGACGATAGAAATCCTTGTACCCGCTCTCACGTTTCTCCCTGAGCGCCAACTCAGAATCCCTCACCTCCCTCTGGGCAACATCCCTCTTCTCACGCTCACACCTATCATCTTGATCCTGCCCGCGCTCCATAGTGAGGCGCTGAGCTTCGAGCTGCTGGTGAGCATCGAGATCTTGGATCAGGGCGTCGACGATCTTGGAGAGGACGGAGTTGGTGGAGGGCTCTTGAGGACTAGCCGGAATAATGGGCTGGACGTTGACCGCAGAGGGGACTGTGCTGTTATCTTCAGACTCGATGTCGCTGATGACTTCAACGTCGTACTGAACAGAGGATCAGCAAGTGTCATGGAAACGAAGAGTCAGGGTTCTAACCGTGGACATGCCGGCCAAGGTCGTTTGATTTCTTGGGAGTTGGGCTGTGTTGCAAGACCCAGGCAGCGGTCAGAAGTGACGGGGATTGATTGTCAGCAGTGACGTTCATTCACAGGCATGAACGATAAGGCGCGCACCCCGGCCCGCCCGGGTCGGCTGGCAACGTGTACGTGTGCTGTCCCGTGCTGTTCTCATGAGATGGAAGAGAATGAATGGTCAGTCTCAGCTGCTTGCAAGCTTCGTGAGTCCCTCTGTTCACGTCCATCGGGCCCGTACACTAGACCCGCGTTGGACTGCCGACGACAACATTGAGAAGCGTGCGCGTCCATCCATCCAGCGTCCATGGATACACCCGTGTCTAAGAGCTTAAAGAGAATGCACGTTGCTACGAGTACTGGCATTACACCGAGCAAGTCTCCGCGCCGGTTGTTTTCCGATATTTCGCGTTCGGATCCTTTGGAAGCGGATGTCTCTCAGGGCACGGTCGCTTCTCAATTGCCGCACCTTGAGTATGAAGACGCGTTGGAGGAGGAGAAGGCTATGCTGCTGCGCCAGTTGCGTGCCATTCGTGCCGAGATGGATGGTCTGAAGAACGAGCTTGCCCGGGTGGAGAGGGATGCGGAGGAGAGGAACAAGGATACAGGAATTGACAATCTTATGTACGTTATGTCGTACCTTCTGGAACCAGAGATACTGACATTTTGTACAGCGCTCAGCTATTGACATCCAACAATGCAACCGTCAGCCTTCCTACGCCAGCTCCCTCACCTTCCTCGACTACAGCCATCCCATCAGCTCGTCCCATTCTCGAATCAACGCAATCGCTACACAATATACAATTCGTCAAGTTTAGTTCCTCGGTAATCTCCACGAATCGCCGTAAACATGAGTTCGCGGGTCACGCCAGTAGCAAAACTGTTTGGTTTTCCGTTGCGATGACGGTGAACGAGGAGAACTACTCGGTGCTTGATCTGAACATCAAGATGTCGCCTTGGGCACGTGCAGAGATTGGGGAATACATTGATCGATGTTGCGAGGGGGGGAACGTTTCGAATGCGTTGTACGCAATTGCATCTTACGCGCATCTGGCCCAAAGACGATTGACGGTGTTCAACTCCGTCTACGACAAACTATGCGATCAGAAGCTAGTAAGCGCAAATAATGATATGATGAGACCAGTTCTGGGCACACCAATCTTACGCATCATCGGTCAGCCGGATATCGTCCTATCGTGGCACATCGACGCGGATACCCGTACAGGTGATGCTCGGTCGTCGATTACAGCAGATATCAGAGTACCTGAGGCATGGGAACGAGCAGACAACGGGAAGGATACGCTAAGGCAGTTTGGAGGTGTGTTTGAGCGATTGGTGGATAAGAGGGGGTTCGAGAAGGCTGCTGTGGCTGTCGTTGGGGTGTTTGGAGGTGCAGAAGAGGCAGTGCAAGGAGGGACGAAAGAGTAGGCATACTCCGAATACTACGTGTTGAGGGTCAAGGTAGATAAAACGGAACAAAAAGTGATTCCGCCCGGGATCGAACCGGGGACCTGCGCCGTGTTAAGGCGCCGCCATAACCAACTAGACCACGGAACCTGTTGGATGTCTTTGATCATCGCTCTAAAATAATATAGGTTGGTGTTTGGGCATGAACGTCAGCTGCGGCGACGAACTTTGAGTACGACCTGGCGGGTGATGGGTTTGCTTGGGACGAGAGGACGGGTCTGGGTATCGGAGTGCGAAACAGCTACGGAAATGGAGTTGCTAGAACGAAATACACAACAACAATGAGGGGGGGTGTAAGGGAGTCTGTCCTCCCCCAAATCGCGATGCAGGGGCTGCATATAGGTCGAAATGGACGGCAAGCATTCGATAGGCCAACAGTCGAGAGCATTCATTCAATAACCTCCAAGATGTTTTCATTCACAAGAGTACTCCGCAACGCAGAACACATCGCTACCACCGGCATTACCGGTCTTGCAGCTGTCGCCAAACCCCGCCCTGTCCTGCTCGAACACTACAAGAACACCCTCGCCGCCCTCTCCGAGCTGCCATCGCATGCCGTCTACAGACAAGCCACTGAGGCCCTGACAAAGCACCGTCAGAGTATCGTTGAGGCTACCGAGAGTGCCGACGAGATCGAGCAGAAGATTGGTGCTGGTTTGATTGAGGAGGTTATTCTTCAGGCGGAGACTGAGCTAAGCCTTGCTAAGAAGATGAAGGAGTGGAAGCCGTGCGTGTCGTCTTCATTATTGCGTGTCGTCAGAGTGCTAACATATCCTGCAGATGGGAGGCTCTGGAGGAGCCAGCACCGAAGGGTCAGTGGGAGTACTTTGAGAAGAAGTAAGATGGACAAAAGCGAAGCATGTGCAGAAGAATATAAGATAGGACGTGGAATTAATATCAGAATCGCCTCATGTTCTCCTCGCCGCCCAAAGCATGATATGACGTTTGGATGAGACTTGCGCCTGAAACGGCTGGTTTGTCACCACTGGCTTCCCAGAAGAAAGCGCCGCCAAGTCCTTCTTGTCTGATCCAGTCGCATTTCCTTTGAGTTGTGACGGGAATGTCATAGCTCATCCACTCGCCCTTTGCGCCATCATAACTTCCTCCAGCGCAGCACGGTTCGTCGTGCCACTCGTATGCACCATCCAACGGGAGTTTGTTGTACGGAAAAGTGCCCTCTTCGCCACTGCACGAACTGTATTTCTGTGCAGGACCAGTGACACCTAGGAAGGCACGGCTGTAAAGCGGTAAACCGAGCACAAGCTTGTGTGCGGGAACGCCCTTCCGTTTCATATAAGCAACGCCCTGTGATCCACTCGCCTCTTTATCCGAATGACTGTGTAACTGTGCGTGATGTCCCGATTGTGGGGCCCATGGACCACTCATGTCGTATGCCATGACGTTAATGTAGTCGAGTATACCCCGGGCTTCATCTAGAGGAATATGTTGTAGTGCCCACTGGCCGATTGGTAAAGCGGTAGTGAGCAGGTAGTCAGGCGTTGGTAACACCTCTCGCAGAGCTTTCAAGAGGTTGATGTAGGCTCGGCCTTCCTCGGCGTTGGACGGGTGTTCCCAGTCCACGTCTATGCCGTCCAGTGACCATCGATCCACCAACTCCCGCGCTGACCGTACCAGATTCTGCACCATGCTGGTGTTTCTGCACACTGCAGCGAAAGGGCTGCTGCCTTCACCTCCTCCACCCAGACTGAGGATCACCTTCAAGTGAGGATATTGCTGCTTCAGCCGTTGAAACGAGCCAAGACAACCCCCATCCGCTCCATCAACATTCATCTGGACATCGGCCCCCTCATCACTCAGATATACACTACCATCCTCCGGTCGAATCCGTACAAATGCATAGAACACATGTGTGATCTTCGACAGATCAAGTGAGGCTGGGGTGCAGCCCTTATACACTGTCCAGTTGGCGTAGTAGATCGCGTTTATGTATGGTCGATCGACTTTTGGTTTTGTTCTGAAAGGGATCGGAGGGGCGGCTCGTTTGAAGAAGGACATGTTTGGAAGGATGGTGGTGGAATGGGGAGTTTGTTGAGACCGAGGGGACGTGTGGGGCTGTGTACGTCAACGTCACGGGTACAACCCTTTGTCAGGATGCGTGTTAACTGCCATATATGCATTGTCGGTAGACATTGTGCTCCATGAAAAGTGAATGAGAAACGAGTTTGGGTTAGTAGGTTCCAGGTCTTCTAAGGAGTAGCAGAACCGGACGTGCCCAGCGAGGTACCGGTGTTAACACTTGCTCGGCACTTAGGTCAGTTGTCAAGCGGTTACGACTGTGAGCAGGAAGGCTTGAGGGTCGTGAAGCCTTATACTGGACGAACACGGCTCATAGTAACCTCATCCACCTTAACGGACAGCGCGAATATACAATGTAAATGGAATATCAACCCAGACTGCTCGTGACAGACACCGTATGAAGTTCGTCAGGGTAACAGGTTGAGACTCCTCTTACAAAAATCAGCCTCAGACCCGCAACAGGTGACTAGGAGTCATCTACAATGAAAGTCACCCAGGTGACCCCGATGTTCTCACGGGCATGAATCCGTTATTGTATTACAAAAAACCAAAATCTCTTCATCCATCAGGTTCCGTGGTCTAGTTGGTTATGGCGGCGCCTTAACACGGCGCAGGTCCCCGGTTCGATCCCGGGCGGAATCACTTTCTTTTGCGTTTTGTCGTCATGAACCACCCTTTTGCCTCTCTGAGCCGTCATGGATTGTCTCTTCGAAAGACCTTCCAAATACAGCAATTGCGAGATCTATCCGAACTTCTTTTCGTCGGAGGCTAGAACCGAATCGTTTTACGTCAGTGTGCAGGACGAGAAACACCAAAGTCCCGATTGCCCAGCGCGCTTGAGGTGTTTGCGACGGCGACCGTTCCCTGGAAGTGAAGCTTAATCTACAGGGACTGTATGCCAATGGATCATGGACCATAAGTTACTGAATGATGATGACTATGTCGAGATACAACAATTCCTCGGCGCCGTCAATGTCCGACCAGTGCGCTTCGAGTTGTCACCGCGCCGCGTCAAGTCGATCACCGGCTCGTCGACGCCCCAGGATATGTCAATCAAGTCATGGCAAGCCGATATAGAGGAGGAACCTGATACGGAATGCTTTTTGAAGATGTGCGATCCGCAAGACTCGCGATCTGTTAGTCGCCTGCAGCGCGAATATTCTGTTCTTGGTCAGTTGAACGTCGCGGGCATGAAAAACATTTTCAAGCCTCGGGATACACAAGTTCTCAGCTGCGGCTTCTTTTGCGAGTTGACCAGCGAATACCTCAAAGCAGGTTCCGATCTGTGTACTCTAGGGCAATTATTCGAGACTGATCTGCTGGACTACTCATCGCCAACCTCCATCGACTACCTTCTCTCCATCGCCATTGAGATCGTTGAACTACTCAAGAACCTACACAATCACTCCGTGCGCCACGGAAATATCTCTCCGGAATGTATCTACTGCATCAAGCAACCTCATGAACGGGGACAATACCCACCTAAACTACCTATCATGATCTTGGACGACTTTGCAAGCGCTACATTATTTGAAGAACATACTATAGGCACAGTTAACGCCGAAAGCGTACCTCTGCCGGTCACTGGAGAGACTCATCTGGCTTACATAGCACCCGAACTTACCGGTCACTTCAATCGGCCAGTCGATCACCGAAGTGATCTCTACTCACTGGGGATTTTTCTATACGAGCTTTTCACACGGGTATTGCCGTTCTCTGGGGATGATGCCCTTAATATCATGCACGGGCACCTCAGCCGCTATCCTGATCCTCCGTCAAAGTTGAACAAAGCTCTGCCTAAAGACATTGACCGCATTGTTTTAAAATTACTTCGAAAATCGCCAGATGACCGTTATCAATCCGCCGCCAGTCTACTTTACGATCTCAACTGCGTGCGAGATTTCCTCCGCGCGGAATCGTACGAGAACGCAAGAAAGGCAAAGGATTTCGAAGCTGGGAGAGTTGACGCTATGGCACGGTTCGAGATACCTCAGGGTATATACGGGAGAGAAAAGGAACTTGCAGCACTGTTTGGTGCTTACGCACGAGTTTCACAAACGGAGAAGAGCGAGCACGTATCCATTCAGGGCTACAGCGGAATGGGCAAATCGAGACTACTGCGCGAAGTCCAACTTATGTGCGGTCGAAAGGGATCCATCTATATGCTGTCGAAATATAATCAGTATGGCCAGAATATTCCTTTCGCTGCGATCTTGAGCGGCTTATCTCATATTGTGGGTGACTTTCTGACGCTAAATCAGGCTGGTGTTGCAAAATGGCGAGGTACTCTAAGAGAAGTCGTTGGAGATGAAGCCAGGGTGATTACGGATTTGATCCCTGATCTGGAGATCTTGCTCGGGCCGGACTGGGTTACTACACGACCACCACTGCCAGAGCTAGGGCCGTCCAGTTCTCAACAGCGCTTCAAACGTGTTCTAAAGTCGATGCTGACGCGGTTTGGAGAAATCGGGCGACCTTTCGTGATCTTCATTGATGACGTCCAATGGGCATCTGACGCTGATTTGCAACTGATTGCCAGTCTTTTTTCCAAGGTCGAAAATTCACCTATGGCAAACGTTTATCTTCTCACCGCGTTCAGAGATAATGAGGTTGACGAGAAGCATGTCGTGAATAGTGTTTTGCTGAAAAGCCTCACCCCAGACACGCGATTGACAATCCTCCCTGTTGCCTTCGAGGCTGCGAGTAACTTCATCTCTGATACCCTACACAGATCACGGTTATCGGAACTAAGGCCTGAGTGTCCGGAATATGAGGAGATTGAAGCATTGTGCTCTGCTATTCAGAGAAAGACTCTGGGAAATATTCTGTTCATTGCACAAACCCTCAAGAGAATATACGAGCAAGACGGATTCAAGTTTGACTTTCAGGCGCTCAAGTGGACCTGGGTTCCGGACGTCGTGTCCAATGTAGCCATCCCTGCAGATGTTGCTGCTCTTGTCATTTCGAGGATTGAGTCGCTCGGTCAAACTAAGGTCGTGCTGAAGGTTGCTGCGTGCCTTGGTGTCGACTTTGACATCACTATTCTCGCGAAAGCCATGGCGGTGGATGAAGATGAAGCCCGTAGAAGACTTTGGCCGGGCATTGAAGCAGGGCTTATCGAGCGAGCGTCGACTATGTCATCGCATGTCAGACGGCACAGGAGAATCACAGACAGTAGCGGACAACAAACTTCGAGTACTAACGAGGATACATCCGCAGAAGATTCATTCGGGGCATCGTCCAACACCCTGAATGTGCCCATGGATGTCGCCGTTGTCGGCGATGACAAAGAGAATACTGGTGCAGAGAGGTTTCATTTCTTTCACGATCGAGCCCAACAAGCGGCATACGCTCTGATTCCTGACACTGAGAAGTCTGCCTTCCATTTGGAGATTGGAAGGCATCTCCAGAAACAGCTGACGGCAGCGCAAATGGATATCTACTTGTTTGTACTCTGTACACATTTAAATTTCGGGTCACAGTTAATGACGGAATCACAAGAGCGCGCGCAGCTCTTGCAGTACAATATTCGCGCTGCTCGAAGAGCATATAAAGGCACCGCGTTCTTTGCTGGCCTGCAGTTCATCCAAACTGCCGTCGATCTCCTTCCCGCGGACGGTTGGCAGTCACATTACTGTTTGGCAGTAGACGCGTATTTTGCTCTAGCTGATATGACATTCAGTCTGGCAAGATATGATGAAGTCCGGGATATTTTGGACGAACTGAACGGTCGTATAGCGAGTGGCTGCAACAAAGACCGGTTGCAACTCTTGGCTCGTCGCTCAGCAGTGTGTATTGCCATGGGTGACTTCCCAAAGGCACTAGAAGCGCTAGGCTCTGCATTGACGCTAAACGGCTACTTCTTCTCAACACATGAAGAAACTCGGATTGAAGAGGAGATTTCAGAGTTATGGAAGCAGTGTCCAGCGACAGTCGATGGCGTACATGCTTTGCGTGAACTCCCCGTTATGGAAGACCCGATAATTCTGGCCCTCTTAGATGTCTTAGTATCTACGATCCCTGCTCTCTGGCATGGGCATCCCCTTTCGATGACCTTGGCCATGCTCACTGCTTTAGCCATCTTCCGCAAGCATGGAAACAATGCTGCCGGTACTGCTTGTTACTCATTGCTGGGGCTTTTAATGTGCGCACCAACCTGCACGAACTACTCGATTGCATTGGGCAATGCCTTTGGGGATGTATCAGAGGCTGTGCTGCAAGCTGTACCCGATGTGCCTGATGCTGAGTCTACTCATGTAATCAAAGGTTGCTTGCGTTACTGGGTGCAAGACTGGAAGGCGATCAGGGATTTCGATGTCGCGGCTGATCTGGCGGAACAGGCGTACAATGGTCCTTACCTCGCGTATGCCTGCGTGGATGGTGCATTGGGGCTGCTTTTCAGTGGAGTGCCGCTTGATGAAGTCGAACGGAACCTTAGCAGAGTCGTTGACAAAGTCAGGGTTCACCGTCAAGATATTGCCGACCTTTGGGTAGGCCCAACGCTGCAGATGATGCGTAATCTGAGCTCCAAAGTGAACGAAACGGATACGGATAGCATCTGTATGCTCAAAGGTGACGCATTTGATGAGGATGTTGGACTCCCGAAAATGGTCAACTCGGGTTACATGTCACACCAATTCCTCTTCTGGACAATGAAGATGCTGATAGCGTCCCTGATAAAGAACACGAATCGGGTACAGGAAGCATATGAAAACTGTCTGAAGCTCAAGTCCTCGGCTTTGGGGCTGGTACCCCATGTGCCTTTTGTTCATTATTCAACTTGGCACATTCTGGATCAGAACCCCATGTTATCTCCAGAACAGTTGGCTACCGTTGAAGAGAATGTGAAAATGTTCAACGATTGGGCGGAGCACAACCCCGTCAGTATGTGCGGTAGAAAGCTCTGCCTGGAGGCGGACGTACTTGCCCATCGCGGTCAGTATCTTTCAGCTCTCGATGTGTACGACCAAGCCATTGTGCATGCGAAACACAACAATCACATTCAGTTGGTAGCTTTGGTCAACGAACGTTGCGGTGATATGCTCACACGGCGTAGGCATACCAAGCTTGGTTGGGGTTATCTTGCGGAAGCCTACGAGTACTTCGTCAAGTGGGGCTGTCTACCCAAGGCCAGAAGATTACTCGATGAGCACCCAGAGCTTCGCCTGTTCAGTTCTCCTCACCCCAGCATTCCCGTTCATTTGCCGCCTCTAACAGCTATTGATGCAACCGGCAACAAGGGAGTTTTGCAGAAAGGCACTGCGAATCACGAGGATCTGTTCGTACAAGTGAATGCGAAGGCTCCATTCAACGCCGTTGAAGAACCTTCGGATTCGATTTCTCCCACCCAGTTAGACCTACTCGCGTACTTCCGAGCAGCATTGGCTATAGCCAAAGAACCAAAGCTCGAGAAAGTAATCGAGAAGATTCTCAGAATTTTGATTCAGGTTAGTGGGAGCGACTACTGCGCTTTAGTTCAGCCAAGGGATGGTGAGCTTCACGTTGTTGCTACTGGGGACGCATCCTCCACAGCTATCCATCAGGATCGCCTCGCCTGTACCGGTGACCTTGTCCCTCCGTCTGTCGTGAACTACGTATCCAGGACGCAGAACATGGTGTTTAAGACTTTGGAAGATTACCAAGAGACGGACGACGCCTATATTTCAAAATTGCTTCCAGACAAATGCAAATCCTTGATGGGAATACCGCTGGTGAGTCAGGGAGCTTTCACTGGCCTTGTGTACTTGCAAAATGATCATGTATACTCTGCGTACGGAAAGCAGCGTCTGGACTTGCTTACCACTATCGCAACCCAAGCAACGTTTGCACTTGAGAACGCCACATTGCTACATTCCATCGAAGAAGCGAACAAGCAATTACGTGAGCGTACGGCAGAGATCGAAGAGTATGCTCATGATCTCGAAGTGCGTGTGCAACAGCGGACTGAAGAATTGCACGCAAAGAACCTGCATCTCGAAGATCAAATCAGAGAAAGAGAGAGGGCCCAAGTGCTCATGAAAGAAGCCAAAGAAGCTGCAGAGGCAGCAGCTGCCGTCAAATCTCGTTTCCTGGCTACCATGTCGCACGAGATCAGGACGCCGTTTAACGCGATCCTTGGCATGGCAACCCTCCTTTGCGAGAGCGGGCTCAATCCCTCGCAGTTTGAGTATGCTGAGACGATCCGCACCTCATGTGAAGAATTGTTAAGCCTTCTCAATGACGTTCTTGATATTTCAAAAATAGAGAACGAGAAGCTTGAGCTGGAAGTCAGAGATATGTACCTCCGAGACACGATCGAAGATTCTGTGTCTACTCTGGCCCTCAGCGCTAGCAAGAAGGGTTTGGAGCTATGTTATTTCAGCCAAGTTGATGAGCTGGTGGATCCTTGTACTGGTGACCCAACGCGATTGCGACAAGTTGTCCTCAATTTGTTATCGAACGCAGTCAAATTCTGTCGCACTGGTCATGTAATTGTGCGAAGCAGTGCCGCTGTAGCCCGCACAGTGCCCGATGGACAAGTGTGGAAGGTACATATCTCAGTCGAAGATACCGGTATTGGTATAGCAGAAAATCGTCATGACAAGATATTCTCGTTGTTCTCCCAGGTGGATTCATCCATCACTCGGGTTTATGGCGGAACAGGCTTGGGACTCGCGATTTCAATGCGATTGGCTCAAATGATGAATGGCGATATCACGTTTGAATCGGTGCCAGGGCACGGATCGACTTTCCATTTCACGTTTGAAACGCATGTGTCGTTCAATCGTGCTAAGCGCGTTTTCCGGTTTAACGGGGTTGCTTATAAGCGAAGTGCTTTCGGTATTTTGAACTCTGCGTTATTGTGTGAGGAACTTGAATTGCATCTCACGGCGATGAAGATCCCCCATACATTAACTTGCGATGATTCTTACGATTTGATGGCGCTCAAGGGCAAGGTGCATCCTGTGCAATGGATATTCCTCGAGCAAGGCTCCCCTGTTCTGGAGAAATGTGCTCGAGAGTTCCCCGAAGCATCATTCATCCTCATTCGTGGCACAGCCGAAGAGGCGCCGGATCGCTCGCTATTTGACAAAATGGGAATTAACTGTTCTTTGTTGGTTCGTCCATCACAGCGACGCAAGCTGTATGAAGTCATGGGACAATCCTTGCAGTACGTCACCGCAGAGCAAAAGGGCACACAGACTGCTGAACCACTTTCCTCCTGGAGCCGCCCTACGACGCCATCTAAGAAGCTGTTTGATCCGGAGTTCGCCAAGACCACCCCTCTGCGCATCCTACTCGCCGAGGACAACTTAGTGAACGTTAAAGTTTGCCAAAAGATGACAGCAGGTCTAGGGTATGCTATCGATGTTGTGTATGATGGTCAACAAGCCATCGATAAATGTAAGGAGAAGCAGTACGATATGGTTTTGATGGATGTCAACATGCCTGTTTGTGATGGACTGACAGCGACGCGTTCGATTCTCGCATATCACAAGGATCAGCCTGATCGACAATCCCCGGTCATATGTGCTGTTACTGCGGATGTCGCTGCCGGGGCGTCTGATGCATGCATTAAGGCAGGCTGTTCGTTATATCTTACCAAACCATTAAGGGTACCGGCATTGAAAGAGGCTTTATTACGAGTGAGCGAGCGCCTGAAAGAACGGCGGCAATGATGGGCTAGGATTTCCATGTGAGCAGGGTAGTGACCATTGAGCGTGTTCGCAGCAAGTCTTGTTTGACGATGCGGAGAACATGCTGCTGGTTCGTGGGTGGATTTATTGAGTGTGAGACATTTGGATATAAGAGCAGTGCCAAGTGTTATGCCGGCTGCTTACCTATAATTGTTGGACAATGGGTCTGCATCTTGAGAATAAGTATGTAAAGTACCTACTGGTGTATTGGAGGCTTGTTTAAAGAAAAAATTCGCATATGAAAGGCAAGGCGTTGAGGATCGGCTTCGGGTTGACGGGCGGACGGGCGGACGGGATATATGATAGATACCTAGCTATACAGTGACGTTTGTATTTTTTGAATTTAAGTTCTGTTGATCATCTCAGTGACACTTCAGCTGCTACTGCTACCTCGTGAGCCATGTTCACACGCTCTAACGCATCTTGTAACAGCGATACTTGGAATTCGGAATCTTTGTCTTCACTCAACCAATCCGAGATCGCGACAAACAAAGGCTTTAACCATTTCTCCTCCATTGCTTTCAGTTGCGTTGGACTTCGAATGCCGAGTTTGTCCTCCCCACCCTTCTTCAAAAGCAGAAGATAAAGGTTTAGAGCTTGCATTAAGAAGCCAGATTTATCTTGCAATAACTGCGGACGAGAAAGGACTTCTTCATCGATTGAGAATATCACTGGTCCGATGGCTGTTAACAAAAAAGGACTTGCGAGCAATGAGCTGCCGGTCGCTTCTCCGTCAATTGCTGCCAGTATTTCATCTTTCAATATGCCGACCGTCGCAGCTCGTACAGCCTCAAAGGGGCATGACTCGAAAGTATCCATGATGTACATAAGACGAACATCCGGCCTGTGTAAATGTATGCATCTAGCCACCAAAGTGTGAGACAAGTAACGAACGTTCGAGTCTGGGGATGTAGCCGATATAGCAGCAAAAACCTGCGCAAAGGATAGTTAGCTATAGGTCACGCATATTTTTCGGACCGGACTGACGTGGATGTATTCTAGGAAGCGCTCAGGTTCGATGTCTTGCAACGCGTTCGTCGTCATCTCGATAGTAATCCAAGCTCCCAGGAACAGCAAGGCGTCAAGTGTTTCAGGGTTGACGACGTGCGCCTTTGAAAGCGCAAATGCCGCATTCATGTGTATTTCGAAATACTCTTTTAGAGACGATGGCCGTAGAGGTCGTTCGTGAAACGTACGCCATGCTAATAGGATGATTGTGCCAGTCAAAGAGAGTGGTATTGCGCTTGGTACATCGGGAACGTCGTCGTCTTGTTCTTCATCGCTGGATTCCTCAAGATATGTCTTGCCGAGTATTATGGGAAGCTCTTCCCACAATTGCTCGGGGGTTAATTGCATGACGGTACTGACTTCTCGCAGAAGACCATTTAAATCGCCGTTCACAAGCTCCACATGATCGTCCACTCCATCCGTGTGGGAAACTGAATCAAGCTTGCGAAGGCTTGGATGAGTGTGCGTTGCACGGAACCTTTCAGCCAGTTGCAAGCCTCGTTTGCTTCGAAGCACTTCATCTTCCTCATCGGTGTCCTCGTCTTTAGTGCTTGCCGTCCCATGTTCGAATGATCTTATAAAAGCCTCAATGGCATGAGTGCCGAAGGCTTGAAGTAGTCTCTGTTGAATAAGTGCATCTTCTGGCATTGTTTGCTCGCTTTCCTTCATGCGCAACGCTATATTGGACATAAACGCCGAGGCAATGTTGTAGTTTGTCACGGGTGCTTGGGCATACATTCCAAGGATGGCGGCTCCGTAGCTTGCTAGAAAACGACTGGGTTTCTTTGCTTGAATGCGATTGTAACAGGTTTCGAGAGCTGTTGCGACGGCGCTTGCTGAGTTTGGTTCAACTCCCAGATCATGTACTTCAACGAGCTTCAAAAACACCTCTTTGGGTGCTCCGTATGATGCTAAGGCTAGTAAACAAGAGGCCGCAAGGTCAGGATGTGTCGTCAAGTATGGTTGCAGGATCGCCACAAGATCCCATGCTATGGTTTCCACAAGGGCATGCTAATGTCAGCGATCAGCAAGCGACAAGGTGGACGATAAGGGTGATTTCACACGTTTTCCTCGGCAGCCAGGATATTATGTAGAACCGAGAGAATCTCTCGTTGCTCATCGACAGTGTACCTTGCCGCATCGGAGAGATGAGCATCGATAACTGTCGTATAGGTGATAGCATTGTCAAATGTCGGGTCTTCTTTATAAAGCAGCAGCCCCTCGCTCAGCGCTGACATCGTAGTCGAAGCTGTAGAAGCCATTGTCCTTGTTGCTGGTGTTGACTTGTCCAGCAGCTGATCACTGCCGACCTCTGCGGTCTCTTGTCGACGTTACTAGCGTGCTCCGTGTATATCAATAAGATTGCCCCTTTCGGTAACTCCGCGTAACCCGCAGTCGCCCAGTCACTCACCATCCAACATGGAGCAGAATTTTCAAGGCACTGCTGTCTCCTCTGTCCTGGACGAAGAAGAACTCGTCGACGAACCTTCAGCCGTGCCGAATGCTGGACATACAGCACGCGCCATGACAGGTATTCCCAGGCCGCAGCCGGAGAACGACCCATTCAGTGCTGTCGCCTTCTGGTCACGCAAACTAGCCTTACAGTCCTCCGATTTTTCAGCGATGGTAGAACGCGGTTTGCAGGAGATGCTCAAGGAAACTCGTGATGTCAAGGAGAAGTTGCAGGGGTTCGAAACAACAGTCGACTCTTTCTCAAAAGAAACAGCGGAATGCGAGATCAAAAGAGCACATGCGTGTATGTTATAACCCTTCATCATCCTTACCATACTCATTGTGGCACATCTAGTCTTCGAACAATCAACCGCACTGCAACGGGGTATCGAAACCATCTCCGATGTGAGGCGTGCAACAGAGGCCAAACTCGGCGCACTCGATGCATCCATTGGCGAGATGCGTGCCCTTATTTCTCAGCAAACGGTGTTGATAAAGGGTCAGGGCTTACTCATACAAAACTTGGTGAGGCATGCATTCGCCTCATACCTAAGCATTCACTCACGCTCAACAGTCTCTCATGCTGGAAAAGGTTCACCGTTCCCAGGCCCAGGCTTCTCATGAAGTACGGATGCACGAGCCCTCTCCGCCGCAAACCGAAATAATATCGTCAACAAAGCCGAACTTTGTTGCCTCCCTGAGCAACATCCCTGTTCAAAGGAAACGGTCCTGCGATGACACGGAGGTGGAAGAAAACAATGCTGCAAGCAGGGACAAAACGGAAAACGACAAACCAAAGCTTAGCAAAACGAGGAGAATATTTGAGGATGACGAAGAGTGGACTTGGGCGGGAACTCAATAAGTGAAGATAAATGTGATAATTATTATTGTTCGGCAGAGAATGCGGAGCAAGTAACATCGCCTTTCGTCAACGTCTTGGTAAGTCTGTAGAGCTCCTTGATAAGCCCTCTCTTTTGAATAAGCGGCCGATGTTGCCAAGGTTGCGCAGATTTTCGTTCAATTTTGTTGAGCTTGGACTGTGGTCCAAGGTAGTACTGGCAGGTCGCGGTAGTCTCTCTGCAGCAGAAAATATTGCCGAACCGATGTTACTCGGATCAAATCTTCCGGGGAGTCCTGTCACGGGCGCGTTGATCGTGTGCGGAGAAATAATGATTGATGTAAGAAGGGGGGATTCGTTAACAAGATCCGGGTGCGATGGCATCAGGCGGCTGAATACCTCCAATAATGGGCCCTGGTCAGCTTTGCGAACACCCTTCAAATCGAGGATCTTTGCGAAATTCCCAATACTCTTGTCCCCGATGAGGAAGAAATAGTTTTGGGCAAGAGCATCCGGAGTGCTTGCCGAGGTAAGAATCACTTTAAGGATTGTCTCGATCTTGGCGATACCCTTGTTCACAAATTTGACGTAACTAAAAGCGTTATAAGCAAAACCCATGGGTGCAAGGTCTTACTAAACTTACTTCGCAGGCGTCTGTGTGCCTTCCTCAGACAGAAGCGTTGGAAGCTCTAGAAGACAATTCTTGATCGCGTAGGTGTCCAGGAGCAGCTAGAAGATGTCAGAGATTTTCACACGTTTGGTATAAAATATCTTGACATACCTGCTCAGCGCCAATCTCAGAGATAGGACGACATCTGACAATATCGTCGATAAACTTCTGGGCAAAGGAGTGTACAAGATTATCACAATACGTGCGAGCATATCGCTCCTTTATGACCTTTGCGAACACTTTCTTGGTGCATGACTTAAGCACCTCCGACAGCGGATGAACATAGCTATCGAAGTACGTTAGTCTCAATCATGCGACGAACTGGCCACGAAAATATACATACCTGCTCTGATCACCCACTGACGCTAAGGAGTCCCAGTCCGTTCGATGCATCTCTTTCAAAGCCATGTCGCACTCAGCCTCAACCTTCTTCACCAGAACTCGAATGGCTGTACCGATAATCCCAATAAAGGCTTCGCGTAAGCTCTCGAAGTTCACCTGTTCACGGAGATCTTCCTGTATTTTCGAATGTATCTTTTCTTCCAACTGTGATACTGTAGTATGACAATAATCGGCCGTGTTGAGGATCATGCAAGCGTCTTCGATCCGTGTGACGGACTCGGATCGTTCAGAGAGACGTTGCATCAAGACTTGATCACCATACGCGCGCAACCACTTGGAAAAGAGACGGGACAAATCCAGGAGCGGCGCACCGTCTGATAACTTCGCGCACTGTGCCAACGTCTGTCGATAGTAAGTAAAGAGGTCCGCGGATGACTGCAAAACAGCTTGCTGATCATCGTGATCTGGCAAGGCGATCGGTTGGTTGCGATAAACTTGTATCATATCAGCAAGAGAGTGTTCCTTTGACTCGATGTACACGCTGAGGTAGGGCTGAAAAGCGCCCGAGATGGTATGACCAAACACAAGCGATCGCTCATCTCTGGACGCGATCGTGTCAATCGACGATCGAGGTTCAAAAGTCGTAGCTAACGCACGTTTCTCCAGAAACTGCTCAAACTCTAACGTCTCCTGCAATGCCGTTAGGAGGAGTTTAACGTTAACGCTCTTACCGGCTTGAGACAGTATGGTATTGACATCATCCCTAGTATCTTCACAGAATGTCCGACAAAGTACTTCACCAACCTTCCAGGCATTTGGAAAAATCTTGGCATGGTCTTCGTCATATTGCTTTAAAGCCCGCTTCAACCACGAAAACCTTCGGGAAATGTTGTCCAAAGACCCTGCTTCGTCATTGCGCCTGAAGATCGTTCGATATTCCCTCAGCTGGGTGTTGCAATACCATGTGAGAAGTCGCAATCGAGCATCATCGCCGAAGACATCAACCATCAAGCAACTCTCATTCAGCGTCGTCATCCTTTCTGTTACGCTATCTGATCCCTGCCCTGAAAAGGCGTTTTCGAAATCCTGACATACTTGCTCCAAAAGTTCTCGCTGTAAATCAGATATACTTCGGCTGAGCGTTGCGATCTGGTCAATACTGCGAAATGTCTTGAAGTGGTTCATAAGCTGCAGAACGGCCGACAGAAGGTGCGCAGTTTCAGTATATTGCCGTGCTTTACTGAGGACTTTCAACTGCTCATATGCCGTAGTTAACATTTGCAGGCGCTTCAAGGTCGTCATTGATATTGTCAAGTTGCGCTTGGCTCCATCAAGCCGCTTTATATCAACAGTCATCCCCGCTACAAGGTCCTCAGCCTTCGCCGCTTGTTCGCGAACACCGTTCACTGACGCTATAAGCTGTCCGAGATCATCTTGGATGGCTGCGAGCCTGTCGGCCGAGTTCGCTTCTGCGTCGTGCAGCCCTCGGGTCCGTTGTTCAATCTCCCGGTCAAGGCCGCGTGCGTACCTAGAGACCAGTGTGTGTGTCTCCAGTAGCTTTGTTAGAGACTCGTGCGACGTAAAGATCAGGTTAAGGGTGTCGCAAGGGTCGTAATTAGGAGCGTCAAGGATGTCTTGAAGGCCAGTAGTCATTCTCTTTCAAACGTAATCAGCGCATCCAATTGAAAACCGTCAAGAGATGGACAGCCCGGGATCAGCAGTAACCAGTGCAACGGTTCGGTACTGAGGTCTGTTTACGTCGGTGCGTCATGGCATGCAGCTCGATCCTCGCCGGGTTTGACATGTTTTGCCCACCCAAACGTAACTACTCATATGGTTCCGTGGTCTAGTTGGTTATGGCGGCGCCTTAACACGGCGCAGGTCCCCGGTTCGATCCCGGGCGGAATCACTTTTTGAATCCCAAGGCCTGTGAGATACTGACATTGAGCACCTTATCAAAAACGATGTTGACTATGACTCATTCAAACCATTTCCTACTACATACGAGTCATTCAAGACAACTGCATTGCCGCTGTAAGTCTTCCACTGCCTTGTTACTTGTTTTTACTCAACAACATGTGACATGTCATGTACGTTAGGTGCAGATGACTTATCCCCATTTCCCTGAAGAAGAGTGCCGTGATATGATCATATCTTGTATCAGGTCCAAGAATGACTATAGGTGCCGCAAAATCCAGGAGATATGTAACCTTGAAGTCCAGAGTGCCTTGGAGTAAGGGCGCATACATCCCCCTCCTGCCGCAAATCTTGCCCACATTATCAACCGAAAGGGCAAACGTGGACATCCACCTAAGGCAAAACAAGCAATCTGTGAGCCACTGCCATCAGTTGCACAGCCCGTCCGCACTCCTGTTGGTGGTATTCGGCACCGCCATTATTCTACCAGTGGTCCACCACATCCTGGGCCTAGGAGCAGCAGCAGTACTCAGCCTGCAAAATGCACAGAGGCTGGGGAGGGTAATCAAAGAACTCCTGGGTCAGATGAACACGAGGAGGAGAATATGCATGGATATTCCGACACACCGCACTTTGTTGACAGCAACAGTAAAAAGACTACTCATTGGTTTTCACTAACCCGCCCTGACCCAATGGCATGAAGGTTTGTGGTAGGAAACAGCCCTGAAAGAAGACCTTGCGCACTTCAGGAGCATCAAATCAATACACGTCCAATCGCAGTTTCCAAGATGATCCGGAGTTTGACGTTGATGATGATGATGAAGACGATGAACTTGTTTCGACTGAGTGGACAAATGAGAGATGAGAGGAAGCGTCATGGTATGCATATGTGCGTTCACAGTGGTAATTGAGGCAAGGTTGGGCTTCTGAAAGTTTCGGGTCTCATTCAAGATTCAACAAAATCATTAGGCCTAGATTGATGACCTGTGATAGATGGGACCAATGAACGTCACGTCTGTGCAATGTGCTGTCATGAGGTAGAATATTATAACAGTGTAGTGTTGATAAATTGTATAAAAAAATTCTACTCTCAAGACGAATTGTCAATCCAGATTGTGCCCAGAGTATCCCAGTAACTCAAATACCTCTACTTGTGATGCTGGATAATTTTATTCGTGTCTTATAATCGTGTTTGGTAGAATTTGGGGGTCTCGTAGTGTGTCTCATGATGGCTAATTGCAACCAGCAATTCATGATCTTCGCAATGATAACGAAGTAGTGATTCCAATATCAGGCATATGTGCCCTTGTATCGTGGCTAATGAGGGGCTGTTCATAACGACAAGTTTAGCTAGTTCAAACTCAGAGCACGTTGATCATACCTTGTGTACGTTAAAGTCGTGGATCAAATCCGAATATACTTAGGCAAGTGCGTGGTCCATGAGGAAATTTTGTATGCGACTGGGATCAGTCATGGATGCTGCATTCTGTCATGGTCTACTATCCCGCAAAAACCCCAGACAAAACAAGACAGCGACAGTAATCATGCTCTTTTGCTCCGGCCCTAAGAGAAGGCCGCTCTGGGAAGTTTCATGACGGGATGCTAGGCTCATGGAATTTCCCAGATGTCATCATGGGTTGTCTTGGAGTTAAATTCCATGATGATCTGATCATGAACTTTGCCTAAACCCATGAGCAACACCCACGAGCGCACCCATGGAAATTTCAGGAGCGAAACGGCCAAATTCCATGAGCAAAAACCCCATCCTCTAAGACCCTCCAAAGAAACACTAAGAATGGTTTCTATTAGGCAAATACGTACCCCACGTCAAAACGGTGGATTAGTCTGGTATTACACATGGATTGCGCACTTCATTGTCAATTGCTGTCTTGACAGGGATTTCAAACAGAATGGTTGATTACGATCCTTGACACTATCATGGTTTAGACCCAATTAAAATGTCATGGATCACAATCCCAGATAAAATCATGGATCACTGGCAGAGAAAAAGATGCGGCAAAGTATCTCAGAAACTGCAACCTTAGAAATTGCGAAATAGCACATATATGCCTTGAGGAATTGAAGGCTTGCTATACACAACTGTTCTCATGTATTTAACCCAGAGTAGCCTCCTGCTATATATAGACATGGTTAACATACATGACATCATATGACGTTATGTAAGTGTCGTGTATGGACCATGATTCCATCATCACTTACTGTTATGGTTTAGCTGATGGCTGTGTTGTGGTCGTGCATAGAAGTGTCTACATAATTCAAGGACCCCACCTTCCTGAAAATTGCCGAAAATCTCGAGTCCCCATGTCTCCATGAGCAACAGACATCAAGATCAGGTATGGTTGAGATTGCGTGTACAGCATTGAGCTTTTACCAACGTCCTGAGTTATCGGACCAAGGTGGTTCCTACTGCAGCTCTATAGATCTATTAGGATACTCGTAGCATGTTTCCACCCGGTAATCTCGCTTTCTTGTCCTGATAATACTATTTTTGGCCATTTTCTCCAGGTTTAGACCTGATTTCATCATGGATTATGCTGGATTCTATCGTGAATTATGCTGAGCAAAATCGTGGTGTATGTCCCGATAGCCATGACCTAAAATCGTGGATTAATGTAATCCACGATTTGTGCGAAGGTAGGGGCTCAACCTTGAGAAATTATAATTGCAATTATAACCTAACCTGCTCAAAATCTACTCGGCCTTTACTACCCCTAATGCAATATAAACTCATGTAAGCATGTGTCACCGCCAACAGAAAGCCTGCCGCAGAATACCTCAGAAGATGCGAAAGAGACAAATATGCCTTAAATATGCCTTGAAACATCGAACTTCTCCCACATAGGCATGATCAACATGCCAGATGTCATATGTGGTCATGTAAGTGTCATGCCGGAATGACAAGCATGTGGCATCCATGTATCCCTCAGAAAAAATCATCTTTTATGTTTTGTAAGGGTTTGTCAGACCTTAGCGTATTAGGCCCTCGACTATAATCTAAGTCGTTGCAAGTTTTACAGAGGCTTGACTACCCCCAATAGAATCATGGGTTAAAGCGGAACGTTATCGTTGATTACGCCAAATAGGATTGGGGATTACACGAAAAGAATCATGGATTATGCGGAATGATATCATGGTTTGGGTCACGAGAATCATGCATTCTCGTGACCGTGAGGAGGCCCTTTATCGTTGAGTCTGAAGGACAACAAAGGGTTGCTGTCGAGTCCGGGCTTGAGTCGTGCGAACGGAGCCTAAGGCGTAGGCCGTTGTAGAAGGTTGTCGGTATAATCGGAGCACACATCTGAAGGGTCTCCGAAGCGACCATTACTTGGCGTGGCCGAGACGTACTTGTTAATGATGAGGTTTGGTGAATGCAGCCAGTTGTTCTCTCGATTGAACGCTGTATTTATTGTCCATAGCGACAGTGATGGAGAAGTGGAATCGAACGCTGTATGTTAAAGGATGACGCGGCGTTTGCAGCTGTACTCGCGACACAAGTCACTAGCCACGCCAGGGACACCCGAGCGCGCGGTACTCCTACGGACCGCTGAGGGAGGTAACACACGAATTTAGCCGGCGGGCTGTAATCAGTCTGTAAATTACGTGAAGCCGTTTGCCATATACCCTGATTACCCGCCATGTTTTCGTCATGTAATCTAATTACACAACTGATTACATGATCTCCCCGTGGAGTACATGTCATAGAAGCTTTACATGCTGATTACCTGCTGATGTCATGTAAATTACATGAGCGTATTGTCCGTAGGGCCTCTCGAACATTTCGGAAAAATTTTAAGTCCTCTTCCTCTCCACCAGCAATAAAGATCAAGGCCAGGTATGGAGGAGATTGCTTATACATCATTAAGCCTTCGCTAACATCCTGAGTCATAGGACCATAGTTGTTGCTATAGCTATTGTAGCTGCATTAGGATACTCGTAATAAAATATAAAAGCTGCCTGGTGATTTCGCTATTTTGCCCTGATAATGCTGCATCTTCCCGCTATTTTTGCTCATCATGGATTATGCTGAAGCATATCGTGGATTATGTGGGATAAACTCGTGGATTATGCAGACTAAAATCGTCGTTTGGGTCCTGAAATCCACAATACGAAATCATGGATTAAATGGAATTTTGTAATCCACGATTCTTGCGACCGTAAGTTGGATGAGGATTTTGGACGTCGTTGGGGTTAGTCAAGCCTTGCTAAAAGTTGATCGGATTGTTTTTTGCAGTCGCTTCAAGACGTGCTCAAAGCAGGTGTGTAGAACAATTGGGTAGAAAAGAATCTGTTAGCCTGAATAGGAAATCTGCAGGCACAAATCAAGAGCCCCCGGCTTACGTTTCTGGCCCGTGCGGATCACGTGTATATACAATTGTCTACGTTTCATCGAGGGGCGGTCAGACCTTGAGTTTGCTTAGTGCATTATGCCCTGGATTATAATCTATTCCCCTTAACTTCTACCAAGGTTTGACTACCCCCATTGAGCTTGCCAACTCCCTGAGTTATGAACCATGATTATTTCTGCTGTAGCTTTGTTAGCATATTCACAGTACAATATCTTTGCTTGGTAATCTTGCTCATTTACCATAATAGTAGTGCACATTTTCCCACTGATGCCTGGCATCTTTCGATGATATCCTATGGAATTACACCCACTTTAGGCAGGGACCATCCAGAACCAGATGTGGATTATGCTAAATCATATTCTAAAATGCTCATGGATTATGCCTAAGCTCATCAAGGATTAAGACCAGATGTCCTTAGTATGTCCGACCAGTGACATGGCACTTAGTTTGCCAGGGCCTAACACCGATAGAGCCACGAGAGGAAGAGAATGTGCACACTTCAGCAAGTTCGAACCTAGTTTAGCATTCAAGAATGCCCAGTATTAGAATGCCCCGTACTAAGTTTGAGGGTTGTGGGCAGGTCCCATACATGATTTGATTGAAATTGCCACTTCCACCGTTGTCTGAAGCACATTGGGCCTCCAGGCAGCGTTGGCTACGGAAGCAAAACAAGAACCTACATACTCTGAGGTGGGACCAAGGAGGGGTTTGCATATAAGCCAGAACATTGAGTATATGCCACAGTAGCACTGATCCACTGAAGAGCAAGGTATTCTCATGCGCCAGCTAATCCATTTATCTTCCAAGAAAACACCCCTGCCACAAGTTTTTTAAAGAGAAGGGGCATGGTGCAGATCACTGCCAATCAGCAATGAATAGTGCTGAGTGTGACACACAGGGAAATCTTACTCTCAGTTGCAATATAGTTTATGCATGCGCCCCTGCGCACGCCCTGTAATCCAAATCGCAAAAAAAAGATCATTTCATCTATTCAAAGGCCCAGGCGTAGCGGGAGGGGTGAGCACACGCGTTTTTCACCCTCCCCTTCAATCCCATCCCGTCGTCCGGCTCCCGAGGATGCCCCTGAGCCTGAGCTACCCCTGCCTTGAAGGTCTCGTACCCTCCAAGAGGACCTCTCTCCTCCACCAGCAACTCCACCAGTCGACCTATGGCCAATCCCGCAGACCAAGGTTGCTGTAAGAACCCAGGGGAAGTTGAATCCGGCGTCGGTTATTGATTTCGAGATCGCCCAGGTCTGGGATTTGGCTCGAGTTCAGTTGAGGGAGTTAGGGTTAGGTGTACTTGAGTCGTTTGAGGGCGCGGCAGACATCCCATTTGTCGAGTTTAAAGCCATACAGCTTCGTGAGAGCTTCGGCTGCTTCGTCTTGGTGCGTATCGGGCGCATCATCGTACATTTTTCGAAGGGTCTGTTTTCAGCGTAAGAAGCGAATAACGACTCGCAAAAAGCGTCGAACCTCCAGACATTCACCAGAAATCTTTGGTACACGTCCCCTCTGTTGATTGCGACTCGGTTTGACGTTTCCCTGTTCGTGTAAGAGTCTCTTCATGTTACCGACGGTATTGCTGTGAACTCCATTAACCTCCGCAATGACGGCATGCTTGGTACCATCGCAAATGGCACTTCGCATCCTCTGACGGACACTCATAGGTAGCTCGTGACCCCTGTATCCCATCCCTGGACTGCTTGAATGGTGAGGTTGTTGGATTTTACGGTTTGGTGGTTACCTTGGGCACCGTGGTGGGACCTGCATCCACAAACTATATTGCAACTGAGAGTATTGGTATGCCTTATGTAATGCGGTCGAGACGAGACGAGATACTGCAAGTACTTCGGGACGAGATCTGATGAGTTAGACGAGGTGTGACGAGATGACCGAATTACTTATTCGAATAGAGAGACGAATTTATTGAGTTAACCAGTGAAGCTCTAAAGGAAGGCATAGGGCCTTTCCTTATATACGGTTTTCCGGACGAGGGTCTAGACCCTTGCTCGGTGGCGTTCCACATTTAGTTAACTCGGTGGCGCCGAGAACAAGATCTCGGACGAGAGGAGTGAAGATAAGATGAGCCATGATAGGACCCGAGACAAATCGAGTCTTGGGTTGATCCGAAACTCGAAGTAGTTCTTCGGTTCATGACACCTTACACCAAACAACTTCTGTCGTGATCGTCATGATTCACAAATGTTGCACAGAAGCGAAAACAAGGATACACAGGCAACAGCGGCATTTTTTCAGCTGTAGCACATTGACAAACATGGGGCCTGCACCATCTATATGTACACTGACTCCCGGGCAATTGCTAGAGACGAAAGAATGTAACCAACATACCCCCTGTGTGGAGGAGATAACTCATGAGATGGCACATGAGAAAATGAAAACATTGATTAGGTTAGGGTCCCTGGACTTTCTAGCTGCTGTGTATTGCCATGTTGTGATGCTCCGCAATGGAAGTCTCGTTGTGGCCACGGTGTTGCAGTACCATTCACGCCTGACATCCATCTACTGTAAGCACGGTACACCTTATGTGTCATACTGCGATTGACAGAAATGAAGATTGGACATTTTGGATGAATCAGTAGACCAATCATTGAATCTCAAAGCTGACGAATGTTCCAGAGGTATGTAACGTTCACTGTTGTACATCCGGCCTGCGGATGCAATTGACTTTGTGCCAGTGATCGAGGCTCGACGTTCTCGGCGGTAAAGTGAGACAAGCGAATGCCATGAAGTATATTTTGTAATAAAGTGTCTGGATTTCGATAGCATCAACGTGTATTTTTCTCTGAGAATCTTTCCTTATCTACGTTACAGGAGACTTACGGCCGGTATACGCATTACTGCACCCGCGATCTGGCCAGGCTGCTGCTCATGTTTAAAGAGGCTCCATGCTCCCGCGTAACTCAAATAGTTACGTGCTGTCAGCGCTTGGACGATCGCAACAATGCTTACTACTGACGCCGAACAGCTTGTTCCAGCTCCGACCACACGTCCATCCATGTCTACTCAACAACCAGCAGTACTACGCCCGCAGAGGGGCAAAACGTGTTGCGAAAGTAAGCGTCTCTGAATTGCCGCAAGGCCATCTAGCGCCTTTAGAGCCTCTCAATGAGCCTCTCAAAGAAAAACCGGTGGAATATCCCTTTTATCTGAGGCAAGTTTTGTTGACTCAGCAACGCTTCCCAAAATGTGGAGACTTATACGATCACGTTTCAAGCTACGGATGAACTGACTGAAGACGGTAGGTGTCGTGCTCATGCAAGTAGGCGGGTTCTTTGAGGTGAGATATGACAAATATCAGGTGTGATCGTGCTAAAGCATTTTTCTAGCTTTATTTTCACCAGGCCGAAGAGATTGGACCATTGTTGAACCTGAAAGTAGCCCAGAGGGATATGGTGGCCGGGCCAGTGGCTATGGCAGGCTTTCCGCTGCATCAACTAGACAAGTACGTGTTCATCACCACTATGATGCCAGGACAATCTAAGACAGCCGGGCAGGTACCTCAAAATCTTGGTGCAAGATCTCGAGAAATACGTCGCTCTCATCGAGCAGGTTGAACGACCTGAGTCCGAACTCCCAGGGGGCAAAGGGGTTGATCGACGCGTAACACGAGTCATCACACCAGGAACACTGATTGACGAAAAGTTCATGCACCCATGGGAACACAACTATCTACTCGCAATCGATACTTCACAGTCTAAAACTGACACGAACGGTCGTACATCTGTAGGGATAGCCTGGTTGGATCTCTCAACCGGTGACTTTCACACTCAGACGAGTGATCTCTCAGTGTTGACTAGCGAACTCGCTCGTATCGGCCCGCGTGAGATCCTCATTGACGAAAACTTGCGCAAAGATGATCCTTTCAAAATTCTTGACATTATGGAGAATCACGAGTACTTCATGACCTATGAGCCTTTCGATGTAACCCAAACTGCAGACATAGGTGATTGGGGCAGCCTCGTTGAAATGGAAAGCCCGGTTTCCAACCCTGATGCCTTTACCTCTGAAGAAGTTGCGGCTGGCACCGCTCTGCTCAGGTATGTTAAAGAACGGTTGCAAGGATCAAACGCGAAACTTCAAACACCTGTCCGCCGTAGCGGTGCAGAACGGATGCTCATCGACGTTCACTCTCTTCGAGCATTAGAGATCAAGAAGTCTCTTCGAGAAGGCACCATGAAGGGAAGTTTGCTGAACGCCATCAAACGCACGACGACAATGTCTGGCGCAAGATTGTTGACATCCTGGTTGTCATCACCCTTGACGGATATAAGTCAAATCAACGCAAGGCTGGACCTGGTTGATGCCCTTATAGACGATACGCACCTGAAGGCGGATATAATACAGTTCCTCCGGGAGGCTCACGATAGTCACCGCATCGTGCAGAAGTTTAGCCTTGGTCGTGGGGAGGCAGACGACATGCTTGCACTTGCTCGAACCATTACAGCAAGCGAAGGGATCCTCCAAAGTTTTTTGGGCAACAAATCTCTGAATGATAACCGCAGTGTGAAGGATATATGTTCCCGACTATCCCCTCCATTATCTTTGGCAAAGAAGATACTTAGCGCAATTGACGAATATGGACTACAGCAGAAGCTACGCGAGGAAGAGGAACAAGATGCTGAAATGCTGGTGCAGGCCAAAGCTGCTTTGCTTGAAGGCGAGCAAAACAATGAAGCGGCAGATGCGACGGAACAGAAAAAGCGAAATAAGTCCGCCGGAAAGAACTCTGAACAAGTACCAAGCGATGTGTGGATTATGAAGAAAACGTAAGCGTCAGGTACTACCGGAGAACCTTTCGTTAACAGTCATATCAGAGCGAGCATACCCCTGAAACGTCTTCACACTGCTTTAGAAGAACTCTATCTCGAGAAAGCGGTGCTGATTACCTCTTTAATCGACAAAACAGGTAACGTTCTCTCTAGGTTCTTTGCTCAGCTCAGTAAGCTCTAACATCCCAAAGGCGCAAAAAGCTTGACCCTACGATTCTCGCCCTCTATGGAGTATTTCGTCCATGTAAGACAAAAAGACGCAGCAAGCGTGGCTTCGTTGGAGAATACAAAACTAGTTGGCACGAGCAAATCCACCCGCTCTATCCAACATCCGGCATGTTTCTTTACAGGTTATTTTATTGGACGGGACTAACCGCAGCTTTCAGGAATGGACATATATCGGAACCAAGATCGATCAGACGAAGGACCAGATACGTGCTGCGGAGATCAAGACTTTCCAAAAGATACGGAAAGAGGCAAGCAACGAATCGTTATCCATGGATTAGCGCTGACAGCATACGGCAGGTTCTAAAGCACTCTGCTCTTCTTCGGAGAAACGGCCGCGTTCTTGATGAGCTCGATGTAGCTTGCTCCTTCGCAACTCTTGCTCGGGAACGGGACTGGGTAAGGCCGGTACTCAACAATAGGTTGGTGACTTTGCTGGGCCATGTGTACACTGCTAACTTCCTCACAGCACCGAGCACAGAATTGTGGCCGGAAGACATCCTATTGTTGAAGCTGCTTTGTACGAGAAGGGTACAACGTTCGTAGCTAATGACTGTTTCATGGAGAAGTCGAAGTATTTGTGGGTCATCACGGGGTTCGTTTCGTGAAGGCTCGCTGCTCTGTAGTTTAACTGACGAGAATGCGTAGTCCAAATATGGGTGGCAAGAGCACGTATCTTAGACAAAACGCCGTGATCACCATTCTCGCCCAGGTTGGGTCCTATGTACCGGCTCAACACGCAGAGATTGGTGTCGTTGATCAGATCTTTAGCCGGGTAAGCACTGGCCGCCAGGAGTTTTTTGGGTTGTCGTGGCTCATTACAGCTTATTAGGTGGGATCGGCTGATGATTTATTCCGCCACCAGTCTACTTTCCTCGTTGAGATGATCGAAACTGCTGCGATCTTACGAAACGCAACCCCTCGGTCTTTGGTAATTATGGACGAAGTGGGCCGCGGAACAACGTCGTGGGACGGCTTGGCTATAGCATATGCATGTCTGCACCGCCTGCACAATGTTAACAAATGTCGTACTTTATTCGCGACACATTTCCATGAGCTGGGCGATATGATTAAGCGTTTTGAGCACGCAGGCGGACTGTGCACGGAGCTCGAGCAACACGAGGTAAGCCTCACGCTTGGTCATGTTGGATGAAGAATCAAGTTGACGCGCCTCACGCACAGGACGGCTGGACCAGCTTCAGCCATGAAATCAAAGAGGGAGTGTGCAGGCAGTCTCATGGGATTCATGTAGCGCAACTCGCTGGTAAGGCTTCTCCGGAAACAAGTGTGCAGTAATGGTGTATGTGCTGATGGGGACAACAGGACTTCCCAACGAGACTGTCGAGCTCGCAAGTAAGACGCTGCAATATATCCAGAGCCAAAACACGCCCATCGTGTTGAACGCGGAGTTTTATGGGAGTATTTCGCACGGCTAGTTAGTTAATACGGATCCTGTTAATGGTTTAACGCGGAATCTTCGAGAGCCAGGTTGTGCAGGGCTGGTGCCTGAGCCGCCCGGCGAACAGTTTCGACCGATTGATTACCAGCGTCGCCTCGCCCGCGATACTTAAGAATCCGAATCCACCCTTCGTTCTCTCCAACAGAGACCGCCGGTTTAATCCTTCTCGTCGCTTACAATCCACGTTTGAGACCTTCTCTTCATTGCCATGGTCAAGGTATGCACAGCTCTCCATCCCGGGAGGCGACGCCTCAACCCGACTACCAAGGTTCTAACGCGCTGACCATAGGAAACCACACTGTATGACGCCCTCGAGGTGAAGCCTGACGCTTCCGAGACTGAGCTCAAGAAGGCCTACCGTAAGCTTGCTCTGAAGTACCATCCCGACAAGAACCCGAATGCAGGTGATAAGTTCAAGGAGATTTCGCATGCGTACGAGATTTTGAGCGACTCTCAGAAGCGCGAGATTTACGACCGTTATGGTGAGGCTGGTTTGTCCGGTGAGGGTGCCGGAGGTATGGGAGGTATGGGTGCCGAGGACCTCTTCTCGCAGTTCTTCGGTGGCGGTATGTTCGGTGGAGGAGGTGGCGGCCGTCCTCGCGGTCCCCCGCGCGGAAAGGATCTCTTGCACGCAATTAAGGTGTCATTGGAGGATCTCTATAAGGGGAAGGTGTCGAAGCTCGCGCTCCAGAAACATGTTCTTTGCGCCAAGTGTGAGGGACGTGGTGGAAAGGAAGGGTCTGTCAAGAAGTGTGGTGGATGTGATGGTCATGGTGTCAAGATTGTTACTCGTCAGATCGGGCCGATGGTTCAGCGCTTTCAGGCTCAGTGTCCCGACTGTAATGGAGAGGGTGAGACGATCAAGGACAAGGATAGGTGTAAGGAGTGTCACGGAAAGAAGACCGTCAACGAGCGCAAGGTTTTGCACGTTCACATCGACAAGGGTATGAGGGATGGCCAGAAGATCACCTTCAATGGTGAGGCCGACCAGCAACCGGGTGTCATTCCTGGAGATGTTATCTTCCAGATTGATGAGATGGCGCATGCTCGCTTCAAGCGCAAGGGTGATGATCTTTACTACCAGGCCAAGGTCGACCTTTTGACTGCTCTTGCTGGTGGGCAGATTGCTATCGAGCACTTGGACGACCGTACCATCATCGTTCCCATTCTTCCGGGTGAAGTCATTAAGCCAGGAGAGGTCAAAGTTATCGAAGGCCAGGGAATGCCTTCTTACCGTCATCACGATCATGGAAAGCTCTATGTGCAGTTTGAGGTTGAGTTCCCTGAACGCCACTGGGCATCTGAGGAAGAGATCAGGAAGTTGGAGGGCATCTTGCCGCCAAGGAAGACTCCTTCGATCAAGAAGGGTGCGCATACGGAGGAGGTTATGATGACTGACATCGACCCTGCTCAACAGGCTCGCGAGAAGGCTAGGATGGACGATGCTATGGACGAGGACGATGAGGAGGGTGGTGCTGGACCAGGCGTGCAGTGCGCTCAGAGTTAAACGCAGACCTAATCGCAGAAAAGGGCAAAGTTTTTTAGATTCATTTTCTAGTTATTTACGGCGCGGCTATAGCATATACCCAATTACCTATCTCCTAGGTAAAGAATTTATCAAAAATCCATGCTGGCGTGGGACTGGTACTGGTGTATGGCTACGGTTTATATGTTAAATCATAAGACAGTAACACTGAAGAACGACGAACAAGAACCAGACATTGAAGCCTCTTTCCCTTCGTCGTTTGATTGTGCACCCCGCCTTATCCTCAGCAGATCCCTCGCAGCGCAGTATTGATTCTGCTTGGTGTCCTTGTCATTGCAACAATTGGCACTACCCGAGCCCGGCCCCAGTAACATTGAACACCGAATGTCCGTCAACAGCTGCTGGTGTTTTAATCGATCCTAGGCATGATATGCCACTGTACTGTTTAAACTCGCTGTACTGTACGGCAGCGGGTGGGGTTGGAGTCGTTGCTGCGGGTGCAGGGAAGCGCGAGTTCGATGCGCGTGATGAACGATGAGGATGTTGGAGGGGAATTGATGCTTTCAATCGACATGGGCAAGAGCTTCGAACAAATCACCTATACGGCTGAACAACCATGAACGAGCTACCTGTGCTTGGCTCGCATTACGAAGTGTCCTCTGATCAAGCTGCCGAAAACAGAACGCGATGGGAAGCACTCCTATTAGGCTTGGATGAGAAACTCGAAGGGACAGCCGGTCAGGGTAGCGAAAATTATATCCAGTGAGTCGAATGGAATTGTCCACTCTCATTGTCAGCTCTTACTGACTTGTTGAATTGGCGTCACTTTCAACGCGGAATGCTACTGGCAAGAGACAGAATCCGCTTGTTGCTCGACGCCGATTCGCCCTTCCTTGAACTTTTGGGCTTCGCTGGTTACGAACTTCGACATGGATCTCCTGCTGCTAGCCTTGTCGCCGGGATTGGGCTTGTGGGCGGCGTGAAGTGCACCATCACGGCCCATATTCCCACGATCAATGGGTACGTCCTCACGAAAATGTGAGCATTTATCCAGCAAGAACGCTGATCGTTATATCCAGAGGTGCCTGGAATGAGTATACTGTGAAAAAGCAGGACCGACTTTCTCGAATTGCCCAAGAGAATGGGCTGCCCTTGATTGCGCTGGTGCAATCCGCTGGAGTATTTCTCCCTCGTCAAGTGCGCTTCCGGGAAGAAAAGTCGTTGTGTACATGAACTGATCCTGGAGCAGTTTCACATCTTTCATCCTGGTGGCCGATTGTTTCACGACCTTGCCGTGCGCTCCTCACTCGGGACATCCAGCTGTGCGATTGTTTTTGGCTCCTCAACCGCTGGAGGTGCATACCAACCGGCATTAAGTGATTATACCATTTTCGTTGAGAAGCAAGCCCAGGTATTCCTGGGTGGTCCTCCTTTGGTTAAGATGGCGACAGGAGAGGTCGTCTCTGCAGAGGACCTCGGAGGAGCGGAGATGCATGCCGGTGTATCAGGTTTAGGTGATGGATTGGCAGCAGACGAGTAAGTTTCTCGTCTTGTTGCATGGGTATATGCTCATTGTTGCCAGGTTTGAAGCGATTGCGAAAGCACGTACGTGGGTGAGCACCCTTAAACACGACCCGATCGCTCGAACTTTGCCGATGAAGTCGTCCGAACCTTTTTACGATCCTGGTAAGTGCTTGCGGCAAGGGAGTAGATCGTACTGACCCTTTTCCAGAGGAGCTCCTTGGTATCGTTTCTGCTGATATCCGGAAGCCATTCGACATGCGTGAAGTCGTCGCCCGAATTGTGGATGCCTCAAAGATGGAAGAGTTCAAGCCGTTGTACGGAAAGAACCTTTTGACTGGTTGGGCAAGAATCCATGGTACGCTAATGAAGGAGCCCTAATTTCATCGATATTGACGTTCCATCGCAGGCTATACGGTCGGAATTATCGGAAATGTCAACGGCGTGTTGTTCTCCCCGGAGTCCAAGAAAGGTGCCCAATTCATCCGCATGTGTAACAGCACGTATGTAGCTCTTCTGGGGTGACAACTTTGTCTAACTTTCTTCTAGGAATACGCCTATCATTTTCTTGCACAATGTGACAGGTAAAGGTGCTGGACGAAACGTGGTGATGTAACTGATCCCTGTTGGCCCCAGGTTTCATGGTGGGAAAATCAACCGAGCGGGGTGGTCTTATCAAGGATGGAGCTCAGTTCGTTTCTGCTGTCGCTGTCAGCAAGGTCCCGCACATTGGAGTTATCTGCGGGGCCAGCTATGGAGCAGGTTAGTCCTATAAATGTGTGCTGCCCGTGCGACCTTTAGGCTGACTCGGAATCGCGCAGGAAACTACGCTGTATGCAGGACATCCCTTTCCATGTTGGACAGGTTAACTAATGCGAGCTGGGTCAGATGTGTGGGAGAAGCTATGATCCTCGGTTCCTTTTTGCATGGCCAAATTCTCGTGTCTCCGTGATGGGTCCAGATCAACTCGCTGGTGTCATGGAACAGATTTCTCGCTCTTCATTGAGGTAGGCTTTATCGCGTATTTTTTATTAGTTAAGACTTACGCCAAGCACAGCAAGATCAGCGAGGAGGAAAGAGCGAAGCGAACTGCAGAGCTCCGGGCGAAGGTGGAGCAGGAGTCGAGTGCTTATCACACTTCAGCACATCTCCTCGACGACGGCATCATCGATCCACGGTACGCTTACAGTGAATGTCACTTCAAACATGACTAACATACTGTGCAGTGACACGAGGGATGTGCTTGGTATGTGTCTCGAGGTGGTAGCAGAGACTGGCATTGTGGGCGCAGAGGGATTCAGAGGAGTGAGCAGGATGTGAGCTGCATGTGAGGGGAACTTGTGCACATTTCTTCAGATATATATTTCAGAGCTTTGGCTTCGTACGATTCTTTCTAAGCAATGCGACCCAATCGACTGGCTTCTTGTCTTTCGCTTTGGTTGCTTTCCTGAAAGCGTCCAAGCCGAGCTTAGCTTCTTCACTAGGACCCATCATGTCAATGTAGATCTCCTTTATCTTTGTTTGGTAAGTCTCTGCAGTATCCTCAGCGATTGTCCGCACCAATTCCTTGACTTGACTCTGGGCTCTTGGTGCGCCGCCACGAAGAAAATTGAGGTATTTGTTCACCTCCTGCTGTCCAGCTTTAAGGTCATCAACGATAGCATGAATGATACCACGCTCATGAAGTTCGGCGGCACGGACAGGTCGTGCCGTGATCATTGCTTCTCTAGATAGAGCAGGACCCCATTCGCGTACTACGCACCTAATTCCAAGTCAGCCTTGCGGATTCCGCTTCGTTGAGGGAAACTCACTTGGAGATCGTCGCGGGTACTAATCCCAGCTTCACTTCGCTAAGAGTGAAGGTCGCTTGCTTGACGGCGATTCGAATATCACAAGAGAAAGCCAAGCCCACACCTCCACCGAAGCATGCCCCATTGATTAGAGCGACAGTAGTTTTGGGGCACTGATCGACAGAGTCAAAGAGGCCCTTCAGCTGAGCGAACCTGGCGAATGAGTCAGTCCCCCATCCGCCGCCTCAACAGAAGTAATCGCACCTCTTCTCGACGGCAGCACCCGTTGCGACGGAACCACTGCTACCCAAGTACAGTCCAGTACAAAAGAACTTTGGATGAGCGGAAGTGAGGACGATTGTGTGGATGTCCGAATTGTGCGCGAGATCATTGAACTGTTCCGTTAGGGCAGTGATTGCTTCATCAGTCAGAGCTGGTGATTGCAAAGTGATGAATGCGATTGAGTCAGCGATGATCATAGGGTTGGAATGTAACGTTGGCAATCCATGCGCGTTCAAGCCGGTCGTTGCGGGGGAGGGGGGAGGGGATTGCTCGTGCCGTGGAAATCGGATGCATCTACCCCCCGTCAATTCCGACAACCTTAATTGATCTCCAGCAGCTGTCAACCGAAGGCCCTGATCATCCTCGGGGCACTGTCCTCCGAGGTGTTATAAATGAAGCGTTCTTCTCCGCATTCGCCACGTAGGCACGCGTAGCCATCGGAGGTCAATGGACCCGTTATAAGCTAGGAATCAGCAATGATGTCGGTCTTTTCAAGGAAATCGATTCGACAACCATGTCTCCTGATCCCACTTTCTGCGGCCTCAAAGGCCAATCCCTCGTTTACCTTGTTACATTCTGCTGTTCCATCGGGTTTCTCCTTTTTGGATATGATCTTGGTTTCATGGTGCGTTTTGATCCAGTCGTCGTTCGCAACACCGACTGACATCGTGCTTTTAACAGGGTGGTGTCACAACGTCGCCTCTCTTTCTCGAAACCTTCGGCAACCCCGACGCAGCTCTCCTTGGATTCATGGTTTCCTCATATGACATCGGCTGTTTACTCGGAGCCGTCCTCTCCTTCTTCATCGGTGATCACCTCGGTCGCCGCATGATGATCGTGGCCGGTGGTATTTGGGTCCTCGTCGGTGCCGTTCTGCAAGCTTCGTCATTCTCCATGGCCCAGTTTCTGGTTGGAAGAATCATTGGAGGAGTAGGAATGGGGCACATGACAACTGCCATTCCGATTTGGCTCACTGAGAGTGCTTCAGCCAAGAAACGAGGACGGATGATGGCCATGCAATTGTCAAACTTGATCATGGGTCTTATCATCGCCAACTGGGTTGACTACGGAATGGCAAAGATTGACGGCTCCATTCAGTGGAGGTTTCCGGTGGCCCTACAGTGTATCTTCTGCGTCCTTGTTATGTCACTCTGCATGTTCCTCCCCGAAAGTCCTCGCTGGCTGATGCAAAAGGGACGCGAAGTGGAGGCCAGAAAGTCACTGGCCGCTCTGCGCGGTGGTGCATTGGACTCGGAAATTGTGGAAAGCGAGTTCCGCGACATCCAGACTGCCATCATGATCGAGTCTCACCATGTCAGTTCTTGGATGGATATCTTCCGCGATGGTGGTATCAGCGGCTTCACCCGTGTCATGACTGGCTTCAACGCCAACTTCTTCCAGCAGTTGAGTGGAGTGAATGTCATGAGCTCCCTCGGTCCGTACATCTTCCAGCATTCCGTGGGATTTGACAGGAACCAAGCACTTATGGTTTCAGGAGGGTACGTGTCTCCTTTACTTCTTGTGACCGCCTCTAACATGCTTTCGTAGACAGCAGATTTTCTACTTTCTCTCTTCGATCATTCCCTGGTTCGTGATTGACCGGGCCGGTCGCAGGAAGTTGTTTATGCTCGGCTCCTTCGGCATGGGTGTATGCATGGCACTTTCCGCCGTGTTCATTGGGATCGGTGGTAAAGGATTGGGTTACGCTGCGGTCGTTGTCTTGTACATCTACCAGACATTTTTCACTCTCGGTTGGCAGAGTACTCTCTGGGTACGCTCATGTTTACGTTTCGCCTTATTTTATTACTAACAGTCGGCCAGATTTACCCTAGTGAAATCTTACCACTCAAGCTTCGTCTTCGTGGAGGTGCCATTGCAGTCGTCAGTCAATGGCTTTTCACATTCGTCGTCGTCGAGATCACGCCGCCAATGATCACCAACATCACTTACAAGTCCTACATCGTCTTTGCTGCTTTCAACTTCTTAGCCATTGTCGTCGTCTACTTTACCTTCCCGGAGACAGCTAACCGACCCCTGGAAGCCGTTGACCTCCTCTTTGCCGATCGCGATGGAAAGAGGCCCTCTATCTGGCGCGTCGTGCAGGACTCTGTCAGCAAGGATTTCGATGCAGAGTACGAGTTGCACCGTTTGGAACAGCAGAATTCTATGGAGATTGGCAAGAAGACTGGTGAGGAGTACGAGATGGATGAAGATTTCAAGGGCATGAGTTCTCATGTGGAGAATGTCAACTGAAGGTCGTTGTTTGTACGCTTCATGAGCGGAGATATATACCATTATACCCTATATCAAACAAATCAAGTTCTTGTATAAATTGATTGAACCAAATTCTCACGGGTTCTCCTTAAGCGTAAGCCTAGCGTGCCCCAGCGTTACTCTACACCACGTCGTGCCATGACCATCGAAACAACCACTCCTCCTTTTCTGCCTCCTTTTCTGTCTCCTGAATTCGCCTATAAAGTCTTCTGCTCGCTGCCCTCCCTTCTGACCTCCTCACCCACTACCTATAGTTACTTAAAGTGACCGTTCTCTACAACCCCATCACATTACCTACGCTTATCTACCTACCAACCTACTTTCAACAATGTTGTTCCAGTGCTCCGCTCTCTTCGCAGCCGCTGCTGCCCTTCTCGCCAAGACCGTCCTCGCTCAGGAGAACGCCATCCTCGCTCCCAACGCTGGTTCCGGGATTGTCGCTGGTCAGGACTTCCTTATCCGCTGGTCTCCGACCACCACCAGTTCGATCACTTTGACTTTGAGGAAGGGTGACCCCAATAACTTCGACACCATCGGCACCATCGCGTCTGGTCTCAACAATAATGGCTCTTACACCTGGGCCGTTCGCGACACCTTGACTTCCGGCGACGACTACGCTGTTCAGATTACCGATGACACGGATGAGTCTACCAACTACTCTCACCTGTTTTCTATCGTTTCCGGTTCAGTCTCTTCGTCCGCAGCGGTTTCGGCTTCGGCTGCGTCTTCCTCCGCCGCTCCCGCCTCCTCCGTGACCACCACCGTTGCGGCTGCGTCTGTCAACGCTACCTCGCCCTCCACTACCATGGCCATGTCGACCATTACTGCTCCCGTCGCCGTTAACAGCACTATTGCCTCGTCCACTATGTGGTCCCGCTCCAACTCCTCGACGAGCACCAAGCCTACCAGCAGCGGTAAGTCACTTTACCTTTCTTCGGGATAAATGCTAACCAATCTTCGCAGCCGTCGGAACTGGTAACTTCACTACTTCTTCCAATGGAACTGGCGTAGCCACTGGCCTTCCCATTGCTTCTTCCGAGACCAAGTTGTGTGTTGGTTTCCTTGCTGTTATGGGAGCGATGGCGATGGTGATGTTCTAGACGGGGATACACTGACGGATCCATTCTCTTCTCATATTTCCTTATTCCTTTTTCTTTACAGGGTGTTTCATACGGTTATAATTCTTTCTTCCGATCACTTGGCAGCTCTTTCGCCAATTGAATCGTCTCTAATACTCCTGTCTCCTACGCTCGCGAAGGATGCTGTTGAGGTAGTGCCCAATGTTTGGACGGCGGTAATGAAGAAGACGATGTCTTATGCCTGTGAAGATGCTATTCCCGATAACTGACCGCCAAACCAATGTGTCAATAATGATATCAATGCTCAAACCTAAACACCGAAGAATCTCTGCGACATCGACCTTATTTCTTGCTAGAAGTCTTCTTCTCGGGCCTGTCAGCCGCAGGCTTCTTGTTCTTCCACTCTGTAGTCCTGCTCCTGATTCTGGGCTTCTTCTTGTTGTTCGTCTTGTCATTTCTCTTTGCACGCTCACCCTCGAAGACAATCGCGGTCTTGCCCTTCTTGACCTGAGCAGCCGCAGCCTTACCAAGGATCTTCTGCGCACGGCCCTCCGCAGACTTCTGCTTCTCGTCCTTTTTCTCAACGTATCCAGATGCATTCTTAGGACGACGCTGCTCATACGGCTTGGTCTGCGCAGCTGCCTTCTTGTTTCCGACGCGAGACAGGTTCTTGGCGCGGCAGACACGGAGCTTGCGAGCACCCTTGCCCTCAGTCTTCTTGTCGTTCAGCAAGAGCGCCTTGTCGACATGATCCCTCTCCATGAACTGGACGATGGCGAAACCCTTTCCAATATTGGTCTTCTGGTCACGGACAATGCGGACGTACTCGATCTCTCCAGACTTGGCAAAGTGCTTCCAAAGCATCTCTTCTTGCGCGTCGAATGCTAGGTTACCGACAAAGACAGCGCGCTTGGCATCATGGGGTGCAGGGTGAGCAACGGAGTCAACACGGATATGGTGGTCAAGAAGGACCTGGCCGTTAAGCTTCAAAGCCTCACGTACCGCCTTCTCCTCTTTGAAGACGATGTATGCGTTGACGGTATCACGTTCAGGGTGGAGCTTACCCTGGACGAAAGCAACCTTGCGAGGCAACATCTCTGAGAATGCGACAGAGCGGAAACGAACGGACTCGATCTTACCGCATTCAGCGAACTTGCCCTTAAGGATTTTGTAGTCGGGTTTCGAGCTGATGGTCTTGACCGGGAGATTACCGACAAAGACGGTTCTGGCGGCCTTCTCGACCTCACCCTTGGGTTTTGCGACCGCCTCGTGCACGGGTGGCACGAAATTCTCCTCACCATCCTCCTTCTCCTGATCAGAATCATCCGAGTCTTCCTCAGCAGAAACGTCCTCTTTCGTGACCTCCTCTTCAACATTTTCCTCAGTCTTCTTGTCCTCAACCTTCTGCTTCTTCGATACCTCCTTCACGTTATCGGCAAACACCTTCTGCATGTACTTGTCCTCAAGCTGAACTTCCTCCTTGGCGGCCTCAGCAGCCTTCCTCTTGCGCTTCTTCTTGCCTCCCTCGGGTTTAGGATCTCTGAACACGGCCATAGGATCATCAGAAATGGGGGCCAAGTCTGGAATGGCAGGACGCTCAATAATAGTAACTGAACGAGCAGGAGCAGCGATCGGACCAGCCGTCGCGGTCGACTGAGCGAACAAGGCGGAGAGAGCATTGTCGGCCTTGGCGGGGTTTCCGCCGATCACGGTGGTCAAGGAGGCCCGCTCCTTAGCCGCAGCACCGGTATCCTTGGTTCCAGACTTTGATTTGGCCATTGAAGAGGAGTTGAACCGGTAAGCTTTGGTCGTCGATAAAAAAAGTTATCGGCCCGCGCAGGGTCTGCTGCAGAGCCTTCAAGTGCCGCCGCCCAGTGAGAGCCGTGGAGAACCGGCCAATCCCCGACGGGTCTGTCTGACATGAGTACCGACCGATATGACCGGGGAACTGTCCAAAGAAAGAACAAAACAAAAACGCTGTACAATGAGCCCATCCCTGGCCGGCGTGTCCTGACTAGCGCAGGCGGCCCCCCCGGCGAAAGGGCCCCGTGCACCAGCAGAGCAGAGCAGAGCAGCGCAGAGCAGCGTCCGCCAGAGATCGCAAGTGCCCAGGGAAGAACAAACAATGGACTTCTCTCCTCCTTCTAAACCTTCTGCGGATGCCCGAAGCCGCGATTCAGCGAACGTCGGCAGCTCTACTGCTGCGGAAGCTGCGACGTACGAAGGTATGAACCCAAACCTTCACTTCTTTTTGTTACGAGCTAACACGTTCTGTCTAGCTGCCGAGTCGCTGATCTCCGCTTTCGCCGGTGCGCAACCCCGACAGCACGACGACCAACCGACGGATAACCTCATGGACGACTCTTACGACGCAAATACTGAACAATCAAACTCTAATAACGACAAAGGACGCTCAACATCGGTTCCGTCACACTCCAATTACCAAGAGGGCGCTTCTGCGCTGGCCGAGCTGGCCTTCGCCAGTGCTGGTCAGTCGTCGTTACGCGAAGTATACCCTCCTCTCGGCGAATCGGTTAAAGATGAAGAGGAAGACGATGAGTCAAGCCTTAGCGAGCTTGATTCTGAGGCCGAAACGGAAAGGGCGGATGGTGATGCGCCTGATGAACCAGTCGATAGCGTCGAGGAAGCAGAGGAACAAGAGGACACAGATGATACCAACCAAGCCGCCAATCCATTGTCTATGTTGGCAGCAGCTGGTCAGGTAGCGTCGCCTGCGCCCGTTGCGCCCATCGCTGGTCCCGCTGCTATGCAAATGACCGGCAAGAGGCTTCATATGGATTCACCGACACCGTCTGCTATGGGGCGTAAGAGAAAGAGAAGCTTGATTGGCGGAGATCAACCGTCTGTTGGTGGGTTGCTTTCGCGCACGCCGAGCCCGGAACCGGATCTGGACCTGGACATGGACATGGACAAGGAGGATGAGGAGGAAGATGAAGAAGAGTTGAGACAGGAGACCCCTAGGAAGAAGCAAAAGGAAGAGTATACCAAGGAACCCGTTGAAAGTCTACCCGAGGAGGATGACGCAGCGGCTGTTGAGGAAGAGGGTGAGTATATCTCTTGTCGATTTCTGCAATTTCACGCGCTGACATCACCGAACCAGCCGACGACGAGCGCGCGCAGACGAGAGGGGAAGCCAGAGACCTCTTGACAGAATTGGAAACAAAGTTTGCGAAGCTACGTGACCAGTATGTTTATTTGATTGATATTGCTGGAATTGTGAGATCTGACCGATGTATATTTAGGCTCTTCAAGGAAACCCTCGGCGATCTGGACAAAGACATTGAAATGGTCAACGACGGCACTCACCCGGAGCTCGTCTTGCAGATGGAGCTCATTGCTGATAACCGGACTAAAAGACTCAAGCTTGCGGAGGCCACCAAACGTTTCTGTATCCAGAACATCCGCAATGAACACGATGCGATGGAGTACCATACCCGAATGCAGTTCATTCAGGAGAAAGCCAAGCTGCGCCAGTCAATGATTACTGAAATCAGCGCTAAATGGTTCCAGGTCCATCGCGAGCGTCGTGTCCTTGACATGCCAGTACCCGAGTTTGGATACCAAGTTCCGGACCGACGATCAACGCAGCTCAAGCAGCGTCGCGCGTATGACCTCGAGGTGATGATTCTCACGGGGCTGAAGAAGTACATTGGATTCCCCGCTGCACCCGACGTGTCAGGTGCAACGAATGAGGAAGCTATGTCCGATCTTGATGCTATTCGAGCCACTCCTGCACCCGCCGTTTATCAAACGCACTATTCGGGATACCCCAGGACGCACGATCCATACATGCAAGCGTCGATCAATACGTATCAGCCTCAGCAGCAGAACTATCCACAGATGCATCAGATGCAGCACATCGTGCCGCAAGCTGCTGCAGTACACCACCAGTACGCGAGTCCCATGAGCGCCCATTACGCGCCGATGCTGTCTCGACCCATGTCGCAACATCAGTATGCGTCGTCGCTGGGCTTGCAGCAGACTCCTCAGTCACAGATGGGTGCCGGTGGTCCTCAGTCGCCGGTGAGGCAGCAACATCAACAGGGGCACCCAGCTCCGCAGAATTCTTTACCGCAGGCTCTGTCGCCTCCACTGAAGCAACAGTCGACAGCGACGGGAAGTGGGCCGAACGGATCAGTGTCAAGTGCGGTGGATTCTGAAATGTCGTCGTCGGTACAGAACAAGCTTCCGCCTATCGCGGCGTTGGCAGATAAACCCTCTGTCCCGGCGATGGACCAGAAGGACACCGCAGCACCAACACTGGATACCGGTTTGGCAAAACTGCCAGAGCTCAAGAACGAGCCCGGAGGAAGCCCGCCCTCGATAAGGTTGCCATCCCTGGATGGACACACAAGATTACCACCCATCACATCCACGACTTCCAGCAGCATGAATGGAGGTCCCAAAATCGAAGCAGCTGGCAGCGCGGGCATACTATAAGGTCAGAAAAGGGTAACCGGGCGGATTAGGAGGGATTAGGTTCATGGAGTATTGGTTTTATTGTTCCGTATTTCTAGTTAGCAAAGTAATTGAGCGTGATCCTAGCGTTCGTCGTTAGGAGATCTAGAGAAATGTCATAAAGATGCGCAATTGTACTAGCCAATATCTTCATTCACACACGAGGTTTATCGTTCCCGCTACATTTGTAGTAGAACATGAATACACGCAGATTTACGATAAAGGGACACGTGAAATGAACAGATGTCAGAGCGTCGACAGCAGTATTATTGCAAGACCTTTTCAAGGGATATATAGAGGTACATGAACCATACTCAATCAAACGCTTAGTCGAAGAGGCCGAAACCCATGTCGTCGTCGGACTCCTCCTTCTCCTCAGCCTTCTCCTCAGCGGCAGGGGCGTCAGAGCTGCACAGAACGTTAGTATAAAGTCCATTGACGGACGTAGGAGGGGAACATACGAAGCAGCAGCAGCGGCACCACCAGAGGCGGCAGCGGAAGCACCACCGGAAGGAACGGAGGAGAGCTTGGAGGAACCCTCAGCGATAAGCTCGTTGATGTCCTTACCCTCGAGCTCCTTCAAGAGGGAAGAGAGACGCTCCTCATCGGCCTCAATGCCGACGGCGGAGAGAACAGACTTGATGTCCTCAGCGGAGGGGGAGGCGTTTCCACCGATGGTAAGGAGGAGGTAAGCGGCGAGGTACTTCATCTGAAAGGACACACGTTAGAACTGGCCCGGCAAGAACGATCCCTACGATGCGAAGAGCGAAGAGAACGACTTAGGACTCACTTTTGATGAGAGAAGAACAGAATCAGTTTAACTCACAGCGGAGGGACTCGGTTTCGTCTCTTGGGGAACTTCTGCTGGCTCCGGCGCGGAGAGCAAGATTTTGTCGCAGCAGCCGCGCACGCGCCACGAATGGGGGCCTGCAAACCCTACGGCGCTCCCAATTTGCTCCCCCTCCTCCTCCAGCAAAAATATACCCCCCCCCCCCCCGTCGTCTCCGATCAGCCAGCAGTAGGATCTCCTCAGCACCGACAATCACCCAGTCAAGATGGTACGCATGAAAAACCGTGGATGCCCACTCGGATGAACCACGTTGACACGTTCATGTTTTATGTAGTCCGACCACGAAGATCACGATGCCCAGCTCGCTGCCGAGGCCAAGAAGAAGGCCCGTTCCTTCCGCAAGGTAATTCAGTTCTATTTCAAGTACTCTGCGCATCGCCTAACATGTCTTCTAGTTCTCTTACCGCGGTATTGAGCTCGAGCAGCTTCTCGACCTCTCTTCCGAGAACTTGATCGACCTCGTTCACGCTCGTGCCCGCAGAAGGTTCCAGCGCGGTCTTAAGCGCAAGCCTATGGGTTTGATCAAGAAGCTCCGTAAGGCTAAGCAGGAGGCCCCCGGTAGCGAGAAGCCCGCTACCGTCAAGACCCACCTCCGTGACATGATCATTGTCCCCGAGATGATCGGCTCCGTTGTCGGTATCTACAACGGTAAGGTCTTCAACCAGGTTGAGATCAAGCCCGAGATGGTTGGTCACTACCTTGGTGAGTTCTCCATCACTTACAAGCCCGTCCGTCACGGTCGTCCCGGTATCGGTGCCACCCACTCTTCCCGTTTCATTCCCCTCAAGTAAGCGTATCGCTACGTTTATCTGCTGGGTTTACGTTGGAAGTTGCTGGCTGGATGGCTGTCACGATTGTCGGTGATGATGTATTTTGGAACTTTCTTTCTTGACTGAGATTCCTGATTCCAAATACATTTCCATCTCAAAGAGCTTGTCCTTCACTTGTGCTTGTGTTCCATGCTCAAATGACAATTCCAACCGTTTCTCCCTCTATTGCTTTGTATACTCCAAAATAGCATATGATATAGAGCGAAAGTGATTCGTCTTATCATCCATCCTATCGTTCAAGGCTTCCTCATACGTAAATTTCTTCTTTGGGTTTGGGGTGGGCTTCCGTATGCTTAAGATCACGTGCTGCGACGACGTATAAGTCTACCAAAAGGCCGCCCATTGTAAGAGTTCAGCAAGACAGCAACACCAATCCCCTCCGTAATAAAGTCCGACGAGATCGGCAGGTCTCATACATCAGACCTTGTATTATGTCTAATCGTGAGGTATGCTGCTTCAATTGGCTTCCTTTGCGAATGCCTGCTGATCTGTCCTCACAAGTTCAAGAAACTCCTGGCTCTGGCGTCATCAAATGCCGATCAACAGAAACACGAAATCGAACGTCTGAAACAGCAGGAGGCTGAGGAGAAGCGGCGTCGTGACCTTGCTGAGAAGCAGCAACAAGAGCGAGAACGGAAACAGGCGGAGTTTATTCGACAACGGAAGCTCGAACATGAGAAGCAGGAGGCAAAGAGGCGAGAAGTGGAGAAGAACAAGCTCAGTTACGCACAAGCGCGGGCAGAAAGACAGCGTCAGACGGATGAGCTATTAGGAGTTGCAGCAAAATCTGGTGGAAAAGGTCAGACGGCGTCCGCTGCACGGTCGGCAGCTTCATCGACCTCTGCCTCTAAAGGACAAGCACCAGTGGCCGCTGTTCCGCAAAAGCCTAAGTCTACGTCTTTCTCAGCTCTCATGAAGCAAGCAGCGAAGGTTGATCCAGAAGCGTTGAAAGCATCTCCTAAGCTTCGTGAACATGCAGGTTCGCCGTCCCGTGTTCGCACATCGCGTTTGGGGAACATGAATCAGGGAGCTCCTAGTACCGCGAGCTCGCGTACAACACCTTCTGCGCAGTCCATGGCGTCATCCAGGCTTGGAAGTAATCCTCCATCTCGGAATGGCATGAGTGCACCAAGCTCCATGTCAGCTGTTGTCAGAAAGGGCGGCAAGTATGTGACTACACAGATGACTGCATTAGGAGGTGGTGCACCTCGGGATCGTAGGACTATCGAAGAGATTCAGAATGATCTGGCAAGAACTAAGCTTCAAGCCGGAGGTCCTGTTTCGAGACCAGGAAATATGGCAAGCAGATCCACTGTCGCCGAAGCGAAGCCTGTAACATCTAGCGGTTCAAGGCTCGGAAACCAGAAGCCCAAAACAGCCACAATAAAGGCCGCGCCAGAGCCCGAGCAGAAGAAACCGAAGCCAGCTCCTGGTCCATCGGTTTCAGTATTAGATTTTATCAAGCAGAAGAATGGCGGAGGAGCAACACCACCCAAGAAGACATCAAGCTCCAACGCCTCTGCATACAATCGTGCACGAGCAGCAGGGGCTCCACGCCGTCATGACCCATTTGAAGAGGAAGACGACGACATGGACGACTTCATTGCCGATGAGGATGAAGAGGAGGAAGAAGCTGATATCCGAAATGAGATCTGGAAGATTATGGGCAAAGACAAGCGCAAGTATGCGGCTATGGATGTCATGAGTGATGATGAAGATATGGAGGCTACTGGTGTTGATGTCTGGCGCGAGGAGAGCAAGGCTGCGAGATTGGCCAGACTTGAGGACGAGGAAGAAGAGAGGAGGGAGGCAGAGAGGGCGAAGCAGAAGCGATTGAAGAAGTTGAGGAAGGACTGAATTGGCAAAGGGACGTTATTCACGGAGAATCATGGTTCATGGGCGTTATTTGGGAGCGAGCCTTCATTCATATCGTTGTTTAGAGTATCACGCAAGGAAGGGTTACGCACTGCGCCCCTGCTTGCTATCAGCATAGCTACTTTTCGTCATCGTCAATACCATATATCTATCGCATTATTCAAGGGATATTTTCCCTTCTCTTTCGAGTGCCTGCATCACCCGAAGGGGCCGAGCGTTATACGCCCAAGTAGAAGTAACCTTAAACTCAAAGCGCCAAGTTACTCCTCGACAACATCGCAATGGACAACGATTCCAAGTCGAACTCGACTGCGACAGCAGTAGAAGAAGCAGAAGCGAAGAGACCCTCAGGCGTCCAAGCTACAGTTGCCGGCGGTGTGGCAGGATTGACTTCGCGTTTCGTCATTGCACCCCTCGACGTAGTCAAGATCCGTCTTCAACTACAAACACATGCCGCTACTGGTGTCGCATCCGAAGCAGGCCCGTCATATCGAGGGATCACGCATGCACTCAGAACGATACTGCGAGAGGAAGGCATTTCCGGACTATGGAAGGGCAACATCCCCGCCGAAATGCTTTACCTTACATATGGTGCGGTGCAATTTCTTACATATCGCGAAACAACAGCATACATGTCCGAAAACACGTCAAATTACCTCCCAAAAACAGCACAAACGTTCATCTCTGGCGGAATAGCAGGAAGTCTTGCAACAATAACCACCTACCCTCTCGATCTGCTACGCACACGCTTCGCAGTGACGGGACAAAGTAAAGTATACCAGGGTCTATGGCATTCACTACGGCATATACATGATCATGAGGGGATCAGGGGCTTTTATCGCGGTTCAACGGCAGCGGTAATACAGATATTCCCCTATATGGGACTCATGTTCGGAACGTACGAGGCGTTCAAAGCATCATTGCACCGTGCCGGCCTTCCAAATGGCTGGGATGATGCAGCGGCAGGCACAATTGCCGGAGTAGTATCAAAATCAGGAGTATTCCCACTCGATGTCGTACGGAAACGACTACAAGTGCAAGGACCGATGAGAGGAAATTACCTATATCGAAATATACCCGAATACTCTGGAATGTGGCAGTGTGGGAAGCAGATATTGGCGACGGAGGGAATGAGAGGGCTATACAAGGGATGGTTGGCGAGTATTGTGAAGTCTGGGCCGAGTGCAGCGGTGACATTGTGGACGTACTCTGCGTGTGTACGATTGTTTGAACGGCTTGAATAGCTACAGCTACAGATGCAGCTATAAAGATCAATTGATAGATGGAAGACGTGCTGGCAGTTGCTGGTGCTGTTGCGGTTGGAGATGAAATACGTCATGGGCCAAGCTGCAAAGCGCGGTTAGATAACCACAACGTTCCGTCCAATGTTACGAAGGACAACACCAACATACAGATGCTCCGAATTCTTCGCTGTGTTCGACCTTCAATTAATTATCATCACATTCCTATCAACAGAACTCAGAGAATGCCATTGGTTCGTCGTGATCGTCGTCAGTTCTAAGGGCGTGGGTTGATGGCGTTGCAAATAGGTTACCATCAACACCTCAATTATCGAGTCTTTGAAGAAGGCCGGCGTTATTCCTGATGGTCAGTAGTACTATGATGAACAGCGGTTGAACAATTACTAACGCTCAACCGCCTGACAGTTCTCGACCCCTTCGATGCCACCGCCATGGTCAACGTCACTTACGGCAACAAGGATGTTACTTTGGGCAACAAGCTTTCAGTCGACGAAACTCAGAAACAGCCTGACCTGAGGATCATCCCTGAGGGAGAGGATGATGCTACTTACTCGCTGATCTTGGTATGTTCGCTTCTCCGCCACTTACCGCGTGAATTGCGACTAATTACCGTAATTATAGACTGATCCCGATGCCCCCTCCCGGGAAGACCCTAAGTGGGCACAATACATCCACTGGGGCGTTTCCGGTGTAAAATTTGGTAACATCGAATCCTTTGCCGCCAAAGCCGCCGAATCAGGCGAGCTCGGTCCTATCGACTTCTCCGGATTCAAAACGCTCAAGCCTTACGAAGGTCCCGCGCCCCCAGAGAAGACCGGGTTCCACAGATACTGCTTTATCTTGTTGCGTGAGCCTGCCTCGGGGAAGGTGCCTGAGTTACCGAAGGAGAGGAAACAGTGGGAGGGTGTCAGGGAATGGGCGAAGAAGGGTGAATTGGAGCCTGTTGGAGCGAACTTCTTTTATTGCCAGAACGATAAGCAGTGATTGCAATCGGTGTATATTGCGGAATATATTAATACCCGTAATACTTTTGCCTTCTATGAAACACATACCAGTCGAATATGATTTGCACCTTTATGATTTCCGCCGGTTAATTTGATAAATCCGCACAGGCGATGAGGATAGAGACAATTCTAATTGTCCGATAAAGCCCCTAAGGAGTAAGAGAAGTACGTAACCTCAAATTCATACACGCCGTTTGCAGCCTATTATACCCAGTTGAACTATGCTTTTCAGAGCCCCGAGATGACCGCACTGGCATCCTTGTAAACCTGCAATATATGCTCGCACTTCTTCCGTTCCTGTGCAAGCGACTCATCTTCGTGCAAGAGATCGTCGAACAAGTCCTCCTTATACAGCTCCGACACCAGCCTGTTGCTGACAGATTCCTTCGTGAAGTTAACAAGAAGGTGCATGACAGCCTTTGGTACTTGATCCTGGATGATCTCCCGGACGATATTGAAGTAGGACGTGATCAGATTACGGATGAGTTCAGTTTCCATCTGCTCCCTCTCAGTAAGGGCAGGCTCATCATAAATGATGCTTGCAGAGTCATCCAGAGACAAGTTGGAGACATCAGGCCTCCTGAAGGAACCGGTGAAGTTAGGTTCGGGCAAGGCCTTACCCGTAACAGAGGTTCCATCGTTTCCGAAGAAATGATTCAAGAATGAGTCCCTAGCGTTCGGTGAAGTGTGAAGGGTAGAAGTTGCACTGCCTGCCATGGGACCGTTGAGAGAGGGAACGGCGCCATTAGGAAGGTCCTGGTTCACGGCGCCAGTGTCACGAGGATATGACAACGTGCGGCCGCCAGGAATAGGGTGCTCCGGCTCCGGAGTGGCAGTGCCGTTGGTAGCGACACCAGCCTTGACCTTTGTCGTTTGGTCCTTACGCTTCTTCTCAGCCTTGCCGTCAATCATCTTGGAGACAGCTCCAGCACCACCTAAAAACTTGGGGTGGTTTGTGTTGATGTATGCTCGTTGAATTGAGATCAAGCTTTCAACGTAGTTCGACGTAGGACCGAGGCGTTCTCTGAGGAGCTCCGAAATAACCTCGATCAGCTTGCCTTGCAGGCGAGGGTAGCGAGTCAACTCGCTGTCGCCACAGCTGTGACAGATCTTCATCAACTCCTCATAGACAAGCTCCACACACCTCTGACTTGGCGGCTCCAGCAAGCGAATCTGGGGTCTGACGAGGAGGTCGAACGCCAATTCTGGCACGAAAAGTGATGGTCTTGGGCCGGTAGAATTGCGAATAGCTGTTCTGATATCGTGGACGGTCAAATTGGTCGTCGGGTCGATAATATCCAAGGCATTGCCAAAGACACTGTTGAAGATGTAGTAGATTCGAGCACCACCACACAACTCCTTCGTCGAGATTTCCGACAGTGTACCATCGATTGATGCGATGAAGTTGTTGGAGAAGCGGGTCATGAGCTGCAGGATGCGCAAGCCCTTGGGTTGGGTTGTTCCCGCGACGGCTCCCACGCCATGGTCGCCGTATGCCGCCAGTTCCTGCTGAGTTTGACCCATCAAGGTGTTAAGTCTCGCCTTGATGTCTGGCAAGCGCTCTCGAATGTGCGCCATAAGGATTTGGTTCAGGCTCTTTGCCAAGTACTGAGTGCCGCAACGATGTGCGATGTTTCTGTACGCAGGGTGATGACGAAAGAAATCCTCCTCGCTCCTCAACGCATCCGGCAAGCTCTTGTTTGCCTGGATGTCATGCTGGCTGCGGTTGACTACTCCAATGAATCCAAGCTTCAAGGGGTATACCCGACCAGACAGAATTTCGAGAGCATTCGTCCCCTGATCCATCAAGTCGAGCTTAGTCAAAACACCAATGGTACGCTTGCCAGACGGGTCGACTTGACGAGCAAGTTTCAACCCTTCGGAGTTAACAAGGTCGATGTTCGCGGGCGTGACCGCTAAGATAATACTGTTTGGCTTGGCGATGTACTCAACGATCAAATTCCTGACTTGCTTCTCGATGTCCGTAGGTTGATCACCAATAGGAATCTTGGTCAAACCTGGCAAGTCTACCAGAGTCAAGTTGAGAACGTGAGGCGAGTAGATCTTCAAGTTGATCGGTAGTCTGTTGATTCCCTTGTTCAAACCTGCAATCCGCGACGTCTCAGTCTCAATTTCCCGACGAACCTCCGCGAAGTCATTATAACGCCTTCCAGGCAAATGCAAGAATTCTGCCCACTCGGGTTCCTCATGAACAGCCGCTGCGCTGTGCGGGGGAGGAATGTCATCCGAGGCAGTTGGAGGACATGTGTTGATGAGCTGGAGGATCAATGGACGCCGAGTGACAATTCCGGAGCCCCTTGGAAGGAAGTCGCGACCAACAATGTTCTCCAACACAGAGCTCTTTCCGCTGGACTGACTTCCAACTACCACAATCTGCGGGAGGTCGATAGTGTCCGAACCAATCGTGTTGAACACAATGTCCTGAAGTTTGTTGACAAGTGGAATAAGGTCGTCAAGCATTTTGATGTATACTGATGTAAGATGAAAGATAATTACCAAGGCTGTATTGAAAATTGCTTATCCGGAAAGTAGTGAGAATCCGAAGTAGCTGCCAAAGAAAGTGTCGTGCGCTGGGATGGGATGGACCGAGTAAAGCCCTTCAAACGCCGAAGCTGTCGTCGAGCTCGACGAGGGGTATGAACAGAGGAAGGCCGGTTGATTGCCGGTTCGCTGATTGTTGTTGGTCTGGAGGATTTTCGAGCCGTTCACCCTGGGATGTATGCCAGCTGCAGACCGTGAACGCCCGCTTGTCATGGCAATTAACAAATTAAAGAAACCTTAATGTAGATTCTATTTTCCACAAAATGCTAAAAACCAGTCGCACCAAAGAACCATAACGCCAATGAGATCCTGACCATGCAAACCCTCTCAGAACTCCCAGTTGGTTAACACGGGACCGACCTCCACAACTGCAGCCTCCTCCCCATCCTTCGCCTTCGGCATGCAGAAAACAGACTTAGGTGCCTCAAACTCGATAGCCGGCACTTTCTTCATATGTCTGGTCAGTTCAGCATCCAACATGGTCGAGTAGTTGTGATCGAGGAAGTCCTCAAGATTGTAGGACGGCTTCGTAAACTGCTCCTGCAAGATCTTCGCGAGCGTGGCCACATTAGGGTGGTAGTGATTCTGAAGGGTCGCCAACTCCCAAAGCGAAGATTCCAAAGCTCTGCTGTTAAGCGGCTCAGGCTCCTCAGGGTCGAATGGATCCTCCGCCCCAGTAGTGATTTCTCCCATCTTGTGGATGAGCGTCATGCATGTTGGATGACGCTTGAGAAGGTTGTAGGTAAAGGGAATGATGATGACGATGGCCGCAGGCGGAGCAGTCAACGAAAGACGTGACATCCTCTTGATAAACGATGCCGCAATACCAGCAGGCAAGTGAGTAGACGACAAGAAGAGGTCGACCAAACGCACGAATCTTGACCGGTACCGAACATGCATGAGGTTGCGGTCAAAGAGATTGTAAAGCTGCTTAAAGAAGTTAGGGTAGTCGAGGTTGTGGCTTTGCATCAATTGGAACAATCCGTTTAATGCAAGAAGAGCGATGGGTCCACCGGCGTTGTACGAGTCTGTCAAGAAGTCCATAAGCAACTGAGGCTTGGGCATGTGGACAACGATACGCTTGTGCATGATCAAGAGCACATTCTTGTACAGATCCATCGTGAGAGGAAGACGAAGAGCTGCCAGCCAACACTCTTGGAAGGTCTTCTTGTGCGCGCTAAGGTCCAGAAGTTGAGGTGTCTTTTTCTTTGATGCCTTAGGCCCGTTTGTCCAGAATTCATTGATTTCTGACTCGTCCGTAGGCATCGTTCTTAATGCAGACAAGATGTTGTGGAGATTGGCAGTGAAAGTGGCGACACGCTCTGGCTCCTCATCCTTGATTGCGATTGCATCCTCCGCCAACTTTGTTGCATTCTTCATAAAGTAGAATCTCAGATCGTCATGCACATTCCAGTGCTTCGTAACAAAGACATCCCGCACTTCATCGCTCAAGCTAGAACTGTAAAGCACTGCCTCCACTGTCCTCATATAATGGTCGTTGGCGAAATGTGCGCTCCCTTGCGACTCCGACAACTGGACACTCTCATCTTTCAACAAACGCAACAAGAGCGTCAGGGCAGTGAGCTGAACTCCCGCCTCAGGGTGATCCAGCAGAGTGCACAACTTCTTGGAGTAATCGACATACTTTCCGCGAAGCCAGAGAGCAACAGTGGCGGCCGGTGATTTGTCGTTCTCTGCTGGCTTAACGAGTTTACCCTCCTTCAAGAACGTAGCGAAAAGCCTGTAAAGCGCAGCAGTCGCAGCGTGAACAATGTCTCCATTCTTTGATCCACAGTAATTCAGAAGCGCTGCGAAGTGGTTGTAGTTCTTTGCCGACTCGTTGATCTCCTGCTCCAACGTCGCGATCTCTCCCTTGATGTACCCAACCGTTTTCTTCGGCTTTTCCACAGCTCCCACAGTATCGGCAACCCTCTTGCGCTTTCCGATTACCCCAGGCATTTTCTTATTCCGTAGATATAGCAAAAGTCGTGCGAATATTTCGAGGACTTTTCGGGATTGCCTCTCCAAAATATTGAGGTCCCGTGATTTAGTACCCTGAGGCAAACACTCGTAGGTCGGGGCAACCGGAGGTGAGGCTGCACATCATCGCCAGCTGCAGCAAAAGTGATCTCAACATACCCAAAAGAAAAGGTACGATTGCAAGAGGATCAGGACTGCTGGACGTTCGGTACGGTGTGTGTGACGTTCAATTATGCGGATCTTGATCTTTATGTCTCGATTTATGGGCGGAAGCTGATTGTGCGTGGTTACAGGATGGCTCTCCGACTCACCACTCAGCGCCTTCCAGGTAAGATATTCCTGTGTCAGTATATGCTCTTTTTGCTAACATTGGATAGGCATGCTCGCTCGCCCCGCGGTCGCTCGCGTCGCTGCCACTGCTGTCCGTCACAACTCTACCCCCGCTCGCCCTGAGCCCTCCAAGCAGGCTGCTGCCATTATCGATGCCCTCCCCGGAAACTCCATCCTCAGCAAGACCGGTATTTTGACTGCCGCTACCGCTGTCTCCGCCCTCCTCGTCTCCAACGAGTTCTACGTCGTCAACGAGGAGACTGTTGTCGCCATCTCCTTCCTCGGATCCATTGCTATGATCGCTAAGCTCGGTGGCCCCGCTTACTCTGAGTGGGCCCAGGAGAAGATCAACCGCATCAAGAGCGTTCTCGTTGCTGCCCGCGAGGAGCACGTCAACGCCGTCCGTGAGCGCATCGAGTCCGTCGGCAACATGAAGGACGTCGTTGAGTCCACCAAGGGTCTCTTCGCTGTTTCCAAGGAGACCGCTCAGTTGGAGGCTAAGGCTTTCGAGCTCGAGCAGAGGGTTGCTTTCGCTTCCGAGGCCAAGTCCGTTCTTGACTCTTGGGTTCGTTACGAGACTTCCGTTCGTCAGCGTGAGCAGAGGCAGTTGGCGGACAGCATCATTGCTAAGATCCAGAAGGAGCTCGGTAACCCCAAGTTCCAGCAGCAGTTGTTGGCTCAGAGCGTTGCTGAGGTTGAGAGTAAGTTTACATCTGGTTATAAATATCCCGAATGAACAGCATGGCTAACAGCGTCTACAGAGATTGTCTCCGGCAAGCAGTAAGTTAATGAAGGATAAACGATGGAAGATGTACTATAGCGGGTAATTCACAAAACGATTCGTAATTTTTCAATCATCCAGTTGTCTATATATCCAACGTGAGCCGTCTAATAATCAGGTTGTTTCATGCTGCAGGTTTCAAGCGGATCCGGAGGCAGCCAGCACCGCTGCCGACAAGAAATCCAGCTCAGTCCTCAACTGTAAGTACCCACCAACACACTCGTAAGGGGACAAGCACTTGCAAAATGATTACGACAGATGCTATCAATTTGGCATCCGCCAACCTTCTGGACGAGCTTGACAAGCATAACCTCCGTCCGCGTGTCGTTCACCACCACGGTACACCTGGCGGATCGGGTACCATGAGCCCTATTGAAGGTGTTATGAAGAGCGATATCGAGCTTGGAGCAATTGGCAAACGATTGAAAGACCCTTTGCTGTTGCAGGATAGGCTTATTTCGGACGAGCAACTGGAGACGCGGTTTAAATCATCCAGAAGCTGCATTACTGGACGTGAACAGCAGCGTGGCGATCAGAGTAAGCTCTCTGCAGCCGTAAAGAAGTTCTACAAGCAACAAAACGAGAACATCCATGCGCTGTTGAAACCAATCGAGGAACATAGAAAAGATGCGGACACTGAAATGGATAATGATTTGCTCAAGGTAGTCGGATCCATGCCGTCGTGACCGTGGGTGAATGCTTATGACTCTTTGTCTCACAGGTTCAGATTGCTATTCGTGGTTCCTTCATCGCCAACATCATTCTGGCAATCCTCCAGGTGTATGCTGGTGCTGCTTCCGGTTCTCTATCGCTTATCGCCACCATGGCTGATGCTATCTTCGATCCCCTCAGTAATCTGACTCTCCTCCTCGCTCACCGAACTGCAAGCAAGGCCTCAAACTCAAAATGGCCTTCAGGCACTGCACGTATGGAGACAGTGGGTAATGTGACCTTCTGCTTCATCATGTCCGCCGTCTCTCTCGTCATCATTGTTGAGTCAATCCGTGCTCTCGTTGAAGGTGGCGATGGCGCAACCGAAGATCTTCACGTCCCTTCCATTATCGCTGTTGCCATTGCGTTTGCGACTAAGTTCACTCTCTTCTTGTACTGTTTCGGATTCAGACAGTACTCGCAGGTTCGAATTCTTTGGGAAGACCACCGCAATGACCTCTTCGTCAACGGCTTTGGTCTCTTCACCTCCATCGCTGGTTCGAAGATCGTTTGGTGGCTCGACCCGACCGGCGCCATTATTATCTCCGTTCTCGTGCTGGGGTTGTGGATGTACACTGCATATCACGAGATGCAGCTTCTCATCGGCATCTCCGCCGATCCCCAATTCCTCCAGCTCGTCACGTACAACGCCATGACGCACGACCCCTCGGTCCTTCAGGTCGATACTTGCCGTGCTTACCACGCTGGACCCAAGCTTGTCGTCGAGGTTGATATTGTCATGGACCCAGCAGTCTCATTGCGTGAGAGTCATGATGTTGCCGAGTCATTGCAGGAGAAGTTGGAGTTGCTTCCTGATGTGGAGCGAGCCTATGTTCACGTCGACTTCGAAACATCGCACAAGCCCGAACACAGGAAGGTTTTGTGATGTTCTTTATTGGTTTTCTTAACACGGATTGTGCGGAGTGGAAGTGGTGTGGTGATTTTCCTTAAAGTACGAGGACGGAGGGGTGATAGAGTACTTTCAGGAGTTGAGCATTCATCCAGTCGAGTAGAACTGGAAGTTGCAAACAGAACGCCGATATCCAAAAAGAACTACATCCCAGCGGAATCATATCTAATAATACGCATACGCCGACATCCTCTCCATGCCCTTTCTAAACCCTATACCCTCATCTTTTTTCTCCTCAGCGCCCGTCACCATCCTATCAATGTTCGCAGTCTTGAAATCTGCACGGCATTGTAGGTATGGCAACAGGAGGTGCGGCTTGATTCGAGCAAGTGTGCCCTCCCTGAGCAGCGAACGGAGGATCTCCGGACGAACGATGAAGATGTTGCCCAATTCATGCAAGAACTCGTTACCGTCGCGAAGTTCCTGCACTCGCCATGCCCCAACTGCCTCCTCATATAGCGTAAGATCTTTCGTCAAACTGATGCCACCAGTGGCTGTGACCTGAAACTTCTTGAAATGATCGAGAAGTGCTGCTTGGAAGCTCAGTCCCGTTTGCAACAGGAACTGATGAAAGTTTTCGCCGTCCAAAGCTTTCGTTGCTTGCTTGTGAACTTTGGACAAGAAGTCAACGACGGCCAAACACGGCGCAGTCTGTAGGGTCGAGATACTGGCTTCGTCTTCCTTAGGCCGGAAATCTGTCTTCTTTTGCCGTGCGAGAAGAGCATTGACCCAAGCCAAGATGATATCGATCGTCTTCTGGACCAAGTTGTTGATCTTGTTCTCCAAAAGCGCGATATTGTTGTTGGTATAGTTCGCCATCTCTCTGCGAAGTGTGAATGACGAAGCAGCGAGCGGAATGAGCGCCGTATCGATGTACGAACGCAAAAGCTGCAAAATCGACGTCGCGATACGAATCGTCTGTAAGTACTGGAGCCTTGGCTCAGAGCGTGTGTCCTGCGCATTCGCTTCACTCAAAGCCGCATCCAAGGCTGTTTCCACGTAAGCCTTGCCGACGTATTCCATCAACACACTCAGTAGTGTTCTTGCATCCTTGGCCGTTTCCAAACTTGAACTTAACTCCACTGTTCGACCAATGGACTCTGCATGCCATTTTATCATCCGCTTTGCTGCATCGATGGAGAGTAGTCCATCTGCCTCTGTCGGCTCCATTCCTAAACCTTGATGAGCCCCATCGACCGAACTGTCGCGTTGATGGAGGCTCTTTGAACTGTGGCTTCGCTGCAGCGTACCAGCAAGACGACGTAAGGACGCTCCACGTCCATCGCCACTTGGAGTCGCACTTCGCTCAGGGGGCTCCATCTCCGTCTGTCTTACCGAAGACGCAGCAGATGAAATCTGGTTGACGACACGATCAAACATCGTCGGGTTCTTCGTCTGCTTGCGCGCCGTATGCCACTGGTTGAACTTCCAGAGGAAACTGGCAAACAGTTCTTCCAAGCTCTTCTTTTCTCTTTCGATGTACCTGTTGCCTTCCAAGTATGGCACGAAGAGGTCTTCAAGGTTTTGATCGAGAACAAGGGAAACTGCAGATGCAGAGTGGTCTACTACGGAAAGCGATGCGGAGGATGTGTCGAATTCCTTGATGTCGTCAACGAGCGAGATTGTTGCTGTTCTGCTTGATTGAAGGCAGCGAAGATATGCCAACGTCGAATTCCGCTCCGCAAAGTCCATGAGCTCCTCTAATCGTTGTTGAATCGACTGTGCAAAAACACGCTGTAGGAACACTTGGATCACGTTTTCCGGAACCGGGAACACCGTCCGAATAGTCTGTATCTCCTGCTCGACGGTCATGCGAACCTCATCATACAACCTCAACAAGCTCGGTTCCGTCTTGACGTTCTCGGCATCTGGGTCTGGCAGACGTTGCCATATTGCGTCGTTACCGAGAACATCTCCTCCCTCAAGCCTTTCGCGCATGATGAAGAATTCATGTTGGTTGACGAAGGCTTGTACCACACTTGCTCCTCCATTGAATTCCGTTAAGACCTTCGCAGCATCGGCCATTTCATCCAGTTTATTCTCCCTGTATGCGCGGTCGAAGTGCTTCAAGATGCGTCGTTCAAACTGCTCAATGTATGCTTCAATAGCGGCACGTGTCTTGGCGGCATTTGGCAGGTCGATGTCTTTCGAAACGGACGTAAGTCTGCGAGTGATGACAGCAACTCGAAGAATATCGGCTGGGTTACCGGAGTTCATCAGGTTTTCTAGTTGTGGTGATGTGCCTTCAGGTCGGCTGAATTCGGTATAGCATTCGATCAATAGCCGTGCCTCAATCGCTCTCTTCTGCTGTTTGTCCAGTTGCTCCAATTGCTCTCCAATCCTGATCGCTGTCGTTCCTACCTCACTTATCCGCAACTCCAGACCCTGAAAAGATGATATTACATTTTCGAAATTCGTATTCAATTGTCGTGTCTTTTTGGCATGAACGCGCTCCGTTTGTTGCATATCCCGTCGTAAATCATCTTCTCGATTTGTAACATCCTCCTTGATCAACTTCAAACGGTCAAGAGCAGCTTCAAATGTCCGAATGTAAGGAACCGGGTCGAAAACTCCATGATTCTGCTTGGTTGCTTCGATGTTGTTATGGCATAGTCTCTCCAAGAACTCTTTTGACGTGAACTTTCCCCTTAGGTTATCGATTGTCAGCAGCTCCTTTGTCTCTGGATCCAAATCGTAACCGTCCATCCTCCTCGACTGAATGCTGCCCCTTCACTGTCCAGCTGGTGTTTACGTGCGGTGTCCATGACGCGGGGTGCACGTGCTCCCCGCCGAGACGTGCGCAGTAATCCGCGAGCCCCAGTTGCACGGCGCGGTGTTCGCAATGGCCGATCTCATCTTCAGGACAGTCTATGGCCTGATCCTTACCATCATTCACACCATATACGCCTTCTACACTTCCGTCCGCTCGACCTACAACATCACCCGGCTTCGCATTGCCTCCATTCTCAATTACCACCACCGGACACCAGCAAACATCAGAAAAGATGTTGCATTACTCAAAAAGTTACCTGATCATGTGGCAGTAATCCTTGAGTCGAAAGGAAAAAAGGAGGGTGGCGTGGAGAAGTTGATTGACGAGGTTGCGGATCTGAGCTGTTGGTGCGCGAGCGTTGGTGTTGCCACGTTGACTGTTTACCAGAAGACCGGTATGTGAATTATAAATTGCTTCGCCAACTTCGCTTACATGGAGTATCAGGAATGCTGAAGAACTATGAAACCCCGGCCCATCGCGCTGTCTCTGAGCGCCTACACACCTACTTTGGTTCAACTCGACCAACCTTCCGGATCACTTCGCCTCATTCCCCTAATGCACCCTCTCTACCACCGAATGGCGATGCTGTTCATGACGAGGAGGAAGTCGATCTCGAAATCAACTTCGTCGCACAGGATGACGGCCGGGAAAGCATCGTTGACTTTACACGCGCTTTGAGTGATTTGGCGCAGGGAGGAAAGTTCAACAGCGAAGATGTCAGTGTCGACTTGATTGACCAGGAGATGAAAGGTTCGTTCCTTCCTTTGCCGAAACCCACTATATCATGCTAACGTGCGACATACAGCGTCCGTTATGGGCGAGCCCGACCTTCTGATCCTCTTCACACCTCGGGTTTTCCTCCAGGGCTTCCCACCGTGGCAAATCAGGCTCACTGAGATCTTCCATTTGGAGGATAATGAGGGTGTGTCGTATACGGTGTTCTTGAAGGCATTGCATAAGTTTGCTGGAGCGGAGATGCGCTGGGGACGTTAATCAGGTGCATTGAGACGAGAGGACGGACAAAATTATCGCATTTATGAACATCAATGCATCTTGAGTGTGATGAATCATATTTTCCCACGAGTCTCCAAGCGCACAGTGAAACGGACCCAGTCTTGCGCATCATCAATACAAATCTCCCACGTCGATTCCATGTTGGTTAACAGATCGCGGTCGTGTTTCCCACCAGAGGCAACCTCCGCGCACCCAGCGACGGTCACTGCAACTCTGATCACAATTGCTAAACCGTACACGAATTCTCCTTATTCGCATGATCCACAGTCATCAACGCCGCCTTCAGATAAAACCCACCCTTCGCGCCATAAACCTGCTCAGCATCCCTCAATGCCCTTACCACCTGCACAAAATGCGCATCCTTGCTTCCCTCTCCATTAACTGCAGACTTATACACCTCCTCCCACCCCCTCCCTTCTGTATCGTATTTCTCAAAGACATCGTCATGGAAAGCAGGACGAAGCTGAGTGATGTAATGGAGACACATTGCGAAGAATAGTTCGCGGATTAAGAGGGGGAGGGTGTTTGATGGGAGCATTGTGGAGCAGATGCGTGTTGCGTGGGCTGCAGTAACCATCTGGAGCATGGAAAGGTTGAACTTGGGAGCAAAGTCTGTGCTGGAGTGCGTGCCGGCATACAAATGAACTGCAATGTCGAAGAGTCCTTCCAGAGAAGCTGTCGCCCTGTAGTTAGCCTATATATGCTGAAGATTTTAAGGGAGGTCTTACTCTTCGTCCAATCCCAGTCTCGATAGTGCTCCAGCATGAGCTCAAGGAACTCCTCCAGCAGCAACTTCAAATTCTCCTGGTCAGGTTTCTCAAACAGTCCATTAAACCTCTGATCCTGACCAATTGCTTTCAGAACGTCCATGGCTGGTAGGTATGCCTCTTCTGGTTCTTGATATCGCTCCATTTCAACGGAGAACACTGGCTGGATGAAGTTTACGCAGACAGCGGCCAGGGTGAGGGCCTCCACCGCAACCTCGAAGGAGTCGAGTTCGAAAGCATACTATACTCGCTGTCAGCCAAGCCGCATCCTGTAAAAGTGAAGGTGATCTGAATACCCCTAGATGGATTAGGGGATGACATTCTGCGAAACACAGGATCAGCAGGTGCACAAGGACGTAGAAGGTATTTTGGAGGGCGTGATCTTACCTCCTTCAATCAAAGACTTCAACAGGAAACAATTATCCTTTAATAAATAGTCTTTCACTACCGCCTTCCAGTCGTAATCACAATGCACAACCTCGTCTCCAAAGAAATGGAAGTACTGGTATGCAGACCTGCCCTTCCGGTTAGCAGAACGCCCTTATGACGCAAATGATCTTACACTTTGTCTCCAATGTTGTCCTTCCACCAGTCAGGAGAAATCTCCACAGATTGCAGACCTGGATCCTTCCATTCTTGCGTGTTTGTGATAGCTACATCATATACTTGGAAGAGCCTTGCTGGAGGAGCGCCGAGGAGGTAAACCGATCCAAGGTGCTGTAATACATATTTAGTCTGCTGCAGGCTCAGGGACAGGTCTGGAATGTTACGAACGTGCGGTAGGTAGTTATGGCCGTTGTCATCGACAAGAACGGAGTTTTGGCGGTGATTCGCTCTCAACAAGATCTGGAGTTTGCTCTTCGACGCTGGATCTGGTGATCCCGGCAGCGGAGTCGACGACGATAGGAAGTTTCCCATTCTGAATGCTGTTGCGGTTGGCGAGTAATATTTAAAGCTACAGTGATTCGAGGTAGCAGATCAATGTCAAGGGTTCGTTGGTTCTCTGGGTTCCGGTGGGGTACAATTAAAGTTGAGGTGACTGCATCATCGTGCATGGCTGGCAGCTGCGGTCCGTCGGACGTGGGTTCGATGCTTGAGAGATTCGAAAATGAGAATTAATCTATCTCCGTCTATAGCTATATCATGCAGATGATGCCCAATCATTCCGTTTTCTCGGCCTTCTTCTTTACCTGTGCGACTTTGCTGCTTTCGTAAGTGTACCACGCTGCTCCTCCCAATACCAGGACAACTCCTATAACCAACTCTGCAGTTGCCTCGTTCCCAAACAACCAGACGCTGAGTGCTAGACTGACGAACTTTCGCAGACTAAGAACGATGGTCAATGTCAATGCCGAAACACTGGCACCGAGCTTATTCACTCCCCGAACGCAAAGGTACTGGGTGAGGATATTGGCGAAGAGTGCAAACACCCCTGACGGTAGGGTGTATGTCGGGAGTTTGGACGTGATGGCAGGATATGAGGTCACTTCCATGTGATTGAGAAGGGGTACGAAGGAAAAGGTGAGTGGTGGAGACGCTGAGAGATCAGCGAACTGCTGACGGATCTGAGAGGCGAAAGGGATAAAGAGCGGAAGAGCGAGAAAGTGCTAAATAGCTGTTCGTAAGAAAGATTATCGCATCGGAGTAGTAAAATTTACCGTGTAGAACAGTCCCTCTCTCCAATGGGATCCGTGCATTTGGTAAGTCTTCTCCAAGTGCAACCCCATAAGACCAGACAGGATCTGGGCCGTCACTAGGATAGCCACTCCGAGAACCACCTCCAACAATGTTCGGTGTGTTTTGCTGGAAGACGAACTTGTATCGGACAGCGTCGAGGCAACGACACCAGCGGAGAGAATAACAACTGCCAAAACCTGCCGAACCGTATACCTCTTCCCCGCGAACAGCCATCCTGTAAGCATCGTAACCACCGTACCTCCACTGCGGAAAAGTACGTGCACAGGTACGCTAACGTACGTGAACGCCATGTTGTTCAGCAGACTCACTGTGAAGAACAGCGCAACCGCTAAAATCCATCGTGATAGCGGTATCGCTCTGTCCGTAAGAAGCGAGGGTCGAAGTAGTAAGCATGTGACAGACACAAAGACAAATTGTGCAAATGTTATCAATGTCCCTAGACCAGGACGTCCTCTGGAAAGTCAGCAGATGTTCGAGGAGGAGTAGGATGTTCTGCACATACTTGACGAGCGACTCCAGAGCCAGGACATTCGTGCAGCAGCCACCGAAAATGAAAGACAAGGCCACAGTCCATTGCGCTATTGCACCGTCAAGAAATAGAACCATTGCTCTCGAAAACAAGGGTCGAGGAATGGGTTCTTCGGTGTTTGTGTGAGCGGTAATTAAGCTCCGGCCGCCGACGTATCCGGGGAAGGGACTCATGCTCACCAGGGAAAAGATGCAGCACCAGCCACGCTCGTACCGCACCGAGACTTGCGGCCGCCAAAACACTGAACACCAGAAAAATATCTCATAATGGCTGCAGAACAGAGGAAGTTGCTGGAGGTAGGTCAATGCATGGAGCACTTCACGGTACCATACTGACCGCTCGCGTAGCAACTCATGGGCTCCGATGCCTTCGGTAGCAATAACGCAGCAGCCAGCGTTCCGTTCACCGATTCACGCGTCTGTCGCTCCTTCCTTTGCGGCGATTGTCCACATGACATGTTTACGAATACCAAAATGGATCTGGGCCCGTGTCCACGAATGCATAGCGAGAAGCACAAGGCGGAGTACGAGGAGGCACGGAAAAACAGAGATTTCGGCTACGAGTGGGATTACCAGCGGGATCTGAGCAAATACGTGAATGAATGTGATCGAAGAATTGATGTGGCACAGAGGAGATTGGAGAAGACTCCGGAAGAACTGGCAAGAACCAACCAATTGGTACGCGACATGACCGACCTCGAGGCCTCTATCACCGCAGCCCTCGCCGAGATCGAAGTCCTTGGAGAACTAGGCGAAGTCTCTCGCGCAATCGAAGAATACTCGAAAGTCCAAAACCTCAAATTCGACAAAACCCAGAAAGAAGAAGAACTCAAACAACTATCCGACAACTCCGGTGCCTCAGGCCACCAAAAACTGCAAGTGTGCGACGTATGCGGTGCATATCTATCCAAACTCGACAACGACAGACGATTAGCGGATCATTTTGGAGGAAAGATGCATATGGGATACGCGCAGATGCGGAAAAGACTGAAGGAGCTGGCGGAGAAGAATATTGGGAGACCACCGATGGGAGTGCAGGATGACTATGGGCAGTCGAATGGAGGAGGTCATGGTGGTTACGGGGGCGGAGGCAACTACGGAGGAGGCTATGGCCGCGGCGGAGGTCGAGGCGGGTTCAGAGGAGGGCGGGGCGGATACGGTGGAGGTAACTACGGCGGTGGGAACTACGGCGGAGGTGGTTATGGCAGTCGTGGACGATATTAACATATCTATGGCAATTTAATCGATTGACCTCGTACTGTACTCCCGGCACGTGTACCTTCGGAGGTGTAACGGATGGAGTAGTAAGAAGTGATTGTTATTCGAATGAAGAAAAAAAGCTACCCAAACCTCCCCTTTATATAGTAAAGTTCTGTACCGGCTTCTAGGAAGCCGTTCCCCAACGAAGCCGTTCCCCAACGGAGCCGGTACTCACCGAAGCCGATACTCACCGAAGCCGGTACAATAGAATTAAAACCAGGTACGACGTACCTGTAGAATCCGTAGTGTGGTTCGACACACTACACTCTCCCCCCTCTAAACGGTACTAACTAGAATAAAAAACTCGTACCAACAGAAAGAAAGGAGGCAGTTTCTTCAAAACCTGTTGCCAATCCTGTACAAGTGTTTTGCCACAGCACACTTGTGCAACCTTTTGCAACTCTCCCACGACGAATCAGGCTTGCCTTCATCACTCTCCCATTCCACCTCATAGTAGGTGATCCTCCTGCCATGGACGAGTTTGCGAGTGTGATTGTCAATGTGTAACACCTTCCTAAGCTCCTTCTTCCTCCCAAAAAAACCGTATTGCTCAAACACATCACCCTTGGGGCAACGATTCTTGGGCTTCTTCCATTTGCGCTGGTGCCCATTCATCTTGTAATAGGTGATGTGTTTGAGCAATACAGCTTTCTTGGGAGGAAGAAGGAGCTTAGGAAGGTGTTACACATTGTCAATCACACTCGCAAACTTGTCTATTGTTCAGGTTTGTCGCTCCTAAGGAAATCGTCCCACAAGATGTTGTCCAAGTCTCCCCACACAGTGTCATTGATACCAAAAAGATCACCAAGTCGTCCATCGATGTTGTACTTGTTGTTGTGGTTGTTGTTGCTGTTGTATTGTAGTCTGCTGTCTGCTGTCTGAGGATCTCAGAGAAGGGTGGTTCGTCCCCCCCTTATATACCCTCCCCCTCCAAGAGATAGGGCGAAAATCAACGTAGGTTGGAGACGTAGATAGTCTTCACATACGACTCACTCTCAGCAGAGTTTGATTGGATGTGTATCCCATCATACGATGTCCGCTCCCGATGTTTCGATTTTCCCACGATATCTCAAGCGTATGACGTCGTATGGCAATGGGAGTGGTACCATTCGGTTTGTCTCACTCAGGCGCATCGATTGCACCCCTTCCCGACTCCGTAGCGTCCAATTTGAAAAAAAGACCGTGAACGTTGTATAGTGTTGATCCAAGCGTCGGATCGCTGAAAAGATTTCGTAATCGTAATCGTAGGGCTTTGTTATCCCTTGCCACCAATTCTCAGCTCGATCCGACCTTATCTGAGGTATTTTCTTTGTTGTGCTGCTGAGGTATCCGCCGCGCGCCATGGAGTTCATAGCTGACGCGCATAATCGACGCAGGGTTCACGCAGCCCCTGTTTCAATGACAAACCTCACCAGATCTCATCTTTATACACGTTTTCCAAGACAGTAGCGATCCAGAATCCTAGAACAAGAATATGACGTTGCAAGGTATGGGCTGCGCACCTGTCATCGGAGGAACAAACATACTGGGAGGTTGTTGCAAAGGTACCTGTTGTTGAGGTACTTGTTGACTAACGGACGGTTGTTGGGTGAAGGTATGTTGATCGCCAAAGGGTTGTTGACCAGGGACTTGTTGAGTCATGGGTGATTGCGTAGGCAGCGTAACCTCTGTTGGAAGAGGGTTGTTGAGGGCGAACATATCAGTACTCTCAGGCAAGCCGCGCTGTGCCAAATACTGAGCAATGGTCGCATCCCTCGCCTCACTCCTCCGCAACGCCAACTCATCTTGAGTCAGACCAGACTGCCCTGCCGTCGTGCCAACCAGCGTCAACGCAGCCTCCACCAAACCATTCAACTCTGCTGCTTGTTCCACAGTCAAGGTCGGCGGGCGACTAGGATCCAATGGTTGACTAGTCGAAGTTGACATGATGTTGTACTCAGTCAAAGTGTAGTCTCAACGAGAGAGTAACTGAAGACCAGGTGTTCGAGTATGTCGAAGTAACTGAATGCCGATGCTACCAGATGTCAGACGTACCACTGGCTGGGGTAAGTCTCTATGAGAGGATCTCAGAAACTGTGATATACTCGAAGAGAAGGTTGTATTGGATGAGTATCCTAAGGTGGCATAAGGCCTGGCTTATATAGTTTTCCATGTACGTCCGAGTGTACGTCCAAGTGTACGTCATGATGAGTTATGACGCCGGTGCCGTGCCATAACTAAATGACTCACGCAATCTAAGTAAGACGAGGTGTTACACCAGCTCATCAAACTCATGCGCAGTAATCAAACCATATGCCAACTAATCTAACTCTGCTAAACGAGATGTTCACACACGTATGACAGCCGTGTAATCGCACAATATTGTTGATGAAGAGGTTGGCTGCTCCCATACCGTCAACATTCATTGTTGTAGGGATAAAATGAGCCATCTTAGTGAATCGGTCCACAACAACCATGCAGAAGTCATTTCCCTTTTTCGTTTTCCGCATTGGTCCCACAAAATCCATCGAAACTGACGACCATGGCGAATGAGGGATGGGTAACGGTTGTAACAACCCAACTGGTTTTGTGTTGGAGTGTTTGTGCCGTTGACAGGCATCACAAGATCTCACATAACTCCTCACATCCCTCCCCATCTCAGGCCAATAATACGCCCGTGCGATCAACGAATAAGTCCTGTTAATCCCAGGATGCCCAGCAAATGGTGCATCATGGCAATCATGTAGGACCGATTTCCTGAATGGGCCTTCTGGTAGGCACAATCTCCAAGGACTGATCTCATCAGTTCGGAAATAGAGCAAACCGTCGTCAGTCAACCGTCAATCAGTTTCGCCGCCCTTTTCCTCCACACTTTTGAAGATCCCTTTAACAGCATCTTCGCCTCTTGAAAGATAGTCCTTGCGCAGTTTTGTCTTCAGTTCTTCTGTAGATAGCGGACATTGTGGATCGATGTGTATCTGATCGATCTGAATCCTGGACAAAGCATCGGCAACAACATTGGTTTTGCCTGGTTTGTAGAGGAACTCACAGTCGTAGTCTGCTGCTTCCTCTTGCTACCTTAGTTGTCTTTGATTCGGGTGCTTTTGAGTTTTGAAGTATACCAATGACCGATGATCAGTGTATACCTTAAATGGTTTTCCCAACAAGAAATGTCGCCACTTCGTAAAAGCATGCATTATAGCACACATCTCCTTGTCATGTACAGGGTAGTTCAACTCATGTACGTTGAGCTTCCTGGACTCATAGGCAACAGGCTGACCCTTTTGCATCAACACTGCTCCAATCGCTTTTGCATCTTCAGACGCATCTGCATAAACCTCAAAGTCCTCCTCTGGGTCTGGGATCTTGAGAACAGGTCTGGTTGACAGTGCAACCTTGACCTTCTCAAAGGCATGCTGCATCTCATCGTCCAGGTAAAAGGTCCTGTAATAGTTCACCAAACCAACAAAGGACTTTAGTTGTTTCATCGTCTTTGGTTGTGGAAATTCCATAATAGCCTTTGTAAGGGCTTCAGTAGGTTGTACCCCTTCAGCACTGATCATATGCCCCAAGTACTCAACCTCTGTCTTGAAGAACTCGCACTTGTCAGCATTGGCATACAACTTGTGTTCTCTCAACTTGTTGAGCACAAAGCGCAAGTGTCCTCATGTTCCTCCCTGGAGCGAGAGTATGTCATGATATAATCCAAGTAGACCAAGACGAACTTATAATCATCCAACACATCTCTGAAAATGTCATTCATGAGGGTCTGGAAAGTTGCTGGCGCATTTGTCAATCCAAATGGCATCACAATCCATTCATAATGTCCATAGTGTGTGTTGAATGCAGTCTTGAATCGATCTTTGTGGTGAATCATGATTTGGTAATATCCCGACTTTAGGTCGATCTTTGAAAACCAACAATCTCCATGAAACCAATCTGTGATTTCATCAATCCGAGGAAGAGCATAACGATTCCGAATTGTCTGAGAGTTCAGTGCTCTGATGTCAATGCACATCCTGAGTTTGCCATCCTTCTTTTTGACGAAAAGGACTGGCGCACCATAAGGACTCACAGATGGTTGTATTTTGCCGTTTTTGAGCAGAGCTTGTATCTGGGCATATAATTCATCCAATTCTGGTTTGGACAACCGGTATATGCCCCTGTACTGTGGTGTAGCTCCCTGAACTTCATCGATGTGATGAACCACATGTTGATCCATTGGCTCTCCCACTGGTAGATCTGCAGGGAAAACATCACCAATCTCTCATGATGAAGTTGGGACTGCCATCTTTTGGTTTGGGTTTTGTCAAAGGAGTTTCCACCAGATACATGACCATAACTTCTTCAGATGTTAAGTTCCGAACTGCCTTCTTGAATCCCGAACGTCCAATCATATCAATCTCCATTGGGTGTTCTTCTTCTGGGTCACTCTCGTCATCAAACAGTGGAAGAATATCACTCCTTGATCCATCCGACAAAGTCACTGTTTGATGAGCCCAATCGAAAGTGGGATTGAATTAGGCGAAGAAGGGTGCACCCAGCAACATATTATCATGTTCTGCATCTGCCACATAGAAAGCTTTCCGTATTCGTATGCTCCCAATCTGTAACTCAACAGCTTCAGTGACTTCACTGACAAACTGCTTCTTATCGTCTGCTGTTGTGGTTGCCCGCCTGATTGGCATAGGTTGAATCGCGCGAGTCTTGATACCTGGGTTTTCAGCGTATCTTCGCGATATCATATAAGTTTCTGCACCAGTGTCGAGTATCATCACACCTGGTTACGATTTGCAATCCCCAACACATCGGGGGTTCTTCTGCGATCCGGCATTTTGTCCTCGGCATCGTTGTTGGTAGCTCCATTGTCGTCACTGGCCATATCACATCCTGTTTCTGCCAGACAATTGGACACTCCTTTCCATATCAAGTCATCTCTTGATGTATTCCTCCAAGGCGCTTCAACGTGATCAACTGTGGGGATAGTCGGCGCAATACCAGGCGCTTGGGTAACTATATCGATTTCTGTATTTCCAATGGCACCTTTGGCTGTATCCTTTTCTTCCAATTTCACAGCATGCATAGCCAGCACGGGGACCTCTTTCTGATCAGTAGGTGCAACCCCACCCTACTGACCCTGACCTTTTCCCGCCTGCCTTGTCGTGTTTTGACTCCTGTTGTTGTTGGTGTTGTTATGCTTTTGCGTCTCACAGTCTCGAGCATAATGACCAAAACGTGCACAGTTGTACTGCTGTGTGCAAAATTCTTGACATAACTTTCCCATGTGCGCGCGAATCGCAAACTCCATATGACAAAAACCCCTCAAACAACATAGATAAAGGCCTTGGAGGTCGAGTAAGGGTTCAAACTGATCATACCTATCCTTAGCAATCACGTCGTGCCACCGGTTTTGGGCCACAAGGCCTCCCTCAGTCACTTCATGCTGAAAATATGTTTTCAGTTATAAGAAAGAAACGGACCCTGGAAGGCACTACGGCTGCAGCTCTGGGTTCCATGAGATAGAGGGAGCTTGGATGAACATGTTCTGTTTGTGGTTTCTATGATTTTAACAGTTTTTGAGGTTTGTGGGTCCAGAGAGTGTTTTCGATGTTTTCATGCATATTCATGAAACATCATGCACCCAGGCCGAAATCCTTCATAATGTCACAGCTCTATGAGAAACGGTACTACACGCGTTTCGAGGACATCTATCGATTCCTCAGAGTCTGATCTATCGACTTCAACCCTGAAATCGCCCTCCCAAGCCTTGTCTATGAAGATGGGGGGGTTCATGAAACTATCCCCGCGCAGATAGGCGGTAAAATGCGCCGCGTCAAGAATTTTGCACACAGCAGTACCGAACTGATCTGCGCGGCGGTCGGAGACGGACATTGTATCGGTCCGGTCGAGCCTTATAAGATACCCTTCACCTCCTTCCCGATTTTAAAGAGAACCTCTGTTGAAGCTCAACTGAAATCACGATGCCCAACACATCCGACAACGTCAAGATCATCCTCGGTACCGGCGCCTTCGGTCAGGATACGGGACCGAAAGCCATTGAAAGTATGACAACCGTTGAGGAAGCCCGGGAAGCCATTGATCTCTTCAAATCGTACGGCCATAATGAACTTGACACTGCACGCAACTACGTAAGATTGAGGTCCTTTGCCCTTGGGTGCTGGATCTGACCACGAATCCTTCCAGGGCCGGGGTGCATCTGAGGAATTACTCGGTCACATGAATCTTGGGGAACAAGGCATACTCGTCAACACCAAGGTTCACCCAAGAGTTCCGGGCGGTTTCAATGCCGAGAACGTCTGTGCGAGGATGCAAGAGTCATTAAAAGCTCTGCAGACAGAGAAGGTACATGTCTACTTTCTACACGCTCCAGGTACAGGCTTTGGCCCGCAATTGGATAACGTGGAGTGCTGAGATATGCACAGACGCTGCTACTCCCTTGGAGGAGACTCTCAAGGCCATCAACCACCTCTACGAGCACGCCTTCTTCGAGAAATTCGGTATCTCCAACTATTCCACAGCCGACGTCCGCAAAATCCTCAGTATCTGCGACAAAAAGAAGTACATCCGTCCCACAGTGTACCAGGGCAACTACAATGCCCTCGGGCGCGCCGCCGAGTCCGACGGCCTCTTTTCTCTTCTTCGTGAGAATGGTATGGCGTTCCATGCCTTTAGCCCTCTCGGTGCGGGATTATTGTCTGGGAAGTTCAAGAGTAAGGATGACATGGACAAGGACGAGTTCGGAAGGTCGCAGGTTGTGTTGCGCCAAATTTATAAGAAGTGGTTCTCGCACGGTACCTACTTTGAGGTCATCGTCTAATGGTTTTGGATTGATGCATGTAGCTGACATTATTGTAACAGGCTCTGAAGGTGCTCAACAGGGCGGCTGAGAAGCACAAGATGTCAACGGTAGAGATTGCCCTGCGTTGGATCCGCTACCACAGCGCTCTTTCGGCAGAACATGGAGATGCAGTTATTCTTGGCTTTTCAACGAAAACTCAACTTGAACAGAGCTTGAACTACGTCGACGCAGGAAAACTGCCGGATGAGCTCGCCGAAGTTGCAAATAGCTTGTGGGACTTGGCCGAGGACGAAAGGCCTTCACACGCCTTTCTCGAGGGCATCATGCCGGGCACCATCAAAAGCGATTCTGGCGCAGACACTGCCTCGTGATTTGCCGCAACTTAGGTCTATCAGGAATGGAAGCCGTACGACCTTAAACCTTTCTCCCCAAATTCCTTTGTTCTTCATCAACTTGAGAAGTTAGCAATAATATCCAACCTATCTTTCCCGCCTTCATAGAATAAGGTTGCATGCAGCTGCAGCTACCGGTATATCGCTGAAGTACGTCCGTCCCAACGAAACGTCCAACAGCGAACGACCACATGCTCCTCAGAAAAGAAGACATCATATACACTGTACTCGTTCTCAGGTCAAGTATAAGGAGTTCTGTGCTGACCGTTTCTTTAGCCCTTCTATTGCGAAGAGAACGTATACAACCTTGCACGGACGATTGCCGAGAAGAACCCAGCAGAAATCAATTCGATTTACGTCGTATTTCTGTCAAACTCACAGCAGACAGTTCCAGTATGGTTCATGCGCCTGAATGAGGATCGGTCGGGATATCCAGTCATCTGGGACTACCATGTCTTCCTGGTCTACAAAACGACGTCAGGATCCTACGTTTACGATTTCGACACTACCTTGCCATTCCCCACCCTTTTTGAAGCACATTATGAAGCGACATTCGCGCCTGAAGTCGAGTTGCCGGAGCGGTTTCATCGGCTCTTCCGAATCATTCCAGCCGTAGAGTATCTGAAGCACTTCGCCAGCGATCGAAGTCATATGTTCGTAACAGCTTACACGGAGGGACATCGTCCAATAGCTACAGAGGAAGGAGAGGTAGAGATCACCCATGCGGTAGCTGCAACACATCAGCATGTGTCACCTGATGACCCCTCACGCTACAAACAGCCTCCACCACCGTATCGTGCGATCTTCACAAGCGAGCATACGAACAATCTGCAAAGCTACATCGACATGCAAGAGCACACAGGCGAATTTGATCCGCGGTATGGCAAAGTGGTTGATGAACCGGGATATTATCGATTGTTCTCGATATTGAAATGATCATAGCACCACTTCCCTATCAGGATCCTCCGCCTCCTTCAACTCTCGTAACAGAAATCCCTTACTCGTCTCCCCGGACTTCTGAATCTCCTCCATCTCCGCTTTATTCTTCCGCACAATCCCTAGCAGTCGGTTGATCTCCTCATCCAGGTGGTTCTGATTTTGCTCCACTGCTTCTTGCGCCTTGTCTCGTGGTAGCTTGATGAAATTGGTGTCGAGGTTGAGCCACAGTTTGTTTTCACCTTTGAGTTTGTTTTTCATGTGGTCTAGTGTTGAGCTGTTCATCATTTGTCGTCGCTTGTATTCTTCTATCAGCTGTTGGTTCATCATGATCTCCTCCCCCAGCATTTCCTCGATCGTCAGAGCTGCATAACCGTGGTCAGATGAATCCTATTGTTAGACGGGAGACAGCCCTACTGTTCAGAGGATTTGCCATTGCCGTTGCGTTACCTCCGTGTTGCCGTTCAGCTTCCCAAGGTTCGAGGAAGGTTGTTATCGATACCGGCTCGTACGCACCCTGCGATGCACCAGCCACACCCCGCGCCACTCGTCCGTACGTTCACCGAGGTTGTTCAGGAAGGATCGAAGCATCCTACAACGCGTCCAGAGACGAACCGCAATGCTCAAGCTCAAGCTCAAGGCTCCTAAGCCAGATGCAACTCCGGCACGACCACCGCCAAAGATCAAGATCAAGACGAAGCTCAAGCCAGGAGTACCGCGTATCAGAGTCAAACGACAACGAGAACCAGGATTGGGCTATGATTCAGAAGATCCGGACCGTGAAGATGATCCGCATATCGAGGAACAGTTCATTTTGAGGATGCGTCCGGGAGAGGACTGTGATTATCTGCGCAAGGCAATCGAAGAGAAGCTTATTGGAAACGGAGCGCACTTCTGGATCAAGTTCAAAGACCCCAAGAACGCAGTGGTGTCTATCAGAGGTCACCTCTACTCAGCAAAACTCGTGGACCTACCAACGATCATCGAATCTCACAAAACCCTCGATAAAAAGTCCCTATACAAAACCGCCGACATCTGCCAAATGCTCATCGTCGGAGAACGTATCGAAGACGAAAACACCGTTCTCGCGTTTCCGTCGAAACCACAAGACTACGTCTTCCCACACGGTCTAACAGCACCCCTAAAATGGGTCCGTAAGCGAAGATTCAGGAAGCGAGTCAGCAACAGAACTATTGAAGCGACGGAGCGCGAGGTGGAGAGATTACTACAGTCAGATCAGGAAGCAATGAAAGTGGAATACGACATCATGGATGCAGCCCAAGCGGCGAGGGAGTCAAGTGTCGCATTATCAGATTACGAAGCAGCATCACCATACGCACACAACATGCTTAACGGATCAGGCTACGGACACGAAGACGAAGACGTGGACATCGACGGAGATGACTACGACCCCGACGCACTAGCCGACGAACTGGAACGAGAGTTCATGGAGGAAGGATCTACGCCTGCACAGACCCCAGGTGGTACCGCAGTTCCTGCGCGTACGCCGGGTACAGCTGCTCAGAGCGATGATAGCGGGAGCGAGAGTGATTCCGGTGACGAGAACGACAACGACGCCGGCATGGACGAGGAGGAGAGAGAAAGGGCACAGCACCAGAAGTTGCTCAGGGAGGAAATTGCGGAACTGGAGGCGACGATTGAAAATAAGAGACGGGATGCGGCGAATGCGCCTAACCCGATCATGCGGGCTCGTTTTATGGATGTTGTTACGAAGTTGCAGGCTGAGCTTGAATTGAAGTTGGCCAACTTGTGAGGAGAGGCCGACTGATTGATCATTTTTCTGGTGTTACGGCGCATTGTGAATTTTTGCAGTAAGAAAGAGCATCAATAGCTAGGTATGCTGGGTAATAAGTATGCAAGTGGAAACAATGACATGAAACAAAGTTCCCGTTCCTCAGGTCAATCTTCGTCACCATATGTATGCAGTGGCTCTCATTCGTACTCCATCGAACGACTCACGACGCGCCTCAACTTGCGATTGTACTCCTTCCTGTCATTCCAATACATCTTTGACGCCTCCGGATTCAGTAACGTCGAAGGGTCACTACATGGATCATCCCTCTCAAGTAGGTTGGTGATCGCTTTGATATAATCCTCGACATGATCGGCTCTTCGAATATCAAGCCAGGGAACACCGTCTTCGGTAACGTTGGGATGGAAGAAGGGGGTCTTGAATTGTATACGCGGTGCTTCTTCTGGGAAACGAGAGCTGAATTGTATGCGGATTTTCCACATACCACCGTCAAGGTCTGTGACAAAATGTAAGCAGTTGCGAAACAAGCATGACAGGCACCTTACTTGTCATCGGCCGTCCAAAGTAAATCATGGTCCACGTCAATGGACTTCCTTCATCCAACTCCATCGTAATCGTATTATTTTCCTTCTGTAACTTCGCCACAACCTCTTCATACTGTCTCTGCAGCGTGGCCACCGGTCCCCAAACTTCCTTCAGTTTTCGACCCTCATCTGCCCATGATTCGGTTTCCTCATCAAGGAACTTGCGGATAATTATGAGCCGACGTTCAAGCGACTCGTAATCATATGTACCAGCCATCTGATTGCCAGTGCTCTCGAAGCGCGTGATCTGTGAATACCCAGCCGTCAGCTACGCACACAGAGCGTAGGTATGACACAAGCGACTCACGAGAAAGAGCTGTCCTTTGTTCACCCCCGTGCTCGCTTCCTTTATAGCATCCAGATAGAGTTGGTAATACATAAGGAAAATCTGCTTGCATATATCCTCGTGTGGTTGATGAGGTCTTCGCACCGGAATTGAGTCGTCGTCTTTTTCAACCGGTAACTTCAAGCCTTTGGAGTCGATGCCCAGGTATCCTTCCAGGCGTTGACACACAGAAATTCTTATCGTTTCGTGTCTGATCTTCTTGTCTAAAAAACTTGTCAGCCATGGATCAGGCAAGATGTCGATGGAAACGAACTATATGCGTCTGCCTGCTTCTTATGCTCCGGATTATTCATTGAATTCTCAAACCCAGGCTCATTCAGATACGGATTATCACCCATCAGACTATGAATGGACAACAACACGCTCGATATTCCATGCGCCGAACTCCACTGCTCACCCGGCTCTCCTCTCCACGTACCCAGGATACTCAGACACACCTTCCCCGTCGCATATAAATTCGGATTAAACCGAGTTCTGCCGCCATTGGTGGTGGTGATGACGACTTTCGGGGGATTTGTTGGGTAATCTTTACCGAAGGACATGCGGAAGTCGAACATGCCCAGACCGTAGGCGGTAGATGCGGGGCCGATGAGGAGGGCATTTATGGTGGTCAGGTCTTCGTCGTTATATTCGACGTGAATTGAGTGGTCGGGATTTTTAACGATGTCGTTGAGCTCTGTACGGTCATCGTTGTCAGTAAGTCAGCATACACAGCCAAAAGCGTCCCATACCTCTCGTGAGTCGCTGAAGATGTGGAGCCGACATTCCGAAGAGCAGGGATCAATGGCCGGAATGTCTGGAGGTGATGTCGTCTGAAGGCTCAATGGCAAGCAGACAACGGTATAGCTATAGGGTATGTATGCTCGTTGATACGTCTGCTCTGTCAATGCCGTCGATGTCAAGACGTCCACTCGCACTCTACCACGGCAGCTGCGGGTAATCGATAGGCGGTCGCAGGGGACCGCAGCGGTGGCCGGGCTAGTCATCCGCGTCGAGCTGTACTGAAGTCTCGCCAAACACTACACCAAAGGTCGGATCAAGGCCCATCACAATCACAATGGCAAAGGCAACAGCAGCTCAATCGAAGAAGGCCGCGAAGGCAGACGCACCCAGCTCTCCAGCGGCCACCTCCAACTCGGCACAGCCGGTCCTTTCCAAGGTCCTCCCTGCTGACGCCGCGATCTACAAGACCTTATGGCATTCATACACCACCAAGACCCCACAAAAACTCAAGATCCTTGATGCTTTCATGGCCTTCTTAGTGGTAGTCGGAGTTTTGCAGTTTGTGTACTGTGTTTTGGTGGGCAATTACCCATTCAACGCATTCTTGGCGGGCTTCGCATCAACTGTGGGACAGTTTGTTTTGACAGGTATGATTGCTTCATCGGTTGGTATGATTAGCCACTAATGACGTTCTACAGCATCTCTACGAATTCAGGCGAATCCAGCGAACAAGGCCACGTTTGAGAGTGTCTCTCCAAACAGGTATGCATATAGTCCTCTGCCGTGGGATAGGTGTTCCTTTGGCAATGCATGCTTACCATTGCGTATACTAATGAGTCGCATATAGAGCGTTTGCAGACTTTGCTTTTGCCAGCGTTATTCTGCATTTCTTCGTCGTTAATTTCTTGGGTTGAGGAGGTCAAACCGGGGTACTTCAGGAGGCAGCGAGACCCGTCGTTGTAGCGACGCGAGCGCGAGGTTCGAACAGACGTGTCGCTGGTGTACCGCACCGCGACGTCCACAATTGTCGAAGAAGGTACGGCGTGCTTGCCAAAGATACCATCTAAAAATATACGTTTTGAATATATGCACATTACTATTTACAAAAAGTATCCTCCTCTCCTCCGTGTTTGTGGGCGTGCATATGGAACGGCGTGTAGCAGCAGCACATTCTAATTGAAAGCTTGAAGGGTCCCTGCGTCGTCTACGAACCGTTGAACCATCGAGAGAATCGCCTTTCACCATTTCGCATTGACGCTGCTCATCATCCACCTTGTCTCTTCCATCCAGGCGTGTCCATGCCGCCTGACCACCGCGAGAATGCCGGACGACGTACTTCAACAACATCGCTGGGACGTGCGCACGAAGGAAGCGCGCGTGATGCCGAGGAAAACATGAAGGATTCGAGTTTGAGAGAAAGACCAAGTGAAGACGCGTCGGTTTTGGGGGAGCGGGAGGACAGGGAGGGGGCAGGGGAGCAGAGGAGTACTGCGACACCACCACCGACTGCGACGACGACCTTCGAGGGGCTCCCGCTGCATTCGTCACCGAATAGGAGGCTTTCGCAGGGTGTTCTGCAGCAAATCAATGATGTGCAGGAGAATAAGCATGCTTCTTTGAGGGGATGTGGGATTTGTGGGAAGCCGATGACCAAACAGTTCGTGCGTGCGCTGGGAGGAACCTTTCACCTGGATTGCTTCCGATGCAAGGTGAGCATCTTGAATTTCGAGTTCATCAATGGCTGTCTAACAAACGCTTACAGGACTGTAATTGCGTTGTCGCCTCCAAGTTTTTCCCTGTCGATGCAGCAGATGGCAGTGGTCAATACGCCCTTTGCGAAACCGACTACTTCAGAAGACTAGACCTCCTTTGCGAGGCATGCGGAGGTGCACTACGAGGCTCTTACATCACTGCACTCGATCGCAAATACCACATCGAACACTTTACCTGTTCCATGTGTCCAACTGTATTCGGCCCACAAGACTCCTACTACGAACACGACGGCAAAGTCTACTGTCACTTCCACTACTCAACAAAGTTTGCGGTGAAGTGTCATGGATGTCAAACAGCAATTCTAAAGCAATTCGTCGAGATCTTCAGGAATGGGCTAAATCAGCACTGGCATCCGGAGTGTTACATGATTCACAAGTTCTGGAATGTGAAGTTGGCGTCCCGGCATGATCAGCAAGCACAATCTGCAATTGTCGATACGGCTACGCCTGATGAAGTTCGTCAACGGGAACAGATGATGGAGGACAAGGTATATCGCATTTGGAGTGTTCTGTCATCGTACGAGGAGACCACTGCGGCATGTATCAGTGATATGCTGTTGCATGTCTCGAATGGCGCATACATCGAGGGTGTCGTCATGGCGGAGAAGTTTATTGGTCATGTCGAGATCTTGTTTGCCTCAATCGACAAACTTGAGGCTTCCCTCCTTCGCATGAGTGGGAAAACTCTACCATATCATCGTGAAGCAAAGATGCTTTGTAAAAAGATCGTCGCGTTCTTTGCATTGCTCTCGAAGACGCAGGAAACCGGTGTTCGGAAGTTGGGGATTACACAGGAATTGCTGAGCTTGGTGACGGGATTAGCGCATTACTTGAAGATCTTGATTCGGATATCGTTGACAGCGGCGTTGAAGTTGGAGAGAGACCATCAAGGGTCACATGCTATCCGGATGTTTCTGGCGCAGATGCTCCAATTAAAGGGCGATGAGGAAGAGCATGTCGCGGCTGATTCCATTCCATCAGTGACGTCGTCCGTCTCGGCAGAATATGCAGATGTCGCATCGGACTTGTGTACAGCATGCGGTGTTACCATCGAGGACGACTGTGCCAAATTCGGCGATAAGAGATGGCACTTGAACTGTCTGTCGTGTTCTCGATGCAGCAACAATCTCAAGAGAGAATATCAGGAGGCGCTATGGAGTGATGATGAGCAGATGGTGTTTTGTCAAGGATGTGGTGCCACGGTACCAGAATCAAGAACAGGGTTCCAGCACATTACGAAACTGACACAGTTCGTCTTCCTTCTGAGAGTAGCGTTGTCCAGGCTGTATGCTTTGCTGCGGCAGGGTCCAGCACTGCCACATACCTCCGACGATCCGAACCTGGAAAGATATGACAGTACGAATGGTATCGATACGCAGGATACGGGTGCGCCGCTGTTGACACGAGGATCACGATCAAGGTCCTATGCAGGCGAACAGGTGCAACCAAAGCCGCGGTCTTACGTCAGCACGTTGAACGACATTCGCCGACTGAAGTCAAGTCGCATGGATGAGAAGCTCGCGAACTCTGCACGTAGGGCACGGCAATCGACGATTTTGGATGGACCTGAAGGCATGTCTGCTGAGTCTTCGGGGTCAGGATCAACTTCACCAAGGTTGGAGCATTCGTTGAATGCGTTGTCTTCGCGGGCTCGCAACAGCCAGTTCCGCATCGTGGAAGATAAGGAGTCGGGACCACAGTTGACTGCGTCGACGTTCGCGGGTGAGAAGACCTTGACGCTGGATGATATCCCAAGGCTTGTTGCAGCGGAGCAGGCAAGAGAACAGCGACCTAATGCGTTCAAGCACCAAACCCATCGCAAGATACCGTCTAATGCGCCGAACCAGCCTCGTCTCGTCCAGCCTGGTCACCGGACGGGTAGCAGTACCGACACTACTCCTGCACATGTAGCGGCGGGTATGCGTCAGAGAACATATGTCTCTGAGCTGTCTGCGCTGGAGTACTTCATTGTTCGTCACATTGCCGTTCTGTCCCTGGCGGAATTGGTGAAAGATTGTTTCAACCTTGAAGAGCTATTGGACTTGATCGAGGTGAAGAAGGCGACATTCTGGGGCAAGTTCGGGAAAGCGTTCAAGGGTGGCAATGCGGAGAAGAAAAAGAAGGACAAGAAGGGTGTGTTCGCAGTACCATTGGAAGTGATCGTCGAGAGAGATGGGACAGAATCAGCGTTGGGAGCGGGACCTAATCGTCTGCGCGTGCCAAGCTTCGTGGATGATGCCATCTCGGCAATGAAGCAAATGGACATGTCTGTTGAGGGTGTTTTCAGGAAGAACGGAAACATCCGGAGGTTGAAGGACTTGGCTAATGCAATTGATAAGAACACTGCGCATGCGCTAATTGAAGAAGGCCCAGTGCAACTTGCAGCGTTACTGAAGAAGTTCTTGCGTGATCTTCCCGATCCACTTCTGACGCACAAGTTGCACAAGCTTTTCATCACTTCGCAACGGTTGGAGGATGAAGATGTTCGAAGGCGGGTATTACATCTGACATGTTGTTTGCTACCGAAGCCGCATCGCGATACGATGGAGATCATCTTTTTCTTCCTTAACTGGGTCGCCTCATTTTCTCACGTCGACGAAGAATCCGGAAGCAAGATGGACATCCACAATCTTGCAACGGTCATTACGCCCAACATCTTGTACGCCGACAGCAAGGACGCTGCCATGGATGAGAGTTTCCTGGCGATCGAAGCAGTGCACTCGTTGATTGAGTATAACGAGGAGTTTTCATTGGTGCCAGAGGATATCCTCATGCTTCTGCACGACCAAGAGTTGTTCTCAGGAAGTGCCGAATTGACGACGAAAGATATCTTGCGCCGCTGCGAAGAGGCACTCTCACGGCCACCAAAATCCGCCACAGAGTCCTCGGGCACTACAGGTGCTTCAACGTCTGGCTCCATGCAGCGACCACGACCGCAGCGTATTGACACCGGCTACGCCCAGGAATTCGCATCGAAGCAAGAAAGCACTGCTCGGAGAACATCAACCAGTGTTCTGAGTTACGAACAAACGAACAATTCACCAAAAACGCAATATAGTTACGAGTCGAATGGGGCGTCATCTCAGAGAGAAAAGCGGAGTAACGGATACCACAGTTGAGATCAGTGTTTGATTGGATATAATATGCACAGAGGGTTGCTTTTGCAGGGTAGCGGGGGTTGGACTTGACATTCACTTTTTCTTGGGCGAGGACGCGTACGGTTGCTAAAGGGGTTTTTGGCCATGGGTCTTGGTCTTGGGGGTAGTTCCTGGATACGATAGTGTAAGATGAAGAATGCGAAGGCGGTTATGAGATTGCTTGACGCGATGTATTAGGCAGAATTAAAATAGTACCATATTATCTGTAGCTTACACTCCCGGGCATCTATCCTCCTCTACACAGTAGCCTTCGAAGCCAAAGCATCAGCAAGGTCGTCCACTGACTTTTCCTGCTCAGGAGCAACATTCTTCTCCTCTTCCTCGTCAGCATCCTTGACGACATCCTCCTTGTCCTCATCCTCATCTTCTTCCTCCTCCTCGTCCTCCTCCTCTTCGCTCTCATCTGAATCAGGCTCCTCAAGCTCGTCCAACTCGTCGAGCTCACCCTTTCCTCGCTCCTCAAAGAAGTTCTGGATCTCCTCAATGATAGGGTCCTCCTCAGAAAGAGTGTTTCCGTTCAACTCCAACTTCTCAAGTTCTGGCAGCGACAACTTAATCGCGGTCAACAACTCCTTAACACCAGTGTTCTTAATTTCGTTGAACTGTAATCTCAAAATCTCCAGCTTCTCGTTCTTGTTCTCCCTCAAAGCCTTAGCCAAAGCATGGGCACCACGCTCCGACAACAAACAGTCGTTGAAGTTCAACTCTTTCAGGGAGGACCAGCCTCCGATGACCTTCGCCAAAGCTTGCGCACCCTTCAAGGTGAAAGTGTTGTCCTGAAAATCGACGTGCTTCAACCCGGGGCACTTGCTCAAACCCTGAGTGAAGACGTGCTCGATACCCTCGGGACGGATACCGTTCTGATACATGCGAATCTCCTCGAATGAACCGTGAGCGGCGAAACACTTAGCCCAAGACTCCATGGATCCGTTCTCTAATCTGTTACGACCACAGACGATGGTCTTCAAAGTAGGGGTATCAGGACCCGCAGCTTTCTTGGCTGCAGCCAACTCGGCCAATGCGTTCGCGATGAGGGAACCAGCCTGGGGTCCCATACCGTTGTTCGCGAGGTAAAGGTGCTCAAGAGGGGTGTGCTTGGAGAAGAAGTCAACAAGAGGAGCCTGCGCAGTAGGGCCGAAAGCATTGTCGGAAAGGTTGACGGTGTGGAGGGTGGGGCAAGTGAGGAGCGCGGTGAGCATTGCGCTGAGTGCTGGTGGAATCTCCTCACGGAGACGGCCGGTGAAGATATCGGCGAATTGGACGACCTTCAACTTCTTCTTGTCTTTCAATGCCTCGGCGAGCGCCTCAGATGCCTCAATTCCGAAGGTGTTACCGTTGAGACGTACTTCTTCAACGTCGGCATTCTCGAGGAGGTCCTTGATATGGGGCTCGATGTCGGCGCGGGAGTCGAGCTTGAGGACACGACCTTCGAGGGAGAAGATGCTCATTGTATGGATATGGAATTGGGGATAAATGCTATGGAGTCGGTGTTGCTTTTCGCGGTGTTTTGTTTGGACCCGACTTTTTGCCCCTGGTGATATCAGGGGCATCGCCAAAAGTAGACACTTAAGTGTTTCTGGGTCAGGAAGCGAACGGGTTACGACGTCTTGTATGATTTGGATTTGATGATAAAGATATAACTCCTGTCCTTGCTTGCCCTGCTCTTGTTGCAGGTGAATGCGAATGCGAATGCCAGATCCGCTCCCTCGTAGAAAACGACAGAAAACGCCCAGTAACGATGCCCATGATATCCCAATGCCTTGCCTTCCACAACTGCCCAATGCTCAATACTTTCCTTCCATCTCAATGCGTCATGTCCAGACCTCCTCACACCTCTTACACACGACATCTCCTTCCGCACCCTTCTCATCGCAGCAATTTCTGCAAATCTTCGCTCCTTCTTCGTCGCACTCGCTTCCTTCTCTAGCGGCACATCTCTCGCCTTGCGAGCATGTCCGTAGACAGATCACACACGTCTTCTTCTGACAGATCGCGCAGCTGTCGGCGACCTTCAGCATAGGACCATTTGCTCGAAAGCAAGTGTGACACCGGTTGACAGTGCCCCGTAGTGGCGGAGTGCTTGTGCCAGTAGGGGTAGTGGCTGATTCTTCCAATGTTGGTTGCGGGCTGAATGATGTTCTCACACGCTTTGCTTTTGGAAAAGCAAGAGGCGCTTTCGAAAGCGGTGACGAAGGTTGATGAACTATTACGCACAGTCAGTATGGCACGCATAGGCTGCATGTTGATGAACCTAACCTTGCGTATAATCTTCCTCCATCCGTACCAGATTCTCCAGCTTCTCTTCCATCTTATCCCCTACTCCTTGGCCACTCTGAATGTTGAAAAAACAAGGGCCATGCGAGTTCTCCTTCAAGTTGCTGGACAACGCTGAAAAGGAACTCTCATTTCGCCGTCGTTTCTTTGCTGATATTGATTCTGGCATACCATTTGGCAGATCCATGGCTAGTGATGGACCCATCCTCATGAGTCGTTGGTTGGGGGAAGCGTCTCGTCTTTGAGTGTTGTTGGCGAAACTTAAGGCACATGAGCACACACGCTTCCGGCTGCAACCAGAACCTGGGGGTCAGGGTAGGCACGAGGGTACCACCACCACAGTGCTTTTACAGCTGATACAAGAACATAAGATGCCTTTTTAATCTGGTTTTGTTAAACGAGGTGGCCATTGACTCTTCCCGAGTTCGGATACCCCGGACTCACGCGTACGACGAGCTCGAACGTGCACGGATCAGGACTCCTCGACACGACAATGCCATCAATGCACAAACCCAGAAGTCGCAAACCCTCGCCGGTGATATCTCGAAGCACTCCTCTCCAAGACATTTTTAGTCCTCTACAAAATGTCTCGGTATACTACCTAATCCTCCCAATCATCCTCCTCGTCACATTCCTGATACGATGTGCCGTGGGACTGGCTCCCTACTCGGGTAAGCCATCGGTCGAGAACGCTCCCCGGGTTTGTACTGACTGATGGATTACAGGGTATCAAGCACCACCAATGCACGGAGACTTCGAGGCTCAACGACATTGGATGGAGGTCACCACCCATCTCCCCATGCGCGAGTGGTACTTCCATGACCTTGATTGGTGGGGCTTGGACTACCCACCACTTACAGCGTACCATTCTTGGCTGTGCGGATTCATCGGTAAACTCATTTACCCGGCATGGTTTGAGTTGTACACCTCCCGAGGATTGGATGAATACAATTTGAAGGTATTCATGCGTGCGACGGTATTGGCGTCAGAGTATTTGGTGTACGTCCCGGCTGTTTGGGCGTTCGTCAAGATTTACAATACGAAAGACACTCCTGCTGATCGTGGGATGTGGGCATTGATGATCCTGCTTCAACCTGCGTTGATCCTGATCGATCATGCGCACTTTCAGTATAATGCCGTCATGCTTGGGTTCACCGTCGTCGCGATGAACGCTTTGTGGAATGATCAGATCGTCATCGGTTCCGTGTTCTTTGTTGCGGCGTTGTGTTTTAAGCAGATGGCTCTGTATTACGCTCCAGCGATCTTCGCATACCTCCTCGGCACCTGCGTATTCCCGCGCCTCAACTTCCAACGTCTCGTCATCCTCGGGGTCGCAACTCTCAGCACGTTCGCTATCTTCTTTGCGCCGTTCATTCTTACGGGAACCACAGGTCAAGCCTTATTCCGCATCTTCCCATTCGCACGCGGACTCTGGGAAGATAAAGTCGCGAACTTCTGGTGTACCGCAAACTCCTTCATCAAGTTCCGCACCCTCTTCACCTCAACCCAACTCCAGCGTCTCTCCCTCCTGGCAACACTCGTCGCAATTCTCCCACCTTGCGTGATCCTCTTCCTCTACCCTCGGCGCAGGTTGTTGCCGTTAGGGCTGTCAGCGTCTGCATGGGGTTTCTTTTTGTTTTCGTTTCAGGTGCATGAGAAGAGTGTTTTGCTCCCTTTGATGCCTGCAACATTGTTGCTTGCGTCATCAGGTAACGACTACAACCGCAAGTCTTGGGTAGGATGGGTCAACAATGTCGCTGTCTTCAGCATGTGGTCTCTCCTCCGCCGTGACGGCCTCGGGCTGCAATATACCGTCCTACTGTTTATGTGGAACTGGCTTGCAGGATTCTGGGGTCTCCCGGATAATTGGGTTGGGAAGTTGGTCCACGTCGTGACCTACGCGGGAATATTGGGAATGCATGTAGCAGAGAAGTTCTTTGAGCCGCCTGCGAAGTGGCCAGATGTGTGGGTGCTTGGAAATGTCACGTTGAGCTTTGGGGCATTTGTGGTATTCTGGCTGTGGACATTGCTGAGGATGTGGGAGGTAGCGAGGAAGCCTGTGGTGAAGGAGAAGATGAAGTAGACAAAATCGTGATACCAAAAGATATAACGAAAAAGGTAATCATCCTCCTGGCAAACATCTCCTTCGTCTAACTGAGTCAACTTTCCTCGGGAGCAACGGCCCTCTTGACCTGGGCATGCGCGCCCTTTGTGGAAATGACTCAGTTGACGTTTGCGCGCGTTCCGATAAGCCCTGTATGCTGTACGGTATAAAGAGGAGCATACACCCCGCCCCAACCATCTATCAACAAACAAACCTGTCATTTCTATTCTCTGTCTAACATCAGGTTTGTCCTTCTTTGCCGTTGCCTCCTCAATTGTGCACCGTACTGACTGGTATGGCAACAGCGAACGTTTACGGCCAGCCACCGCGTACACCACCAACACACCAATGACTTCTCCAAGAACACCAGACAACCTCTACATGTCCTCCATCGACCCCTCACGTTCTCCCCTCTCCGAGCACGACAGCGACGAGCTCTTGGCGAAGATCGATATCTACCATAACCGGCGTCGCTCGTCCACCACCAACACCGGTTCCACCGACGCTGAAGAGACCGCCGATCCCGACAGGCACACGCGGCGCCCCTCCAAGACTGGTGGTCGGATGAAGTGCGAGCGATGCTCTGACTACAACAGAGGCGTTATGCTCGGCTCTTGCCGCTCGTGCGGACATATCAACTCTGTCTTCCGCTAAATGAACGCTTGTCCTCACTCATCTATGTGGCGCGACGCCAATTGACATGATAATGGCGTACACAGTCGCTTCATATTTGGACGGGTTAGGACGGAAGGGGTTTATGGGAGTCTACTGGGCGTTTCTGTTTCTGATTTCTGCGCTTTTGTATCGGTTTACTGGGAATTCGGGCACCGCTGGTTCGGGCAATATCGGCGTATATCATAATCTGCCCCGGCGTCGACCCATTGTTATTATCGTTAGGCCTTGCGTCCTCTTATAGGATGTGGGCAACTCTCATATCAATACCAACAACCATAAAATAACGCCTTGCTTTCCTTTGGTAAATGCTGTAAGATGATTATTTCACTACACCCATGCGACGTCTCGCCTCAATCTTCTTCTTCCGCCTCAATGCATCACGACGTTTACTCTTCCAGTCCCTCGTCAACTCGATCTTCTTCGCTCGCCACGCCTCTCTAATCTCTTCCTCCGACTTCGTCCGCCAGAATACCTTTCCAGCATCATGGAACACGGACCGGCTCGCCAGATTCGTACCGTAGTGCGGGAAGAAGAGGTAATTTTGGTTGTGTGGGTTTGAGGGGAGCCATCCACGCTTGTTTGACAGTGGGACGGAGTTTGCGACACGATAATTGCTGGTGTCGACTGAGGCGTGTACGGGCTCGGCTGCAGGTTCGTCGTAGGTCTCTTCCTCCTCCTCTTCGCCGTCTTCGTCGATATCCGAATCCAAATTGGCGCCTCCGAAAAGCGAGAACCCAGTATCGGCTTCTCCGGGTGTGAACATCGTCTTCAAGTTTCCAACATTAACCGCCGAATCAATCTCCTGGCTCACCTTGGGCATCGCAGACCCAGCCAAGCGCGCCACAGCATCACCCTCCTCCCCATCCTCCTTCTCCTCAGCCCGCAACACCGGCACCTCCTCCTCCTCCTCCTCCTCCTCTTCCTCTGAGTGAGCCTCATACTGCTCCGCATCCTCAGCCGTCGGATCAAACCTCGCAATCCCACTCCAACTCTTCTCAACAACCCTTGCCCTCTCCCTCTCCTTCCGTTCCTGTACCTCCTCCACCTGCTCCGCACCAATGAGACCTTTCAGAATATCCAAGTTCTTCGATTTTTCGGCCGCGATACGTGCTGTTGCGGCCGCTTCGTCTTCGTCGAGATGTTCGACGAGGCTGGGGTCGTGGGTGTTTACGAGTTCGAATCCGCGTTCTTTGTGATGGATGGGTTCGTCGTCGGAGTCTTCATCGATCCACGATGGGCGATCGACCTTCTTTAAGGCTTCTTCGGCGAGTTTGGCTAATACACGATCTGGCAGCTGTTCAGGTTCTGCGTCCCGAGCGGGTGCTGAAATAGGTGCTGGGGCTTCTTCGATATGACCTGCTCGTTCGCCAATTGTTCGGGCTTGTGTAATATCCCTCGGTGCGGCCTCTAACGGCAACTCTGCCCTTTCCCGCCCATGTGAATCGACCCAGCAATCCCGCTCCTCGTCGTATTGCCAGGTGATATCTCCAGTCGTTGAATTTCCCCACAACTTCACCAAGAAATCTCTCTGCTTCCTCGGGTCAAATACCAGCTTCCTTTGATTCTTCTTCTGGTCATACACATGCATCAACGCAATCGCACGTCCATACCGTCCTCGCACCCACTTGGTCGATTCCTTCTTCACCGCTCCATCCGTCATTAACACGTCAATCTTATCCACCTCTCGTCCGTACTCGACTTCAGAATCATATTTCCGCTTCTTCCTAGGGTGCGGGAAGACCGCCGTTGGGTTCACCCTCTCCCTCTCAACCTCCTTCTCCCTAACATCCTTCCAACTCGGTTTCGCTTCCTCTATCCGTAGTGTCGCACCCTTATACTTTGATCCATTCAGGTATTGTCGTAGTTTCCCCCATTGTGCGCCGGTGATGTTAATGGTTGTGTACGCAAATATCTGCACATCGTTCTTGTTGACGAGTTCAACTGGCTTCAGTATTTGACCGAACGTTTTCAGACGTGATTCGATATCTGATACGGGGATTGAGGGCGTCAGTCCACCGACGAATATTCTCTTTTCGACCGCAACGGAGGGATCGATAGCGGGTTTCTTCACAGGCGACACTATAGGGGCATCAACACATGGTCTTTGACAGATCCAGAGACGACACTCACCTGGCTCGACAACCTGATCTACTGTTGCCATCTTCAAAGCCTGCAATGATCCGAATACAGCGCTTCTTCGGTATCTCGAAATTTGGGTCCGCCTCATGCGCACGGCCACACTCCCTTGCGGTACGGTACCCATCAGCGGCTTCGTATGAACACCATCTCGACGAATTTGACCCCACCACCCGACCAGCATACAATGACTACGACCGGCAAACCTTGATGGGCTCGACTCTCGACTCTGCTCAATGTGTCCCTTTAGAGGTCTTCAATGACCAGGGCAAAGGGAGAGGAATACGTTCGGCCGAAGCGATCGAAGAAGGTGGATCTACAGGAAAGCCGATTCACAGTTCCTTTCGCTGACATGCCTTTTCACAGGCAAATGCATCTTGAAGCTCACTCCAGCCATCGCTGTGCTTGACGATGCGCATCTAAACAACACATGTAGTGGTTGTTTTGCGTTGCCGTCAAATCCATTGGGTGGAACGACTGCCGGAAGTCTGCTAAGGTGTTCTGGATGTCAGATTGTGCGGTATTGTTCGAAGGTAAGCTCACAGTCGTCTGACGGAAACACCTGTCTAACTAGATGGCGCTTACAGAACTGTCAAAGGTCCGACTGGCCAAACCATAAGCTTGAATGTCCTGTTTTTCGCTCCCAACGCCCTCGGGTACTTCCGACTGCCGTGCGTGCGGTGATGCGTATCCTTCGTCTTCCGCGTGATGGCGAAGTGTGGAACGGCTTCCAGGGCCTTATGAGTCACAGAGATGAGGTCAAGGAAGCCGGTGGACCAAAGGAAGAGATGGTTACCCTGTTCAGTCGTGCAGCAAAGGAGTACTCAGAGGAGAACGAATTGGATATCGCGTCGGTTGAATCCATATTCTCTACGGTGCGTTTTCCCATTCCATCGGCATCGTCACTTGCTAAATTCAAGAGCAGTTCATCAGCAATTGCCTGAGCCTACTCATTGCCTCTTTCGATGAAGTCGGGTTGACAGCGGATCCTCTAGTGTGCCTCCTGAATCATTCATGTTCACCCAACGCCGCCGTTGTGTTCGAGAACAAAGTCCTGACTATCCGCTCCGTCCGAGCCATTAGTCCGAAGGAGGAAATTACCATCAGTTACGTTAATCACCTGCAGAGGCGGGATATACGCAGACGCGAATTGAAGGAAAAGTGGTTCTTCTCATGTGAATGTGCAGCATGTGCACGAGACGAGTCGGAAAATGCAAGGGATCCAAGGGAATGCTTCACGTGCGCAAATTGCAGAAAGCTTATCCCACCACCATTGAAGTCGGAGCATTCAACCGAGAAGCTAGCGTGCCCGTCATGTAACAAGGCTCAGAGGTTTTCATGGGCTGAGCTTGAGAAAAAGGAAGAGAAAACCCTAGCGATTTCGGAAGATCGAAAGATGCGAGGTGAGGACAAATAATGGTTGAACTCGCTTTACGCAAGCTAACAGGACTATTTTACAGCTGATCGATGGCAACTCTATTGGGCGCTGCGGGAATTGCATGTAACCAATATGTGGCCAGCAAGGAGGACACCATTACTCCCGCTCTATTACCATACCTTCAATGTTGCTTTGAACGAACAGGATTTCCTGGCAGCTTTTAGGCATTCCATTTACATCCATACAGCACTTCGTCTAAACTCTGATAGAGGCACGGATCTTGATCCCGTGGCTGTCGTGCAGACCTTCGCGGCAGCGAAGCTCGCGTCATACCTGGCGTCAGAACCTGAACAGCTTGTCGATGTTATCCAACAATTAGACTTGCTGAAGCTTGCTTGGCTCCTTCTGGTTGATGCAGACATGGTTGTTGGAATGACACATGGTGACGGAAGTCGCTTTGCAAAGCAAGTTCGGGCTGTCAAGGATGAGCATAGGGTGAACTCGTTAGGACTTGACGGTGGTCGGTTCTGCGCTGAATCGGAGCAAGTACTGAGAGGAGCGAATGCGAGTGAGGAAGCGTTGGAGGAAGTCACCCGGGTGCAGGCATTGGCGAGGGAAATGGCGGCCCGAGTTTCCGCCGGACATTGTGGAGGCGTGGAATTAAATACACGTAAGTGTGAAACTGCCCGTAAACTGTCAATCGACTCTAGACTTACCTGATACCGTCTATTTGATCAGATAATTGAGTTCATATGGAGCCATGTTCGTGAATTCCCACGCGCGTCCGTCCGCTCTGGCTAGCTCGAGAGTGGCCTCAGCTGGCTGCTCGTCACACAAACACACCACACGTTTATCGACCTTGTACGAAAGCTTCTAGATCTGTTAAAACCCAGCATATTCGGTAGCGTCTTATATGCTGCCTCAAATCACTGCATTCTATCCAAAGATCATCTATAATGCATCATGATGAAACTTCCTCCCCGCCTTTCCATTCCCCCACATCCCCCTTGTCTCCCTCACCAACCCCAGAAACTCATCACCCTCCGCCGCTTCTCCAACCGCTTGGACCGAGTGTTCTGACAGCCACTCCAGGAATCCTGTCTCGGTTTCGCAGACGTTTGGGTAGGTGCGTTTGATGGCGGTCAGTGCGTGGAAGAGTTTGTGGCGGGTGTCGGGGGTTAGAGATTTGGTCAGTAGGGCTCGCTGAAATTCGGCGCACCAGATTCCTAGCCGCTCCTCCTGTCGCATTCGTGGCTCGTACTCTGCAGGTATTCCCTCCTGTTTTCCTGTCGCCACATTCCTAGGAGATTCGGTGATTGCCTCATGCACAAGATTATCCTCCACAAGCACGGCAACCTTCCCCAGGAATCCACTCTCTTCACTCCCACCCGCACTCTCCCTGAAAACACTCCTCAACACCCTATCTCCTCCACTCCCCCTCCACTCCCTCCTCCCTACTTCCCCACTCACCGCAGCACTGAGCGCATACACCAACCTCGCCTTCACCTCTCCCACATCTTCCTCACTTAATCGCTGTACGAGTTCATGAACGAGGTTGAGGGTCGAGGCGGCGAGGGATTGGGCGGGTGGATTATTTCGGAGGGTGGAGCCGAGGATGAGGGCGGTGTTGGAGCGGATTTGGGGGGAGGCGTGTGAAAGCATTTCCACCAGGCGTGTTAATATAGGTTTCTTGACGAGCTTGATCCCAAAATCCATTTCGTGAGCGAGGTCTTCTAGAGCGGCGAAGGCGGATGTGAGGTCTGAGGTGGAGGATTTCGGGGACATGACCTTGGATACGGCGTCTTCGAAAACCTCAAAGTCTCCTATGGGGATTCGGGCGTTTGGTTTGTGGTGTTGTGCGGGATCTGGTGGTTCCTCGACGCTGATGACTTGTGCACCGTCTTCGGGGTTTACTACGACCATGGCGAGGTTCTCGTCGGGCTCATCTGCGAGGAGTTTCGCTTCCCGCGCTCCTGTCTCCATATTCAGTCGGACATGCAGACCTACACTCCCGTTAGCATACAATCCAGAAAAAGCACTGGAGAAAGAGAACTACCAGCTGGAATGGCCTGATCCGCCTTCACCGCCCAAAACTCATGCGTAGGCTCAAACACCGCCGGATAGCATTCATCCCCCTGCGCGCTCGAAGCAGCAGCCGTCACCAATACGGGCAGGAAGAGACAGTTCAGGAGACTCAATTGCATCTCTCGCCGGGGTAAATGCGTCGGGGATGAATGCCGGGTGTTCGGGGGATCCGGCGAGAGCTGGATGCAGGCACGCGGGACACCACCATCAAAGGACAGCGACAGTGAGGAAGCGCAACTCACCACCATCAATCCATCATGGCCATTGAAGACCAGGATCTGTATCTCGACCCAGGTGATATCTGGATGATGAACCTCAATCCTCCTCTCGCTAACTCACGTCACAGCTCTTCGAGACTGGGTTCTCTTCCCCATTCTCTTCGTCATGATCCTCGTCGGAATCCTCCGCCACAACATCACCGTCCTCCTTCAAAGCGCGCCCAAAAAGCAACCTCTTAAGGCAATCCGGGAGCAGCTTTCCCTTCAGAAATCCGCGATTATCAGACAGAATGGGCATCATATTTCTCCTGCCGCGTTTAATGCCAGACGGGCATATTTGACTCAAGCGTATACGGAGGGAAAGTTCTTGAAGGACCCCGAGGCACGAGGAAAGCCTGCTGCGAACCCGTTGACCGACCCCGGAGGGATGGATCAGATGATTAACATGATGAAGGGGAATATGGCGAACTTCATCCCGCAGACGATCATCATGGGATGGGTCAATTTCTTCTTTACCGGATTCGTTTTAAGTGCGTGAACCAGGCCCATAAATTCTTTTGAACTCGCGGCTAATGTTTGTGTACAGTCAAGCTTCCATTCCCATTAACCGTCCGCTTCAAGTCGATGCTCCAATCAGGCGTGCAGACCTCTGATCTTGACGTACGATGGGTCTCGTCACTGTCGTGGTACTTCCTCAATCTCTTCGGTCTTCAATTCGTCTACACGCTCATTCTCGGAGCCAACAACTGTATGCCCTTCTCCTCCCTTTATGTCCAAGAAGGATGCTAATTCTGTGTAGCTGCCAACCAACAGATGCAGGGAATGGGTATGCCAGGTATGGGTGTCCCCGCTGTTGGGCCTTTGGCACCAGGTCAGGACCCGGACAAGATGTTTGCAGCGGAACGGGAGAACTTGGAGTTAGTCCAGCACGACTGGGTCCTGGAAGGTGTCGAGAAGCGGTTGCTCGCAAAGTACGCTGCAAAGAAATAGACCATCCATCCCATGAAGGCGCTAGCATATATGAGATTCCCAATTCAACGCATTTTATTTATTCAGATCTATAGTACACTCTACATAGAATACCACTTATGCCGACAATCCACAGCCTCCTTCCTCACAACCCTCTTCGGATCCTCAAGAACCCTCCCCAACCTCATAATAACCTCATTCTTAAACGGTTGCAACATTTCCCTCCTAAAACTCGACGGGAAAACACTCAAACACCTCAGTGTAGATATCCGTACCCTCATCGTGTTAACCTCGCTTACCATCGCGGATTCCATGAGTAAAGGAACGAGCGTGGAGAGATGCTCGGAGACAGTTTGAGAGGCGTCGAGGATCGTGACGTAGAGCGTGTCGATAGCTGACCCCTTTAACTCCGGATCAACCAATCCCAAGGCCTGAATCAAGACCGGCAACAATCCCGGTAAATCAGGCAACAAGACCTGCTTGGGGACATGCCTAATAATATTCGTCACAGCCACCAGATAACTCGATTTGTCTCCGGCTTGTGCGGACTTAAAGCGCGACATGAGCTCGGGCATGGCGAAGCTGAAGAACCGCTGTTTTTGGAGAAGACGGATCGTGGCGTGGTTTTCCTTGGAAAGGGTTTCGTCGTCACCGATCAACACCCCAAACCCGTTTGCGACGGAACTCCCAATCAGAGGATCGACCAAGAGATCGATGAGGTCGGAGGTAATCTTTGTGCCGGATTTGTGAGTTTTCGCGACGAAGGCTTTCCCGATCCAGAGGAGGGTATCGAGGGCTCGGCGGCGGGAGGGTGCGTCGCCAGTTTTGATGGTTTGGAGGGCTTTGTTCACTTCGCCAGACATGACCTTGTTGAGTAAGCTTTCGTCGGAGGATTTGTTGACGATGCTTGCGATGAGCTTCAAGAGCGAGATCTTGGTCAACTCGCTGGATGTAGTCTCAACCTGCTGGACGAGCACAGACAAGAACTTCTCGAGATCGTCGACCGGCAACTTGACCTCCTTGCGCAAACTCGAGATAGCCGCGGTAAAGAGGATGATGGTGTTAGCCTGTCCCGGCTCGTGAAGCTTCGGGAACTTCTCGGCAACGACCTGGTTGTCGGACGCAATGAGCTGACTTTGCTGACCGTCGACGAAAATCGCGAACAACTCTTTGACGACACTTTCCTGCTTCTGCGTATTCAAAGAACGGAACACGATATTGATAATCTGCGATGACACCTTCAAGATCTCCGGCCTGCACATCATAGGCAGCTGCTCATTCCCTGACTGCACGAAGGGTACAAGAGTCTTCGTCAACAACGTCGGCACCAACCGATCGAAATACGTCGGGAGATCAGCGGCCCCTTCCGTGGACTTCTTCCTCAGAACCAACAAAATGGTACTAAGCACAATCTGCGGGTACACAACAGATGAAGTCCCATTCTTAATGATCACCTCGAGCTTATTGAGCAACCTCGTCAACAACACCTCAAACAACGCCCTCGGCGAACTCAACTGCGCCAACGCAGCCAAGATAACCTTATAGTGCTTCTTTGGCTTACTCGCGCCCTCAGTATCAGCGTCAGTATCAGGCAACTGAGCCATGAACGCCGGAAACGTGATATCCAAGATCAACTCCGGCCTGAACGTCGTAATCTCCTCCAACACGCTCAACGCCTCCTTCGCAACATCCGCACTGCCCTCGCCATCCTCGATCTCGATGACGATACCATCCAGATATTGAACGACCAACCCGATCTCACCATCATCCAGGAAGTCTCTCAGACGAGCCATGCGGGAGAGACCCTTCATGGCGACCTTACGGAGACCGACCTCACCTGGCGCAGTACCCATGAGAGCCTTACCGAAGTAATGGAAGTACCTCTCCTTGAACGCCAGTTGTGGGTTCTTCGAGGCATCCTCGGGGGCGGCCTCACTGTCGGTGCGGTAGCCATACAACACCCCGGCAGAATCCATCAGGCCGATGAGCACAGCCAAGATCGCAGCCTGCTTCGCAATCTCGCCAGACTCGGCGTACATCACCAAGAGATTAGGCACAGCCGCCTCGACAACGGCTTGATTCGCTGGGTGTGAAGCACCCGCGCAGGCAGCCAATATCCTTCCCGCTGGCCTAGCACGCTTGAGACCCGGATCTTTCAGCTCCTCCGCGCAGTACGCTGTTACATTTTTCAAGTATCTCGTCAAGGAACTCAACCTTGTCAACTCCGTGACACCCTGACTCAAACACTTCGTCAATCCCGCGATCAACTCCAACGCGACCTCGGCGACGTGCTCGTCATCGGCGTGTGTGACTTCGTACTTGACTGCGTCCCAGATGGTGATAGAATGAGACGCAATGACACGGGGGCCAAAGTTGTTGCTGCAAGCGAGAAGTGTGAGGAGAGTATCCTTCTTCACCGAAGGCGACGTGGAGGAGAGCTTGTCGAGAAGAGCGGGTATGAGTTCAGTAGCGAAGAGCGGGGTTGCGGAAAGACATTCCCTGTTAGAGTGTCATGTTAGCCTAATATGAAAGCTTGAATGAGACGATTAACCTTAATCTTTGTTTAAGATCATCCGCAGTGATGCCATAAGGATCATCCGGTGGTGGCTTGAACATGATAGGGAAGTAGCAGTACGTGACGTCGAACAACTCCTGTGAGTTCCAGTATCAGTAGCTGTCACGCATACTATGTCTAGAGCCTCACCTCAACATGTTTCTCAATCTCCCACTCGACCAATACGACCTTCATGACCGAGAAGGCAATCATCAGGTTTCGTGGATCCTTCTCTCCCTGCATGACCTTGATCAGGCCCTTCACGAATCGAGCCCCCATCTTCTTCAAAGCTTTTCGTTGGTTGGTCATCAACCCGTCAATGAGCGCCCAAATCAAGAACCGTGCTCCCTGGGGCTGTGTCTGAACCTTAACCTCCAAGAACAAAGCCTCAATGACCTGTTCCGCCTCATCATCACCAAAGTGACGCATCTGCTGCAGCGCGTTAAGACCCGTCAACAACTCGATGGTGCTCGGTTCATCGTCTAGCCGTGCGCTGTAGAATTGGGTCATGACTTCGACATGCTGAAGGGAAAGGAAGTTATTAGGGAGTGCAGCGAGGACGGAGGAGAGGAGGAGGATTGATCTGGATCTAAGCGCTGCATCTTCGCCCGTAAGATGTTCCCCAAGCGCTTTCACGATCTCAAGAAGCTTGATCTGGTCTGACTGAACGTCTGTACGTCATTCGTCAGTACGGCTCGACCAAGTGCTACGGAAAGCGCACTCTGAGTGATCTCCTTCACGATCGCATCTGCCTCGTCCACATTTTTCTGAGCCGTATTACTCAGGTATACCGGCACGAGTCTGTCCAGCGTATCCATGTCTCTTCGTGTATGAGTATCAACCTCTGGTGGTTACTCTCACAGCCAAGTTCCACGTCGGCCGGTCACGTGGTGATAACACCCTGAAGGCGTACGATGAGTATTTTTAGCCCTCGGTGCCGCCTCGAGGAAGATCTGAAAAACCGACGTATTTGAATTCAAGTGCTGAATAATATGGCTGCGACAACCCCTTCAACCTGCCGTACGTCTTCCTACTGCTTCGGGGCCTTTTCAGGATGCTGATCCCGTCTTTCCAGGCGTCGTGCTGGCCGCAAATATCGCTGCGCCGTTTATCGAGGAAGTTAAGGAATACACCAAAGACAAAAACGCACCCCTCTTCGTCGGATTTCTCGCGAACGATGACCCCTGGGCCCGTCAATACGCCGAACAAACCGGCAAGACCGCCACCGACGCCGGGTTCACCTTCGAACTCCGCGTCGTCGATAAAGAAGATCTCGAAGAAAAGATCATGGAAGCGAACGTCGACGAGAGTGTCACGGCCATGATGGTCTACTGGCCAGTATTCGGTACGCAACAAGATAAATATCTCCAGCAGTGTGTCGCACGGGAAAAGGACGTCGAGGGTCTTTCCCACGTGTACGTCCAGAACATGTATCACAACATCCGTTTCCTCGACGCCGCACAAACCCAGAAATCTATCCTCCCCTGCACGCCGTTGGGTGTCGTCAAGATCCTGGAATACCTCGGTGTGTACAACAATGTCTTGACGTACGGTAACAGACTCTACGGGAAGACCATCACCGTCGTTAACCGCTCCGAGGTCGTCGGACGTCCATTGGCGGCACTGCTGGCGAATGATGGTGCGACGGTTTACTCTGTCGACATCACTGGTACTCAGAAATTCACCCGCGGAGCTGGTATCAAGAAGAAGAAGCACGAAGTCGAGGACGTGGATCTCAAGCTCGAAGACGTCGCACCAAAGTCCGACGTCATCATCACCGGTGTTCCCGGAGCCGCGTACAAGTTCCCCACGGAGCTCGTGAAGGAGGGAGCAGTCTGTGTCAACTTCTCCACGGAGAAGAACTTTGACCCGAGTGTGAAGGAGAGAGCGGCGATTTATGTGCCGGCGACAGGAAAGGTTACGATTGCAATGTTGTTGAGGAATTTGGTGCGGTTATACCAGAACCAGCAGTTGGTGAAGGGGCTCAAGGCATAGAAGGGGTTGTTGATCAGGAGCAGGATTCAAAATGATATAATTGCTTCTCGCAATGTTAAACTAGAGGGTTACATAAACCCAATGCATAATTCGATGTCAATGCCATTCCATTTTCCACATTTTTACTCTGTCTCGTCCATCGCGTCAGATGTTCTCGCCTTCTTCGACCGTGCCTCCGCTACGACCTCCTCATCAGCATCCTCCCCTGCCCTCTTCTTCAATCCTTTCATCTTTCTGGTCTGCATCTTCGTCAAATCCTGTCTTCCAACGTGGATCCTTCCAGTCTTGTCTCCAATCTCGTTCATGCCAACATTCTTCTTTGTCTTCGGCATCAACTGCTTAGGCTTCTTGGTCGCCTCATTCCAGACATCGTCGTTCGGCGCCTGGACTCTTCGCACAGAGAAATCGATTCTGGGACCCATTTCTTGGAGTTCGATTCTAGGGAGCTTCTGGCCGGATTTCTTGGTTTGGATGAGGTATGCGCGGAAGTTGATTTGGGGATGGGGAACGTCGTCGGTCGCCTCGCCAGCGGAGACCGAGATGATGTACTGCAGACCGGCGACATCGATGCTCTGAACCTGCTCACCGCGGAAAAAGTCAATGAACAAAGACTTGGCGTGTTTGTAGTTAGGGTGGGTATCGAAAATGGGTCCGTTGAAGAGCATGAGGGGTTTCAGGCCGACAGCGGATCCCTGTGTCTTGAACTCGGCTATAGGCTTGAAATTCTGAATTCCCAACTCAATCACATCGAGAACCTGGTAACTGAACGTTCTGCACCAAGTCAAGTTGTGTGGTCTCTTCTTGGTGTGCGTACCGACGACTAACAGCGACGAATCGTTTTTCTCTGACCAGAACTCAATGGAGGAGGGGTCCTCGAAGGGGTGGACCTCGTTCTTCTTGGTAAAGTTGATTGCATCGGGCTTTTTCAGGGAGTAGAGGTCTGCCATGGCGGTCTGGACGAGACCAGAGGCTGTTGATCCGCGGATGAAGATGGCCTTCTTTGCATTCTCGACCAACTTGGGCTCACGCTGAGCGAGAGCACGCTTGGCACGGGCGTTCTTTGGCTTGCTATAATAAAATCAGGAGGAGATCACGGCGGGGGCATCGAGACGACTTACGATGTCCTGAGCATTGCAACTGCAACTTTTTGTCTTCGTCGTCGATAAAGTTCGCCTGGGAGCTTATCGTACTTTTTTCTGCGCCTGCTGCTGCGCCACACCACACCGCACCAGGAGGCCCAGTCTGCTGCTGGAGAGCGCTCGAGTTCGAGAAGGTTGCGTTCGAAACACCGAAGCTTGGGAACGGAACGTCTAGCGATCGCCAGGCAGATGGATCGGCATAGATAAACGAGTGTGATCAACGCTCGGCTCATTTGCTACCGGCGATGCCAGTCAGACCGATCAAAGTGAGAGTCATGGACAGCTGAGCATGGATTATGAGAATCGAAACATGACGGGTTTCCTCGGAGGTTTCGCCTTGTAGTCACACGAATAACAGCTAGGTGATGCCTCCGTATGTAACTGTCGAGCACCTCGGCACCACAACGGCGCCGCGGCCGGCCGATATCGATATCATGCCCCGCTTACGTAGTAGCGAACGCCTTGCACCCTTCAGCTCGCTCTCGGACTTGGACGATGCCGGGTCCTGCTAAGCCTCGACCATCTTGCCAACGATCCGTTCTACCTCACGTAAAACAGCGAATCCGTTTGCCCCTCGGTTACGTCGGCTCTGCAGGGCGGGTTAAGGTTCTTCAGATTTCCGCGCGGGAGATCAGCGCTGACAAATTCAATCCGTGGGGGCGCCGCTGATAGTATAAGTACACCGCTCCCTCGAACCTCCTCGATCCATCAACAACCTATACCCTCTCTACACAAAAATGTCTGGATCTAAGCTCTTCGCTCCCATCAAGGTCGGTGCCATGAACCTTGGCCACCGTGTCGCCATGGCTCCTCTCACCCGTTTCCGCGCCGACAAGGACCACGTTCACACCGACCTCGCCGTCGATTACTACACCCAGCGCGCCTCAGAGCCTGGTACCCTCTTGATCACTGAGGCTACTTTCATCTCTCCTCAGGCTGGTGGCTACAACAACATCCCCGGAATCTGGAACGAGGCTCAGATTAAGGCCTGGAAGAAGATCACCGACGCTGTCCACGCCAAGGGCTGCTCCATGGTTATGCAACTCTGGGCTCTCGGCCGTGCTGCCGACCCTTCCGTCTTGAAGGCTGACGGTTACGACTACGTTTCTTCCTCTGCCACCCCCATGGCTGAGGGCATGCCCGCTCCCCGCGAGTTGACCGTCGAGGAGATCAAGCAGTACGTCGCTGACGAGGCGCAGGCCGCAAAGAACGCGATTGCTGCCGGTTTCGACGGTGTGGAGCTCCACTCCGCCAACGGATACCTCGTCGACCAGTTCTTGCAGGACACCTGCAACAAGCGTACCGACAACTACGGTGGTTCCATCGAGAACCGCGCTCGTTTTGCCTTGGAGTGTATGCAGGCCATCACCGAGGCTGTCGGCCAGGACCGTGTCGGTATCCGTCTTTCCCCCTGGTCTGAGTTCCAGGGCATGAAGATGGCTGACCCTAAGCCCACCTTCTCCTACCTCGTCACTGAGCTCGGCAACCGCTTCCCCGAGCTCGCCTACCTCCACGTCGTCGAGTCCCGCATCGCCGGTAACGCCGACCAGGAGGAGAACCCCCTCGAGAAGTCCGACTTCTTGAAGGACTTGTGGCAGGACAAGGTCTTCTTCACCGCTGGTGGTTACCGGACTGAGTCTGCCAAGGAGGCTGCCGAGCACGAAAACACCGTCGTTGTTATGGGTCGTTACTTCATCTCCAACCCTGACTTGGTTAAGCGTATGAAGGAGGACAAGCCTTTCAACGACTACAACCGCGACACTTTCTACCAGTACAAGGAACCTTCTGAGGGTTACACCGATTACCCTTTCTTGAACTAGAGGATTAGATTTGGTTGATACGATACAAAAACAATACGAGAGAGAGACGGGAATCAGAAAGCTACACTTAGCATAGTAATGTTCGAATAGAGCGAGATACACAAGACAGAGTCCATATTTCGCATAACCGAGCTCCTATTCGTGATCGTAGGCGTATTAAACAATTACTGTCTTGATGTTTACACACAAGCTCATCCAAGCTACGATGTTTTCCATTCCAGATCCAGACACGGCTTCCACGTACCTTAGGTACATTCGTTGCTCGTGTCAACGGGTTCCTTTTTCTCACGCCCTCAACATAAGCTCAAGCAATTACCTTGCTGCTCGGCGTATACGTATACATTACCGGGCACCGGGCTCCAAGGGTTCGTACCAGCAGCTGCCTCATCAGTATTTGACAAACGTCACCCACTATAAAGAAGAAGCGTTTGGGTTCGGTTCTTTGAGGAAGTTATGTATCACCGTCACGCTCCCTTATATAAAGCATTGCGTGAGTTAGCATTAAACGGGTCCAAGGTTGTCGTCGATTTGGGGGTCAGGTATACGTATAGTCGTGAAGCTTTTGGCGATCCTTATGGTGACTGGTAGCTACCCTAGATTGCTGGATACTACCCTAAGAGATCTCAGATCGACATACTGGTAGTCTACCTCATGCTACATCAAATCTTCGCCCCCTTCCTCCTTGCACTGTTCAAACCCTGCTTCATAGCCAAATCACTCACAATTTCAATGCTCCCACCCCCGACAACCATGACTCTCAAATCTCGGCTGATCTGCTCAATCCTACCACCCCTCCCTCCACGCTGGTATCCCAACCCGCCAAGCACTTGCTGCGCCTCCCGGTTAACGATTTCCAGGGAGCGGGTACACTGTACCTTAGCCAACGCGATGAGTCCAGCGAGGTCGGCGTCTGATTCGGCGCGAGTGGAGCGGGAGAAGTGGTAGACGAGTTGCTCGAGGAGAGCGTGGGACGCTGCCACGTGCCGGCCCATCTCAGAGAGCTTTGCGCGGATGACGGGTTGTTCGATGAGTGCTTTGCCGAATGCTTGGCGATTCATTGCGTGGAGGAGGGCATCTTCCACGCAGCAGCGTGACATGCGGTTGGCTTGGTACGAGAGCCACAACCGTTCGTGGTTGAAATTGGACATTATGATCTTGAAACCTTCGCCTTCCTTGCCGAGGAGGTTGGAGACAGGAACCTTCACGTTGTCGAGCTCGACATAGGTGGAACCAGATGCGTTGACGCCGGAGTTGTGGATCTTGCGGCGGGTTACGCCGGGAGTATCGAGGGGGACGACAAGTACCGAGATACCAGACGCTCCAGGACCACCGGTACGCACCGCTGTGGTCATGTAGTCCGCAAAGACACCGTTGGTGATCCACTTCTTTGCTCCGTTGACGAGGTAGTGAGTGCCATCTCTAGCCTTCTCCGCAGTCGTCGTGATCCCACCGACATCACTTCCAGCATCTGGTTCCGTAACGCCCAAACAAAACCTCTTCTCACCACGTAAGACTTGAGGGACAAGTTCAGACTTCAATGGATGCGTGCCGAACTCGACGACGGGAGGGAAACCGATGACGTTACCCGTTGTGGAGATTCCCCAATTCACTCCAAGGTAGCCGATGCGCATAAGCTCGTCGTGGCAGATGAAGTCGTGGAAGGCATCCCATTCGTCGGGATGGACCCCGCCAGGCAGCTTGGTTCCCAATTTCTTCATATCTTCCTTAGGCAATGGCCAGATAGCAGCTGCGACGAAACCTTGCTCGGCATGCTTCTTGAAAGCCTCGTCAGGGATTTTGCCCTCTACCTCCCATTCCTCCGCGTGAGGACGAAGCTCTTTCTCGACGTACTGACGTACAGCAGCCCGTAAACGAGCGTGGGATTCGTTGTAGTAGGGTGATTTGATAGCTTGGTACCACGGCGGGTCAGCGAACGGAACGAGGTCACCGAATGTCTTCTCCATGATTGACGACGATAGTAGAGAAACCAAGACGGATTATATAGAGAGCTATCGGGGTCGACATGCCGAAATGTCTACCGCACGGATTGCTCGGTTGACAGATTGGCGTCTCGCTCCCCCGCGCTCTCCGCACTTGCACGTGCGGCCCTACAGTACCCGCGTACACATGACCCTCCCGTGAGACCCAGAGGACTCCGCACGAGATATACCATCCAGATGTGAGCTTGAAGACCGTTACTACCGAGGCTCTACGTCCAACCTTAAGCAATTATCGTCATGGAGGGCCTAGCAATTCCTCCTTACACGCCTACCCATCCAGACACCCATCAACCACTCATCCGACGTATCCTCATCGCCAATCGTTCGGAAATCGCTGTCCGAATTATCCGAGCATGTCAGCAAATTGGGATTACCAGTGTAGCTGTCTACACTGACGCTGATGGAGGCGCGCCTCATGTCAAGTTGGCAGATGAAGCCATCTTCATAGGGAGGATCGAGGGGAGTAAGGTGCACCCTCATCAGGATATCAAGTTGTTGGTCAACATGGCCAAGAAAGCCAAAGCGGATGCTATTCATCCAGGTACATCTCCTTTTCCGGTTCATGTAACGTCCACTAACTTCGAACAGGCTACGGCTACCTCTCCGAGAATGCAGCCTTTGCACAAGCCGTTCAGGACGCTGGCCTCATCTTCATCGGCCCCTCTCCATCCAGCATCTCCCTCCTCGGTGACAAGAAGTCAGCTAAAGAGTACCTCATGACACATGCAAAGCACGTGCCTCTGATCCCGGGTTACTCCGATGAAGAACAAGTACCCTCACATTTAGCCGCCAAGGCCTGTGAAATCGGGTTCCCAGTTCTCATCAAGGCCGCTTCCGGCGGTGGTGGAAAGGGCATGCGAATTATCCGCTCAGAGCAAGGGGATCTGGAGGGTGTAATTAAAGCTGCGCAGCAGGAGGCCGGTAGGCATTTCGGTGGTGATGAGCGTGTCTTGGTGGAGAAGTATGTGGACGGCGGCAAACATGTCGAAGTTCAGATATTCGGAGACAATGCTAAGACACCGGGTGGTAAGGTTTGGGTGCTTGGTGAACGTGAATGCTCAGTTCAGCGCCGTCACCAAAAGGTGGTCGAGGAATCGCCGTCTCCTCTCCTCTCCTCGGAGACTCGGGCAGCCATGTTCCGCGCCGCCCAAGAAATCGGTGAACTTCTCAAATATGAGGGTGCCGGTACAGTTGAGTTCATCCTCGACCCTCCTACTCAGAAATTCTACTTCTTGGAAGTGAACACTCGCATCCAGGTCGAGCATACGATCACCGAACAAGTAACCGGCCTTGACCTCGTCACCCACCAAATCTTTGTCGCTGGAGGCGGTAAACTAGCAGACTGCCCACAACTCGCAAACCTCCAAATCAGAGGCCACGCCATCGAAGCTCGTCTCTGTGCCGAAAATCCGGCGATGGATTTTGCCCCTTGCACGGGGACTATCAGACTCTTCGCAACCCCGGAAGAGGACCGTGCGAATCCGATCCTGGGTTTAAGGCTCGATACGGGTGTTGAGACTGGTTCACAGATTACAAGTCACTTTGATTCAATGATTGCGAAGATCACTGTGTATGCTCCTACTCGTGAGCAGGCCATTGAGAAGCTGGCGTTGGTGTTGAGGAAGACGGCATGTCTCGGCGTTATCACGAACCTTGAATTTATCAGTGCCATCATTCAACACGCCGAGTTCCGGAGTGGACGGTATACGACGAACTTCATTGAGGAGAACATCGACGAGCTGCTTGCTAGTTCTAGGGTGAAGGGTGAAATTGCGCAGAGGGAATACTTGTCGGCGATCCCTAGCCTTCTCGTTCGGAATCTTCACCGGCGACAATTGTCGAAGAAAGATTCAGGGTTCAGAGCCGTCAAGTTGGGCTTCAGAAATCAATTCAAAGGTCGAAGTACAACGACGATCGAGCATGTCAAGTTGGACACGGACGACGGCAACAGCCAAGGCGCACTGGTCGAGTTCCTCATCGATCGCTCGGCTGCGATGGGGGGGTTGGAGAAGATCAGAGTATGGCAACCAAATGCGGGCAGTGTAAGCGAAAGTCAGGAGAAGGCTTTCTTGAACAAGATTGGCGGGCAGCTTGTAACTGCTTATTATGCGAGTTTGGAATCACCAAGCACTGCTGGCACCGTCACAGCGAAGATTGTTCAAGTCAAGGACCTAAACCACGAGGGCGAGTGGAAGGCACTTATTGTTCGTGTCTTGATAGATGGTGTTCAAAAAGAATTCTTCTTGGCTACAGACGGACCCGAGCAGCCCTCGACCGGCAGGGCACGAACCTTCTGGCTCCACTCACTCGAGCACGGTATGACCTTCAAGTTCATCCTCAAGGATCTCCTTACCTGGGCCGGCAAACTCGACGAGCGACAAGGTGGACACAGCCTGAGTGCACATGGTGAGCACTCTTATACTACCTCCATGCCTTGCAAAATCGTGCAAGTAATGAAGAAGGATGGAGAAATTGTGAAGGCTGGCGAGCCGATCTTGGTGATGGAGAGTATGAAGACGGAGATTCGTCTGAATGCGAAGGAGGATGGTGTGTTGAAATTATTCGTCAAGGAGGGCGATGTCAAGGCGGAGGGCGCTGTTCTTTGCGAGGTCGTCGAAAATGCGAAGGAGGTTGTTCAGCCGCACATCGACCCCGAAGGTGCGGCAGCCGACAAGCAGTCACGACTTTCCATCTCGCATGGTCCCAAAGAGCCACCCTTGACCAAAGTTCCTGTGGGCACTTTCTTTCGCCAGCAAGCTCAGAAGTATCCTGATACCCTTGCGTTGATCTCGAGATGGCAGGGAGTCCGGTGGACATATAAGCAGATGGACGAGCTCAGCGATAAGTTGGCTCTGGGACTCATCACTCTTGGTGTGAAGCGACATGACAGAGTTGGCATTCTTCTGGGTTCAGCTGTGGAGTACAGCCTCGCTCAGATCGCCTTGGCCAAGTTTGGTGCGATTCTTGTAACCATCAACCCAGCCTATACCGTGACAGAGCTCATTGGCGCACTCAAGTCGGTTGGATGCACCACGCTCATCACTTGTCCTGGGATGCAAGGTCGTTCTTACATAGATTTATTGACGGAAATTGCCCCGATCATTTCATCGTGTAGCCCGGACAACCTTACGTCCGAGTCCGTACCGACGTTGAAGCGTGTGATCATGATTGACAACAAGAGCAACCACCTTCAGGGAAGGTTGCCTGGAGCATTACGTTATTGGGAAGATGTCGTTGCTTTGGGTGAAAAGCAGGATAAGCAAATGCTTGATGACATTGAAGGTCAACTGGACTATCGGGATGTCATGAACCTCCAGTTCACGAGCGGCACGACCGGCAATCCCAAGGCCGCCTGCTTGACGCATCTTGGCCTTCTTAACAATGGTGTATTCATCGGCGACAAGATGAAGCTTACTCCACAAGACAAGCTTTGCGTTCCTCCGCCACTGTTTCACTGTTTTGGCTTGGTTATCGGGAACTTAGCGGCTTTCACGGTACTTGCACACATATACCCCTATCGTACGTTGACTAACTGTTGGAGTACAGCACGGTTCCGCCGTAGCATATGCCTCCGAAACGTTCGATGCGGCAAGCGTTCTCGAAACGGTTAGCGAAGAGAAGTGCACGGCACTTCATGGGGGTATGTACCCTTCCTGTTTCGTTCATCTGCGAGGCTGACCGACTCTCAGTTCCCACGATGTTTGTTGCCGAGATGGAGCATCCTGACTTCAAGAAATACGACATGTCGTCCTTGAGGTTCGAACCTTCAGCAGTCGCTGGTATGTCAGCAAGCTAACAAACGTTCAAACAGGACGGGCGTAGCCGCTGGAAGCCTTGTTCCCTCCCAACTTATGGAGCGTATTCACCGGCACCTGAATTTGACCGAGCTCACCATCTGCTACGGCATGACCGAGACATCTCCAGTGTCAACGATGACAAGTGGTGAGGACACCATGTTTCAGAGGACCAGTACTGTTGGTCGAGCTATGCCCCACACGTCTCTCAAGGTTGTTGATCCCGAAGGCAACATTGTTCCAACGGGCACTTTCGGCGAACTATGGACCGCTGGATATTGTTTGCAGACAGATTACTGGCGTAACCCAGAGAAGACAGCTGAAGGTTCGTGAATGTGTTCTAGTGTGATGAGCGCAAGACTAAGTCTACCGCAGTCATGACAACAGACGAGAACGGACTCCTGTGGATGCATACCGGTGACGAAGCCGTCATGGATGACGACGGCTACATCAAGATCACGGGTCGTATCAAAGATCTAATCATCAGAGGTACGCTTGTTCATAATATTTGTTCCAACACAGCAGAGGCTAACGATAGCGTACAGGTGGCGAAAACATCCAGCCTTCCGAAATTGAGGACCGACTCCTCGCTCACCCCTCCATTTCCCTTTCCAGCGTCGTCGGTCTCCCAAGCGAAAAGTACGGAGAGGAAGTAGCGGCGTTCATCGTCCGTGCACCCAACCAACCCCGGATCTCTGATGCTGAAGTACGTGAATGGGTGGGAGGGACTTTGGCGCGCTACAAGGTGCCAAAGTATGTGTTTTGGTGCGGAGAGACGACTGGGTGTCCTCCGGACTTCCCAAAGACGGCGAGTGGGAAGATCAGGAAGGTTGATCTGAGGGTGATTGGGGCGGAGTTGGCGAAGAAGGGGTTGGGACTGTAGATAGACTTACAGTAGGAGGACTGGCATTTGTACACCCACGTTAGTAACGATATAGCTCGATGAATAAGACGACATTCTTATTCACCTTTATACGCTGCTCAGTTATGGTAAAGTTGAAGGGACTAAAGGGAGATGCTCGACGAAAAAGGCCAGCTACTTCGCCAGCATCCACACCTCGGTCGTCCATAAATCGGGGGTGGATCGCTCAAGCGACATCCTCCACACTGACTTGACTATCCTCCTTCCCTCCCGCAGACTCCACATCAACAACCCTCGTCCTGGTCGAACTCCCCGTCCCCTCGGTCCCCTCCCTACTATGCTCATGCTCACCCGTACTCCCCCTCCTAACACAATCATCCCTCACAGCCTTCTGTCCACCCAACCTCAACGCCTGCCTAACCTCCTGCTCCCCCATTTTCTCACACTCCCTAAAATCACCCTTATGTTGCGGCCATAACGGACGCGCAAGCGGGTTGTCGTACATCCATTCGTCAATACGCGGGGGCGGCACGGATGTGAGGACTGCAATTTCGAGCTTAATGGCGTTGCAGTACGAGTCGAGATCGAGGTCGTTCACGTCGTACCCGAACGGGTTCTCGATCTCGAGCCCAATTGCGGCGAGTCCGAGCATGACGTAGGATGCGACGAAGACGGCGGGAATGGTGATCCAGTGGAGTTTGGAGTACAGCTGGAAAGGCATGACCAAGACGAAGATCCAGACGATCTGGGAGATGACGATGTTGTAGGCAACAGGGATCGGGGTCCAGAGGATTCGTTCACAGGTCGCCTTGGCTTCGGAGAGGGCGGAGAGGGCTGTCATGCATTGGCCATAGGTGACGGCGTCGAACTTTTGACGTTTGACGCAGGACTGGACGTAAGACGTGAGATGTGCGGATATCTCGAGGGGTAGGTTGCCGTGACGGTGTGTGCCGGAGAGACCGAGGATTCTCTTTTGCGGGACCCAGGTGGGGCGGCGGTCGAGTCCTTCCACGGTCGAGGACAGCGCGGAACCAGTGGCAGAAGCAGAGGGAGATTGGACCGGGATCATGGTCGGTGCGCGAGATGAGCCGTAGGTGTGGAGGTGAGGGACGAGATCACGAAGGTCTTCATAATCTGTACCGCGTTCCTCACGGAGATGATGTTTCGTCGCGACAGCGAAGGCAAGAAGAAGATTGATCGCACTCTTCTTCTCCAAGATATCCGTCGTAGTCTCCTCCTCGACACAAACCCAGATTAGCCTCGTCAGAGTACGAGTAAGCGTCTGGATGGCAGTCCACTGCTTTCTGCCTTCGGACCAACGCTCATAAGCGGCGGAGGTACGAAAGGAAAGACAAAGACCGACGATGAAACCGAGTACAGAGATCAGGACGTTGTCGATGCCGAGGTTGGCATCGGTAAGGGCGGAGACACAGGTAACGATCGTAGCAACAGCCGTTGCGAAGATAACCTGAGGCAAGATCCTGAAGAGGATAGAACCCTTAATACGAAGAGGGTAAGGATGTTGACGACGGAATGGATCATCGTGAACATGTCCGTTGGGGGCAAAAGGATTATGGAGGTGGAAGGAGTTGCCCATGTTGTATGTTGAAGTTGAACGTTGAATGATTGTTACTGGACGAAGGGAGGTCAAGACGGGGCCAGCCTGTCTTTGTAACCTCTGTGCTATGCTGTCAAACGGGTGTCGGCCGAGGTGTTGGAACTTGGCTGGGGAGGATTTTATATCGAGGAGGTGTGCTTCAACGTGTACATTAAGTCTCAAGTGTATGGCGCGCTAGAGCGGGAGAGCTGCGAGGAGGGCATCTGACCGGGAATCTGCAGCGTGAATCAAATGGAGGAATTCAGAGCATATGGCAACCCTGACTGGATAATAGGTGTTCCCTTCTCAAGACCGGTCTGATTTGACCTTCGAAGGTTCGCGACTCCGAATTTCGAGTGCGGTTGACGTCGAAACTTCCCACAAGTCGCGCGCTACTAGTAACCCGACCATGAACCCCAGATCGATATCAACGTTACACCCCGCAAAAACAATGCCATCGTCATGGTCCGGTACATCATAAGGCTGGTATATGTGCTCATTGTTTTGCTCGCTGCCACGGCTCTGGCTTCACCTGCTCAGCGTCATTTTGAGCTGTCCGACGAGCGTCAAAAGGATCCGCCCTTGACGATCCCTGAGGAGGAGCTGAGCTCTGCATTAACGTGTCCATACGGTGACCCGCAACTTAATTCAACGATAGTACTTCTCGTACATGGTACTGGAAGTACGGGTAACGAGACATGGGCCGCTACGTACGGCCCAGCCTTACTGTCTGATGGATTCGTGCCTTGCTGGGTGACCATGCGTGAGCGAGCATCCTATCTCTTATCCGTCCTTCTTTTCTGATGATCCTCCTAGCCAACCGCTCTCTTGCTGACGCCCAAATATCCGTTGAATACCTCGTCCACGCAATCCACACACTTTCCCGCCTCCCCTCCTCCCACCAAATCTCCGTCATCGCACACAGCCAAGGCTGCCTTCACCTGCAATGGGTGCTAACATTCTTCCCCTCCACACAACCCCTCGTATCGGACGCGATCTACCTCGCCGGGGATTTTCACGGCACAGCAAGTGGAGCCGTATATTGTGAAGTCCCACATACCCTCCCAGACACCCCGCACGTTCAGAAAGGCTGTTTACCTTCCTTGTGGCAGCAGATGCCCGAATCGAAGTTCTTGAGTGCATTGGAAGCACATGGAGGGACTGGGGCTGGACAGTTAACGGATGGATCCGTGACGTCGATTTACACGCTTACGGACGACATCATTAACCCCGAGCCACAAACCTCGAAACTGTCACCCTGTCCGAAAGACACTTGCACTTGCGCAAACATCCCGATTCAGCATCCGCTCCTTCTTTGTCCCCCACCAACACCAGGCGCAACACCAACTGATCACTTCAACATCCTTACTTCAGCAATCACCTATGCTCTCGTCCTTGATGCTCTGACGAACGAGGGTCCGGCGGACGTGAAGCGCATCATTAAGGAGGGAAAGGTGGCAGAAGCTTGTGTCAGGGGTGTCGCGGAGGGTATGAAAAATGGTGCGGGAGAGTGGGTTAGAGGTGCAATGATGGGTGTGTTGAGTGTTGCGAAGGGAGGGAAAGAGGAGATTGGGAAGGAGCCTGAGCTGAGGGAGTACGCGAGGACGTGAGGTGGTGGGATTGTACGATATGTCGGAAAAGTAGAGTTGTGGGATCATGGTTATGGCGTTCGTATTGATTACAGTTCGGGTTTATGGATTTTGGGATGGTATGTGTTCGAAGACGTAATATTGCTAATAAAGATGAGCGCGAATAAATGGAGTGCGAGCTAGCATCTGTACTATATCGTCCAGCGAGGAGCAAGAGCAGCCATGCAAGAAAAATGTCCAACAAAATGTCCAGAATTACTCCTTGTCCTTGTCCTTATCCTTTCCCTTATCCTTCTTCTTCCAGAACAATCGCTTTTCCTTCTTTGGAGTCCCTGTTGACTCCTCTTCGTCTCCTTTCCTCTCCTCCTTGGTATACTTGTCCTTGAAGATCCAAGAGTTTCCTGGAATGGTCACGCCCTGCTTTGCCGCCATTCGGTAGTACTCTGCACTTTTATACTTGTTCCGCTTACACCCAATCCCATTCAATAAACAGAACCCAGCTTCGGCCTGGGCATCCGCATCTCCCCATGATGCAGCGACTTCATAGAACCTCAGAGCGATTGACTTATCTTTCGGTACACCCCAACCCTTGGCATAACACATCCCCAGCTCAAATATCGCAAGTGCAAGTTGTGCACGTCCAGCCTTGGAAGAGCCGGCTCCCGGCGTATCTGGATTAAGCGTCAACAAAACACTCGCGCGACCCTCCCTGCTCGATTCGTGTGTCTCCCCAGCAGCAATGTCGTAACTTGCTCCTTCCGCAGCCTTCTGCAACCATTCAACCGCCTGTGCTGGACTCGGTGCGCAGCCCCAACCATGACGAAGTGCCATTGCGTACAGAAGCATACCTCGGGGATCACCTCCCTCGGCTGACATACGCAGGTGAGCCGTAGACTGTGCTAGACGGTCCTCTTCATGAGCATTCACACCCAGGGCGAAGTGATCTTCAGGTGTCAGACTTTGCATTGGTGTCGTCAGCAGTGACTCGGTTTGGGAACGCGATCTGGGTGTCGTGATGCGCGGACTCGAGTTGGCGGAATGTGTTGCCGAACGAATTGGTGTAGGTGAACGTCTTGCTGGCTGTGATGACCGGGTAAGCAGTTGTAAAGGTGCTTGCTCTTGCCTTGTCGGTGGCGGGGTTGCCGTAATGCCAAGCGCATCGGGAATCCACGAATCCCTTATCCTTCCCCGAGGCATATCCTCAACTGGAGTGATGGGTGAGGCTTGCATACTGTCCGGACTCATCATCATCGCCTGTCGTGTGGGTGTATCCTCCGTGTCTATCCTCAGTCTCGGTAGCTGATCGCGTTGCTGGCGCGGCGTGGGCCTGGAGAAGTTAATACTTGGAGGTCGACCATTTGGAGATCCCGGTGGACTGGAGATGATAGGTGACTGTCCAGCAACGTACGACGGTCTAGCATGCTGAGATAGCGAAGGTCGAGGCTGTAATGTTGGGTCTGTCACTGAACGTACGCTGTACTCGGGTCTTTCGGGTGTTCGATGTTGATGCAAAGGAACGGGTGGTGGCTGCTCATATACATCCTCCTCGCTGGCTTCTCGGATTGCCACGAAAGGTAATGAGCCAATGACAGAACCTCTGTGCAAATTGGAGGTTGCGTGATCCGAGTACACACTGCTTGCAGCGACACTATCCCTCGCCATATGCCTTGGTGCCTGTGGATGAAGGCCCATTCTTTCGAAGTCTCGATATAATGGCGAAGGCTCTCCTAGTGAAACATCATCACGAGGAAGATTCAACGTCTTCTTCTGCATGCTCGGTCGCCTGGGTTCCTCCGCTTGCCGTAGTTTGTCGGCATAGTAGAAAGGAGATGCTCCGCTCGCAACGGTGTCTTGAGAGTACCGGTTTGTAGCTGTAGTCGTCTGTGAAGTGAAAGAGTCGCGTTCACCGCCTGGTCTTGATCTTCCCGGTTGACGGCTTTGCAGAGAGTACGGTGATCCACCATGAGCAGCGATAATTGCGTCCAGAGGAGAAATGGACATTTTGGAGATGTCTCGGTAAGACTGGTTGCTAGTCATCGTCGACAAAGGAATGGATTCGGTGATGACGATGTAAAATAAGATACAATACGAAGCTTTTGAACGTTCTGAACCCGTTCGTGTACTGATATGATGGCTGCGGAAGGTATCGTAATGAAATGATGAAGCTCGCACCAGGCGACGTGGTTGACAAGAAACAATGCCGAAGAAGAAAGACTGTGGATATGAAGTGCTTGGTCAATAAATGCCAAGTAGTTTAAGCGACTCAAGGGCTTGACAGGACGTAGCGAGGAAGCCGGTCCTCTCGCACGCGTTGAATTTACGACGGACGTCAGGGGCCGAGTGAGAATGGGGCTGTTTGCATGAAGGACCGTGCACTATTATACCTACTGTACTTAGGTACAGTTGCAAGGAAACAAGCAATTGCACATGGGATGGACGTTGGTTCTGGTTCAGTAAAGGGTATACTTGTCAGATTCGTATCTAGAGCTAACTGAACGACATTCCAAAAAGATACTGCCTTTTCTCCACAACCTCCTTCTGAGTCAAAGAATCAAACGGGGCGATGCGCTTAGTCGAAGAGACCGAAGCCCATGTCGTCGTCCTCCTCCTCCTCTTCCTCAACCTTGGCCTCAGCAGCAGGGGCGTCCTCAACAGCGGCGGCAGCAGGGGCAGCAGCGGCAGCGAAAGCCTCAGGGTTGGCAAGGTACTCCTTGATCTATGGAACACATTCATTAGCAAAACTGTAACATATCTTCATTTGTCATGTTTGCTCTGAGACATCGATAGGGTCAGGAAAAAATTAGAGTGTATGATGTTTAGATCCGCACTGCTCTCAACCTCCGAAGAAGGACAACGTTGGAATGTAGGTGTTCATCAAATAACGAGAGGTCTCGAGAGCAAATAGTGACAGGAAGTAGAATCTTACCTTCTCAGCACCCTCAATGGTGTACTCAGTGGCAACGGAGACACCGAGGACGTTCTTGTAGGAGTTGATAAGGGAGTGCATGACGGAGACAATGGTGGGGTAGTTGGCAGCCAAGGAGATGGAGGCAATGGTCTTGACGGCGGACAAGAAGTGGGCGACGAGGACATCCTCGGAAATGTCGAGAACGTCGGGGGTGAAGACGTTACCGTTGTCGTAGACAAGCTCGACACTCATACCGTAGGTGAAGGGGGAGATGTTGAGCATGTTCAACAAGGTAGCCTCGGAAGCACCGACCTTGGTACCGGTAGCAACGACCTGGACCTCGGAAACGATTTCGATGGTACCACGGGCAATCTTGGTCGGAATACCCAAAGCCTGGAAGAAAGAGGTCTTTCCGGGCTCCATACCGGTGTTACCAGCGGGGATGAAGACATCGGTGGTGGCGACGGCACCAGCACGGGCAGGGGCAGCGACAGTGACGGAGGTGATGGTGTCACGGATGGTCTTCAAGTCACTGTTGGTGAAAACGAAACCGGTGTTACCCTTGACGAAGGGCAACAAGCGCTCGTACTCGGGGAACTCACCGAGGAAGCCACGGATGGCACGGCGAACCATGGTGTTCTTACCCATGAGGACGACGGCATCACCACGGAGCTTCTTACGGATGGTGTGCATCTGCTGGGAAGACACATTGTCGACACCAACGATGAAGATGGACTTGTACTCCTCCAAGAGAACACGGAGCTTCTCGAAGTACTCAGCCTTCTGTGCGCGAGATCCACCCATTTTGATTATTGACGGTCGGTTAGAGAAAAGAGAACACTCGAATCTGTTTAAGCCTTAGGCGGACTCGAAGTCGTTGCTCGTAAGGAAGTTGCCGGGACGGGGGAACAAAAGTTCGTGCGCTGCGAGGAAATTTGGCGGGGTGGCCAGCGTGAGTAGGGTTTGGAAGACCGCGAGTCAATTGGTGAGAACGCGGCGTGTTGCAAAATTGATTGACTGTTTTATAATTCATGAATGATGATGAGCATTGTTGTTTGTATATTATCCCAAAAGATTTCCGACTGTCTTCCGTTACCGCTTACCGGACCGTAGGGCGCCCCCGGCGCCGGAAACCTTATTTCGCGGTTGGCGATTCGGAAAGTGAACCCTGAGCAGCATCGAACCCGTCTTTCCCTGGATACATGTATCGATGAAGCGGTGACAGACAGCGATATATTCTTCGCTCGATATGCAACCGAGTCGCCCGAAGACCTTCCCTGACCTTACCAATGTTCCGCCACAGAAGCGTCCGAAGCTTGCGACGGTCGTGAATGCGCTTCCGAATCCGAACGACTTCATCCCACCCCCGATCAGCCAAGTTGTGCGCGATGACTTCCCACCTGTGTACCATGAAGAGTTTTTGCAGGAGAACTACGACCCCATAGACAACGAGGCAGACCCTGATCTGATCCATGACCTCGAATTTGGGGACTACAATCGGGAGGGAGAAGACCTTGTTGCATCCGATGGCGAGGTCCTTCCGGAAGGCCCTACTATGACACAAGAGCAGCGGTGGGCTGGATCGGATACATTGGCTATGCCGCCGCCTCCGCTGCCGTCGTCAAGACCCGCATTTACCCCACTGAATAGGAGCGATCCTCTTAATATCGGCCACCCGAGGTATGGCTTACAGTCAGCACTGGTACATGCTTATGCGCGAAAAGGGATCCGTACACTATACGACTGGCAAGCGAAATGCCTGGATTTGCCTGGACTACTTGATGGATCACGGAGTGTCGTCTACACTGCACCTACGTCCGGAGGGAAGACGATGGTATCCGAGATTCTTATGCTCAAGAGGGTCTTCGAAACGAAGAGTAAAGCAATCCTGGTACTACCGTTTGTGTCCATTGTCACCGAGAAAACACGGCACTTGAAGTCATTACTTGAAGGTACCGACAAAGTGGTAGCAGGGTACTTTGGCGGCGAAAAGCAAAAGGCCTGGGACGCAGTAGATATCGCAGTCTGCACAATCGAGAAGGCGAACTCCTTGGTCAATACCGCTCTATCAGAAGGCAAGCACGACGAGCTTGTGGTGCTTGTAGTTGATGAGCTTCACATGCTTGGCGAAGACAGAGGTTACATCATCGAGCTCATGCTCACGAAACTTCTCGCAATCAATCAAGATGTTCAGATCGTCGGTATGAGCGCAACCCTGAAGAATCTACCGCTTCTTGCTCACTGGCTTCGCGCACATGCCTTTACGTGCGACTTTCGTCCGGTGCCGTTGCATGAATATATTGTGCGCGATAATGCTGTATTTGACACCGCAGCGAAGCCCGTATGCAACATCCCACAAGCTGAACACAAGGCATTGAAAGACACGTCTGTCAACGCGTTGGTTGCGCTGACGCTGGAGACCCTCAGTGAAGGCGGCTCTGTGCTGGTTTTTTGTTCCGCTCGTGGAACATGCGTGGAAACTGCGAAGCTTCTATTCTCATTCGTTCCCGTCGCACAGGCAGATATCATCGAGAAGCGGATCGAGCTAATTCAGCAGCTGCGAGACACGCCTTCGGGAGTGGATGAGATCCTCGAAGGGTGCGTCATGAAAGGGATTGCATATCATCATGCCGGACTTACAACTGAGGAGCGCGAGCTCCTTGAGGGTGCTTACTCGGACGGCGTTCTGAAGATCCTTTGTGCAACAGCGACCTTAGCCGCCGGAATCAACCTTCCAGCACGGCGTGTGATATTCAGAAGCCCGCGTATGGGGCGTGAATTTCTGAGTTTGGCATCATACCGCCAAATGAAAGGGCGTGCTGGACGAGCAGGGAAGGACCCGTTTGGTGAAAGCTTTCTGTGTTGCACCAAGATGGATACGGCGAAAGTCAATGAACTCATTCATGCTCCTCTTCCTTCCGTCGAGAGTTGTCTGAAACCAGAGAAAAGAGGCTTGAAGCGGGCATTGTTGGAAGTGATCGCTACCAATCTCGCCAGTACCGAAAGCGCTGTCATGACTTACGCACAGAGTACTCTGCTTTATTCCACTGAACCTGATGAGAAGGGGATGAAGAAGCTGGTCGACGAGTCCTTGGATTATCTTCTCGAGAACAAGCTAATCGTGAAGGAAGATCCTGATGGATATACCGCTGTCGAGAAGAGCTATGTCGCTACAGGTGTTGGACAAGCTGTCGTTGCATCGGCTATGACCCCCGAGGACGGCTTGTTCGTACATGCTGAGCTCTCTCGCGGTATGCGAACGATTGTGCTTGATGATGATTTGCATCTCATATACCATGTCACACCTGTCTACGCCCAGTGCGAAGTGGACTGGGGTATTCTCCGTAATGCTATCGAAGATCTTTCCGAGAGCGGCAATCGCATTATGTCATCGGTGGGAGTGAGTCCAGCTTTGGTGCATAAAATGGCGATGGGGGCTACATTGAAGGAGGACAAGCCAGAGAACGTGGAGAGGCTACGTATCCATAAGCGGTTTTACGCCGCGTTGATGCTGCAGGACTTGATCAACGAACGCAGCCTGAGCGATGTCGCTGCCAAATTTGACATTGAACGCGGGTTCCTCCAGAGTTTGACAAATCTGAGTGGAGGCTTCGCATCCATGGTTGGGGCGTTTTGTACGAAGTTGGGATGGGGGACCTTAGCGATGCTGCTGGAACACTTCCGGGACCGTCTGGTTTTCGGAGTAAAGGACGACGTCCTTGAGTTGGCCAAGCTACCGTACGTCAAATCAGCTACAGCTCGAATGTTTGCGCAGAACGGGCTCAAGAATATCCATTTGGTTGCTGCTGCTTCTCGAGAGGATATTGTTAAGCTATTGAAGGAAATGAGGGCTGGACGGGATCGACGCAGTTCGGAGCAGTTGAGATTGATGCAGGATGATTTTGATAAGAAAAAGGCAGATATTATTATTGATGCTGCGCAGCGTGCTCGGGACATCATGTTAAGGGAGTATTGAACTGGATCGGACGGCGTTCTGGAGTTTTCCTGCTTATTTATTATGTGCCCGTTTAAGATAGAAAGACTTACACCTCTACGGGTCTGTTTTGTTTATCGATAGGCGGCAGGTCCCAATACATGCAGAGGTTCGAGCTCGAGAAGCGCGAAAGCACAAACATCAAAAAAAAACGTCAAATTCGACTCCAAGATGCCACCCAAGAGAGCAAGAGGCCTCAAGGCTGCCGCATCGTCAAAGAAGCAAAAGACAGAGGAATCACCAGCGCCGGTTGTTGATCAAGACATTCCCATCGAACAAACGGGCGACGATGAGCAAACCGTCATGCTCTCGAAGGAGGTTGCCGAGGATGACGAACAGGGACAACTTGCGGTGTTGTTCGAAACAGCTATCGAGAAACTGAGAGGTTCGTTGGATTCCCCAGGTCTACATGTGCTGGGCGCTGACATGACAAACAGGCACCGACCCAGCGACCGCCCTCCCCCTCCTCTACGGCACAATCCACGAATGCGATCGCATGCTCCGTGCCGCGTACTCTGACGAATCAAACCCTACCCCCCTCCCCGCCGACTTCCATCGTATCTACGCTTCCGCACTCCTCGAGCTCTCGGCGCTTATTGATGAACAGGATGAGGAGAATGGTGAGGCGGCGTATGTTGAGGCGGCTATTGAGAGGGCTGATATGGGGTTGGAGGTTGAGGGGAGAGAGGAGGGGGAGGAGAGGGGGTTGAAGTATGTTAGGGGGAGGGGGTGGTTGAGGAAGGCGCAGATCCTGTGGAGTAAGGCGGAGGAGGAGCCTGATGTGAATGCTTTGACGCAGATCATCGAGACTGGGATGAAGGATTTGGATGCGGTGGACCTTACGGCTTTGGAGAAGGAGGAGAAGCAGATTTTCGTCGCACTCGATACCGTACGCGAGTTCGTCGAGATCACGAGTGAAGGACGGGAGAAGTTGGAGTGGGTGGAGAAAAAGTGGACTGAGATCCTCGAGGCACAGCAAGAGAATGCGAGTGCGCATCACGGGTACGGCGCTGTGCAGCTTACCATCGTTGGCTCAATCCTGGAGAAAATCGAGGATGAACTGGATCAAGACGACGAAGATGAAGATGAAGATGATGACGAAGAGGACGAGGAGAACCAAGGCGAAGATTACATCAAGGCTCGCAACGTTCTCCAGAAGGCGGTTGACTCATTTACGAAAGCACTTGAGCTCACCCGCGCAAGGAAGGAATCCATCGGGGAACTGCTACAGCTCATCGCAGAGGCGAAAATGTCGTATTCGGAAGTCACTGTGGGCGAGAAACAGGAGAGGCTATATCAGGAGGCGATTGAGAGTTTGAGGGAGGCGAGGGAGGAGGCGGGGGGCGTGTTGCCGGAAAAGTTCCAGGAGATTTTGGATGGCGAGGAGGAGGAGGGCGAGGACGAGGAGGAGTAAGTGGTGGTCTAAGAAACCTACTTTGCTGGAGACACAATAAACAAGCATAAACCAAACGAATCTAACATACTTTTGAAAGTACCTCCCCATCTCCCCATGCCTTGGCGGCGGGCGCACGGGCCCGAACATGAACTCCCCCGCAAATGTATGCAGGCCCGAAATTCCGAAGGTCGAAGGTAAACAACACCGAACATCTTCTACATACAATCATCCATTTCCTTTGCTTCTTTGCTAATGAAACCTCGATAAACGGTCTCTTTATGTCTGAAGGCCTGATCCACGAAGGACCTCTGGCTGATTACTTTGAGGGTGAGTCTCAGTCCACGGATCAAAGGTTCTGTGCTGACCATCGTATGCAGCCGTCGGCTCAGGAGAGGCAGCTGCGAATTGGGGCGTTGAGGAGTCACCAAGGTTTGAGAATAAACCGAGTTTTGCGCCGAGCTTTGTACGGAGAATCAGTTCGGGGCGGGTGAGGCAGTTGCATACAAGTGATGCGGCGTCGACACGGAGGGCACGATTTCAGGCTCTCTTCACGGTTCATACACCTCAGCTCGAACGATTCTAAATGATACTAATGTTGTGGATAGACCGCACTCAAACCACGCCTCCCACGAACCGAAACCTCCCGCTTCCTCGAACGCTTCCGCTACGTAATCTGTACATCCCAGCTCCTTGGCGATAACGTCTCCATATCCCTCTACGCAGAGCAAATCACTTTCGACCACCACAAGGATGAACTAGACGAGGAATGGATCAATATCACGAAGAAAGCTGGGAGTATACGGTATTGGAGTGGGAGTGGTGGGTGTGTTTTTGTGGTTGTGTTGCTGTTTGCGTGGAGTTTGAGAGGGAATGGGAGGTGGACTGATGGGAGGACGAGGGTTGCGGCGGCGGTGACGCTTTCGGTGCTGGTTTGGTTGTATTGGTTTGCACATGCCGTGAGTTGTCCGTCTGTAACACCGCCTTGGATTGTGCTTACTAATTTTCACAGCGTCGGCGATATACTCGAATATTGCGAATACGGGCTTTGGACCTCACCTCCCGGCTTGTACAACAGTCTCAAGCTTTCGATGTGTCTGTTAACAAATTACTCTCAAGAATACAAGAGGTTGAACTGGTATCCCGAGGATACCGCCTTTCTTCGCCCTTACCTCCGATCGCTCGCCTCGAATTGCATACAAGATCACGACGCTGCGCACTGCTCAGATCAACCCTCGCAGCTTCCATGGCCCTCGCTGCCTCAGCGCACGGTCGAGCGTATGCTGCATTGAAGGAGCTGGCGCAGCCGCAAGATCTCTATGCGCTGCGCGACATGTTCAACATCCCCGACTACGAAGAATCCGAGGCAGGTGACGAGGCGGAAAGCGTGCGGACGGTGGATGACCCTGAGAGTCTAACCGCGCTTAAAGCAGCCTTCCATAAAATGCACCTTCGCCGACGGGAAGGTCTTTGCTGTTTGCTCGCAGTGGACGCTGGTGATGCGGACGAACGACCGAGGTGGAAGGCTCTGTGCGAGCAGGTGAAGGTCTTGGGCGATCTGATGGAGCAGTTGAACGGGGAGATGAGACGCGCTATCGATGAAGATGAGCGTCGACTTGATATTCCATTGACGCCGTTGTTGGGATCGTCCGGTAATGGAGACCGGCTCAAGACGCACATTCGTGGGATCAGCTCCCTTTCGCATACACTAAGAAGCGTGACCGCAAAAATGCATATCGTACGTGAAGATTCGGCGCGATTGTTGCAAGGTAATCCGGAACCAGAATCCCAGGAGGAGCTCTTGTCACAATACGACTCGATTGGCCAAGACCTGCGATCCTTGATGGCGGACTGGGAAAAGGGCCGGTCATCTCTGACGAACTTGTTCAGCAAGTCCTCGCTGCAATCGCCTACTCTTGAACCAGCAAGTCCGTCTGGAAGCATGCCGGGGTTGAGCGTCAGCAACACTACGGAGACCGAAGAAGTAGCACCTACACTCCGTGTGAACCGATCACCAAGGCCGAGACCGGATAGTTGGATGATCTCTGTCGGGGCCCCCTCACCTCTAGGTCTCTACACCGAAGACAACGACAAAGAAAAAGTCTTCGAAGCCATCGCAGAAGATCCGCGTCAAAAACCTCGCGAAGGACCCCGTCCAACCCGAGCAGAACGCATCGAGCAAATGAAGAAAGACCGCGAAGCAGCAGAAATTCAGAAGAAAGACCGAGAGGTTGGAAAGAACGTTGTCCTAGAATTAAAGGACGTTTTGGACCTGCGAGGCCGCCGGCGGCCGTCGGCGAGACGAGGTCCTTCGGGGTTGGGCATTGAGATTACGAATGCTAATGTGTAATGTACGCTGTACGCAAATTGGTATTCTTAGGTAGGCGTTTTCATATGATAATATTGATACCCAATAACATGATTACCTTACTCCCATCAGTCCAAAATCAAAAATCAAACCCCAAAACTGTTACTCCATCTACCTGATACGCTTCAAACGCTCAGTGTTGAGATGCATACGGGTATCCAAGTTATCTCCCTTGTCCCCAATCCTGTCAAGCTTCGCGTTCTGCATCGTAATCTCCTCGTTCGTCGCAACAGCCAATCCCCTAAGCCTACTCGCAACACCAGAAAGCGTATCCAAATTCGAATCAATCTCCTTCTCGACCTCATCGTCCTGTTCATCAGCCTCAAACTGGTACTTCGACCTCTCCGCCAAACTCGCCTGTTTCCTCTCAGCCCAAGTGGTCTTACCCTGGTCCTTCCCGCTCAGTGCAGCATCGACACGGCGCTGAGAATCATATGCGTACTTCCTGTTCGCTTCACGCTCGTTACGTTCAGTCTCATGACGCTCCGTAATACGCATTTCCTCCTCTTCCTGACGCTTCGCACGTCCCCACGGCTTAGCAACATGAATCGCAAACATCGAACGATTAAGTGTCTTCAACTCCCGCGCCTTCTCCTCCGCGCGATGAGACGCGTTCGCCGCAATATCAAGAGACCGCTCGACGTTCGAGATACGATCACTCTGCGCTCCCAACCTCGCAAGCGTGTTTCGGCCGGTCTCTTCGGCTTCTGCGGCCATGCGGACGGCGTTACGGGTACTCGACAATGACTCTTGTTTCGTGAATCGCATCTCTTGCTTGACGGCCTCGACATCCTCGTCCTCCTCTTGTTCCTCGTCTCTGCGGCCACCGTACGCGACGTAGTCGTTCACGGCGGATTGCTGCTGTTGCTGGTAACCGCCATATCCGGGTTGTTCGAGTCCAGCGTTTCCGTACTGGGGGTAGTTCACTCCACCCTGTGGTGTACCCGTCCTTATACCATCGAACAACGCATTACGGTTAGGGTCGTCATTCGTCGGTGCTCGCTGGTTATTCTGTGGTCTCTGTGGTTGTGCACCATACCCACTCAGACCTGCCGGTTGATAGTTGTTGTACCCTTGCTGGTGTCCGGGCTGCTGGGAATAGGGATCGTTGGTCTTGTAGGACGGAGCAGGACTCTGCGCACGGCCGCCAAAGAGAGCCTCGCGGTTCGGGTCGTAGTCATCCGCTGACTTATCTTTCTTGCCAAAGAACTTCTTCATGATGGTCTATTGGTGACAGGCAGTTGTTTGTGTTTGGTGGCCAACGCACCCCGTCGACTCGTCGGTGGTGATGTCGTGCATATGGAGTGCAGCACGGGCCGAACTAAACAGATAGCGATCTGCTATAAATAGAACGTATATTCGGTCAGAATTGGAAGTGTTATTTCCTGCTATAAGGCTATGGAAGTTACTCCTTATTCTCCTGGACCGCCTCCGCCTGCTCCTGACTCTTCTTCTTCTCCATGGATGCCTTCAATTTCGCCCGCAGTTCCTCCTGCTTGCTCTGCAAATCGGCAGCACTGGTGCTCTTTCGTCTGTTGTGCTCCGGAGATTGGCTAAGTCGCTTCTTCTTCAAAATTTCCGCACGCAAGCGGTCTTCTTTTTCTTGCATTGTCTCCTGCCGGGACGCCGGTCCAGCTGTAGGAGCAGGCTGGGGTGTCTTGGCCTTTGCTTTCTTTGGTGCTAGGCTCCTTCGTGGTTGTTCTTCACTCGTAATCGGGGTTAATTCGGATTTTCGTTGACGATCGCCACGAGGAGATGGTGACCTCGATCTTCTCAAGCTTCTGTGCTTGTCTTTCCGGTCATCCCTCGGCCTCGACCTCGATCGGGACCTAGAACGACTAGGTGATCTTCGTCGACGGGAGTAAGACCTCCTTCCGCGCTCGCGCGAACGAGACCTTGATCTATGACGATGCCTTCGGGATCGTCTATCATCACGATCATCAAGTTTTCTGGATCCCTTGCGGTCACGACGGTCCCTGCTGTAGCTTCTCCTCCTTTTGTCTCTGTGCGTGCTTCTGCTCCTGCTCCTGCTCTCGTGCTTGCTCCTTCTTCTGCTCTTACTCCTACTCCTACTGCGGTTTGGACTCGCGTCTCTGCGCTTGCGCTCCCTTACCGGGGAATGCGCCGGCGTGGTATCGTCCTTCGCCATGACTCTAGCCTTACTCCTACTTCTGCTCCGTCCCGGAGTCGCATCCCTTCCCACCTCCTCCCTTACAGGAGAGTACACAGGTGTGACATCTGTTTCCGCAGGTCGAACACCGGGAGCCTGACCAACGGTCTTGCTGTTCCGCTCTGGGCTCCTTGAGCGGCCATTCCTCCTCTCGTCACGTCCGCTGCGGTCCCTCCTGTCGCGGCTATCGTCTCTTTCACGTCCACGAAAACGGTCGTCACGTCTGTCGCGAGGATCACGGCCGTTGCCATTGTCGCGGTTGTCGCGAGGATTACGGTTGTCCCGATGGTCGCGTCTATCCCGGTTGTCGTAGTTACCGCGCGGCCCACCCCTACCCCCAGGAATATACACATCCCTCCGATTCGGATCCCTCTCTCCCCTTCCACGACCACGGAAACCCTGATCAAATTGACCCCTCTCCTCCCTCCCATGCTGCGGCCCATGAATGAACCTCCCCGCCACATTCGTATCGACCCTCCCCCGTCCTCCAAAGCTTCCGTTTGGTGGCTGCCTCCCCTGGATATTTTGACGAATACGATCGTCTTCTTCTTTTCGGGCTCTCATCTCGGCTTTCTTGAGCTCGATGAGTTCGGTTGGGATTCCGGTTGGGTTGTCTTGTGCGGAGAGTAGGAGGTTCCAGAGCTCTTTTGTGAATGCCGGGGCGTTTTTCTCCAGGAAACCGGTTAAGCTGATCTGGATCTTTCGTGGGTCGGGCTATCACCACACATATATGTCAGCACAACCACAAAGCCAGCGGCCAATATGAACCAACTCACCGATCCACTCTCTTCCAACAACCCAACCGCAAAATCTACAACGACATCATCCTCAACTCCCATCATCGCAATGACTTTATCCTCGATCCATGGCTTGATGACCTCCAAGTTGACTTTGGACATATCCACTTTCATCTTGAATTCGGGAGGGAAGGACATGGTCTTCATTAAGCGGGCTTCGGCGTTGGTGAAGCGGCCATCTTGCTCGAGGGATATGCCTCTAAAGTTACTCATTGTAAGGTCCTTGTCGGAGCAGATCCTTGTTAATGGTGCAGCTGGTTGGGCAGCTTGGTGTTTCGCGCCGACGTACACCGCGACGCAGCGATCCGAGTCAGGGCGGCACGAGCTCAGGCAATCGACTCCGACGCGTACGGTAATGAAGTCAAGAGAAGCGTATGAACAACGAGTAAGAAAGAAACTCTTCGATGTAGCAAATAACATGTCGCTTTTTCCTATCAACCAAACCAAGATATCGTAACGGGTAAACCACAATATAAACACTAAAGTACAGGTAACAAAACTCCCACAATCGCAACTGCAATTACAAACAAATCCGACGAAACAAAATTATGCCATGCAGAGAAACTCACCAGCTTATAGCTTAGTAAGTTCTCTTGAATGGAGGAACAGGCTTACACTCGGCCTCATCCAAAGTCTTGTCCTGAACAGCACGGTACGACAACTTAACCTCCTTGGTCTCAGGATCCTGCCAAGAGAGGGTGTGCTTCATCCACTTCACATCATCACGCTCAGGGAAGTCCTCGTGAGCATGCGCACCACGAGACTCCTTTCTTGCCTCGGCAGACACAGCAGTCTGGGACGCACAGGTCAACAAGTTCATCAACTCCCAGGTCTCGATCAAGTCGGTGTTCCAGATCATGGAACGGTCGGTAGTGGCGACGTTCTCGAAAGAACGGTCGACCTTGAGGATCTTCTCGACACCCTCCTTCAAGGACTGCTCGGTACGGAAGACAGAGACGTCGGTCTGCATGACCTTCTGCATGTCAAGACGGATCTGGGCAGTGGAGCGGGTACCCTCGGCGGTGCGGAGCTTGTCGAGGGTGGCGATGGTCTGGGCACCAGAGTCGGCAGAGATAGGCTTGTGGGGCTTGCCAGGGGTCAAGTTCTCCTTGATGTGGTTGGCGCAAGCACGACCGAAGACGACGATGTCGAGAAGGGAGTTGGCACCAAGACGGTTAGCACCGTGGACGGAGACACAAGCAGCCTCACCAGCAGCGTAAAGACCATCAACAATCTGGTCCTTACCCTCCTTGTCGACAGTGATAACCTGACCGTGGTAGTTGGTGGGGATACCACCCATGTTGTAGTGGACGGTGGGCAAGACGGGGATGGGCTCCTTGGTAACGTCAACACCAGCGAAAATGGCAGCGGTCTCGGAGATACCGGGGAGACGCTCGTGGAGGACCTCAGCGGGCAAATGAGAAAGCTGGAGGTAGATATGGTCCTTCTCGGGTCCGACACCACGGCCCTCACGGATCTCCATGGTCATGGAACGGGAAACGACGTCACGGGAAGCCAAATCCTTAGCAGTAGGCGCGTAGCGCTCCATGAAACGCTCACCGTTAGCGTTCAACAAGTAACCTCCCTCACCACGGGAACCCTCAGTAATCAAACAACCGGCACCGTAGATACCAGTGGGGTGGAACTGGACGAACTCCAAGTCCTGAAGGGGAAGACCAGCACGGGCGACCATGGCGTTACCGTCTCCGGTACAGGTGTGGGCGGAGGTACAAGAGAAGTAGGCACGTCCGTAACCACCGGTGGCGAGAACGGTCTGGTGGGCGCGGAAGCGGTGGAGGGTACCGTCCTCCTGGTTAAGAGCGATAACACCAACACACTTGCCATCCTCCATCAACAAGTCAAGAGCAAAGTACTCGATGAAGAAGTTCGTGTTGTGGCGCAAAGACTGACCGTAAAGGGTGTGGAGAAGGGAGTGACCGGTACGGTCAGCGACGGCAGCACAACGGTACGCCTGTCCACCCTTTCCGAACTTCAAGCTCTGTCCTCCGAAAGCACGCTGGTAGATCTTTCCCTCGTCGGTACGGGAGAAGGGGACACCGTAGTGCTCCAACTCGATAACGGTGGCGGGAGCCTCACGAGTCATGTAGTGAATAGCATCCTGGTCACCGAGCCAGTCGGATCCCTTGACTGTGTCGTACATGTGCCATCTCCAGTCATCCTCAGTCATGTTACCCAAAGCGGCGTTGATACCACCCTGCGCGGCGACAGTGTGTGATCTGGTAGGGAAGAGCTTGGTGATACAAGCAGTGTTGAGACCGGCCTCAGCGAGACCGAAGGCGGCACGAAGACCAGCACCACCGGCACCAACAACGATCGCGTCGTACTCGTGGTCGATGACAGGGTACTTGGAAGAGATGGCACCAGAGGCCTCCTGAGCGCGCAGAGGCTGGGATCCGATGATACGGGCACCAGGACGAGTAGCATGGAAAGCACGGACATTTGCCTGTTCACGTCGCCTTCGTTAGCCGAGGAGCACTTTACGTCTGGATCGGGGGAAAACACATACCGAGCGGGCGGCGCCGACAGAGTTCCTCACGGCGGACAACATGGGTAATCCTTGGTATATGGCGATTGAATGTATGCTCTTGTGGACCCAACCGCTCCTTGGTCTTTATGGGGAGTGTATGCTGAGGCGATGGGTTGCCGTCGACTTCTCCTCGTAGTGGCTTTCCGGCTGTGCGGAGGTTAGGCTAGGAATATATCGGCAGGTACACACCGCCGGCTCATTCCGGGACATCTCATTGGCCAATCCTGACAAGAAATAGCAGAAGATGTAGCATTGGTAGAAAGCCAGTAGCAACCTATTCCTATCCTTCGTGCCATCTCCCTCCTCTTTCCTGGCTTCTCCGCTCGTCTTCCGCGTTCCCTGCTCCTCTGTCCACTTCTCGATCTCCACGACTAGTTGTACTGCAAGTACTGTCCAGTGGCGCTGAACTTCTGGTTACCCTTCACAACTTTGTTCACAGCCTCCAAGAAATCCTTCTCCGTAGCCAACTTTCTCCTCGCACGAATCGCAAACATACCCGCCTCAGTACACACACTTCGCAACTCGGCACCCGTAGTATTAGGACAGAGACGCGCGATCAATTCCCAACGGATATCGCGCTCGACGGCCATGGATTTGGCGTGAATGCGGAGAATGTTCGCACGGCCTTCGTTGTCCGGGAGGGAGAACTCGACTTTGCGGTCAATACGTCCAGGACGCAAGAGAGCGGGGTCGAGGGTGTTTGGTCTGTTGGTAGCGAACATAACCTTGATGTTCCCACGAGCGTCGAAACCGTCCAGTTGAGTAATCAGCTCCAACATGGTACGCTGAACCTCGTTGTCGCCACCTGCACCATCATCGAAACGAGCACCACCGACAGCATCAATTTCGTCAAAGAAAATGATACACGCTTTCTTAGTACGTGCCATCTCGAACAACTCACGAACCATCCTAGCACCCTCACCCACATACTTCTGCACTAACTCAGACCCAATAACACGAATGAACGTAGCATCCGTCCTATTCGCCACAGCCCTAGCACAAAGCGTCTTTCCCGTTCCGGGAGGCCCGTAAAGCATAATTCCCTTAGGGGGATCAATACCCAAATTGGCAAACCTCTCAGGCGACAAAAGCGGCAGCTCAACAACCTCACGCAACTTCTCAATCTGCTGCTTACAACCTCCAACATCAGAGTACGTAACATCCGGCTTCTCCTCAACCTGCATCATCGTTACCGAGGGGTCGATCTTGGGTGGTAGGGGAAGCTGGATTTGGTATTTGGTGCGGTCGACACCGACGCGCATGCCTTCCTCGATATCGGTGGGTGCGACACGTTCGCCGAGGTTGACGACGAACTTAGCGATTTGTTTGACATTGATGACGTACTTCCTCTTCTCGTCTTCCTCGCCGGCACCTTGGATAATCTTTGTGCAGCGGGCAACTTGCAGGGGCTGTTCTTCGGACATACGCTGCTTATCTGCCATAACGTCCCAGAGATGCGGTGGCGCGAGACCGGTGTCGGACTCCTTTACACCTGTTTGTAATCTGTCAGCCAATTGCCCATGTAAGGGTTCACCAGAAAAACACGAACCTGTCTTCTCGTTCACCCTCTTCTGCAAGTTCTTCAATTCCTCCTCGATCTTCTTCAAGCTTGACGAGTAGGGAGCAGCTCCATATGTTTTCAACACGGCAATATCATCTTCGTCGAGAGGGACAATGTCCTTGATTTCCTCGTCCTCATCTGCGTCGGCCTTGCCCCACTTTTCCCAGTTCTCTCCTGCAGCCTTGGGCATTGTGTGACTGTATGCGGATTAAAACTCGGTGGCGACAGTAGTTAAAGCTTCTTGATGCTCTTCAGATACTCTCTTTTAACTGTTTGTTGAGCTCTTGGTGTTGAATGCTGCTTCGAGCCTTCCTTGAAGTGTTCGTTGCTTGTGTGAGTTGAACCTGCGCTGACGTACGACGCGATGATGCCAAACCTCGAGGTGAGGATTGGATAGGATAGGATACACAGAACTCTTTCAATAGCATTACAAAACACAAAATTCTACCTCCTTCCCTGCCCACCGTCAAACCTCTGCCATAGGCGTTCCTGCCCGTGCTCAAGTGTGCATCGCTGAGCGTCGTCTCGAAGTTGCCGAAAGAGCAGCAGGAGCGTCGAAGCATACACCCTCGACAGATCAATCATGGCAGCAGCATCAACGGCAGCAGCACGTACTGGAGGCAATGCGGCCTTCCAGAACAAGGAGAAGCCTCAGGAGGTCCGCCTTTCTAACATCACCGCCGCAAAGGGTGCGTATACCTCCATATACAGTCGCGTATTTACATACTAACAACGTCTCTACAGCCGTCGCCGATGCGATCAGAACATCATTAGGTCCCAAGGGTATGGACAAGATGATTCAGACTGGAAAGGGTGAGGTTGTTATCACCAACGACGGTGCAACTATCTTGAAGCACATGGCTGTTATGCACCCTGCCGCAAGAATGCTCGTCGACCTTTCCGCTGCACAGGATGTCGAGGCTGGTGACGGTACCACTTCCGTCGTCGTCATCTGCGGAGCTCTTCTCGGTGCGGCTGAGAAGCTCCTCGCCAAGGGTATCCACCCAACAATCATCGCCGAGTCCTTCCAGCGCGCTTCCGCCAAGGCCGTCGAGCACATTACATCCATTTCTACTCCTATAACTCTTACCGACCGCGAATCACTACTCCGTGCAGCCTCGACGTCCTTGAACTCGAAGATCGTGTCGCAGTACTCTACCTTGTTGGGACCCATGGCCGTCGACGCCGTTCTCAAAGTCATTGACCCTACCACTGCGGAGAATGTGGATTTGAGGGATATCAGAACCGTACAAAAGGTAGGAGGAACGATTGATGATACGGAGTTGGTGGATGGTGTCGTGCTTACCCAGAATGTCGTCAAGTCCGCTGGCGGACCATCAAGAATGGAGAAGGCGAAGATCGGATTAATTCAGTTCCAGCTGTCACCACCAAAGCCCGATATGGAGAACCAGATTGTGGTGAATGACTACCGTCAGATGGACAAGATTTTGAAGGAGGAGCGTCAGTACCTTCTTAACATGTGCAAGAAGATCAAGAAGTCGGGATGTAACGTCGTCCTGGTCCAGAAGTCTATTCTCAGAGATGCTGTCAATGACCTTTCTCTTCACTTCCTCGCCAAGCTCAAGATCTTGGTCGTCAAGGACATCGAGCGCGACGAGATCGAGTTCATCTGCAAGTCTACCGGCTGCAAGCCTATCGCCGACGTTGAGTCCTTCACCGAGGACAAGCTTGGTCAGGCCGAGTTGATCGACGAGGTCGAGACCGCTGGTACCAGAGTAGTCAAGATCACCGGTGTCAAGAACTCCGGCAAGACCGTCTCTGTCCTCTGCCGTGGAGCCAACAACCTCGTTCTCGAGGAGGCTGAGCGTTCATTGCACGATGCGTTGTGCGTCATTCGCTGTCTCGTCAAGCGGAAGGCTCTCATCTGCGGTGGTGGTGCACCCGAAATCGAGGCATCCCAGGCTCTTATGCGATGGGCTCGTGAGCTCGCCGGTACCGAACAATACTGTGTCCAGGCATTTGCTGAGGCTCTTGAAGTCATCCCTACCACTCTCGCCGAGAATGCTGGTCTCAACTCCATCCGCGTCGTCACCGAGCTCCGTAACCGTCACGAGAAGGGCGAGAAGACGGCTGGTATCAACGTCAGGAAGGGCAATATCTCGAACATCTTGGAGGAGAACGTCGTGCAGCCGTTGTTGGTCTCTGTATCGGCGTTGCAGTTGGCGGCTGAGACGGTGAAGATGATTTTGAAGATTGATGATTTGGTTATGTCGCGATAAATGCGACAAGAGGGAGGTGTAGATACGCATACCATATGGAGGGAGGGGATGTGACAGCAGCTATATCTATGGTGTTGGGTGAAAAGTAATTATGTTTTGGGTGATATTCTGGATAGACAATACCATGAACCGGCTAAACACAATCACCTTGCCTTCGTCCCTCATCGTCACCGTTGTGTGAAATGTGATTAAGGACACCCACGTTTGGGCTCCTGGCCCGGTCCCTGCCCCCTGGAAGAAGCGGGTGTTGATGATGCTGTACGATCCACCATGGGACTCGCATACATCATCTGCTGCGCCCCTTCCCGGAGTCCCGGAGGGTTCTCATGAGCGACATAATCCCATTCAGCTGCGACAACACTCAACCCAACGCGTTCGTACTCGCGTTTCGGACTTGGCGTGATATTCATGTCCTTCTTCACCCATGGTACCTTCCGGAACGCCTCAAAGTCCGTGATGATCTCCGTCTCCCTGATCTTGCCATCGAGAAAGCGATCCCGGAAGGCACTGCGGAGGTGCACGACGCGTTCCATGTCCGGGTGGCCAACATGTTCGCCCTATGTATGTCTAAGCGTCAACATGATCTGGGACGGAGCCGAAGATACACACCTGTTGTATCCCGTGCAACACCAGAAAGCTAATAATCTGATCCCCATCAGCAACCTGACTCAACACCTCGATCCTCAACTTCGAAAACCGTGACCAGAAGTAGGTGATCCCGCTCCTCTTGTGCTCCACTCCGATTCCGGTGAATGTGTGGTGGACTTGTCGGTGGTCGGGGTGAATTAGGCCGTAGATTTCGTCGGAGTCGACGCCGTTGTTCCAGTAGTCGATGTAGCGTTGGTAGACAGCTTTATTTCTGGCGGTTACTATGGGGTGGTTAGTGTGCTAGTATGAGGATGGGGGAGAGGCCTAGGACGTACCCCCCTCTTTGCTTAGGAGCCGATCTGGGATGTTGGCGTTGACTGTTCTGAGTCCTGAGGCAACGAAGTTAGTTTTGCATTATTGCAGGACCACGCAAAGACCCTCACCTGATGTAATGGAACTCGTGCTCGAACTCGTTTGCTGTCTGCTGCCTTTATTCTGCATCTTTCCCCCGGGCAGCAATGACAGCACACTCTGCTACGATGGTCGACGATGCCTTTCGTCAATCTTCAATCCAGTTTTGTCCGATATAGCTTCATAGGACTCTGGTCCGGTGTCATCCTCCGGGGCCGATTGACGTTGAGCTCTGAAATGTGGGTGGGGTGCAGCGCATGGCCGGCAACCTCGGCGAAACTTTAAATGAGCCACGCACCCCAACAATGTGGCATGAAGTTCTGGAAGGTGAATGACCGACGAGATCATGCGACATGTGAATGTGGACGGGGTTCGTCGCCCCGAACAACGCAAGCCCTCTCCAGCGACAACGGGCATGACCTTGTTCAATTTTTCGAGGCGCACCCTGTCCTCCAAGCGTTCTTGCGACGTTTTGTATGCCCTTTTCCTCGGGGTCTTGATCATTCCACACCCCATTTTCTTCATTTCACACCCCAGCGCCAACAAAAAACTCAGGATATCTCGCCAACCGCAAATCGGATCTCGGAGGGTAGAGAGTATATAGACTGATAAAAGTCCCCTGAATCCGTTCCCACCTTCATATTCGGATTTGAAGGTTCCTGGGAGAAGATACCAACTGTTTCTCACCTCTCAGCCCGGCGCTGCGGCTGGTGTGGCACAGCGCATATATGCATAAATCTGCACATCACATCTCAGCAGTATTTGGCAGAGTACAGCAGCTGGTGGAGTGAAATCTGCGAGTTAAAGGTATCAGGATATTCACAAAGGTACTCTCTATCTCTCTACGCTCTTACCGTATTCCCAAGTTCAATGGCTGTTGAGATATCTTTGAAATTGTGAGTGCGCCGGGGTGTGAAATGAAGATTTAAGGGTGTGGAATGATCAGGACGCTTTCCTCGGACGTCGACAAGCGTGGGAATTATCGAGAGAGCCATCAACCTTTAAACTCAACGACTGGAAACTTCAGGAGGTCTAATGCCCCCAAGTGTAAGGGGATCCTATTGCGCTCCCTCGATCATTTCAAGGTTACTGGGGAAGGGTGATTGGGAACGCCACGTACGCTTATACGTCAAAGTTTAAGCGCAGCTGGCCATGGAGCAACACGATGGTGCTTGTGTAAGGTCGAGCAATATACGTATCAGTAATTTACCCATCGTCGTGATCCAAATTAATGAAGGAGAACAATATGATAAACATGAATGTGAGAGTTATCGAGTTATCTGCAGCTGGGCTACGGCAAGATCGAGGGAGATCTGAAGATGTGTTGATCGCGCGCGACCCCAGCAGCTAGCTCGAGCTTGCCAAAATTGATATACATCGACAGATATTGGGGGTAGTCAATCCTCTGCAAAAAATAATCGCTTAATTTTTAATCGCATGGCTGTCATGGCAACTATGCATAAACATCGATTATTTTTATGAGAAGGTCGAGCAGGGTCGTAAAAATAATCGCTTAAAAAATAATCGCCTAGGGCGGGCGGATGCGCCCAATTAGGAAATTTCTGCAGATATCACTCAGGGTCTGCGTAGCTACGTTGCTGAACCTGTCTCCAGGCAAACTCACCACCATGGATATTCACGTGAGCGGGAGCTAACCTCCTACTGAAAAAATAATCCGCCTATGTTTTTGTAAGGGTTGGTCAGACCTTAGCGTATTATCCCCTGGATTATAATCTAATTCGCTGTAAATTTTGTAGAGGATTGACTACCCCCATTGAAACATATCAAAATAAATCAATTGAGATCAATACGAACAAACCGAAGTGCCTTGTTACGGGCTTCAATCTCAAGAGCAAGAATTCTTGACACCCTCCTAACTTCCCATTCCCTCCATCCAATACTCCCCGCACACAACACCTCAATCGCATTTAACAGCCTCTGCCGCCTGCCAAAACTCCACAACTCGAGATGATCCTTCAACGTCCCATCATCCAGCCTCAGAAGGGCGAGTCCGTCCATGTCGTTCTCGGAGAGTGCGCGAAGGAATGTGGGGTCGAGGTTAGGGAAAGTTGTCCGGATCCACTATTGGACGTGTAGTGGACCAGGTCCAGGGGTCGCACGGGAGAGGTGAAGGTGACTCGTGCCTTGTATGGATGGCTTATTGGACTTGGCATCGTTCATATTCATAGCAGTGTGCTTGACGGATCGATTGCGATGTTGAGTCATGAAAAACTGGGCGTCAGACAAGGGACTAGGTACCGGTGTTGTGCTTGGAAAATGTACATGGATGAACAACTCAAAGTATAATGCGGTTGAGACGAGAAGGGATACTGCAAGTACTTCGGGACGAGATCTGACGAGTTAGACGAGGTGTGACGAGATGATCGAATTACTTATTCGAATAGAGAGACGAATTTATTGAGGTAACCAGTGAAGCTCTAAAGGAAGGCATAGGGCCTTTCCTTAATACAGTTTTCCGGACGAGGGTCTAGACCCTTGCTCGAGGGCGTTCCACATTTAGTTAGCTCGGTGGCGCCAAGAACAAGATCTCAAACGTGAGGAGTGAAGATAAGATGAGCCATAATAGGACCCGTGACAAATCGAGTCTCGGGTTGTCGCGAAACTCGAAGTAGTTCTTCGGTTCATGACATTAGGGTAGTTCACCGCCACATATCTAGTATTTAGGCACTAGGCCGCGCATAGGCAATCAAACAATCACTTCTATCTCTACAACTCAATGACATTTGGCGTCAGCGACCATCCTCAGGGAAGCCAGCGATTAAAGGCTGCAGGTCAGTTTGTGGAACATCTGCCCAATCCGGCAATCTCGGCACAGTGCGTAAGACCCTCTTCGGTGGCAGCCCTATTAAGCATCTCCCAGCACAGGCCGTTCTCGCGCTGAATCGGCTCCCTGTCCTCCTCATCTGAACTTTCGAAACTGTCTGGGGAAGTCTTGTCAGAAGCGTCCTCCGCCTCATCATGAATCGGTCGGTCACTGGAGGGACGGGACTCCTCTGAGGATGAGGGGGGTTGTACAGAGCTTTGTCCAGATACGGTAAGGTCCTGAGGATCGACGGCGACAGCTCCATTGTTATTCGGGACGTCACCAAGAGGAGCCTCCTGGGAACGACGCTGCTCGGCTTCTTCCCTGAGTTTACGTTCTTTGCGCGAGCCTTTGGCCTCTTGCTTCCTTTTGCCTCCATTCTTCTTATATACGCGCTTGCGGTGGTCGGTCTTATGATCGGTAACAGACGTTGTTGTGTGCAGCGGTTGGAACACTTCCTCGAAGGCGTCTTGGACCATGGCGTAATCAAGGAACTTGAGAGTTCCCATAATACTCAATCGGTACAAATTGTTGTGTACCCAAGTCTGGTAAAAGGTTAGATACATACACCGTGCATCGGGAGTGCAGTAGCACGAACCTGCACATTCTTTGTCGTCCATCCGGATTACACCGAGCCAAATCGAGGGCTGCGGCGTGTATGAGCAGGAGACAGCGATCTCCCAGCTGAGTAGACATCCCGTGTGCGGCATAACGATAGAGAATTTCCAGCTCACTGGCGTTTGAACTGATTCGATCCGCTGGCATTCCAATTGGTCTCCTGGTCCTGGGGGATGTCCGTCACATCCACTCGCAAATTCAGCAAAAGATACTTCTCAACAGCATCCTTAGCTAGATATCAATGTATTAGTCAGACAGTAACAGGATCTGGTGGTGGGTGCCTGACGAAGTCGCGTCTTCCCCAAGTCCTCACGCGTTGGCTCAACCGCCGCTGTGTAGGATCATGTTTGTTGGAATTGCCGGCCCCATTTGCTCCGGTAAGCATGCCGTCGCGGACTATCTGGTAGAGAAGCACGCGTTCACGCGGATCCGCCTACGAGAAGTCGCCTCTGTCAGCCCTGCGCTGTCAAGATTGGCCCTGACTCCATCTCCGTCGTGCTCTGATGTCAAGGCTGAGCCGAAGAGCAACGACCGAAACGCACAACTCGTCTTCGACCACATCGACGAAGTCTTAGAATACGTCACGAAGAGATGGCGAGACCACTTCGTTACAACAGATATTCGAAAAGAAAGTGATCTCGAAACACTCTGCAAACGTCCATTTTTCCTCGCGCTCGGAATCGACGCACCCGTCACAACCCGCTACGAACGTTTCGTCACCCGATGCGCAGCAAACGGAACCCCACCTCCCTCCTTCCAAAACTTCGTCGCACAATCCGATGACGATCTCTACTCCTCTCCCTCCCCAATCGCTCCAATTCTCCACCGCGCAACAGTACGGCTCCTAAACCCCTCCCAATCCCTCACCACCCTCCACCAAACACTGGAGAACCTCAACCTCCTCGATCCAGCACGACTACGACCAACATGGGATGCATACTTCATGTACCTAGCAGACCTCGCCGCCCGACGGTCCAACTGCATGAAACGCCGCGTCGGCGCCGTCCTCGTCCGGGACCAACGCGTCGTAAGCACCGGCTACAACGGCACCCCAAAAGGCATCACAAATTGCAACGAAGGCGGTTGTCCACGCTGCAACGACGCCACTACCGGTGGCCACGGACTCTCCACCTGTTTCTGTATGCACGCAGAAGAAAACGCGCTCTTGGAGTCAGGAAGGGAAAGAGCGACGGATGCGGTGTTGTATTGTAATACGTGTCCGTGTTTGACGTGTAGTATCAAGATTGCGCAGGTGGGGATTAGGGAGGTTGTTTATGATGTTGGGTATAGTATGGATGAGATGAGTGCGAAGGTGTTGAGGGAGGCTGGGGTTAAGTTGAGGCAGTATAATCCGCCGACGGAGGGGCTTGTTATGGCATAGGCATCTTAGCATACAGACGTCGTTTCGTCTGACAATCATGCGGCGTGTGAACAACACGCCTTGATGTAAGCGTATCCTTGGTATATTGGTATCTCAGGCAACCACACCTCGGTCAACTCATTCAAACACCGCTCTGCCTCATGCAAATGCTCCTACATGCTCCCCCATCAACCGTGTTCTCTCGAGCTCGTGCCACGCTGCCCTGTTCCATTGCTTACTTTGGCAGATCATCCGGCCCGAAACTCCTCGGCAACAACTCATCCAACTTCATAACCTCACTCTTCCCATCCGGCGTAAACATATACACCGGCATACCAACATCACAAAACTCCCTCATCGTCTGTCTACAAATCCCACACGGGCTCGCCGCCGGATTAATATCCGTCGCAACAGCGATACAGACGAAGTCTTTGTGGCCTTCTGTAATGGCTTTGACCAGAGCTGTGCGTTCGGCGCAGATACCGGCGGGGTAGGATGCGTTTTCGACGTTTGCGCCTGTGATGAACGAGCCGGAGGTTGTGAGGAGGCAGGCGCCGACGCGGAATTTGGAGTAGGGACAGTAAGCTGACTCGCGAGCTATCACGGTGTGTCTTTAGCAAAGCGGAATAGGCTCGAGCTTTCCGTAGCAAACTGTACCTGCAAGCGTCTTCTCCCGTAGCTGGTCGAACTCTTCTTTTGTTGGGGGACGCATTGTTATGGACGGGGATTTGTAGGGAGATGTCCGCAGCTGAACTGAGTATGGACAAACGTCGGGTCGGGAATGCCGCTGCTCATCACGGGAAGACTGATATGTTTGACACGGCCGGTTTTCCAGCACGTAACAGGTTGCGTGGCGCAATTGGTTAGCGCGTGGTGCTAATAACGCCAAGGCTGAGAGTTCGAGCCTCTCCGTGACCACTTTTGCCTTCTGGCACTTCGGTATCGGCTGTTTCTGCAGTTGCCAAGGACCGGTACCTTGGAGTCCCCAGATGGTCCATTGTCGCTTGCCTCCATCCAAAATAGCAAGTCAATTGAGCATTCGAACGTCTATTCCTCCCTTCCCATTCATGTTTCCACGGGTCCTTCCGTTGATCCCCAGTTTAAGCTCACCCTTAGAGAACGGCATTTTCCTTAGTGCAGCTTCTATCAGCCACATGTCCTCGGCGGCGAGACCCGCTCGACAGTTCACAGTTGGGACCCTTTTACGAACCAATTGCAATTGAATTCAAGGGGATTTCACGGTACGGTTGCTCGTCCAGTAAGGTCCTTCTTCGGTCAATTGCTATCCGTCCTCGGTCTCGGTGCGCTGGGTAACTGAAGCACCTGATCATCCACAATGGACAGCATTCTCTCGGAGAATTCAGAAGGGGTGCAGGAGTGTATCGATGCCCTCGAACAACATGGATTTACCGATATCGTCCTCGTATACAGCAGCGCACACCTTCTTACCTTCAGACTACGACGGGATGGGAATATCATTGCGGCGAAGATGCAGAGGGCGCCGAATAACAGGGGCGATTCTGGGGCATTTCGGCATGAGATGACGATTTTGATGGAGTTGGCAACGTGTGGGATGAATGGGGTGAGCAAGGCGGTTGGTGTGGAGCAGACGACATATGGACCGGTGTTCCTTATTCAATTCAACGAGGATGAGACCAACCTAAAGAGAAGGGGATTGCTCGATGCGTGGCCGCGGGACTTCAACCTCATCCTCGATATCTCAATCCAGACTTGCCAGATCCTCGAATCATTGCATCAGAAGAATATCCGTCACGGCAACATCCGACCAGAAGTCATCTCCATCCAAGGCACGGAGAACACCGTTACCCTCCACGACTTCTCGCATGCGTCCCGATTAGCGACCGAAGATCCATATATCGACTCTTCAATTCTACTTGATTCATCGATATATTACCTGGCGCCGGAAGCTACGGGCAGAATGAACCGTAAGGTGGATCTCCGAGCAGATATCTACTCGCTTGGTGTTACCATGTACGCACTGACAACCGGCCGCCTACCCTTCCGGACCAATGCAGCACTCGAGGTCATTCACGCCCATTGCGCTGTCTCTCCCGACTCACCGCAATCGCTCTGCAAAGAATGCCCGACTGCGTTCTCGGATGTGATCATGAAGTGTATGGAAAAGGTTTCGGAAGATAGATATCAAACAGCAAACGGACTTCGCGTTGATCTGGAAGAGATCAAGCGAAGAATCGACCTGCCAGGCATCTCGGACGATGAGAGATGGCGGGGCTGGACAATCGGTGCATTGGATTACGCTTCAAGATTCTACAGCTCGCAGAAGATCTTCGGAAGGGATGTGGAGATACAGAGACTAACCGAAGCCTGCGAACGAGTTCGAGTAACTGGCAAGAGTGAAATCGCAGTCATCCGCGGCTACTCCGGCGTTGGAAAAAGCCGACTCATCGCTGAAGTCCGACACCGTATCTCAGAAAAGGGCCGCAGCGATTTCGTCGCAATGAAATACGAGCAATACGGGAAACGTGTAGCATTCTCCCGGATTATCGAGGCTTTGTCACCGCTTTTCCAGCGGTCGTTGGCGAGCTCGACATATGATCTTGCGAAAATTCAGAGACGGATATTGAGGTCGCTGGGGACCGAGACGAGGGTTTTGGCGGATTTGATTCCGGATTTGGCGCAGATTTTGCAGGACAAGATGAAGGATTTGCCCATTCCGGGGGAGTTATCTGCGCAGGCTGCTGAGGCACGGCTGAAAAGGCTCTTGTTCTCGTTGTTTGGAGTGTTCGGCAGACGGGAGCGACCATTGATCCTGATCTTTGACGATGTTCAGTGGGCACCGAGCTCTGATTTGCAGCTTATTTCAGACCTGAAGAAGGCACGGGATCTGGATAACATCTACGTTATCTGTGGCCACAGGAATAACGAGGTCAAGTCCATTCCAGTTTTGGAGCCGCCAGGTATTGATATGTTCATCGAGCTTCCACCGCTCAGCATCGAGGATATCGGGGGGATCGTGTGCGACACACTTCATGAAGAACGGCCGAAGTTGGAGAACAAGCAGACGTGGACGGAACATCAATCCGACTTGGCCAAGTTCATTGACCTGATAGCGCGACGAGCTTGCGGGAATGCATTCTTCGCCAAGCAAGTCCTGGAGAATCTGTATAGGGATGGTAAACTCACTTTCGATTTCGAGCAAGGTTGCTGGATGTGGAATATCGAGGAGATCTACACCCTGATAGACTCGCCTGATCTCTTGAACCTCGTTTTGCTGCAGATTAAGACGCTTGACCAAAGAACATCCGACGCAATCGTGGCAGCCGCACACATTGGCACGAAATTCGATTTGTTCGTGTTGGCAGCTGTCATCGGTACCACTCAAGGCCAACTTGCAAGTGACTTGTGGGCGGCATTGGTGCATGGTCTGATCATCCCTGATTCGGAGAATTACAAGGCGTCTTTTGCTCTGGCTGAGCATGCTAATCTTGACTTGAACGCAAACAATGATGCTGGCGATATGGGCGGTGACAAGGATAAGGCTACTGTATACCGGTTCGTACATGATAGAATTCAAGAGGCGGCGTACACGATGGTTCCCGATGACGGAGAGAGTCATCCTCGGATGCATCTTCAGATCGGACGAGCTTTGTCGAAGGCGTGCGACGGTGATGACGCACTTTACGGCAAGTATCTCTTCGACATTTGCACGCAGATGAACCACGGTCTCTCACAGATAATCCAGCCATCAGAGCGCGAGAAGCTTGCTGTATTGAATATCACCGCGGGCGAGGCGGCGCTGAGGAACTTGGCATTCGAGAGTGCTGAAGAGTTCATCAGTATCGCGAAAACCCTCCTGACGGACACTGAATGTCACTGGGAGAGAAACCGTGAGTTGAGTTTGAGGATTTATGACGGATGGGTTGATGCTTGCTCTTCTAGCAACAAATTCGAGGAGGCTGTAGACGCGGCTACAGAATACCTTGATCACCTGAAGGATGACAAGATCGCGAGGATCCGCATGATTATCAAGAAGACAAGAGCCTTACATGGCCTTGCCAAGCTGACGGAGGCTATTGAAGTCGGTCTCGAGGGGTTAAGGCTCGCAGGGTATGATGTTTCCACTGCTGAGGAAGATCAACCTAGGATGAAGGCGTTGGCACAAGACGCTCTCATTGCTCTAAAACCGTTCTCAGACCGTGAGGTAGTGGAGCGATTTGCACGAGAGTCCGGCATTATGACGGATCCTTTCCTGCTCCTGGTCATGAACGCAGTTGCAACTGTCTCTCATTCCGTCTACGTGTTGATGCCCCATCTGGGCATTCTCCTCTGCAACATCGCAATTGACTTGTCAACCAAGCACGGTTTGTCGGCAGCTGGTGCTTTCGCATTTACGTTCTATGCCTTGCTTCTCTGCGAGTCGAAGAAGGCCGAGCATTATGCCGCTGCCGATGCACTCGTTGCTATGGCTGCTACCGCGCTCGATCGTGCACCAGCTTCTGCTTCAGTGCACGCAAGTAAGTTATACGTAGGAATTGGTGTCGTTACGGCATGGACAAAGGATCTGAGAACATCCGCGTCTTACTTCCAGACTGCGTTCACGTACGCATTTTCTGCTCAGGAGCCTGAGTACATCTCCTCAGCGACATTCAACCAGATTGTTTGGTATCTTACAGCAGGAGAATCGCTTTCGAGCATCAAGTCCAAGTTTTCAAATAACATCAAGTTAATCCAAAAGTATCGAAATCAAAACGCCGGAGTTTACATGGCTTGTTTATGGCAGGTTATCACCAATCTTTCTGACCCAGCCGTGGAAAACCCGGGTACGCTTAAAGGTGAATGGTTCGATGAGGACAAAGACATTGAAATAATTGTCCAGTCAAAGTCTACCTACCATATGCTGATCTACCACCTCCTTGCAATCTGGGTCGCTACCGTCTATAGACAACCGACTAAAGCTCTGAAACATGCAATCGACGGCCTAGAAATCATGGGAGTGGCCAAGGCATCTCTGTATGGTGCGTCATTTGTGTTTCACTGCGTTATCGTGTTCCTTGACAACTATGAGTCTTTGACCGACGAGCAGAAGGTGAAATTGGATGCCATGATTGAGGATGACCTTCGGGCTTGGGCGGAGAATGCGTACAAGCCGAATTTCGAGGATCGCTACCTCCTCGCAAAGGCTGAGAAGGCCAGAATTGCGGGTAACGTTCAGCAAGCTCTGCATTTCTATGATGAGACTATCCGCTCCGCATCATCGAATGAGCATGTGCAAGTTCTGGGAATGGCAAACGAACGTGCCGCTCGCCTACTTGCAGATACGTTTGGACCAAAGGCTGCCGGTCTGTATGCCCAAGAGGCTTACAAGGCATACATTCGATGGGGATGCACCGCCAAGGCGAACGATGTCGCTGCTTGTTTCCCGACGTTGATTCAGAAAGAAAAGGTGGAGACCCCTGCGGCACCCTCCGTCACTCCAGAATCTGCGAAGCTCAGCAGCAACAGCATCACGCACTCTCCCTTCTCCACGAGCTCATCAGGCGCCGCCACTGGTGGTAGTTCGAACCATCGCGTAGCGAGGGTCAGTTTCTCCAGCAATTCATCTTCATCAGGCTCGAGTGACTACTCACTGAATTTCGCTGCTGAACTGGACCTGAAGGTGCTCCTTCAGAACGCGCTCGTCATCACCCGAGAAACCGACTCTCAGCGGTTGATCGAGCATGTAACAAGGGTACTCCTGCAGGTGGCCGGAGCAGATTTCTCCGTTATCGTACTTGACAATGCCGGTCAACTGATGCTGGAAGCAACGGCTGAAGTCGGTGCTACGCCAGTGACGAAGATCAGCAAGCCACTGAATGAATGCACCAGTATTGTCCCTGTTAAAGCCCTGAACTTCGTTGCAAGGACCAAGCGGTCCATCGTCAATGACTGGGCAACAGTGAAGAATGATGAGTATCTCGAGAGGACAAAACCTGCGTCTGTTCTTCTACTTCCTTTGGTCAATTCCGACATGCTTGTGGGTGTAGTTTTCCTTCAGAACAAGAGGATTGTCAGAGCCTTTAATCATAAGCGACTGGAGCTCCTTACCCTCCTGGCATCTCAAGCTGCTACGGCATTGGAGAAGGCGCGCATGTACAAGGCACTGCAAGACTCGAAAGAAAACCTCGAGCAAACCGTCGAAGAGCGAACTCTGCAATTGAAAGTGGCTAAGGAGGAGGCAGAGGCTGCCGCGAACATGAAGAGCCAGTTCATGGCGACGATGTCGCACGAGATCAGGACGCCTTTCCACGCGATTGTTGCTTTTGCGACCTTACTTCTCGATAGCCCGTTGACTCCCACGCAGATGGATTACGCTCAAACTATTCGGGATTCCAGTCAGGAGTTGGTAACCATTGTGAGCGACATCCTTGACCTAAGCAAACTTGACAACGACAAGCTGCAACTGGATTCGGCACCATTCTCGCTGCGTGCCTGTATCGAGGGCGCAATGGACATGGTGGCTACCAATGCCAACGCAAAAGGACTGGAACTCGTTTACTTCAACGAATCCGACGAATATGATCAGATCCGTGGTGACCTTACCCGCTGTCGCCAGGTCATTCTGAACCTGGTCTCAAACGCGATCAAGTTCACGAACGATGGTGAGGTAATCATCTCATCCAAAACCACTCCTTTGCCGAGTATGTCTGCAGGTCAAGAGAAGGCTGTGCTGGAGGTGAGTGTCAGAGACACGGGAATCGGAATTTCTGCGGAGCAACAGAAGAAGCTCTTCAAGTTATTCTCGCAAGTAGACTCCAGTATCACAAGGCAACATGGCGGAACTGGCCTTGGGTTGGTCATCAGCCTGAAATTGGCGAACAAGATGCATGGTGACATTACCTGCGAGAGCGCCGAAGGAAAAGGTTCTACGTTCAAGTTTACGTTCATTGCAGGTCTCGACGAGAGCTCCGAAGAGATTCCTAAGGACCTTGTCGGTAAGCGTTGCTTGATTGTCGTGAGGAAGGACGCAACCAGACGAAGTATCCAGCAACTAATGACAAGTTTCGGCTTTGACTGTACGGGAGCATTCGGCGATGCCGCCGTCCTTAATCACTTGGATAACGGGATTCACTTCGACGTCGCCATCATTGGCGCAAACAGTGAGGACGAAACCTACAAGAGCACAATCAAGCTCGTACGTTCCAAGTTCGGGGCCAAGATTCCTATCGTTATCATGGCGAGGATTGACTCCACCGTCATGTCGACGACGAAGGATCTTGATATCAAGGCTTTCTTGATGAATCCTATCAAGCGGACACGGTTGTGGAACATCGTGCGTGAGGTCTTCCCCGACGCGACCAAGAAGACGAAGCCGGTCGAGCAAAAGCCTCCGTCGATGTCAATGTTGACCATAACCGAAGTGAACGAGGACGAACCTAGGAAAGATTTGAAGATCCTCCTCGTCGAGGACAACCTCATCAACGTCAAAGTTGCCCTCAAGCTCTTGCAGCGAGAAGGCTTCGACGATGTCGTAGTCGCCCACGACGGTCTCGAAGCAGTCCAAGCAACGAACGTAACAGCCTTCGACATCATCTTCATGGATCTCTCCATGCCTCGCATGGATGGTATCGAGGCAACGAAACATATCAGGGCTGCGCAGTTGGAAGGACGACCAAGGCCTGTTATCTGTGCGTTGACTGCGAATGCGATGCCGGAGGGATTGACTGGGTTCGATGAGTACTTGTCGAAGCCGATTGATATTAAGGCGTTGAAGGGGGTGTTGAGGGAGGCGAGTTGGAGCCCGCAATGTTATTCTACGGCTGCGTAATGAGTCTCTCGGGTTGATATGATGATTTCAGGATATGGAAGGAAGGGAAGGAAACGGGTTAGGACGGATCTAGGGTTGCATCTGATATCTTCGCATACATGTTTAGAAATGATACCAATCTGGCATTCTCATACTTCGATTTTGTTCATTCTAGCCCGCTAAGGATAGTTCAACAAAGCAAGAACCAACAACTTAGTCGTACATCGATTACCACGTCGTAATATCCTCAACCACCAAATCCCCCTCCGCCTCTCCAAACACGCTTGCCTTCTTCGCCGAATCAACAACACTCGGCACATCATCAGGCATCACACCCTCCCTCTGCATAATATCCGGCAAGTGCTTGTTCATGAACTCCAACACCTGCCTGTTGACTTGGTCGAACTCGAGCAGGAATCCGTCGTGGCCTTCGGGTGATTCGATACGGGAGAGGACTGCGTTTGGCATGTATTCCGCGATTTCCTGTTGTTCGGCAAATGTGAAGAGTCCGTCACTCTCGATACCGATCACCAAGGCTGGTTGCTGCAGCAGAGCGAGGGCAGATTTGACGTCGTCTGCTCGTCCGCGGCTCACGTCGTGTGTATCCAACTTCCTCGTGATGGCGATATAACAGTTCGCATCGAATCGCTTCACGAATTTCTGTGCTTGGTACCGAAGGTAGCTTTGCGCGTTGAAGTAGGTCGGTGCGCGGCTCTGGTTACTTGTTTTTCTGACCGAGGAGTCGCCTTGTGAGGTTTGCGAGTCGGGGGTGTTTGAGCGGCGCCGTGGTTGGTCGTTGCGTCTACGGTTTCCCTCGTTATGGATTGCCCAATGTTCCTCGCTCGGTGTCTTCGGTAGAGCGTTAGGATACGGCTGCTTCGACGGATCAGGCGTCGTACGCCCGAACCTCGACTCGAAAGAGTTACGCGAGCGGTATGTGAGAAGTGCAGACATCCGTGCAGCACCGAGTCCAGCTATTGGTGGGTCGTCGTAAGAGTAGTACCCGTCTTCGTATTTCGGGTCGCTGTAGATGCTCTGTCTTTGTGCCTCGCCCCAGGAGATACACCATGCTGAATGTCGTGCTGAGGTGGCCATGGGAACAACGGCGCGGACGTAATCGAGACCGAAGTAGGCCCATTCCAGGCAGAGCATGCCGCCCATGGAACCGCCCACTACCAAGGCGACTTGCTTCACCCCTAGGTCGTCGAGGACAATCTTGTGGATACTGTACGCCTCGTGTCAGCTCGGAATAGACTGAGGAATATCGATAGACATACTTGACGTCGTCTCTAACCGTCACTAACGGAAACTCCGGCCCAAAATGCTGCCCCGTCTCCGGATTCGTCGTTGTCGGGCTACAACTCCCATAGGGACTCCCCAAACTATTCGCACAAAAAATGAAGAACCGACTCGTATCGAACGCGCGGCCAGGTCCGATGAGGGGTCCCCACCAGTCCTCGACGTCTGCGGAGCCGGTGAGTGCATGACAGATGATCATGACATTATCCGCGTTGTCGGATAGTTTGCCCCAGGTTTTGTAGGCGACGTGAAAGTTTGTGAGGGTTACGCCGGACTCGAGGGCGTATTCGGGGATGACGGCGACTTCTTGGGAGGTGATTAGGGCCGCATATGGGTTCGTTGAGTCTGGTAGCGTGCGCTCTGTAGTCGCCTTGTCAGCACTGATAACAGTTACATGGGAGAATGAACACACCTAGCTTTGGCTTCGAGGTTTGTTGATCTGGCATTTTTTGGTTTGTTCGTTGTCGAGGAGGGGTACTCCAATGTCCGTATCGCGATGTACGTCGAAATCTCCGCTCGCGGTCGGTCCGCTGCTGCATCCTCTGCATCCATTACCCGCGTCCTGAAGATCCCGTGAGAATGAGGTTGAGTCATGATTTTTACCGAAGTCGTGCAACAGTTCTGGATGTTTAAAGATCTACATTATTCATTTTCAAGAGGATCAAGAGTGATGCAGATGGTGTCAAAATGTCAATTACCCAAAACGACCCATGATGAACCCAGTGAAATAAAGTACCCTATAACACCTTGATATCTCAACAATCTCACCCAGAACCGTCCTAGTTACGGTTAGGAGTATGCTTCCAATCCTTGTAACTCCACTTCTCAATATCCTTAAGCTCATACTTCCTCCTCTCCTTAACCGGCACCCTCACCTCCAAAATACCGCGCTTCTGCATACTCACGAACCTCTCCCTCAACGCATTGCCTTCCGGCTTCAGCGTGCGGAGGGACTCGGCGAGTTCGTCGGAGAGCTGGAGCTCGAGGGGTTCATGCTGGAGACGGTAGGGCCCGAGACGTTTGGGTGCGCGACGGGCCTTTTCTTCGGCGGACTCGGTGGTGGAGACTAACTGCTCCTTTTTGTGTGCGGCGAGCTGTGCGAGTTGTAGTTTCTGAGTCTTTAGTTTTGCTTGGTGGAGTTCGTCCTGTGCCCGCTTCACTGCGCGCTCAGCCTTCTTTCTCTCGGCCTTTGTCTTGCGCTTAGGGAGTTTCTTCTCGGCTTGGTCGACGTCCATATCGTCGCCCGCTTGTTCCTCTTCAGCCTCGCTATTCTCTTCGACGATGTTCTCGATGATGGTCGCGGCAAGTGCCTTGATCTGCGCTTTCCGTGCAGCCTCCTCAGCCCTCTTCCTCTCGCGCTCCTCCTCAATCTCTGCGGCGTTCTTGACGAGCTCGGACCACTCCTGGATAGCAGGGTTGTAAGATTGTCCAGGCTTAGCGACCACGACAGCCTTACCCTCCACAGTCTTGTCAATAGCCACAGGTGCCATGTGCAAAGTCTTCGGAGGAGCAGGCTCAACAGGGTTCTCCAAGAAATCCAAAGTCTCCGGAACAGCCTTCTTTGCCTTTGCAATCTCGGCAGGTGTTGGCTGCGACCAAACGTCATACTTCTGCTTGTTGATATCCTTCCCAGTCTTCTGTGCCGCCAAACTCGAGCCCTCGGAACGGTGGGTGATGAGCTTCAACCTCTCCAACTCAGCAGCAGTCATGACCTTCTTCTTGTTTTGCTGTTTCAGGGGTAACCCATCCGTAGTCTTTCCATTCTTCGCCTTTTGCCATGGGTGAACCAATCCAGGTACTGGGCTACGCGCAGCCAAGATCTCGTCTGACTTGAGCGGACGAATATGAGACCTGCTCTTCCTGACCTGAGCGTCACCACTAGTATCCATAACGAACAAGGCCTCATCAGCCTTCTCCGCAACAACACCACCCTTAATAACCTCCACCCTCAAATCCTCCAAGCCTGTCTCGACCTCCGCGAGGTCCACGTTCTTCCTCCATGCTTTCTTGCCCTTCCTGGACGGCTGGGAGAATGTTGCGGGTGCGGATCGCTTGGTTGCAGGCATGGTGATAGGGGGGTCGAGGTGTGGAGTTTCCGGTGTACTGCAGGGTGTGTGTGTCAAGAAAATCTGAGGGCGGCGAAGATAAGGTGCGCCAGCCACGCGCGATAACCGGGGGGGCTGAGCAGGGGCTGCGATGTACGAGGGCGCGTGGAGCTGCATATACCCAGGAATACGGCAAACAAACGACAGCGACTGTTCTGTTGCGTGTAATAGGAAGGGAGGAAAGGAAAGGAAAGGTAGCATACATTGGTCAAGACGCCTGCGTATACAGCTGGCGATCCCGGAACGCTTCGAGAAGCCGTGTGACGGTCCGAGACGAGTCATAATAGCAGCATTCACCCCGGCAACATGCCTCCCTCGAAGAAACGAGCCATCATCATCTCCGACTCTGAGGAAGAAAACAACGCTGCATCGCCTCCGCCCGCCAAGAAGCGTGCGGTGAAGCGTCCATCGGCGTCACAGCCATCGCCAGCACCGAAGACGAAGAAGAAGGCCTCGGTCACTTCATCCCAGCCAGTCTCAAAGGCGAAGAAATCCACAGCAAAAGTCAAGCAAAAGGTCCAGTTTGAGCATTCAACTCTACCTGGGCTTGACGATGACGACATCATCGACGAGGAATTCGACGACTTGCCGCCAACACAGTCTACGGTTTCGGGATCCAGAAGTCAACCTACATTCACGGCTCCTTCGACCTCACAACGCCAGCTGAACGTACCCTGGACACAGCCAATCTCTTCAAAGCAGGCATCAGTTACACCTGTGGCAGGTAAGGCATCGTGGAATCAGTTACATATATATGGATACTGATTTTTGTCTTACAGCCGACGACAGAATATGGAGTGAAAAGTATGCCCCAACGGCATCCAACACCATAGCAGTTCACAAGAAGAAGGTTCAGGATGTGCGGTCGTGGCTTGAGGGTGTACTGTCAGGCTGTACACGGAAGGTGAATCGTCTAAGTACCGCGTATGTCATCCAGTGCTGACTCTATGGTGCTTTAGAGGCTTCTCATCTTGACAGGGCCTGCTGGTACAGGCAAAACTGCTACGGTAGAGGTTCTCGCAAAAGAGATTGGCTTTGAGACCCTGGAGTGGAGAAACCCGACAAACGACGGCGGCGTCAAGGATGAAATTGATCATGGTATCAAACCCATCGAAACACCTACTCATGGTATGCTAACGTTTCAGAGCAGACAGTCTCAGCCGTAAATTCTCAGATTTCATCAATCGTGGTGACCGGTACTCGTCACTTGAGTTTGCTCCTTCGGCACGCCCTGACAATGCATTCGTCACTCCCCCCACGTCAACACCACCGGACTCGATTTCGAGCGCAGATCGGCCGAAGGTAATCTTGATTGAGGATATCCCAAATACTTTTACGACTGCGACGAACTCGAAGCGAGCCTTTCAGGAAGCCATATCCTCCTACCTCCTCTCTCCTCGGCAGAAATACCCGATGATCCTGATCATTACCGAAACAGAGCCGCGGGGTACAGAAGATACCTGGAGTTCCAGAAACGATGTTATGTCTGCTCGGACTCTGTTAACGCGAGAAATTTTGGAGAATCGCTACGTCGATGTGATCACATTCAACCCGGTGGCCAAGACGTACATCCTCAAAGCATTGAAGATTGTGCTGGACAAGGAAGGTCGTAGGGTTGCATTGGAGATTGTTGAAGCTATTGCCGAATCCGCGGCTGGTGATATCCGTTCCGCACTCAATTCACTGCAGTTCCTTGCAACGCACAACAGTTTGAACACTTCATCCATTGCAGGCTTGAAAGGAGCAAAACGCAAGAGAGGAGAGAAGACCGGGCTGGACGCACTTACAGCTGAACAACGACGGCTTATCGACACGATCACTAGTCGTGAGGCTGCGTTAGGAGTATTTCACGCGATTGGAAAGGTGGTCTATAACAAGCGTATCGGCGATGATGCGGAAGATCCGCCGTGTCCACCGAGGGAAGAGTGGCCTGGGTACCCTCTTCCGAAGCATCTATTGCAGTACGAACGTCGACCAAGTCATGTCAACCCGGAATTGCTGCTGCAAGAGACAAGTACAGAGTCGAATATGCTTCTATGGGCCGTTCATCAGAACTTCCCGGAATCCTGCACCGATCCCGATCAACTGTCTGATATTCTCGATGCGCTCAGCACGGCTGACTACTTCATGCCGCAAACTTTTCAGAGGAAAGAGGCATTCACGCAAGAGACAATGGCAGCGATGTATGGGATAGGCGGGGTGTTGATGGGGTTGCCGACCCCGGTTCGGAGAGCGAATGCGAGCTTCCGATTGAACTACCCGCCAGTGGCGAAGATCCGCAAAGAGGAGAACGAAGTCAGGATGTTGTTGGAGGATTTGGGTGGTGACTACAATGAAGTGGTCCTCAGGGAGGGGAGGGGTACCGCGGGATGGGCGAGCAAGGAGATGATGCTCGACATCTTGCCAATGCAAGCCAAGATATTGAGGAACCGCTGCCCAAAAAATCTAAGGAAATTGACGACGCTAGGTGGTGGGACTTGGGGAATGGCTATTGAGGCGAACACTGTCATGCTTGAGGAGGATATTGCACAGCCATCGCCTGAGGCACTTGGGCCAAATGAGAAGGTTGAGATAGAGGTAGGCGGTCGTGGAGACAAGATTGATAGGGAGTTGGCGAGGAGATTGGAAGAAGAGATGGTGCTTGAAGACGACGATATCGAGGATTAGCTAATATGGACATTGGAATACCCGGGTACGAACATTACATATGGCGTTGGACGTTTCAGACACATCATCTACGATACATCAAGAGGAATCCTTAGACAAGATTTTGATGGAAAAATGTCAAATTCTTTTAATGAACTAGCTAAACCGCACAAAAACAAACCAAAAGCGCCAGAAACCCTGTAACATGCACTCGGTATCATTATTCACACCCACATGTTTAAAACTATCTCTCGTTTTCCTACATCTACTCCTCGTCGTCCTGGATCTTAGGAGCGAGGTAGTACCTCAAATAACCACCCTCCATCTTGTACTCAACCAAAAGTGGTACATCATTGGACATCTGCAAGGTAACAGCGCCCGCCAGAGGGGTAGCCTTAGTGAAGTTGACCAAGTATTTGAGGGAGAAGGTAAGAGTAACGGACTCGCTCAACTCAATGGAGGTAGAGAGCGCGGGCTCTTCAGGGTTGTGGGTCTGCTTCAAGGTGACGGAACCGTTTCCGATGTCACCAGCGGAAGCAAACTTGACACCGTCTTTGGAGGCATCGATGGTAACGGACTCAGAGATACCAGAGAGATCACGGCAGATACGCTGGAACTCGGCAGCTGGCATAGTGATGACAGCAGCGTATGCAGTCTCGGGGATACCCAAGTGCTCCTGGTCGATATCCATCAACTTCATCTCATACTCAGAGATCCTGTCCTGGTTCTGAGACTCGAAAGTCAAGGACAAGTTATCCGGGTCATCCGCAGCCTTGAGGGTGATAATGTCCTCGTTCTGCGCAGAGCGGAGGACCTTGGAGAGGGAGTTGAGGTTGATACCGAGGGCGAGGTTACGGTCGCAACGGTAGGGCTCGAAACCGTCGGCACGGAGGAGGAGGGAGACGAGGGCGACGTGGGAGTTGTCCATTGCCTGCAGGGAGATTCCGCCGTCGCTGCAGTCAAAGTTGGCATCGGTGACGAGCTCCTTGATCGCGTCGAGGGTCTGGGGATTGCGCGTTAGCAGAGCAATTAAGGAGACAAAGATGGGGAAGTAGTCATACCTTCTTCAAGACGGCGGCTTGTGCGAGTCTGGCTTCGAGCATTGTGATATATATAAGATTTTGGATGGGTGTAGTGGTATGGGATGGAGGTGTTCTTTCGAGGACGCGCTTTCCAAGAAGAGACCGCGTTGGCTGCGAAATGCAATTAACCCCAATCTGGACGGAAATCAGGCACCGCCAGAGACGTGTTTTCGCGTTCTTCGGGCAGTTAATAGTATCTGTATCATTTGTCAGCAGTTATCCCTATATTCTCCGCCTTCGTCTATTCAAACTTGACATTGACCGGGGGTGCTTCTATTTTTGGGGTGACGATGTCTATTTTTAGCGCAGGCAGCAGCTCCACACTCGGTCTTTAGCCGTCCTTTCTCCCCTACCCTCCATCAACACCCAAACAAATACTGCCTCGTGTCGCCCGTTCTTCTCCGGCTGTTTGTTCCGTTCTTCGTCATGGGTCGCAGAAAAATCGAAATCGCCCTTATTGAGAAAGACCGCGACAGGTCGATCACCTTCACCAAGCGAAAGCAAGGTTTGTTCAAGAAGGCACAGGAACTTGGCGTTTTGTGCAATGCAGATGTTGCTGTGATCGTCTTTTCTCAGAATGACAAACTTTATGAGTTTTGTTCGAGGGATATGAGGGATGTTCTGGGCAAATACGCAGCGGTGAGTTCAAGCTTCCCACACCCTCGCGCCAAGGATACCGTTGCTAACATGTGCAGTACAGCACCATGGCCTTCCACCACCGGTCCCAGCTGATCCGTACGGTCATGCTCGTGCTATCCCTATGCAGTACGCTCACCCGACTCAGGCTGCTATCATGGGCGTTCATCCCCCTCAACCGCGAGCTCCAGTCGGCAAACCTCTACTAACACCGAAGCTGAAACCCGCAGCTACGGCTCCCGTTTCGAAGTCTACGTCGCGTTCTCAAACACCTCCGGCCCCTCTTACTGCACCCGCTGCAGTCTCGATGCAGGCTCAGCACCGACGGACCGGCTCCCACGGTTCACCACAGACGGTAGCTTCACACCGTGCGGCTGCAGCGGCTTTGTCTTTGCTCGGATCAGCGGCAGCAATGGCACAGCAGTCTACTTCCACTTCTCCTACACCGCCTATTGGGGCTACACCTCCAGTTCCACCTCCCGGCGTCCCCGTCTCCGCCATGCGCGGCATGATCTACACGGACCCCGCAACCGTTCCCAGTCAAGCCCAATCTCATCCCTCCCAGCCCGCTTACATGCAATATCCCGCCATGCCCTACATCCCACCGCAATCGGAAATACGCGAAAGCATCGTTCCATCTCCCCCGACCGCCATCGCCGCAGGAGGAGACGCCGCGTCATCGAGTAGCAGTACTCCGAACTTCCTCCCACCTCCTACAATCCATTCACAGGGTCAAAAGAGAAAGTTGCCACTTCCTGCGGTGAGTACGATTAAAATCCCTACGGACCAGGAGAGGCGGAAGTCGAGAAGTTTGAATACGCCGTTGAGTGCGAGTAAATCAAGTTTGGGGTCTATGTTTCCGGTTGCTGCGCCCAGGCAGGGACATCAGGTTGGGACTGTCGAGGAAGAGCGGGAGGGGAGTCGAGAGAGCGGAGGCAGCGAAGGTAGTGAGTATGTTGAGCGGGACAGGAAGAGGGTGAAGGCGAGTGAGAGTGATGAGGACGAGGATGATGAAAATGGAGAGGAGGACGAGGACGAGGACGAAGATGATGATGACGACGGTGACGAAGGGGAAGAAGGAGACGAAGATGCGGAAGGAGAACCCGAAGATACACCTCCCCAGACGTCCCACGACAAACATCACACTCATCTCATGCCGCCTCTCAGGTCAGACACACGAAGTATGTCCGTTCCGAACTTCCCTACCCCAGCTTCAGCAGCTGCGAAAGCCGCGGTGGAAGGACACAGCAGGAGACCAAGTCTGAGGATCAACACTGGTGGATTCGGTAAGGAGATCCCGGCGAACACACCTGAGCCCAAGACCGGCGCACCAAACAGGAGTCCACCACCTCAACAAGCCCAGAAGCAGCAACCCTCAGTTAGTCAACGACCATTCTTACCTCCGCCTCCGCCGACTGCGAGTCATACTTCGGTGCCATCTGGTAACAGCTGGAGCCATAGTACTCAAACTCCACATCTCCCAGGCATGGGACTAGCGGGGTTGGCAAGGCCAGACAGCAGTGGGAAGGGCGATGGGACAGGCCAGGACGTTAGTCTCCCGAGTCCGAGTGAGTGGTTTGATGGGTTGCCGAGTGCGGGGTTACAGGCGATGATTGAGCAGGGTGCATTCCCCGGGGATGAGGGGAAGTAGGCAGAAGATCTTACGGATGGCGAGGGACGAGATTGTGTATGTGACGGTACGATATGAGCGCACAATGTGGGATGGAGAATGAACTACAGGTTGATTTGGACGGAGTTTGTTGCTATTTATCTTTCATTATTAATGTTCACGATTGGTGGTTTCCCGGGGTATGATCATGTCCGAATTTGGCGACGTCATCTGTAACGTAACGTTGACACTCCCAAAACACAACGTCTCGGGAATCAGTGACTTGAACGTGTTGGAAAGCATTCGTCGCCCATCACAGCTTGAAATAATCTCAATAACCTTCCATAAAATGTCCGCAGGGCCCTCAATCACACTCTCCAAGGTCCTGTCCGATCTCGCGGCTCTCCACACGGCAGACCCCGCGGCAGCCGCTGCTCTAGCAAGCTCTGCATCTACTCCCGACGCTGCCAAGGCCGTTCAGCCTGACAATGCAGATGATAGCACATACGCACGCGTCCGCGAGTATCTCGCCTTGACGCGAGCAGATGCGCAAAAGCAGAGGCAGGGTAAGCTTGACGAGGTCACGGCAAATTTGGATAGGTTGAAGGAGAAGTCAAGGGATGCTCTACAATCATTGGGTAAAATCTGAGCAGGAAGTAATGATACATGGAGGATTTGAGAGGCGCGACGAGGAAGCAAGTGACTTCTGCTTTTGCTTCAAGGGTATACTTGCTGGACTTGGGCTCGGACAAACGAGCATGAACATGCGGTGTGACACGTGTAGTCGCATTATAAGAATTGCGTTCACCACTTTGACGGAGTACGGCAATGCCGGTCGAATGGATATCTTGCATGGAGACGCTCGTTGGGAGACCATGAACTGATGGATGGATATGGATATTGCAAGTTTGGCAGGCGAATGCTCGGGCAGAGTATGTGGACAATGCTATGCTGAATGGGTTATCTCCATCAGATATAGCGGTGACATGCTTTTGAGAGATGAAAGACTGGCCGGGCAATGAATGACCTTTAGATGAGTACCTGTTCATGCGTAACACACTCTCTATTATCTGCTACAATGGATATTTCTTGGCCAAAATAACATATACGTTCTGTTGTGATCCCCATTTTAGTTCTGAGCCTCTTTCTTGGCTGGCTCCGGGGTAGCCTCGGGGGTCTCGGAAGCCTTCTCCGCTGCAGTCTTGTCCTCACCCTCCAACTTCTCGACGGCATCAGAGGCTTCCTCGGCGGCCTTGCGCAGCTCCTCCTTCTCGTCGAGATCTTCGTCGTCCTGTAGTTTCATGTTAGTCGATGTTCGGAGGGTTTAGAGTAGTTTGAATACCTTAAGAGGCTCCTTGGGTCCACTCTTCTCGTCCTGCTCGTTCTCCTCCTCGATCAATTCTTCCTGCTCATGAAGGACCTCAAGACGCTGCTTGTTGGTAGCAGCACCCTCAGCGGTATCAACGAACAACTCCGCCTCGTGGAACAACTCATCAGGCAAACTGCTCAATGTAGCATACAGAGCCTGGTACGCACTGTCCGGCTCATCGCGGTTGTAGGAGAAAGCACTGGAAAGAACCAAGAGGGTAGAGGGAACACCGTGCTGGAGACGGAGATCGAGCCATTGGGTGAGCTCGTCGCGGAGACGGGCGGGGGAGGTTGCGTAGGTGCGGATACCTCTCGCTGCACAGGCGGTCTGGAGCTCAGGAACAGAGAGAGACTCGACACCCTCGAAAGAGATAGCCTTGTCATCACGCTTGATCTCGCGCATGCGGTGACGGATGTTGTATCGGAGCATGTTATCCGTACCAAAAGTGTGCAAGTTGAGGTAACGGCACATGGCCACGAGCTGAGGTCGGGACAAGTTGTCGAGTGTCAAATCATCCTTGAAGATCTGACAGACCTTGATCATGTCGTCTTGGCTTGGGGTTTCACCACTTGTGCGGACCTTGCGGAAGAAGTCCTTGAACTCCTCGGACTGCTTAGTAGACTTACTCAGAGGAAGACCAGTCTCGCGGATTGTGGCACGAAGGAACTCGGACACAGCCTTGCGAGTTTCCCGAAGCTTAGCCGTCTTAGCTTCCTTGGCGGTTTGACCTTCATAGGTACTAGGAAGCATGTTGGGGAAAAGCTTCAAAGCAACTGGAAGAAGGAGTTCGGCGAAGGGGACGATGACGAACATTGCAAATGGCACAATACGGACCAGATCTACCGTTGTACGCTGCAGCTGTCTGCGCTCACGGCGGGAAAGTTCGTGTCCAGCAGCCATCTTCAACGCCAATTTTGAGGAGATTCGAACTTCAGCACCAAGAAGTTTGGTTCCATCCCAGTAATGGTGTGCCTCGTGCTTCACCTTCTCCCATAAAGTAAGCTTCTTCTCTTCTGGCTTTGTTGCCACCTGCTTCGAGGTCTCCTTCTTCTCCTTAGATGGGGTCTTCTCTTTGGATTCAGGTGATGACGATGTGCTCTGAAGACGGGTCAATATGATCGACGATCCAGCCTCCAACGGACGACGCAGGACAGCATCCTGGCCCTGAGTCGGCTTCAATAATGAAGGTCTCCTGTTTCCGATTGCAGTATTTGCTATCACGGCATACGCGCGAATTTGTAAAGGAGCTTCAGAAGCCTTTGGTCAGCGTCCTAGAAACGGATCATCCGGCACACAAAAAAACTCACAGCGAAGAAACTGAGCCTGCAGTCTCGGTACGGAACGAATCAACGCCCTGTTTGCAGCGGTCGAATTGGTCGCCATTTTGTCCAGTCTTTCAGGGCGGATCTGTTGAGTCTGGAAATATGTCACGGAGCACCGGCTGCAGCCAAACGCAACTTTGATGCGGCCCTGACAGAGGAGCCGTATGCCGACCGAGCTCACACCCAAGGACGACGACGACCAACAAATATCTCAAGTCGTTAAAAGAGTTCAGCTTGTAGTTTGTAGCTTGTTGAGTTCAAACCGTCGGTCTTACTTTTCATACGATGATCCTTCCATACCGTTGTCGTCAAACGTGGTCGCTACCGTTGTTACGAGCATGTCGTCGTCTACCCCGATCCTGCTCCACCGTCTTCAAGACTCGGATTACTCGCTTTGCCTGTTGAAATCATCCGCCAAATTCTGTCGTATCTACGTCGAAGGGATTAAAAACCCTTTAGTTAGAATTCGTTTCGTACGACCTTGCGTTACCGTATTTTTTACGCGTTCTTGACCTTGGAAAACCCTCGGGATTGAACTCAGACTCGGACTCGGACTCGGACTGGTGCTGTGACATCGCAAGTGCCCTCAACAACATTCATGAACGCGCAAACTTGATCAAAACAATTCGCTTCGATGATACATCTGATAGGTACGATCTTTTACTGGTGAGTGCGTTGACGCATTGTCAGCTGGAGGCGATGGAGATAATGGAAGACGAGGGGGCCCAGTATGACGAAGATGAGCGTAAGATAGTGGTAGCTTAATGCGACCGTGCGTTCGGCGAAGCGCTTGTTTGACGCAGTTGAAAGCTTACCAAATGCTCCATCCTCCGGCGTTTGATTCTCCTTCATTTGCAATTAGTTCATCACAGCCGCTCTAATTTGTACGTCGCGCTCGTACGCGTGGGAATATCTCGAAAATTCCTAATTAGGTAATATGCTAGCCTTTGCTCTTGGCTTCTTGGGTTCCTTCAAGATGGGCTCACCGGTTTCTGGATCAATAATCTGCCAGGTTTGCAACTGACAGGCTCCTCAGCTGTACCGGTATTTGTGTCGCGGTCGCGCCTTTCAAACCGCGGATTTCTGGACTCCCGCTAGAATCTGACTGAGCATCAGGTAATGCGGGCGCGCTTGCCGCCCAAAACCTCAGCTGTCCTTACAAAACACCCCATAAGCAGCCGAGAACCTTCTTCTCAAAGGCCTATAAAGCGAACGGATCAGTCTGTTTATGCGTTTTCTCTTCACTTTTCTCACAGCAATCGTCGTCGCAGGAATCGCATACCTCTACAACCAGAAAACCGCTTTAAAACAGAACCTTATGTCTCCGACCACGGTTAGCAACACTACTACTTATCACGAATCAATTGAAGATATGTCTCGCTTCGCCGCTCGTACAGTTTCTAAGCTCGTTCGCGCTATTGAGCAGTCGGAGGGTGCTGGTGCGACTGTCCGCCGTTCGATCGGCACACCTCAGCTCCGCAATTACTCTCCTTTCTTGATGTTGGACCACTTTTCCGTCAAGGTTGGTGCAGGATTCCCAGATCATCCTCATCGTGGTCAAGAGACTGTCACGTACATGTTGGACGGCGCGATGCAGCACGAGGACTTCGCCGGTCACGCCGGTAAGATCGAGACGGGTGACTTGCAGTGGATGACCGCCGGAAAGGGTATCATGCACGCTGAGATGCCTTGCCCTCGTCCTGACGGAAAGCCAAATGTTGGGTTGCAATTGTGGGTCGACCTTCCTTCAGACTACAAGCTTGATGAGCCGCAATATCAGGAGCACAGAGACAAGGACATCCCTCGCGCAAAGAACGACAAGGTTGAGGTGAAGGTTATTTCGGGAGAAGCATTGAACGCAGATGGATCAATCACCAAGTCGCCAGTCCGTAACCGTGTTGGTGTCTGGTTCTTGGATGTCCGTATCCAGCCCGGAGGCAAGCTCGAGCAGAGAATTCCCTTCGGATGGAACACGTTCCTTTACACTTTGACCGGTAAGCCGCATATCGCTGGTAAACAGGTCGAGCCTTACCACACTATCGTTCTCGGTCGCGAGGGTGATGGTGTAGCGGCGGAGAACAGCGGAGAGGAGGAGGTTAGGTTCGTCATCATCGCCGGTCAGCCATTGGACGGGCAGAGGTGTGTACAGTACGGCCCCTTTGTCGGAGATTCGGAGGAATTCATCTACCAGGCATTCATGGACTACCAGGGTCAAACGAACGGATTTGAGCGTGCGAAGGGATGGAACAGCAAGATTGGTGGCAGAGCTTAGGATGTTTGATTTGCAGTGGGCAGTCGGGTTGGCATATGGCGTTAGGTCTGAGTATTTTAGCTAGTTAAATTTGGTTACGACAGCGAATAATTCTTCGTATTCATACGTACAGTACAGCTGCATGTCCAATTCGCGTTGCGAGCGGTAACGTTGACAAAAACACCACGACTCACAAAGCCGGCTACCACGAACGCTCGGCCGCCTTTGCGTGAAGTGAAAAAGAATGTGGCAGTCAACAACTATCGTTCAGCCTCGATGAAACCCACGAAGCCCTCTTCAAAGGGTGTCACCCGTGTCGCAAATACCCAGGCACCGACGCGACATCTGGAGTACTACGAGCCAGTATTCTACTCATTCTCAAAGGTGTTCAAGAGCTATGTGAAGCTGTTTATCAAGGACGTTCATGCGCTGGAACTTCTGCCACAATTTCAAGGTTCCTTACCGTCCCCATCCTGTCCGAGAGCTTAGTTAACATACTTCCTCCAGTCGCCGGAGTTCGATTCTACCTAAATCATCCCATCAAATTCGTCTCGGTAGTCGGCATCGTCATCGGAATCACCATTCGAGAAAAGTACAGCCTCATCACCGTGGACGACTCCTCCGGCTCCACAATCGACCTTCGCATCGATAAAGAAAAGTACAAACCTCTGGTCGACAAATGCGAGGACGCAGACGTAGGGCCATACGCAGTCGGCACCATACTCAAGGCAAACGGGATTATCATGGACCACTTCGGCATCCGACAATTGGCTATTGAATCACTGCATGTCGTGCCAGATCTCGATGCAGAGGTTAAAGCATGGCAGGTGAGATTGGAGTACAAGCAGACTGTTTTAAGCCAACCATGGGTGGTGAGCGAGGAGATTAAGAAGCAACTATTCGCAATAAAGGCTGCGGAGGAGGCGGCGACCTCGGCGAAAGCGTACGGCAATAGCGGAAAGCGCAAGACAAGCAGCAAAGGAACAGGATTACAGGCAAACGTGAATGCGATGCGAAAGGAGACCGAAGCAGCGAGACAGAGGTATTCTTTCACATCATCACCTCAAGAGCACCATACACTCCGATCGCTGAAGCTACTCTTGCTCCAGTACTTTAAGGAGGCAGATATTCGAGACTTTACCATCTCCACACTACGCGCAGAGCCGGAGATCGAGGAAGCTACGCGCCTGGTCGTTACACGACTCGAATCGACAGATCCAGGTGGACTTCGTGGGTCAGGAAGAAGCGAGAAGGTGCGCAGCTGCCTCGATCTGACTCTGCGCGAGCTTATCAAAGATGGGAATATCATCAACACGTCGTTAGCAACTGGTGCATACTTCACTATTGGGTATTGGAACTTGGCACCTTTGATCAAGGACGCTTGTACTACTGCAAGGAAGAAAAAGAAGACCAAGACAGGCGTCGTAGGACAAGTCAATGCACGGGATATCTGGATGAAAGCAAAGAATCAAGGGGGAGGATGGGAGGATGTGCCAAAGGCAGTGGTGGCAGGCGTTGTGGCAGAAGCTGTCGAGAAGGAAGAAGGTTGGGCCCTTGTTCGACAAGGAGTATGGATATGGGTGGGATTTTAATGATGGTTCTCACCGGTACTACAGGGAATACGGCGTTCATGAGTTTCTTGGCATAAATAATGATATTTGAATTCCTAGCAATTCCTTCAAGGATCCCATATTCCCACACAAACGCCAGAAAACCCGAAAACCATGCTATGCAAAACCCGATAGAAATATATCACTCGCCGGTGACCTGCTCATAAAACATAACATATGCCGACGACCCGTTTGACCTTCTGTTCTCACCGTACCCACTGGACGGGCGCAACCAGCCCATCTCTTGGTAGAGGTCGTCCTCACTGATTGGCGACACCTTCGAGTCATCGTACAGTCGCCACTGCCTCGACTCTTTGCTTCTAGCCACAGCTGTATAATGCCCGAAATCTCTCATCCAGCCCTCGGTCCCGCCGATTCTCAATATTGCCGAGCATAGACTCCATTTCCGCCCAGCCAGACGCATCTCAACAATCCCATCCGTATCCGCCTGCTTACGAGCCTTTGTATCTTCAGGCTGCATTTCAACAGGCAACCTAGTCACCGTCACCGCCAGAATCCTCGGCGGATCTTGCATGCCCTGCGTACGCCTCGCGCTTGTCTTCTTGTTGCATTTATCACAATGGTAGGCATTGTCGCCTTCCATTAGCTCCACTTTACCCTCTTCGCGTGCCAGTGCAGTTTCGATCGTCTCGTTTCCAAAGAGATACGCAACTTGATCAACAGCTTCCACTTCACGTGAGTTGATAGTATGGCATTCCCGACACTCGATCTGGAACACCGTAGTGTGTGCCAAGAGATCCTTCGGCATGATGATGGGCGAATCAAATTTGCCCAACGGCGATGATGGAGGCGGGCTTGGTAGCCTTCCCTCAGAATCGACTGGTGGAGGATGCAATGACTTCTGCACCTTGTCAAACAAGTCGATCAAGTAAATGATCACCTGATGACTGTCCTGCTGGCTGTAGCTATTGAATGGATTATCGCATGCCCTGATCTTCTTGACAAGCTCATCGGGTTCGACGACGCCATCCTGAACATTGCGTTCACCAAGTACCTTGACGGACGGGCTACCCTCCAATAGCTTATGCTCAGCGGTGTTGATCTCATCCATCACCTTGACCGCAGCCTCTGCAATAGCATAGTAAGAATATCCCCCAAGGCCCTTGATCACCTTCTCCTTTGCCTCGTCATCATGACTCAACGGCAAAAGGAGCGCCTGTGCAGCTTCCGTAAATTCGGGAAGTACCCTCATCGCATGTAACGCCGAGTTTAGATAGCAGGTGTTTCCGAGATTCATCAACCCGACACCTGCCTCGTTCTGCCTCCCACGACTCGAATATGACCGAATACTCAACTCATCACTATCACGAGACGAGCGTCTCTGCATGGGTGTGCCTCTTCGACTGCGTGGACCCCACTCCGCATCATCGTTCTGGCGTTTCCTCTTTGCGCGACCACGGTCGGAGGTGATGCGAAACATGCCCACGGCCTGTGGTTTCTTTGGAGCAGTACTCGTCAGCCTGAAGGTCACCGGCTGGGCGCTCTCCAGAGGTGGCGAACTGACGGGGCTGATTGACCCGACCAATGCGGTCACGGGCTTGGGTGTGGAGATATGCGTAACCTTGACAGGCGTCGGGGCCTTCCAAGCTGAAGGGTCGAATTTGGATGCTGGCTCGGAGGCCATGACATCCAGTAGACTGCCTTTCGGAACAGTGGGACTCGATTGAACCGGTGAAGAAGATGGGATGTTCGTCTCCTTATCCATCAAAACGCTCTTCTCCACCGTCGCCGGAATCACCGCAGTCTTCTTCCGCGAGGAGTTTACATTCAAGCCATGAAACGTCTTCTTTTCTTGCTTCGCAAACCCAGGGTTTGGCGTCTGCGGAGGACTCGTAGGCTACAGTCCCCATATTAGCTCTCACGCACGCACGCATACACCCCTCACAAGCCAGACGATTCACCTTGAATATATCGTCCTCGTACATCGGCAACTTCTTCTTCACCGATGTCTTCCCATACGTCGTCCCAACCTTCCTCTTCGCCGCAAACGGCGAGCCATTATACCCCGCTCCCCCTCCTCCAGCCGCAGACGCAGGCGACACCTTGGGACGCTCATTACGGAATCCGTTGTCGAAGGGCGTGATGGGTCCTCTACGCCAAGACATCGCGTAAGATACCTAGGTAAGAAGAACTTCTTGATACCGATAAGACTCGATGGTGAACGGAAGCTCGGATTTGGTGGGGTTGTGAGCGGAGGGTCGGTGGGGGCGGTCTGGGAGACGCGCCGCCTGCGGATGGGAAATTCAAGGCGCGTTTTCGCGTCCGAAACCGACTGACATCACTTGGCGGGTTAACGACACCGAAAATCTGTGGACGTTCTGCTGGACTTTTTGAAGTTGATTGACGTTCTGCTTCGAGTTTCTATTCTGTCTAGAATGCTTCGTTTACGACACCTGGAACTACATGGGCCATTCACACGGGCCCGTCTATCCCTTTGCAGGGACTGCTTCACATCGAATATCACAACCTCGTCCACGTTCACAATGTTCAAGAATCTCGCAACAGCAACATCTTTTCATTTCTCATCTTAACAGCTAGCATATACGCCAATCTCGTGAGCGATACAGTCCCGTGCACGATCGCGAAGCAATCCTTCCAAAAAAAAAAGGTACTGATGACTAAACAAAAAGCAATACAGCTGGTACAAAAGTAATGACCCACCCGTGATTTCCCAATCGTGTATGCAGAAAAAACACCGTGTGCCTCTCAATCGAATCTGATATCCCCATGGTCATAACATGATCGTGAACCCAACCCAGAATCCAAACCAAAACGCCAAGTCCCAAAAAAAAGAAAAAAAAGTCCCAAGCCAGCATAATCGTGTATGTATTCCATCCCAGTCCCTTCCCCCTTTCTCGTAATCGAAATGAGCAATCGCTCAGTGGCCGTTGCCAGAGCGAGCCAGTTGCAAGAAATATCCCGTCTCAAGCGACAAATAAAAAAGAATTAAAAAAGAAAGAAACCAAAACGCCGGTGTAATAACGTGTACCGCAGCCGCCCTGAGATACTCTTTTGCCGATAGTTGTGTCGTCGTCGTCGTAATCGTACGCGTCTCATCTTCGTCGTGTAGGGGGAGGCACTATGCTCCCGCCTGCGCAACAACCTCTATACTGCTCTTCTTCTTCAGCCTCCCAAGCTGCGGCTTCTCCGCGACCGCTGGACCCGCATTATTGCTGAGCTTCAACTGCCCCTCCAACCTCTGCGCCAACTCACACTGATCAACCCCCCCTCCCCTTCCCTGCAACTGCATTTGCATCTGCTCCTTCGAAATCCCCAACGCAAACCGCTCAATCGCCGCCTTTGCCGTCGTCTCCGGTCTCGGGGACGCCGACCCTTCTCCACTAGACTCGTCCACCGAGTCCTTCCGGGATTCGAGGTTGGAGAGCGTCAGCTCGGGGAGTGAGCCACGGCGGCCGAGACCGAGGAGGTCCATGTTGTCTTCTTTTTCTTCGGTCGGACTCTGTACCGTACTCCACCTCCCACCTCCACCTCCATGATGACCAGTCGAATGAGAACTCCCTCCACTCGTCGCACGTACCAAACTCCTTCTCCGACAAACAGCTCTCCTAACGACTTCCCTCAACACATCCCCCCTCACGGGTTTCCCGACACACGCATCCATACCCACCTCACCATAGACTTTTCGGCGTTCGTTGGATGTGGAGGTTGTTACGGCGATGATTGTGGTTGTGTCGAAACGTGGTTGGGCACGGATGTGGCGGGCGACTTCGATGCCGGAGAGGTCGGGCATGTCGATGTCGAGGAGGATTAGGTCAACTGCGGTTGCGGGTGACATGGGGTTTGGTGATTCAGTCATGGGCGACATCATCTCCATCTCCGTGGAGGGCGTATCAACCATCTCATTCGTCGTACTCAGACTCGCACTCCTCTCCGATCCATTCGACGAACCATCGCCCATCGCAGCACTGGTATTCAAGAACCTCTCGTCGCCCGGAGAAAACGGCATAGGGCACTGCGGCGCTTCCTCGAGATGGCAAAGAGCGGCGTACCCTCCATCCGCGATTTTGAGGTCGACAGAATTGACGAGGTCTGACATTCTGGTTTTGAGGATTCGTTGCATCATGCGGAGGAGGACTTGGTTGTCGTCGACGATGAGTGTTTGGAGGTCTTTGACGTGGTCCAGCCCAACGGAGTCGTCATTGTTGGCGGAAGGAGCACCACCACCGCCGTCAAGAACGGGCGGGCCATCAGCGCCTGGAGCGAAGAAGCTCGATTCGACGAGACGGTCGTATTCAGATTGCGGCATGTCCATTGCAAGCCAAGTGAGCGGCGTTGTCTACAGAGCAAAGCAGAAACAGTGGGCCCAGGACATGGATATTCTACATCCAGCTCTCCCAGTCCATTGCGAAATAGGCTCACCACATCGTCGTGTCCGGCGGCCGCGCGCACATCGAGAACCACACCCGCATCGACCACCCGTGAACGCACGTGACAGCCATCGCGCGCGCATTCTCGATCCGAGGCGGATCACTTCCAAGCTGGTCCTGGCCACGGCTACGGCGGGTAAATTGCGATTGTAGTTAGCAATAGCAAAGGCACACACGCACGGCGACGCCCCTGGTGGAAAGGGCACACTGCAGGTACGCAATGGGTCTGGGAAAGGACATGCACAACTCCTTTTTATTTTTCCTAAATCTAGAACCATATCCACAGTTGCATGCACGACGTGAATATTGGACAAAAGATCACGTTTAGGCAACGAGAGCGGAAGCGGTAGCGGACTCGTACTTCCAGGTAGGGGGAAGCGCACCGACGGTCTTGTAGTAACTACATTCGACGCTCCATTAGCATTCCAATTCTTCTTCTGGTTTCTGGGGGGGTGGACATACCGAGCCAAACGGTGGATACGGGACTCGATCAAAATAAGACGGAACTTGGAGTCCTTGTCCTTGCGGTTACGCTCGAGGTGCTTGCGGACAGCAACGGCCTTCTTGATGAGCATGTAAAGGTCCTCGGGAATCTCGGGGGCGAGGCCTGTGTAGGTGGGAAAATCACTCTGTCAGTACGGGTATACCAAGCAGAGGCTGTGCTGTAAGTGAGACTAACCGGTGGACTTCAAGATACGGAGGATCTTGTTACCTGTGACATGTATTAGCACTTTGTTCAATCGTGAAGGAGGAGAGAGAAAACATACCAGTAACGAACCTAACCTGGGGAATACCGTGCGAATCCCTCAACACAACACCAATCTGGGAGGGAGTCATACCCTTACGGGCATACTTCACAATATGCTCCGCAACCTCCTCGGTGGTGACCTTGCACCATGCGGGAGGAGTGCGAGAGTAGGGGAGGGAGCTGGAGGCGATACCCTTTCCTGGAGTGTGCATGCGACCCATGGTGAATAGATTGGGTGGGGGGGGGGGGGGGTTGTGGTGAGTGGTGGTGCTGACGGAGTGTACGAGGAGCGTGTAGGGAGGGGAGAATTTGGAGGGGGGGTGGGGCTGGTGCGTGGCTGGTACTGTTGCTTGCTGTTGAGAGCAGGGGAAGCTAGGGTTTGCGCGCGCGAGGTCAACACACGTCGAGGAGTGAGATCAGAGCAGTGTAATGGCAATAGACCGTCATGATCGTTTTGCCTATTTAACTCAATTGACTTTTTCTCGGATGTCTCCCTGCTGTCGCTCAGCGCTATCAGGTCTTCCCACCCATGATGCCGGCTACGTCACATTGGCCCACGTACTTCTTGTGACGTCAAACTCACCCAAAAACCTTAAAACTCCTCCCACTCCTCAACACCACTAATTCATCCATATCAACATGTCCACCAACATAAGCCAACTCCTCAAGCGCATCCGCAAGTTCATCCCCCCGCTCGATGGCTCCCTTCACAAGGGTCAGTCCGGCCGCGTCGCCGTCATTGGCGGTTCAGAATCCTACACTGGAGCTCCCTACTTCTCCGGTCAATCATCTATGCTCCTCGGCGCTGATCTCGGTCATGTCATCTGTGAGCCTGGAGCATCGACTGTGATCAAGTCGTACTCCCCAGACCTGATCGTCCACCCTCTCATGTGCGAGTCTAAACGTGCGACGGCTGAGCGTCCCACATCTAAGATTGTTGAGGAGATCGCCGCCCAGTTGGATCGTTTGCATTGTATCGTTGTCGGTCCTGGACTCGGACGGGATCCGATGATGCAGGATATTGCCGAAGGCTCTATCAGAGAGGCCAGGAAGAGGGAGATGCCGATCGTTATTGACGCTGACGGGTTGTTCCTCGTCACCAACAAGCCCGAGATCGTCATGGGCTACGAACACGCCGTCCTTACCCCTAACATCATGGAGTTCAAGCGTCTCGCCGAGAAGATGGTACGTACACCAACTCCCAACCTAGTTGCTAAAAAAAAATCCAAAAAAGACTTACGTTGACTTCACAGCAGGTTGACATGAACGGGGACGCGACCACCCTATGCGCCAAGCTCGCTGAGAAGTTGGGTGGTGTCACGATCATTCAGAAGGGTCAAAAGGACTATATTTCCAACGGAAAGGAGACTATGGTCGTCGAGAACGAGGGTGGATACAAGCGTTCCGGTGGTCAGGGTGATTTGTTGTCCGGAATGACTGCTACTATGCTCGCTTGGAAGAAGTGTTACGAGGAGGGAACGTGGAAGCACGATAATGACTTGAGCAGCCATGAGATGACTGCTCTCGCCGCATTTGGAGCTGCTACCCTTACCAGGTACTGTTCCCGGAAGGCGTTTGAGAAGAGGGGACGTGCTTTGCAGGCTTCGGATTTGATTAAGGAGGTTGGTGGGGCGTATGTTGATCTGTTGGATGGTGATGAGCCGAAGGTTAAGCTCTGAAGCAATTGCTATGAATGAGTACGATAGGGGAAAGGAAAACGACGATAAGTGATACCCATTAGTACTTATATTACGATTATGATTATGATCAGATGCTATGCTCAAAAGTATCCGTACATGTTCCTCCCCTCAGCCGGCTTGATCATCTTAATCTTACTCTTCAACCTCTGCGCAGCTTTGCTTTCCTTGTACATTCCTTCAACTTTACTCATGCCATAGATCCCGGCATGTGTGGCTTCCTGGAGCCTTTGCTGCTCGAGCATCACATCCCTCAACGGATCAGCATGAGCGTGGCCAGAGTGTGAATGAGTTTGGCCGGGCCCACCGCTAAACTTGGAGAAAAGATTGGTCACGCCGGCCTTTAGTTTCGCGCGTCGTTCGGCATTCTCCTCCTCGTGCGTCTTATAAACCTTCGGCTTCTTGATCTTCAGCGGCGGCACAGGTGGTAAGCCCTCCGTCGGCGCCGGAGTGGGAGCACGATTAAAGTTCGAGATCATCGGTGCATTACCGGCTTCATACCCCAGTTCCGAGCCCGGGCGTGAAGGTGTAAACCGCTCCGTAAACTTCCCAACACCATACGACTGCCCATTGGTCCCAGCGACCAAACGTCCAGGCGCCGGCGTCGACGGAATCCCAAAGATCTCACCATTCCTCAGTGTATTCCGATACGTAACCGGCTTGACCTTCGATGGCGGCACTCTCCTCTCCTCATTCGTCGACCTGTAGTTGATAGGGCAGAACGGGTCAGGCTCATGCCTTCCCAACGTCGGACTCTCATCCGGGGCCGCATGCCCGAACGCAGCACCGGCATATCCCAACGGCGTCCGTGGTGCGAGGGGGGAGCGGATGAATGCTGACAAGGGAATGTCGGTACTGTAGTATGAGGACGGGGAGTGTGCCGATCGAGCTGAGCGCGCGGTGGAGATGGCGGGGGTGTAGGGGGTTACGAGGGAGGTGTAGCCGTGCGTGGTGGGACGGGCGGTAGAGGAGGATGAGGGTGCGGTGCGGGAGACGATGTTGAGGGGGGCAGGTTTGATGTAGCGGCGCATGCTGAAGGAGTAATGATTATGATGACGGGGTAAATGCTATTGTTGGGATACGTACCAGACGTATTGGATGCTTTTGTGATAGGGGATCTGCTCAGGGGGGCGGAGAAGGGACTTTATAGATCCTGATTCGGCTCCAGATCGGATCGTCTCGGGTCCAAGTATGGTGTATGACGTTGGGTCTTTGTGAACGTCACTTCCCAGACGTACGTTGCTCGGCCTTCTTCTGCGTCATGCTCCGGTTTGACGATCCCACGCCTTCATGCACCGCTACACCCCAACTCCCCACACCAGGCAACGGCACGAGACGCTCGAGTTTGACATTCGATAGCACCCCGACGCCTTTTCACAGATTCTGTATGGGGTTCGTACGTAGTCTGTGTGAAAAAGTCCAAGCATCATAGCGGTATGGAGGTCCGTGCTCGGTCCTGGCGCGCGAGGACAAAGGGTGGTGGTGAAACGCACAAACTGGCAGCGCAACCAACATGAACCTGGCAGGTTATCCCGAGCAAAATCTGGTCACAGACTTGAGGTAATATGCTTAGTGGTAAGACTGATCGGCTTTTGAGTCGCATACATGACACCGACTGAGTGCCGGTAGTGCATGCCGTGGCCCGTTTGAGGTTGCGGCAGTTGTCACGCTTGGCAGTATCGCACCGATACGATGTATGACTGGATGATGATTCCCACCTGCTACGATCCTTTATTGAGACGTGGTAGGTATCGTGTCACCTAAATGTTCTCCCAACTACAGCAGTCAGTGCCGAGCATACATCCGTGGCCGATCGGGAGGGGGCACGCACACAAGCCGAAACAGGCCTCGTACCGACCTTCCGAGCATGCAGCTACCCCGCGTCTTGGAAAAATACACGCAAACCATATAGGTCATCGTGATCGGAGAGCGATATCAGTTGCGTGAGTCACCGAGCAGCTGCACCTGGATACCTAAGTTCGGTGTATGCTATCGATCTGCGATCGCAGGCGGCAGTTAACCAACAGCACTCTACTTACAGCTGCTACAGCTGCAGTACGCCGGCACCTATCCCCAGGAAACCCCCTTCACCTCACTCGCTCCCGAAGCCAGTTAAGGTTATCCGGGTAAATCGGCATTTCCTTGCCAGTTGGCAAGAATTGGCGATATAGCGTCGATTCGCCACCTAAGACAACGCTAACTTTATTTGATCGACAAACCTACAATCCGCAACAACAAAAAGTCCGAAGCACCAAACCACCAAGTCTCGACAATGCTGAAGGAGAAGGACAGCCTCACTTCAATGTCGACGACGACGACGGCTGCTGAGTCGGATATGACGAGGAAAGATGTTGATGATGCAGAGATTCAGGAGACGATGATGGATGTTGTGGCGATGGAGCAGCCGGCTGCGATTGCTACTGCCGCGGACGCGGATTTGGAGAAGGATGCACGGGGAGGTGCTCTTCCAGGTGAAACTCTCGCTGCGGGCGAAATCACTGGGAAACGCAAGGCAATCATCTTCTTCGCGCTCTGCCTCACAATCTTCCTTTCCGCCCTTGACCAAACAATCGTAACAACCGCCCTCCCGAAAATCTCCGCAGACTTCAATTCCGACACTGGATACGCATGGGTTGGAACATCATTCCTCCTCGCTTCTACAGCATTGGTTCCGTTCTATGGTAAGGCGAGTGATATCTGGGGAAGGAAACCAGTCTTGTTTATTGCGATTGGATTGTTTTTGTTGGGGAGTGCGCTTTGTGGAGCGGCGCAGACGATGAACTGGTTGATTGGAGCACGTGTCGTTCAAGGTGCGGGATCTGGCGGTATTCTGTCCCTCTGTAACATTATCGTCTCGGATCTCGTTACGCTTCGTGAGCGTGGAAAGTATGTTGGGTTCATCGGTGCGACGTGGGCTGTTGCGTCCGCGGTGGGCCCGTTGTTGGGAGGCGCGTTTACGGATTACGTTACGTGGAGATGGAATTTCTTCATTAACTTGCCGACTGGAGCGGCGGCTGTGGTGTTGCTTTTCGTGTTTTTACACCTCAACAACCCCCGCACCCCCTGGCGTCAAAAGATCCCTCGTATCGATTTCTTGGGTGTCACCCTCATCATCGGCGCAACTCTTCTCTTCCTACTTGCGCTAAATTGGGGAGGATCGCAATATCGCTGGGATTCGGCTGCGGTGTTGTGTTGCTTGATTATTAGTGGTGCACTCTTTGTCGCGTTCGGTATTGCGGAGGTCAAGCTTGCAAAGGAACCTGTCATGCCGATGTCGCTGTTTGCACACCAGACAAGGTTGGGAGGGTATCTTGTTTGTTTGTTTCATGGGATGGTGTTTATGGGTCTCTCATACTACCTCCCGTTGTACTTCCAGGGTGTTTTGGGGTACTCTGCGATCAAGTCTGGTGTGAACATGTTGCCGTTTATCTTGGTGTTGTGCGTTGTCTCTGCATTCGCAGGACAAATCATCACCAGATCCGGTCGATACCAGGAACTCATCTGGGCCGGTATCGTCGTCCAAATCATCGGTACAGGACTCATCATCAACCTCGATGAAAACTCCTCTCTCGCCAAACGCGTTTTATACCTCATGATTGCCGGCCTCGGCACAGGCCCCAATTTCCAGAGTATGCTCATCGCGATCCACGCCACGATCGACAAGAAAGACATCGCGACAGCTACGGCAACATACGCATTCACCCGCTCCCTCGGCGCAACAATCGGAATAGCCGTCGGCGGCGTCGTATTCCAAAACACCCTCACAGCCCGTACCGCACATCTTCCCCTTGCGTATCGCATTTCTGGCGGCGAAGCCGGTGCGGCGGTCGAGTTGATCCGCAACTACCCTGAGCCGTATCGGACGGAGGTCGTACATGCGTTCGCTGATAGTTTGGATAAGATGTGGATTACGTTTACGGTGCTTGCGGGGGCGGCGTTGGTTAGTAGTGCGTTGATTGGGAAGCATCATTTGCATAATCGGATGATGACTACGCAGGCGGTTATTATGAAGCCCAACAATCAAGGGGGAGGTCAGGCTCAGAGTCGAAGGGTTAGTGTGGACGGTAGTGTTGAGAAGGTGCAGGAGGAGGCGGCGGGGAAGGTGTGAGTGGGGTGAGGTGAGGGGTGTATGGTTTGAGTGAGTGAGGTTTCTTCGGCATATCGTGTGCATGTTGTGGCATTGGGAGTTTGAATTGCTTTATTGGATATCTATACCATTGCAGTTGGATTATACGCATTTAAGAGGTTGCCCTTTCGTTTCATTATTACTCTTAATTACTATCAAAATTGATGTTCTTCGCACGAGCCTCAATTGGGCGATTATTCACTGCAACTCCAGCATGATTCCCACAAGGTCTTGGAAGCTGACGGTGATGTACCCATCTCCGTCCGTGTCTCGTCTGTGAGCGAAATTGTCAGCAGTGAACTACAACACATCCCTGGATTCGAATGTCTCACTTGTTGAACGACTTTGTTATCAGCTTCAAGATGACACAGGATTGGACGAAGCGATCGAAGCACATGGCATCTCGCACTGTGGAATCCTCAATCAGCCTATGTCTTGTGACACCGGAAATCCTGAAAGTTTCACCTCGCACAGCGAACTTATGAAACACCTGTCCAATAAACTCCGGAGAGAGACGGTATCCGAACGCCTCGAGTGCTGTACGGTATTCATTGAAATCAATCGTTCCACTGTGGTCGCATACATCAATACCAGGTACAAACGCTCGTAATCGGAGCAAGGCATGAACTACCTTCTGTCACTGTCGAATCGGTCAAAGAGTTGCTTCCATTCGTCGAGGTAACCCCAGAGGTGTTGGAACTCTATGAAGGAGATGTGGCCGCTGCGATCTACATGATCCTCTTGTCAAACAATTGTCGAGGAAAGAGTGATGAGAAAGGGAGCGTACCGGCATCGAACAACCTGTGAGTACGAGTTAGATTCAGTGTCTCGTAGACAAAGCAGTCAGACTCTCAGACTCACCTTATCATCATCGCCACGGTCCTCGCATCAAAATAACTCCAGTCAGCGTTTCGTAAAGCCAAGTTTAATTCTTTCTCTTCAATGTGTCCGCTACGATCTGTATCCACCGCCTGGAACAGATCGAGGAGTTCGGCTTTATGGCCAACGTCGGGAGCACTTTGAGGGTGAGTGGGTTGAGTCGACTGATATGTGGGTTGCGTTGGCTGATGTGTGGGCTGGTTCAAATGCTGCGCAGGGTGATGGTGCTGCAACTGCCAGTAGGCCTGGAGTTCTGGCCGGAGTGTAGGCGTGCCTGTCCGCTGTCCCCTTCCCTGAGAGGCGTGTTGGTTGATCATGTCGCCGAAAGACGATCCCATTGATCGCGGTGGGACAGGTGGCTGATTAGGGTTCCCGCTCCTAGGTCGTAAGGGAGAAGTTTGAGAGTGGTATCCGGCAGGCGTGGGAGTTGATGGAGTCATTGGGTAAGGCGACGATGTGTGATCCATCGTGCCATACCCGACAGATAAGGTAGATCCAGACCCCGGGGAAGCTTGTGGTTTACGGTCTGATAGACCCATGGTCCTGTTAGCCGCGAGTTGTTGTTGGAGGAGTGCGAACGGGTGGATGTTCCAAGCCGTCTCGAAAGGCATGCCCTATACGGCTGGGACCTCAACCATATGGACAGCGTGCGGTATGAATCACCTGATCCCTGAACATCCCGGGCCTTCGTCCGATCCACTCCTCGCTGTAATTACCCTCGAGCGCGGTCCGTAAACGTACCCGTGCCCGTAACGTCCGACCTTCATTTTCCCACAGCCCGCGCGCCAGCATCAGCCTGCATCAAGCGCGAACACCGCACAAACACGACGTCCAGCATTCTCGACCAGATCAAACACGAACAACATGCTGCAATCACGGAACGTCAACAAGGAAAACGCGTTCGTCGTACCTCCGAAGACACCTGCTGCGAAGGCATTGAAGTTTGGCACGAAAACGCCGTTTGGTGCGAAGACGCCGTTTGGAGCCGAGAATGTGCGCGCGCCGATGACACTGAAGGGGGGAGCAAAGTTCAATTCGGACGCATTTATTACGCCGATTGGTAGGTCTTGCCAGGCTGCGTTCTCAGAAACCGTGCGCTGACCTACTATTACACAGGACCAAGAAGAATTCCTCTAGGGGTACAGAACACCAATGTCCGCAAGCTCGCACCACCGTCAACAGGTAAACCACAACAAAGCCGTCTCTCATCCGCAAAACGCCGAACACCCAAACAAGCATCACCAGAAGTCTTCAAAGATGTAAATCAGCAGCTTTCGCAGAAACTTGAACAGGCACAGATTGCTGAGGAGGAGGTTGAGATCCCGGATATCGAGTATATGCCACCTCGTGGACCAGGTATGCTTTGCCTCATTCTGTTTCCCAAGGTAAATGCTGATGGAAGTGTGCAGAAATCCCATGGGAACCAGAAAACTACTCCCCAGTCAACTGGTCTACTCTCCGCAACTACCGACCATCCGTCAGTGCATACATGGACCGCCTCGACGACCAAGGACGTACATACATTGAACGCGAAGATGCGGAACTCTTCAAGGACCCGGTCTTTGAGGAGCTCCCTGTGGGTCCAGAGGTGGAGGTGGAGAAAGTGGTAGCAGAGAAGAAGGAGGTGAAGACGGTGGAGAGGAAGAGAAGTACGAGGAATACGGGCGGGGTGCCAAGTTATTTGATGCCGACTGCTGCGGCGAGGGCGAGGCAGGTCAATCCTAATGCATCTGCTGGGGAGTCTACGCGGAGGACAGTTTTGAGTACGGTTACGAGGAAGCCGATTGTCAGTTCAGGACCGTCATCGCTGACAACTTCGCGCATGACACGTCCCACCCAACCCAAGTACGAACCGATGTTTGCAGGCATGAAGCTTGATGTGTATGAGTCTGACGAAGACGATACGTTCCGAATTGAAGTTTGAGTATGATGGAAGGGGAGGCATGGTATATTATCTAGTGGGTTCTTGTGTTTCGTGATTGCGATTGGGTTATTGGGTTGTTGGGGCGTTTATTTCCGGGGTTCTTTTGCTATATCTTTTAATCACCGCCGGTAATTCATGGGTTTGTTTGTGTTCTTCTTAGGGATTGTCTAAGCATCTTAACATATCAAAGAATGGACTCTTTCAACTTCCAATTGAGTTTGTTCCCGGGTGCTGATTACCGGTGCAGACCGTCTCATGCAAGTGTGACGTCGAACATCGCGGACTCTACGACCAGCTGTCAGTCATTTCCTCAATGCCCACAAAAGACAATTCCAGGGACGAATTGACAATGGAAAGTTTTCGCAAAGCTCTCACAAACTCGAAACGGACATTGGTTTTGTGCGGTGCTGGACTTTCGGCCGCGAGTGGACTTCCTACTTTCCGTGGTGCTGGGGGACTGTGGAGGAACCACGTTGCCACAGAACTGTACAGCCCAGACAACCATGACCAATGCAGTGCTGATGAATTCTTTACAGTGTCACGCCTGACGCCTTCGAAGCCGACCCATCCCTCGTCTGGCAATTCTACCACGCCCGCCGTCACGCCGCACTCCGGGCAAAACCAAATGCAGCACATATTGCGTTGGCCGAGTACACTAAAGCTCACCCCGACAAGACATTCACTATTTCGCAGAATGTGGATGGGTTATCGACGCGTGCTGGACATCTACGGGATAAACTGAATTTGATACACGGAAATTTGTTCGATTTGAGGTGTTCGGGTTTGGGATGTGGGTATGTGGATAAGGATAATTTTGATGAGGTGTTGACAGAGGGGTTGAAGGGTGCTGAGGATGTGAACGCCGTATACAAGGATATCCGGATTCGGGATTTACCGATGTGTCCGAAGTGCAAGACCAACCTCCTTCGCCCCGGTGTGGTTTGGTTTGGGGAGGGGTTGCCCATGGATGTGATTGACAAGGTGGATAAAGCGTTCCTTGGACCACCTAGAGTGGATCTCATGTTAGTTGTAGGGACGAGTGGGGTCGTGTGGCCTGCGGCTGGGTAAGAGACCACACATCCTATATCCGTGGGAATCGGGACTAATAAGGGGTTACTTACAGGTTTGCGGAACGCGTGCGACGGTTGGGTGGGAAAGTGGCAATCTTTAACATGGAGGTAGATCAGGCTGAACCTGGTGATTGGGTTTTTGAAGGTACCTCTGGTAAACAGGTCTCACGATTGCTGGGCTAATGAAGAGCACAGGGCCCTGTGAAGAGACGATACCGGAAGCTTTGCAACTGACCGGCCCACCAGACTAGGGACGTTTCATGTCGCAAATTTGAGAGGGTCTTGATCATTCCACACCCCATTTTCTTCATTTCACACCCCAGCGCCAACAAAAAACTCAGGATATCTCGCCAACCGCAAATCGGATCTCGGAGGGTAGAGAGTATATAGACTGATAAAAGTCCCCTGAATCCGTTCCCACCTTCATATTCGGATTTGAAGGTTCCTGGGAGAAGATACCAACTGTTTCTCACCTCTCAGCCCGGCGCTGCGGCTGGTGTGGCACAGCGCATATATGCATAAATCTGCACATCACATCTCAGCAGTATTTGGCAGAGTACAGCAGCTGGTGGAGTGAAATCTGCGAGTTAAAGGTATCATGATATTCACAAAGGTACTCTCTATCTCTCTACGCTCTTACCGTATTCCCAAGTTCAATGGCTGTTGAGATATCTTTGAAATCGTGAGTGCGCCGGGGTGTGGAATGATCAGGACCCATTTGAGATTTGTGAAGTAATAGGTTAAAGTCACCTAAAACATCTTTGAGAACAGGGATTAAGCGTGATTCCAGCCTTCTCCAAAGAAAAATGGTCACGGAGAGGCTCGAACTCTCAGCCTTGGCGTTATTAGCACCACGCGCTAACCAATTGCGCCACGCAACCGGTTGGATCATTTCGACGAGTGTTCAAAACAATTGAGAGCATTGCATGTTTTTGTCTTTCAGCTTTCCGCAGCATCTCTTACACCTTTTCGAGTTCATTTTTTCCACCCAGTCGTTTGTTCCTCATAACAACCTTCCCACGTCTTATGACAGCCGCTGACAGCTTTAGCCTTCCCCAGCTCTCCACAGCTCGCCTAGCGCGCGCCGCACCTCCTCATCTCCGGATCGTCAAAGCTTCCCTGAACCCGCGTTTACCACCGGCCGCAGTCAGTCTCTCATCTCACCAACTTTTACCGAATTCTCCATCTCGGTCGCTACCACCCAATTGACCTTCGTCAGCTACAATCTCTTCAACAGTTCAACAACAATGGCTCCTCGTAACCACGTCGCTTCTCATCCTGACCTTTTCAAGGTGAACTTCCAGGACGGAAGCTTTGCTTCGGAACTTCTTGCCGTTAAGGTTCGTGCTTCCAGAAGGGAACACTGTCGCTCAAGTTTTAATATGTCGTTGAAACAGGACTTCAAGAAGGGCGACGTCATCGCAAGCCTCGAAGGCCTGACACCCGGCCCCAAACGCTACACCTCCGTCCAAGTCTCCCGCGACTCACACATCGAGGTTCGACCTCTCTTGTTCGCCCTTCATACCCCCATAACTAATATTAACATCTCTCGAACAGCTCAACTCCGACCTCGTCTACATGAACCACTCCTGTGCCCCCACCGCTATCGTCGACATAAAGAACCGTGTCGTCCGTGCAGTCGAGGACATCCCCACCGGTTCCCCTATCACCTTCTTTTACCCTTCTACGGAGTGGGATATGGACCAGCCTTTCGATTGTAATTGTCACGCGAAGAGGTGTTTGGGGGAAATTAGGGGTGCGAGGTATATTCCCAAGGAGAAGGCTCAGGCATATTGGTTCAATGAGCATATTGAGGAGTTGCAGAGGGAGGAGGGGTTGGTGAACTAAAGAGATTGTATGATATCTGAGAGGTGAATGGAGACGCATTGAGTGTATAGTATGTGAGAACGATGAAGTTGAAAGGCGTTTGGGAGTTTTGGACTTTGCAATTGGTTTATCTACAATGCACACTGTCAAGAAGACAACTGCCCTGAAGGGCACTATATCAATGACACTTGCTCAAGCTATCGTACGGTATATCGATGTAGTTATATGACCGACCATTCGTTCCACGGCCTTCCAACGTGAGGAACCCAGGTTGCCACGACATCCAGGTTGTACAGCGTTTTGTCCATGTCACATGACTGGTTGCGTGGCGCAATTGGTTAGCGCGTGGTGCTAATAACGCCAAGGCTGAGAGTTCGAGCCTCTCCGTGACCATTTTTGGGCTTAGGACAGCTCACCGACCCGTGTATTTGACGGACAAACCTGTACATTTTGTGCCGAGACTAACTCACTACTTGTTCAATGTTCGTATTGAAGTATAGTCATATTATAACCGGCCACGGGGTATCAATCGCCATTGCCTACTTTCATTCCAACCCAAAAGAATTCATTCCCAAACGCCGTCCATACCCATCAAACCCTCTCAATCCTTAAAAGATATTCTCTGCCTCTTCGTTGTGGCTTCACTCTCTCCATCACTTTCGTCGCTCGAGTCCTCCCCGTTCTTCCGTCTCTTCTTCTTCTTTTTGTCGGTTCTTGGTACCTCCACATCAGACTCGGCGCCGTTGTCCTTCAACGTACGTAAGTAACTTGCGCTGGATAGCGAGAATAAACGATCGTTTTCGCTGAACTCGGTTCGCCGTCGGGAGGTGTTGCTCTTGAGGAAGTTCTCGAACCCGCGGATGATGTTGCCGCCTTGCGCGGTATCCTCAAGATACTGCCCTTCCAGCGTAAAGATCTGTTCTTCAAGCGACGCAAGGTTCTTATCAAGCGTCCGCTTCTGCGAAATTATGCTCTTCAGCTCCTTCTTGATATGCTCATAATACTGCACGCTTGCTTGTGGTGCCGCCTACACACAGGTCAAATCAGCTAACCACCACGGAACCGACCTCGGAACGAACTCACCTGTGCTGGAGTACCCTCAGCAGGAGTCTGTGGAGCCGCAGCAGGCGTATTGCCAGTACTCTCACTCATCGTCGTTTTGGTGAGGTTGGTCCGCTTGCAGCTTAGTGCCATTCGTGCGTGTATACAAACGGCCTGCACGTGATACGCTCACCGCCGTTCCCATACAAGGACATCTCGACATACTTGAGTATATGTAAGATGCCGTTAAGTGTTGGGAGGCCGAGTTTGCCTGCGAGAGTGAGCACGAGTAGCGTCAGCAGTAGACAGCAGCTGTCGGAGGTGGTGGATGATGTCGGTGCTGGGGAGCGGTTGCGTGGGATCTTGGGGAAGGGGGTGGAGGTGCGGAGGGATGTGCAGACGTTGAAGGAGTTGAGGATGCTGATTCAGCAAGACGGTCTACCAATCGAAAGTGATGACGGAATGGTACTCTCTCCATCTCACTTCTATAGCTAAGTCGTACAAGCTGACGTGTGAGGCTTCAGAACACCCACCGCCCTTACGTCTGGTCAATCCTCCTTGGCGTCCCCCCCACCGCCTGGGAAACCTACGCCTCCCTAATCTCCCTCGGCCAATCCCCCTCTTACTCCAAAATCCGACAAGACACGTTCCGTACACTCCCCACCGACCCTCTCTTCAAACGCCGTGTGCAAGAATCATCCCTGATCCGTCTCTTGAACGCGTTTGATTGGACACAGCGGAACGAGAGGGAGGAAGCTGGAGGGAAGGGGGACGAGGTTGGGTATGTACAGGGAATGAACGTGCTTGCTGCGCCGTTTTTGTATATGGCGAAGAGTGAGACGCAGGCGTTTGCGTTGTATAGTCGGTTCATTACGCATTGTTGTCCGGCGTATGTTAAACCATCCTTAGAGGGTGTACATCGTGGCCTCAGGGTCAGCCTTCCCGCTCCTCACTCTCTAGAATATCTGGGCTAATGATGGTGGTGGTACAGCTCCTCGACATCTGTCTCTCCCTCATCGACCCAGAACTTTCCTCTTACCTCCGCTCAAAAGACCTCACAGCAAAAATCTATGGATTCGCTTCTGTCCTTACACTCTCGGCCTCGACCCCGCCCCTACCCGAAGTCCTGATATTATGGGACTTTCTACTGGCACGCGGAGTTCACCTCAACATCCTCTGCATCATCGCCCAACTCGTCCTAATCCGTAACGAACTCCTCTCATCCCCGAGGTCTGTCTCCTCCCCTCCCTCACGTTCTCATCTTGAAGTCACGCTGACATTGAGAACAGTCCGGGCACGTTGTTGCGCTCCTTCCCACCCCTCCAAGCACGCAAACTGATTGGGTTGTGTTTCGGGTTCTTGCATAATTTCATACGGCATGAAAAGGAGTTGTATAGGATGTTGGCTATGCATACGTATGATGAGGAGGTCGGGAAGGAGATTGACGGGTTGGATGCGGAGAGGTGGAGGCCCATGGCTGGGAAATGATTAAAGCTATGTGAACACCAACCGGGCTGGACCTGGTGTAGATGAGATACCCCTTATACGGACGACACAGAGTTCGAGGTGATATATGTCTTTCTTTCAGCTACCCTAGCTATGGTGATATCTCTGATACCCAATTTTGTATCAGCATGCTTTTTCTTCCCTTACCACAACGACAACTCATAATTCTCCTCCGGGTAAAAACTCGTCAACACAGTCCTCCCATCAAACTTCCTCCCTGCAAGCTCCCGAAGCGCCTTCGTACACATCTCCTTATCCTCAAACCTCACGTAAACCTTCCCGACACCACTGCTCTGTCGGCCCGTACTGTTTCGTGGAATCTTCAGGTCGAGAACACGTCCATATTTGGAGCACTCATCACGGATATCTTCGCAAATTTCCTCGTATTCTTCGGGATCTTGGAGGTCGTCTGGTGTTACCATGTTGAGCATTTGCAATACCCTCGTAGGTTCCATCTCGGATGTTTCACCCGCCAACAACGTAACGGCACCTAATCCGACACCCGGTGCGATTTTCTGGGTGTTTCCCTGGTTTGCGCGGTTAACGGTGAGTTTCCGGTCACCGAGTTCCATCCCATGTAGGCCCTCGACGGCGATATCACTCACGCTGGCTTCGGCATACTCACAGAATGCGAAACCTTTGCTTTCTTGTGTGGAGGAGTCTTTGACGAGTTGGAATGCCCTGATCTCTCCGAATGATTTCAGGAGTTCGAGGACTTGGTCGTCGTTAAGGTAGGTTGGGAGACCGCCGATGAACAACTTGTTCGGGGAGTCAGGGACGGAGGTGGAGATGATGCCTAGGGCGGTGAGTTCCCGTGTTGTGGATTCAGCGGGGATGATGTAGTCTCTGGGACGCTTGATGGTGAGGGGTTGCCCGTTGAATGGGATACCGTCGAATGCGATTGCGAGGGTTGCGTCTTCGGGTTTGCGGAACTCCAAGAATCCATAGCCCTTTTCGGGCTCGACGGTAGCGGAGTCGCAGGGGTCGTATTCGGAGTTGACATTCAAGGAATTAAGGAGGTCATTGAAGAATTGGCGAAGCGAGGACTCGGAGGTTCCGGATGGCATGTCAGACACGTATAAACGGCGAGACTGTCTGCTTTGGTTGGATGTGAGCATGGGTGGGGCAGCACCCGAAGCACCCGCTGGTCGCTGGTTAGGGAATCCGCCCATGGCGGCTGGGTTCATGACTTGACCGCGCGGGGCACCGGGGAGTGGGAACATCCCTGACATCTTTGCTTGTTCAGCGGTGACGCTCTCATACCCCGTTGGCTTGATATCCCACATTGTCATACGACGTTGACGCTGGTCCACTCGGATAACGTCCGTGAGGTCGGGTGTGGGGCTCTTTCGCGCTTCAGGGGATCGACTGCGTCGTCGGGAGTCACGGGCATCGCGACCATTGGGTTCGTCTCGGGCGGAACGGTAGCGGTCGTCGCGTCCGTCACGGTCGTCTCTCCTCCTGTCATCCCTGCCATCCCTTCTCCTGTCGTCGCGTCCATCTCTGTCCCTGCGCTCGTCTCTTCCACCACCGCGAGCATCGCGATCATCTCTGCTGGACCTATATCTGTCGTCACGACGATCTCTCTCGTCGCGGGATGAACGGTATCGATCATCATCTCGGCTCGAGCGATAACGATCCCGGTCACCATCGCGGGCGGGACGGGAGTCACGGTCGTCGCGGGAGGATCTGTAGCGGTCGTCACGTCCGCCACGGTCATCACGCGATGGACGGGCGCCGTCGTCGCGGCGGGCGTCACGGGAGGAGTGGCTTCTTTCGTCGCCATTGCTGCGGCGGGGAATGCGTGGGATGTCTGTCGCTCGATGATTAGCATTTCATATCACTAGCATTCATCCCACCTCATCAACACGTACCCTCCATGATGGTCGACGTTGCCTTCTCTGTTGGTGTATGGGTTCTCGTTGTTGCCAGTGCTGCATCTTCTCGCCGCGCGCCCTGAGTCCCAACTGCAGCGCCGTACATCTCGCCACAGGCTGTATCCGGGTGCGCGTATACGAAGGCACCTGGGCTGTCGATGCTCCAAACACTCCTCGAGCTTGGGATCTATGACGGCGACCAACTGCAGTGCTCCGAGCTTGTTTACGGGGTTGCAACATGTTGACGAGATTCGGATTCACAGTCCAACGTAAACCAAGCGTCCAACGGGAAGATAGCCTCAAATCAACCGCCTCCTCGGACCAAACCGATGTCGAGGCCCCAAAACCGAAGGCGCTCCTTGAGGTCGCACAAATCCTCGACCGTTCACCGCGACCCTTAAAGCGGATCAAAACTGAGGAAAGTCAGGATGGATCAACCTGGGATGACGGCGACGAAGACGAAGAAAACGTCGAACCCGCCACCCTAACACAACTCGGCCTCCCCCTCCTCTCCCCCCGCCGCGACGCAAAGTCGAAACAAATATTCCGTGGATCGGAGGAGAAACCCTCGATGTACGTTCAAGCTTTCGAGACTATCCTCGATACTGTGTTGGAGAATGAATTACACCTCTTTTCTGAGCAGGAGATGCGGATATTCGCGATTTATAGGTCGTTGCGGTATGAAGCCCGGTACCTCTTCGTGAGACTATTCACCCGGAAGGCGGGGTGGTTTCGAATTAACAAGCTGCTGTATGGGAATGATGTCCTGGATATGGATGCGGCGTGTGCCCTATTATGGTCGAGTGAGGTTGGGCTGGCGCAGAGTGGGGAGTTGATTGTGGAATTGGAGGAGGCACTGAGTCTGCTTTCGTTGGACGAGTTGAAGGTGTTTGCTAAAGACGCAAAGGTACTAGGAAAGAACAAAGACGAAATATGTTCGGCTCTGATGAAGGCGAGTAAGGAGCAATCGGGGCTCAACACCCAGGGCAAACTCACACTCTCATTCGATGGACGGGGAAATTGGTCAAGACAAGATTTGGTCTTGGTACGGAAGATCCTGAAACAAACTGGAGCATGCATCCGCCTCCACCCCGACCCGGTCAAGTTGTTTCATCGCCTGCACATCGTCTTTTACCGCTCGACGAATTACGACGAACGATCCATCACCACCCTCATCCTCGCACGAATATCGAAACGGAAATTCCCGGAGTACATCGTCGAACGAACCTCAAACGTCTTCGCCTCCCGCCAAGCCCTCCTCCAATACGAAGACGCCATCAAACTCAAAGCAGAAGTCGACAACATCCTCGAATTCAACGGCACCCCCGGTGAGGAGGGTCTCCGTCGTGTCCTGGCTATTTTCGAGAGCATATGGGATAAATGGAAAGATCTCGTCTCGCGCGAAACTGAAATTGAGGCAAATCTGGACGCACTATCAGCGGAGGAGCAACGAGCGGCGTACTATCTTCGTCGGTTCACCGCTGGTTGGGTGTTGACGCGGTTGGTGTGGAAAGGGGCGTATGCGCTTTCGCGGTTTCACGAGTACCAGCGGGAACACGCCGTAATTAGTGCGTTGCTGGGACAGCGGTTGTATAGGCGTGGTAAGAGGGGCGAGTGGTGCGACCGGAAAGCACTTATTGAACAGCGGTATATGGCATCACCCGAGCAACCTGCCGAAGTGAAGAAATGGAAGAAGATTGCGGCGGGGACTTGTGAAGCGGCGTTGCAGGATCCGGATGTGCATATTATCTATCATTCTATGCTACAGAAACGATTGATGAGGTTGGAGAAGGACATGAGGATTCCGAAGAGGGAGCAACATGATTTCTCACATGTCTCCCTCCGAAAAGCCGTCAAACGCGTAATCGAAGGCGAACGCGTCTCCGAACGCGAAATCGGTCGGAAAAGCGTGTGGAGGGCTCTCGACGGTGGCGAGTGTTCTGTAGAGCAACTCGCGCTGAGCCGCTACGAATCCCGAGGCTGGCGCGGCTACCACTCCGAAAACGGCCTCCTCACCTCTATCTTTGCTCTTCTCTTCTGGGATATCTTATTCCTCCCCCTCCCCGGTGTGTTCGAGACAGCATACCAAACCGCGCCACTCGACTTGGCGTCAGATGCGTTTTATCCGGCGCGAGCAAGTGAGATTAATCGGAGGTTGGCGGAGGTTGGGAATGGTGGGGCGGTGGAGATCATGAGGGGTGTTGACGAGTGTCATAGGGCGGAGGAGACGTGGTGTGTTGGGCTCAGATGGTCATACCCACTCGAAGACCTTATCGAAGTCGCCACCTGCCTTGGCGGCCCCGCGCTCGCGAGTATTTGTAAGATGTTTGCGGAGGAGTACTCGCATCGGACGGGGGGGTTACCGGACTTGTGTATTTGGAAAATGGACGAGGGGAGGTGTATGTTTGTGGAGGTTAAGGGGCCGGGGGATCGGTTGAGTCAGGATAAGCAAGTTAATTGGATTGATGTGTTGTTGGGGGCGGGGGTTGAGGTTGAGTTGTGTTCGGTTGTGGAGGGGAAGGGGATCAAGGAGCAGTCACAAGCATAGGGGTGCGGGTTTACCCACGGTCCAGGAAGGAGTGGCCAGAGCGCCGGCACTGCACCAGCTGGCAAGGTCCATCGGCCAGGATCGGAGATCCGCTAGAACAACGTCGTCATAGCCGCAAAATGCATTACAAATCATAGGCGATAGAAAGACGACGCATCAGGAAGTTCTTCCAAGTCTCTCAGAGCAGAATTGCCTGTTGCAGACTAGCCCGTCTATTTTTAGACACTCAGCGCGTGTGAGACTGCTCTACGGCAGCTGCCCGCGCGTATGGATTGTACGTACTTGGAAGCCGGGAAGCAGGCCTTGGAGCGCTCCAACCAACCAAGGCTCGCTACCCATCCTCAACTTTAAATGTCTCCGTCATCAAAAGGTCCCCTTCCGGACATCCATGCACCAACTGCATCGGGAGCTCTTGTAGGCCGTGCCCAGGCGCTGCTGACCGTGCCGCATATATTCCGGAGAGATCCCTCCCTGATCGCTCAGAACCATCTTGGTTGCTCGCTACACCTCCATCTCAACCAAACGGCTCAGCGCTCAGGCCTCGTATAATCTACTACTCCTTACAACATCCAGCATCTGCGTCCGCTATATCGCCATCATGCCTTCGAACTCAACCGGAAATAACGCACAAGCGAAAGCGGTTATGGCTATGGACGCTCCCCGTCCTATCCGCCCCGTCAACCTCAAACGTATCTCAGTCCACGACATCTCAACCCCGACCTCATCTGCCTCCACCCAGGGTGCATCACCGGTATCACCTACCCTCCGAACCAGCAGGATCCGGCCACAGATGAAGGAGAGGCCGGTGTCTTTGTTGGCTGTTATGCCACCTTCGCCGACGGAGGTCAGGGGTATCCAGGACCTGGGGAACGTGCCTACCGAGTACCGTGATGTCGTTGCCCGGTTTGGCCGGAATGCAGTGAGGGTGTATGCCGAAGGCTGGGTCTGTGTCCGCGTCGTCCGCCTCGCCCACGACACCCGTAAACGCCCCGCACAGTCCTTCGTGGATCACTACGCCGTGCTCACCGGTACCACGCTCGCCCTTTACCCTGCTCATCACTCTGCAGCGACGGGTGAAGCGGAGGTTTCGGCACCGGTGTTCTTGAATCTGACGGATGCGTGTGAGAGTTTGATTCATGATAAAGTGGAGGATAATCATGTCATCGCGCTCACCACCGCTGGACAGAACCTCTACCACATCATCTGTCCTTCGGGAAGTGATGCAGCGATGTGGTTTTCTGCTATCAAGATTGCGGGGTATGAGTGGGCTATGGTACAGGAAGCATACACCTCCATCCTCATGCGGGGCTTCAAGGCTCCAGCACAGAATGTGAAGAATAAAGCGATGTTGCAGGGATGGGCGAGGGTGAGGTTTGTCGGCGAGACAGGGTGGAAGAAGGTTTGGTGTGCACTCCTCCCAGCACTCGCATCCACCTCCAAATCTTGGCGACGCCGTTCCCTCCCCGCCCCCGGTTCCCTGACTCAAACCCACTCCCGTCTCGCACTCTTCAATTCGAAGAAGAGCAAAGAACCTGTTGCGGTTCTGGAGAGTGTATGGGCAAGGCACGCGATTTACCCCTCCACACCCGCCTTAATCAAATCCTCCACCCTCCTCAAAGCACTCGGTAAAGTCACGATCTACGAACCCCGACACCGTGCGGGCGTCGTCGAGGGCGGCTACATCCTTCTTATGCCCGAACCCGCCGACGAACCCTACCACGGCGCAGGCTTCACGATCCGTATGTGGCTCAGTGCCCTCCAACGCGGTTTTGGCGTAGATGTGGGAAGTGGGAGGGATGAGGAGGTTGCGGTGAAAGATCTGGCTCGGGTAGTGGAGGAGAATGGGAGGGGGTGGGGTGATCGGCAGTGGTGGGCGGCTTGTAAGCAGCTTTCGAGGAGTGGAGGGGAGGTTAGGCACGAAGAGATATTGCCGAATGAGAACGGTGGAACGAAGAGGCAGCAAATCCTCGCCGGATACCTCTCGACGCCTACCAAGCAGGGACAAAGCCCGGCATATAGGCGGCCAGTGAGTACAGGTACGAGCCCGCAACAGAGGATGTCGACCCGGTCCTTCAGTACGAGTGAGGAATCGGATCTGGGTGATCTCTTCCAGCATCTCCCACAAGTCCAGAGGAATAGTCCGAAAATCACGACGCCGACCAAAACCCCACAGAGCGTTCAGGGCTCCCTTGTCAGGCATGGACAGGGTCGTGCGAGCGATAGTGGGGATGAGAGCGACGTGGAGGGGAGTCTCTTTGCTCATATTCGGAAACCAGGGGTTCCTGTGTTGGGATCACCCGTTGCCGTGGTGCCGCCGCAGCCCAACAAAGCTCCGCCATCACCGCCGAAGTCGAACGTCAAGGAGGAGGAGGAGAATGTGAAGAGGCCGATGTTGGTTGGGCACGTGGGAAGTTTCAGTGATGAGGAGGACTTCTCGGATGATAACGGGAATCTATTCTCCTCTTCGCCTAAAGCTACTCGGAAGTTCTCCATGGGAGGAACGCTACAACTTCCGGTTCAGCAGCTTCTGCCGATTAAGCTGTCGACTAGCCCGGACTTTGATAAGGATATTAGGAAGGAGTTGGAGGGTGCGGAGGGGTTGGATGCGGTTTTTGCGGCGAGTGAGGGGTTGTTTGGTGATGAGGGCGAAGGTGATGGTCAGGGTGAGAGTGGAGAGGACGTACAGGAGTTGGGAAGGAAGGATACGATTGGGAGTTCATTCTATGGGAGTGATGAACAGGAGGGATATTCCACTACGGCACCACTTGCACCCCTCCCGAAGACAAGGTCGCCGACCCAGGCCAGGTCGCCGCCATTGGCTGCTGCGGTACCGGTGGAGCCTCAGCACACCTTTGAAAGTCCGTTGAGAAAGTTGAGCTTGACGACGAACGACAGTCCGTTGTTGAGGAGGCTGAGTTTGACGGATCAGCCGGAAATATTGTCGAGGAGGGCGAGTCAGGTTGTGTTTAGTCCTATTGAGGAGATGAAGCGGAGTCCAAGCCTCGAGAGTTCTGAGGGTAGTATTGGGGAGAGTATCCATGCGCCGTTGTTCAAGGGTGCTGGGAAGAGCGTCACTGCTGGGAAGTCCTTGGATGCGATGGGTCAGGATCGAGATTCATCTTCAGCGGAGGGGGATGCTCCACTTTCTGACAGCCCTAAGCCTGAGGACAGGAACTCGAATTACGGCTATGTCAGGGACGAATTTGAGGCCTATAGCAAGAGCAAGCAGAGGCTCAGAAGCCCGTACGCGCAAGCTTCTCTGTCCATTTCGGATTCGAATCTGTTCTCTACTTATCAGCCATTGGCGATGGGCGATGCGGGGCATAATCGTCGCGTTTCGGATATCGCGATTAGTGAGACGGAGGAAGTTACGGTTGAACAGCAGGAGAGGGAAGTGGCTCGTCCGCGTGGGAAGAGGCAAGTCAGTTGGGCGCAGCAATTATCTGCCGTGCCGGCGGACCCTACTACCAGCGGTCAGCAGGCGCCTGTTGTTGCCTCCCCTCAGCAGCAGCAACAGGCGCAGCAGCAGTCGCAACGGCGCGAGTCACCGAAGGAGGAAGAAAGCCCTCCGGAGCATGTCTTCGACCGCGGTCTCCTCTCTCAGATGCCGGACCGCCTAACCGCCAAAGAACGGGAAGCGATCGCCCGCGAAACCGGCCAATCGCTCCTTGCCGTCTCGCCCTACCGCAACGGTGCCCGTGAACCCGAAAAGAGGAACCCCATCTCAGAGCACGGTCTCCTTGGCCGCTACGAACGTGACAAGAAGGATGGGCGATACATGCAAGCTATCATCGAAGCCGAACGACAAAAGATGTGGAGAGAACGCGAGGACAGGGAGAGGAAGAAGAGAGAGGAGGAGTGGCAGAGGGAACAGCAGAAGGCGTTGAGGGCTGCATATATGCAGTTGCCGTCCCCGATGTATGCTTCGAATCAGAATCCTTGGGGTGCCGGAGGTGCCGGTGCACATTACGGGTATCAGTCGACGCCGATGACGCCGTTGATGATGGGTAACCCGGGATTCATGACGCCGACGAGTCCGCATGGGAGGCCGTTGAGTGCTGCTGTTGGGACACCGCCTGTGGAGTGGCCTGGAGTGCCGTATGGGATGTGGCCTATGGGGATGCCTGGTATGCCTGGAATGCCGAGTCCAGGTGGGATGCAGCAGGAGGCTCCGGAGGGGTATGTCATGATGCCAATGATGGTTCCCGTACCTATTAGGAGTCCTGCGCCTGGGTCGCCTGGGGCAGGGCCTTCGGATGTTGGGGGTGCGACGGCGTCAGGACAGCAGGGAAGGCAGGCGTCGTCGAGGGCGGGGACGATGCGTTGAGTTCCTGATGCTCGGCGGATATTGTCGAAGATTGAGTGAGGGGACGGAGATGAAGTAATGGTATTTCAATTATGATCAATGTATTACACGTCTTGGACTTTCCCACGAGATGTCCCGCATCGGCAGTTTTAGCCGCGGTCCCCCATCCACGGTTACCCCGCACGGCAATTAACCAGAGGTGCTCCGATTGTACGTGAAGGGAAACATAGCCGTGCTTCTAGCCGATCGCTTGGTATACCCCACATTCCTCGGGCGTACGAATCACGCGGCTCGGTGCTCGATTACCTCAGCAGCCCGCTGCACCAATGCACGCAATTGTTTCACGCCCATACACTTCGATATCACCCAGCTGCTGCAGCCCCGGCTCGGCCCCAAACTCTCATCCGTCGCATGCTCTTGCCAAAAATAAGCTCAATCACGTTTTGCCGGTGATCCTTCCAGAAAGGGCGATACCGAAGAGGCGAAAAGTCATGGTCAATGGTGGGGCAGCATCTCATATCCGATAGGCTTGTTCCCCACCATTTGCTAATGTACTCCGCAGTTCTTGGCTCTTGTTGCTCTCCTGTGATGAAGAGTGGTCTTTATAAAGGGTAGAGCTCTCGCTTCTCATCCTGTCCTCCATCGACTTCTCGTCCTTCAGCTACAGCTCACACCATCACACAAGCTCAAGCACATAAGTAACAACTCACAATGTCCAACGACCACGATCTCCACCGTGTCAACACCGGCCAAGTCGAACTCGGTGCCACCGACGTCCTCGCCGATGCCCCCCATGTCGACGTCGTCCTCCCTCCCGCCGTGTCCCACGGCCGCCTTGCCTACGAGAGGAGGAGGCCCCGCTGGGCCCGCGAAATGTTCGCCGAAGCCACTGGCTGCTACTTCTACGTCTACGGTGGTATCTCCGCCGCAATCTGCTTCAACCTCGATCTCCTCGAAAAGGGAGGCGGAGCATTGGGAAATATCCTGACGATTGGTATTGGATTTGGGTTGGCGATTGCGTTTGGTATTATTGTGTCGGGAGGGACGAGTGGTGGGCATTTGAATCCGGCCTTTACGTTGACGTTTGCGTGTTATCAAGGGTTTCCCTGGAGGAAGGTGCCCTACTATATCCTTGCTCAAATTTTCGGGTGCTTTATGGCGGCGATGACTTGTTATGCGCAGTACCACCAGCAAATCCGCGGTGTTGTCGAGGCGCTTGAAGCTGCTGGTGCGCCTGTCGTTGGTCCCACTGGTCCTAACTCTTGGTTCTGTGCGTACCCGGGTGCTACGCAGACTAACTTGGGCTACGTCTTCCTCAACGAGTTCTTCTGCGATTCTTACATCGCACTCTTGGTCTGGGCAGTCCTCGACCCGGCAAACCCCTTCATCGCACCAACCACCGCTCCCTTCTGCATTGGTCTCGTCTACTCCGTCATCGTTTGGGGTTTCGCTCTCGACACCATCTCCACGAACCCAGCTCGTGACCTTGGCGCCCGTATCGTTACCGCGATCTTCTTTGGGAGTGGAACTTTCCCGCATTACTCCGCCATCTCCATCCTCGTCCCAATCCCGGCTACGTTGTTCGGCTGTGGAATCTACGAGTTTGTGTTCAAGGACCACATGAACATCATCAAGACTGGGCATATGAGTCATCCCGATGAGGAGTTGAGGAGGATTGAGACCGCTGAGTTGAAGAGGCAGCAGACGAATCAGACGGCGAATATTTCGCATTTGGAGGATGTTAGGGTTGATAATGGCAAGTACGCATAAGGTCGTACTATGCCAGATTCTTTGGGAGAGTAAGGTATTGGTTCTGTGTTTTTGGATATCCTTGTGGTTTGCTTGGTTTGTTTTTGTGATATCGTATATTTCTACCAGTATAGCCTTGCTTTCACATCGCATGCTAAGAATGGAAAATCTGTCTTTGCTATCACTTCGCCATCAACATTCCCAGATTGCAATTGGTACCGTACTTCACCTTCCCCCAAGGCTTTGTTCGATCCTGCTGTAGAGGCACGCGCATCTCCTCGGTCGCGCATTTTCGCACGCCTACCCACCGCAAAGTCCTCAACAAAGCTCCCCCAGAAACTCAAGACATGGAAGGAAGACAATCTTGAATGGGCGAATGTGATCCAATGTAACTCCCATTGGCAAGAACAGCTCTCGGAAGTTTTACTTGACCGTGCAGATTGTCAAGCAGTACCCCTGATTAAGACCCCGACCCGAAGTCACCGAGAGTCGTCATTACACGTGTACCGAACAACCCGCTCTCTCGCACCTCAAGCGCTTCATTCAAAAGTTATCCTCCTGCCCAACAGACCTTGAACATCACACAATGGACCACGGAGGAATGGACCATGGTGGCATGGACCACGGCTCCGGCTCGCAATGCATAACCAACATGCTCTTTAACTGGGACACGACAAACCTCTGTATCGTTTTTCCATCCTGGCGAATCACCGACAACACGTCTCTCGTTCTTTCGTTTGTGGCTGTGGTGTTTATGGGAATGAGTTATGAGTGGTTGAGGAGGGTTGCGAGGAGTTATGATGCTTATTGTGCAAAATTGGTGGGTGAGGGGGATGGGAGAAAGAGGAGGGATAGTGTTCCGAAGCCGGCGAGTGGGAGTGTGGGACATGAGGGCAGTGTTGGGGTCGAGGAGGAGGAGAGTGTGTTTGGTGGTGTGGCATGGAGGAAGGGCGGAAGGTGAGTTCATCGATGCAGGGCGTTGGCCGTGACTAACGAATTCTCCCACAGGGTCAACTCGCAACGACACATGATCCGTGCGTTGCTCTATGCTATGCAGGTTTCCGTGAGCTTTTTCCTTATGCTCGTCTTCATGGTACGAGTCAACGTCCCTCCACTCACTACGGTTGCTAACGCATATGTCAGACGTACAACGCATACTTCATTCTTGCCGTGACTTTGGGAGCTTTCCTCGGTTTCTATATCTTTCAACAAGACACGGGTATCTCGAGTCAACGGGGAATGGCGTGTCATTAAGAGCTCGAACAGAGACTGCCTATCACTTACGAGAGGGCTGGAATGCTGGCTACAGGAGCTGATATCGAATACGCACACTCTCCAGAGGTTTCTTTCCCTTTTCCAGGCCTTACCAACCCAGTAACCCTCATAACCTCCATATTTTCTTCGCGTGCCCCCGATAAGCCCTTACTGTATATATCGCCGCCAGGCACCAGCTTGCACCACTCCAGTGATCTGTCCGCAGTCCACAATGGCATCACCAACAGAACGACAGCTCCACATCGAGCCAGCAGTCCTCGAGAATGTCCAACACAACGCAGCGGTATGTTCGGTCGTCGGCACTGAGTATTCGACGCTGACAGGCGAACAGACACTCTCCTACGTCCGGAACTTGACGTCATCCGTTTTCGGCGCATGTCTGTCTCCTCTCCCCGTCTCCTCCATCCCCCATCATATCTGACTTTACCTACAGGCGCAGGAATCCTCGGCCTAACATCCCTCTACGGTTTCCTCTTCTACGCCATCTGCACCACCCTCGTCAGCGGACTCATGTACATCACCCTAGCCCGCGGAACACCAGCAAGATACTACAAAAACAAGATGGATATATTCACGAATGATCTATTCGGACCGCTGCCGAGTTTTATCTTGTGTTGGACGCTGGCGTATGCGTTGCTTTCAGGTAGTGCCAATTGAAACGCATTCTGACACTGACAGTCTCTGACAATTGCATTACAGTATACGATTGAGGTTGAAGAGGGTGATAATAATAAGGTTGGGAGTCATGGATAGATACCCCGGATGCATTTCACAAAAAGACTATAACTAAGATGCTCCAAAAACACGAACGAAAATGCAGATACCAATTCTCTCTCTTGTAACAATCCCCTCAAATCTATGCCACCGTTGAGAACACACGCTTCTTCGTCTGCTTATTTTGCTCCTCAACCATCTTCTCCTCATCCAAAAAGTCCTTCGTATTATAACTCTCCCACTCCCTCTTGATATACCTCAACGCAGCCAAATTGTATCCCATAACGTCTTTTTGCTTCTGCAATGCTTTTCTGAGATGAGAACGAACGGAGTCGAGCATGGGGCGGTTGATACGGTTTGCGACGATCTGAGATTGGTGGGTTTTGAGGAGGAAGAAGAGGATGCGGCAGATGAGGGGGATGTTCCACTCGCGGGCTGCCCAGATGTCGATGAAGGTCAACAACGCGATGACCTTGTCGAAAGGAAGCACCAACAATGCATCCTGGAGATGTGCTGGCTTGACCTTCTGAACGACGTCCAAGACGTATCGCTCAGCGGTGATATTGCCCAGAGCAACGAAGATTGCGTTTCGTGGCGGTGGGGCGAGGTTGGGGTTCGCGGCCTTAGCCTTCTCCCATGCTTTGACGATAGGGATATCCTCCATACCCAAATCCAACGCCTCCATGATTCTCTCACCAGCCATCAAGGTCTCCATTGTCTGCTTACCAGCACTGATGGCCTCCGCATCCGCATCCTCGGGGTTCTGTCCCTCCTGATCCAAGGAAGCGACGAGGGTTTGCTCGTACAACTCCTCCATCTCCTTCTCACGCTGTTCCTCCAAGAAGACTTGGTCATCAGTCTGCTCCCACACACGAATCGAACGGTCATGAGATCCAGACACGATAAAGTCTCCCCTCGACGAAACGGCCAAAGCCCAAATCTCACCATGGTGTCCCTCCAACTTCATGATGTTCTCAAACTTATCACCGTCCCAGTACTTGACCAACTTGTCCTTCGAACAGGTAAAGAAATTGTGTCCCTCTTTCTCGAAGACGACTTGCATGATACTGTCCTGGTGCGCAAAGATGGATTTGTGACAATCACCGAAGTCGAGACCCCAGAGCTTTACGTTCTTGTCTGCGGAACAGGTGACGAGGAGCTTGCTGTCGGATGCAATATCCATCGAGAGAACAGGCAACTTGTGTCCGTAAAGAGACAAGTAGAACTTGAGCGTATCGACGAAGAAGACCTTGACGGTAGCATCCAACAACGAAACCGCAATAAGCTTAGCATCAGGAGAGATACGCACGCAAAGAACGTCGTCAGCAAGCTTCAACGTCCTCGTATGCGTCAACTTCAACTTCGAAATCATCCTCTTCGTTCCCGGAACAATCTCCTGCTCAACCCCAATATCCCAAAACTTAACCTGCTTGTCCGCAGACCCCGTGATTAAGCTTTTCCCGTCGGGGTGAACCTGAAGTGACCACACCGGACCATCGTGTGCCTTCTCAGACTCGATGAGTGCGGAAGATGGGACGTCAAAGAGCTCGAGTTCGCCGGTTTTCGTACCGATGACGACGGCTTTGTCGCCGGGGAGGAAGGAGACGCAGAGGGCGTAGCCGCATTCGAAGGTACGGATGCATGCGCCGGTCTTGATGTTCCAGATCTTGAGCGAGCCGTTGGATGCAGAGGCTGACATCTCGTCATCTGAGCTCATTGCCAAAGCACGGATATCCGAGCGGTGACCCTGTAGTTCGATAGAGTGAAGACGCTCATACTCTGGCGGTCCAGCAGATTTCTTCGCCGATTTCTGTACGGCAACGGTATACAGCTCCAACACGTTATTCGTCAACGATGTCAAGAACTGTATTGACCCAGCCTTCTTCGGGTCTTCCGCATGCATTCCCCAATCGAACGACCGAGCCTTCACAGGTGTCCGTACAGTAACATACTGCGCAATCTCATCATCCAGATCGACCTGGACCTCCTCCTCATTATACTCCTCCCCAGCCTCCACAGCCTTTTCCTTTCTCCGCTTACGCTTACGGGTAAGCTTCTTCTTGATCTCCTCCTCGCTCCTTAAACGCCAAATCTCAATTCCCCTGTCCGCACCCTGACAAGCCAAGAACTCTCCTCGTGGGTGGAATGATAGTGATATAGGTCTCTCCTTGCTCTGCCTCATCAAAATTCCTCGCTGCGTGATGCGTTTTACTTCTTCGGCGTTGTCGCTGGTGATTGCGAGTGCGCTCGTATTGATATCCCAGAACTTGATTTCTGCATCGGGTCCAGACGTGACGCAGGTTTTTTCGTCGTCGGAGATGTTCATGGCCCAGACTTCGCCGCGGTGGGCGACGTGGGTTTCGACGCAGTGCTTGGTTGACAGGTCCCAGAGCTTGAGGAAGGTGTCTTTTGAGGATGTGAGAAGCCATCCGGCATCGGTCGTTGGATCGGTAAAACCGACGTTTTCTCCGGCGAGGGGGGTGCGAAGGAAACGAATAGAGGTGATTTGGTCTTTGTGGCCACGAAGACGGGAGATACCGACTTCGGCGACGACGTCCCAGACGATGATGTCGGTATCCTTCGATCCGGAGGCGAGTCGGGTACCGCTGACGTCGAAACAGAGTGCCGAAACAGATGATCTGTGACCATTGAAAGTAACCACAAGATTCGACGACGACAACTCCCAGATCCTGATCGATCCATCCGAATATCCCACAGCGTACATATCACCATTCGCCAAACTCCGCGCAATGACCGTAACCTCCGCCGTACAATCCAGATCCCTTAATCTACTCCTCTGCTCCCCCTTCTTCACATCCCACACAATGACCTCCTCGAGTGCCGGCGCCACTGCATAGCCTGCTCCAATTCGACCGGTGTCGTTGGCGTAGATCACGTTTGCTCCTGCACTGGCGACGAGGCCGAGGACGCCGACAAGTCCTGGCTCGTATTTTGCATAAGACTTTACCATTGTCGAGGAAGATTTGAGCGCTTCCTTCCTCGGTATGCACGTCTACGAACGGCAATCGGTATCCCAAAAAATGGTGCGCCTCAGGACCGTGCGCAGAACCGCAGCACTCGCCACGACTTAATGAAGGGCGTGGGAAGTCCAGCGTTTACCTGTTGAATATGAATTGCAAGAGGTCTATGATTGTGAAGATGAAGTATAACCGCCTGTATTTATGATATATATGCGTTTGCAACTGCCCAATTAGTCGAGTGTAAAATGTATCAACTCCGGCTGACCATGAATAACCTAACTCTTGCAAACGGTTGTTGAAAATCTAACTCAGCAGCTGACAGTCGCGACCTCCTTCTTCCCCAAATGAAGTCACAGTAAATGGGCATTGTTCTTCTCATTCCAATGGGCGTAGAATTGAAGGGTCGTTTTCGCGCCGCAATATCAACGGTCATGGCGGTCGACGTCGTCACATGTACACACACCATTGACGACCAGCTGCAAAACGTTACATCGACCACCAATACTAATAACCCTTTCAAAACGTCTTCGGAGAGCATGATGAACCTGGGAGGTTTTAAAAGATGTCTCGCCGCAGGCTGAGTGTTCCGCCCGAACTAGACACAAAACGCCCGAAGTGAGGCTCGAACTCACGACCCTCAGATTCCTAATTGCTTAAAAGTCTGATGCTCTAGCCAACTGAGCTACCCGGGCTCGGCTAGATACAATGTGGCAAAGGACGAATATGGTCTCAATGACGCACAAGCTCGCTATAGACACGACAAATCACGAGAGTACGGAGGAGATGAACACAAGATTGATGAAGCGGAATAGCATATTATTGTATACGGCAGTGTCTGCCGTTGCCTCCCTGGGAAACCATCCAATGGCCCCATTTTGTCTACTTCTAAAGTAGCATATGAATGATAAAGCAAAACGAACACAAGAAAACCAAAAACACCAAAGAGAAATCTAAGCAATGAACCCCGCGAATAGATCAAACACATCTCACAGCCCACTTCCTACCCCTGAACCAAACAACAACTTAGAGGTCGGTCTTGGTACCGTTGGGAGCCAATTGGGGGTTCTCAGAGTATCCAAGACCAGACTTCTCGTCCTTGGTGGGGTGGATGGCAAGGTGCTCATCCTCCTCCTCGGCCAAGAAGCGCTCACAGTCCATAGCAGCCATACAACCACTGCCAGCAGAGGTAATAGCCTGACGGTACTTCTTATCCTGAACATCACCAGCAGCGAAAACACCCTTAACAGACGTCTCAGCCGATCCAGGACGAGTGACGATGTAACCCTCAGAGTCGAGGTCGAGCTGACCACGGACGAGGGAAACAGCGGGCTCGTGACCGATGGCGTAGAAGAGACCGTTGGCCGCGAGGTCACGGGTCTCCCCAGTCTTGTTGTCCTTGATGGAGAGGGATTGGAGGAGAGATCCGTCACCCTTGCATTCGAGGGGGGAGGTGTTGAACATGACCTCGACCTTGGGGTGGTTCAAGAGACGGGTAGCCATGGCCTTGGAAGCACGGAGAACGTCACGGCGGACGAGAACGGTGACCTTGGAACCATACTTGGTGAGGTAAAGCGCCTCCTCGGCGGCGGAGTCACCACCACCGATGACGATGAGGGGCTTGTTGCGGAAAATGGGGACGGCACCATCGCAGACGGCACAAGCGGAGATACCGGATTGCCAGTAAGTCTCCTCTCCAGGGAGGTTCATCCTCTTCGCGGACGCACCAGTCGCGATAACGATAGCGTCGGCGGTGTGAGGCTCACCCTCCTCCTCACCCTCGAGCCAGAACTTGAACGGACGGTTAGAGAGGTCGAGCTTGGTGACAGTCTCGGTGATGATCTCGGCACCGCAGTGGAGGGATTGCTCGCGCATGTTGTCCATGAGTTCAGCGCCGAGGATACCCTTGGGGAAACCGGGGAAGTTCTCGATGTCGGTGGTGGTGGTGAGCTGGCCTCCGGCGGCGAAACCGTTGGCGAGCATACCTTCGTACATGACGGGCTTCATCTCAGCACGGGCGAGGTAGATAGCGGCAGTGTGTCCGGCGGGACCGGAACCGATGATGACAGCCTTGGAGTGAGTCATTCTGAATTGTCTATTGAAGGTAGCTGGGGTGATGGTGGTTGTGGTAATAGGTGATTGAGAGTCGACGACTAACGACGCAGGCGCAAAGGCGAGAAGAAGATTCGATTTGTTCTTGAAAAACCTCGAAGAAAATGCAGCAGAGAGATTTACTCGTGTGCGGATAGTGAACATTCACTTGTGGTACAGGGTTGTTCGATCCTTATGTAGCAGCCCCTCGGGACTTGGTCGATTTTAGCAGATTTGTAACGTCAGGAGTGTCTGGGCCCCGGGCAGCGCTGCAGCAGGCGTGGCCACAGCAGCGAAATCTCGTAAGCTCAGCACTAGGCGGGAGAATCCGATAGAAACGGCGATTCGAGTTGCTGACAGTTCCGGATCCGCCGAGACCAGAGAAGTCTGGGGAGCTGTCACCGGTTAATGTTGTCAGATGGACGGGTTGGGGATTTGTAAGGTCATGGCGGACTGGCCCTGGATTACGGTACCGGTACATGAATATGACAAGGACATGAGTCTACACGAGCCCTTAACGCTTAGGGAAAATGTTGACATTGACGATCTCACTTATCAGATCAACGTGAGCTGCATGAAGGGACCACGAAGGTGTGGCAAACTGAGATCTCAAACGACGTAGCAGAACGCCCTCCCAAACCACCGTGAAACTCCTCGTCCTTCCAACCTACAAGAGGCCCGGAGCGACCTTCTTCCGAACGAGAAAAGGTCCTGTCAGGCGTAAACCACCGAATCCTTCGTGTAGAGAAGGCCCAAGCGGACGACCCGTGTGTGGCTCAGCACCGGAAAAGGAGGCTGGTGATTGGCGAGTGCAGCCCCTGCATGACTTGGCATGTGAGTGACCCAATTCGGCAATTCCGTACAACAAAGGCTGACGAGGACTGAACACCAAGACCAAGTCCATAACCAATTGCAATTGATCAGGACGACAATGAGGTCGCTAACGTTACTGGCATGCGTGTTGCCGTTGTTGAGTTATACCACCGCCTTCAGGTATGACGCAAGCAACACGCCGTTATGGAAGAGGGATTATGAGGGGAGGGAATACTATGCGTTGCAGTTGTCGGAGGGGATGAGGCCCGAGACAGTCGAGAGTGAGTATGATCTGAGGTTTGAGGGGCCGATAGGTGCGTTGGAAGATCATTATTTGTTCTCGACCTCGGAGTATGAGCCGATTGAGCGACGGGATGAGCTGCATACATTGCGGAAGCGAAGGCTGGAGAAGCGAAGTACGGTGGAGCACGATATCCTCTGGATGGAACGGCAAAAACCTGGATCAAAACGCTTAGTGAAGCGAAGTCTGCCCGTTGAGGAAAGACAAACATTCGATTTGACAGGCTCTCCCAAAGAACGCTTCGAAATCGTCAAACACGCCCTCGGCATCCAAGACCCAATCTTTAAAGACCAATGGCATATTCTCAATACCGTACAAGAGGGGCATGACTTGAATGTAACCGGGGTATGGGCTCAAGGTTCGCGGTTTTCCAATGAGTTGAGCGTCTGTGACTAATATCCGCGAACAGGAATTACCGGGCATAACGTCACCACAGCCATCGTCGACGACGGACTTGACTTCACCTCCCTCGACCTTGCAGACAGCTACTACGCAGCCGGTTCATACGATTTCAACGCTCACTCCCCCGACCCCCTCCCAAAACTCTCAGACGACCAACACGGAACCCGCTGCGCCGGCGAAATCGCAGCCACGAAAAACGATGTATGTGGTGTGGGCCTCGCATTCGACTCCAAAGTCGCCGGGTTACGGATTTTGAGTGCGGTTATTTCGGACGCAGACGAAGCGATTGCGATGAACTACGACTACCAATATAACGACATTTACTCTTGCTCATGGGGGCCGCCTGATGACGGCCAAGCCATGGACGCGCCCGGAATCCTCATCAAACGCGCAATGGTCAACGGCGTTAACCGTGGCCGTAACGGACTTGGTTCAATCTACGTCTTCGCAACGGGGAATGGCGCAGCGAATGGGGATAACTGCAATTTCGACGGCTACACGAATTCGATTTACTCGATTACTGTTGGCGCTATCGATCGGAAGGGTCTTCACCCATACTACTCGGAAGAATGCTCTGCGCAACTCGTTGTGACGTACTCCTCCGGTTCGGGGGATTACATTCATACAACCGACATCGGCACGAACAAATGCACGAACCACCACGGCGGGACATCCGCTGCAGCGCCCCTTGGTGCGGGGGTGATTGCGCTCGTGTTGAGTGTAAGGCCGGATTTGGGGTGGAGGGATGTGCAGTATTTGGTTGTGGAGACAGCGGTACCGGTTAACGTTGATGATGAAGATTGGGAGGTTACGGGGGCGGGGTATTGGTATAACCACAAATATGGCTACGGGAAGTTGGATGCGTGGGCGATTGTTGAGCGTGCGAAGGAGTGGGAGGTGGTTAAACCTCAGGCGTGGCATAATATCTCTTATGTCGAGGTTAATGAGCCTATCCCGAATAACCAGGGTGCGCAGGGAGAGGCGGTGAGGAGTGTTGTCACGATCACTAAGGATGATTTAAAGAAGAGTAATTTGGAGAGGGTGGAGCATATCACTGTCACCGTCAACATCGACCACCAGCGCCGTGGGGATATCAGTGTCGATCTCGTGGGTCCGAGGGGACATGTCTCCAAACTGGCCGTGGCGAGGCGGAATGATAATAGTGCGGAGGGCATCAGGGATTGGACGTTCATGACTGTGAAGCATTGGGGCGAGTCGGGCGTGGGTGATTGGACCCTCATCGTCCGCGATGAGAAAAACTCACAATACTCAGGCAAGCTCTTGAATTGGCGCATGACACTCTGGGGTGAATCCGTTGACCCCGCCCTCGCTGTTCCGCACCCGCTTCCTGGGACTGACGATGACCATCCGTTGCCGCCGGATCCGGTGTTGCCGAGTACGACGGCGAGCGCGACGTACAGTCAGAGTGCGCACCCGAGACCGGTGATTAGTATTACGAAGGCGGAGAGTGGGCATGCGGCGAGTGTGCATAGTGCGCAGGTGAGTACCGTGCCGCATCCGAAGGTGAAGCCGACCACGACGGCTACTGCCACTACCACTACCACTACCGGTGTGGCGGCCACGGCTACGCCGGTGCAGGAGGATGAGAAGGTTAGTGACGAAACTACATCCGCCACGGAGACCGCGACCACTGGCAAGACATACGAAATCATGGGCAACGAATACGGACTCATCGTCATCGTCGTCGTCTTCGTCAGCGTGGGTACAGCCCTCCTCGGTGCCGCCATCGCAGCCGTATACTTCTTCATCCGCCGTCAACGACTTCGTGCCGCACAACGCGAGGACTACGAGTTTAAGGTATTGCGAAACACGGGGGACGCGGATGTGGATGAGACGCCCGCGGAGGTGAAGAGGGGTGGGGTTGAGGGGGTGTTGTATGATGCGTTTGATGCGAGGGATAGTGATGAGGAGATTTTTGATGCGTTGGGGGAGGTTAGTGATGATGACGAGGAAGATGAGGAGAGACGGAGGTTGAATAGGACTTGAGGAGGAGGAGGGTCATGGATGGGGCGATTTCTTGGGAATGGATACCTATGATAAGCAATTGGAATATAGCTCTATATAAGACGTGAAATGGTATGGGATATAGCATCAAGACTATCGAGTTCTTCCCGGTTGTGAATGTGAACTTACCGAAGTACGTATATAGAATTTCCCAATTAGGGTTAGACCAATACAAATTAAAGTCGACGACGACAGAGCAGCTGCTGCCATCACAGACCCCCACATTCAAGAAATTATAAGAAAGACATGTCGCCGACAGCTCCGTTCATGGTTGCCATTGCTGGTATGCTCCTGTCTTGTCCGTCATCTCAACTTCGCTAACCAACACACTCAAAGGCGGGCCAGCAGCAGGAAAGGTGCATGCAGAGAGTAGTGTGACTGTCCTCGACTGATGCTTACATCTGCTGTACAGAAAACCATCTGCAAAGCAATCGCATCAAGCCTGCAGACGCTACATAACCCACCCAACGTTCTCCACCTCGCCTTATCCGATTTCCACTACGAACTCGGGAAGGATGCGCAAGCCGAAGATACAGAAGGAGGAGTACAGGAGATCAATTGGCACGCACCAGGTATGATATCTCTTTCCCACGTTTTCAATTTTGGGTGAAGACTAATGGAGAATCATACAGGCGCCTACGACTTCGACCTCCTCACCACAACCCTCACATCCCTCACATCCCTAGCATCCTCCGACCCAGACCTCAAAATTCCAACCTTTGACCGCAGCACGCATACAAGAAAATTCATTACGCCCATAACCTGTTCAGGTCGGGAAACGACGCAGATTGATGTTGTACTAGTTGAGGGGGAGTATACGCTGTGGTCGAAGATGGTGAGGGAGGAGTTGGTTAGTTTGAGGGTTTTCGCGGATTTGGATGCGGATGAGAGGTTGTCGAGACTCGGTATGCCTCAGAACTTTCCTCGGCACTATTGTTCAATGTGTTCAGTGGCAGCTAATCATATACATGTTGCAGTGCTCAGAGATACGGAAGAGAAAGGCTACCCACTAGCCGCCATCCTCGACGACGTACGTACCACACCCTGCTCCCACTCTCCTCCCCCTACCTGCACATCAACTAATATCTCTATGTAACAGTACGTCAAATTCGCCAAACCCTCCTTCGACGAATTTATCCTCCCCACAAAACAATTCGCAGACATCATCCTCCCCCGTGGCGACCTCAATACCCAAGGTATCGAGCTAATCGGGTTACACATCACCGAGGCACTACGCGCACGACAAAATAAGGATGTCGTGGTAGTAGAGAAGAAGAAGGGTCCTAGGATGAGTGCGATGGCTGTTGTTAGTGGGACGGAGACACCGGGTGGGTCTTGGAGAGAGATTCCGAGGGAGGGTGGGAGTTTCTATGAGATTGGTGGGTAGACGTGATGGATTGGATAGAACGATGGTATCTTTATCAGAAAGTTTCCCTAAACACCAAAAACCCCTTGAAGCAATGTACCGTAGGCGCTGCGTTCAGTCAGCCTCTGCAGCTTGTCCGTTTTGACTGTTAAGCAGTGGCTGTAGTCTTTCCCATTGCTCAATTGTCTGTATGCCAAATGTCAGCTCACTCTCAAGGATACGACCCAAATTTCAGCATACCTTCTGATAAAACCTCACGTTCGCCACCGCATACTCCCTCAACGTACTCCTCATCTCCCTCGCCTTAATCTCCTCAAATATCTCCGCCTCCTTAATAACCTCCTCATCAAACGCCTCCGTCGTCAACCTCGCCGTTTCAGTCTCATTCTTTAGCTCCTCAATCCTGAACTCAAGTTTCTTCAACCGATCCTTCCGAGACTGCTCGTGATCCACACCGCGTAGGTCTTCAACTTTGCCGCGGATGAATGAGGTGTGGTGGGATGATGCTAGTTGGTCGCGTTCTATGGTTGTCTTTTGGAGGAATTCCATGAGGCCTTCGTAGTCCATTTGTTTTTGGTCTCGTTGTTTGAGGAGGGATTTGACGGAGGTTAGGTAGGCTGACATGTCTTGTAGGGAGGTGAGGTAGTGTGCATCGGTGATTTCGTAGAGGTCGCGGATGGCGGTGGAGGTGTGTGTCAGTGCGTCAGAGAATGCAGTAATCTCTTTTTGTAAAGCGGGCTCCAGGGCGTTAAGTTTCTGGATTTGATTCGCCATGTCGGAAAAGTCGGATTGGAGGTCTGTAACTTCGTCAGTACAAATCATTTGAGGTCTTCCTAAAGAAGTTACCCGCTGTCCGCCTAGCAACCCTAGCAATTAACTTCTCAATGTGTCCCAAATCCTCATCCAACTTCTCCGCCTTCTCCTTTACATCAATAAATTTCTTGTCCGGCTTGTTGATCTTGGTGAATGCATTCAACAATGCATCTCCGAAACCTTCAAAGACACCACTGCCGCTGTCAGAGCCGTTGGTTGCACGCGCAGTTACGTTCTTCTTGGTGTATGCGTGCCAATCCTGGGACTCAAGGAAGGTGTGCAACGCAGGAGTACGGCGGAGGATTGGATGGAGTGTGAGGCGGGTCAGGAAGGTATTCAAGGAGTTAGCACGACGAAGGGTGAATGCCTGTGCGAAGCGGTCCCCCTTAATGTACTCCATATTATGCTTCTGCGGTAGTGGTGGTATCGCACACGCAGGATAATCCCGTACGAGGACATTGTGCAGAAACACAAAGTCAGTAAAGCGTCTTCGTACACTCAGATCCTGCTTCTGGAATGCCGAGAATGTCGTATGCGTGGTGACGAGATAGGACACGAATGCGTCCTTATGTCCCTCCAGTTCCTTCTGCGGTGAGTCCACTTTGCACTCCAGGACGTTCCTCCCAGTGTATGCTTCCCGCACTTCCTCCTCCCCAGCGGCAGCCCTCGGTTCAGTGGGATTTTGGTCAGGTTCGCTAATCTGAACATCATGCCGTTCAGTCGGAGTAGGGGGCATTGTATCCCATTGAACTGAATCGAAATCTGCCATTGGTGGTGGATGAATGCTGTTGGTAATTGAGGGTGGTGATTGTTCGGGTCCGTTGGCTGGGTTGGCTACGTACTGTACCGGTATGGACTCCGCCCGCCACGCAGGGGTCACCGCGGCGAGAAGCTCGAGCACCGCGGGAACAACTGGAGAGGAGGAATGTGTATGTATGCCCAGGCTCATGTAGAGTTCCAAAGGTTTGGGCAAGTAGCTATAAATATCATCCAATGACCTGTACCCAATCTAAGAAGTCAATTAGTTCTTGTTCTTCATCCTCCTCTTCATCCTCTCCTGCTCCTTCTTCTCCGCCTGCTCAACCTGCAAACTTCCATGCACCTTCCGCATCTTCACCTCATACGCCTGATCCTTCGCCTTCTGCGTCTTAATCTGTTCACGCGCCAAGAAAGCGTTGTCCTTGCGCAACTCACGAATCGCACCCTTCTTCTCACGACGGTGTTCAGCCTGCAACTTGCCAAGCTGGGCACGCTCGCGGTCGGGGTCGTAGGATTTCTTGTCGAGGGAGTAGTGCTCTTCGAATTTGGGCAAGTAGGTGGCGATGGCGACGGGGCGGTGAGCTTGCATAGCGAGAGGCTTCCGCTCTTGGCGAGCAAACTTGCACAGCTTGGCAATCGTATCCCGCTCGCGTTGGATTTTGTTCACCAGCTCCGCCGGCAAGAGCTTCGCGTTCTTCGGGGCGAGGTAGTGATCCAACATCGCAACACACGGATCAAAGATCTCCACAAACGCAGGCGCACCCTTCCACAGATCCGCGAACTGTGTAATAACATCAACAGCAACGCCGACCAAGCTCGCCTTCATCGCACCCTCATCCTCGACCCGCGCAACAAACGCATCCTCGAACTTCATCTTCCTCAACTCTTGACTCTTCTGCTTAATCGCCAAGAAACTAACATCACCAGTAACAGGGAACGTCCCCGGAACAGGCTCGACTGCGGTGGGAGCGAGCTGTGCCAGTGCCAAACACGCGAAATTCAGCGCCTCCGGAACGATTCTCTTAGATAATCTCTGGTACTGCACAAAAAGCGTCGCAACGAACAACCCGGTCGCCAAATTCTGTACCGTCGTCGTCTTAGTCTGCGCCAAGAACTGTCCCATCAGCAATGCTGCCGGAGTCACAATCATATGGTGATGATCAGACGTCGGGAACACCGTTCCCAAAATCGTAAAGAGAACCAAATCCGAACGTCTTGGGAACACCTTCGCAGCAAGAGCCGGCTCAAGACCGGAGGACTTCACGAACCTCTCCCTCATCTCCTTCAATTGATCTCTAAACGCCTCCGTCATAGCCTCCGGGAACTGATTACCAAGTCCATGCAAATGCTTCGCCATCCCCTCGACAATAGCCCACCTAACAACGTCCTCCTTCGCCAAATCAAGCGTGTAATCCAACAAAATCGGAACGAAAGCGAGGAGCTTAGCTTTGTTTTCGGGGTGGAGCTTAGGGTGGTGAAGGACGCGGATACGGTGAACCACAACGGGAATGTCGGTATCAGAGACGGTGGAGAGGATAGCGGCGAGTTCGTCGTAGGTACGAGGGCAGGGGTAGGTATATGCCAAACCAGCTGGCTTTTCCTCTGTGAACTTCTTAAGCTTGGGTTTTGGTGTCGATGCTTCTTCGACGACGGCGGATGAGGAGCCCTTCTTGATAACGGGTTCTTCGTCGAGCTCGAGGTCTTCCATGTCGGACTCGCTGCCGGACTCGTATTCCGCCTGGTCGTCGTCATCCTCGTCCTCACTGCCCTCCATCTCCTCATCGTCGTCATCCTCCTCTTCATCGTCATCCTCCCCATCCTCATACCTCTCCAACAACTCCTGCGCAGCCTCGATTCCCCTTCCAAGCCCAAACTTATTGCCCTCCTCTTCCTCATCATCCGGCACGAAATCATCCTCCAAATCATCCGCCTGTGCTCTCCTGTTCCTCTTGTTCCCTCCCTCGTCCTCATCGCTCTCCTCACCTCTCATACGCCTCAACCGTGAGGCTTCGAGTTTCTGGAGTTTCTCAGCTTCCTCCTCGGCAAGCTCGTCTTCGGTCTTCGTACGGTCCGAGGGGCGTGCACGGCGGTCGTAGACCATCTCGCGAACAGCGGCGTCATACGCTACATCCTCCGCCGTCTTCACGACCTTCTCTCCCCTCAACATAGCCTGACGCTCTGGGTTAATCCCAGTTCCCTCCGTGCCAGCCAACAACATCCGAATATCATCCAACTCGGCATCCAAAGCCTCACGTTCGGCGTCGTCTTCGTCTTGTTGCTTTTGACGTTCGAATTTGTAGAGTTTGGATTTGGCGATGACTTCTTGCATGACTTCGCGCTTTGACTTCTTGCGTTCGGGTTGGTCGGGGTCTTCTTCGTCGTCGTCCGAGAAACCGCCGAATTGGGCGTGCATGGGTCCTTCGTCCTCATCCTCGCTCATACCCATCGGTGGGCCGTTAAGGTCATCCATATCCGCGAGGGATTGTCCAAAATGCGTAAGCGAGTCTTCATCCTCGAGGTTGAACATAGATCCCTTGGTCTTCTTCTGCTTCTCCCGAGTGAAACGCTCCAACATCTTCTCCTCCGGTGTCAAATTCGCGTTGTTCTCACCGAAACGTTTATCGACCAACCCTCCAACCTTGTTCCTTCTCAGTAATTGTGGCAACAATTCTTTCTTTCTGTTTTCCTCTCCGACAGCCTTGGACAACCCCGGACGACCCTCCTGACCCTTCTGCTTCCGACCACCGATGTCATACTTGACTTTGTTGGTTTTGATCTCATATGGCTGGAATCGCTCGCGGATCCTGTTCAGGGCCTTTTCCCTATCCTCCTTGTTCTGCGCCGGTCCCTTCTTCTTCTGCTTCTTGCCGACGGAAGGGCCGGTGATTCCAGCGCTCGACAGCGACGACTTGAGTCGTGCGAGAGTCGACTTTTGAGACTGAGCCTTTCCCATTGTCTGATCTCTTCGAATAGAATGAGAAATCGACTGGTTGCCTCCTCGTAGGTCTTCCTCGAAATAAAATCCATGCGCCAGCAGTAGATGTGGCAGTGCAGGCGTGTAATACTGTACGGGACGCCCGGTGCACCCTTGAACCTCCTCGACGATGGCAGCAGCTGAAGTTCGCTGTCGACCTTGCGAACATGACATTCATCAGGCAAATTCAATTACAATTGGACAAGCTGCCTCGGCCATTGATCCCTTTCTTTGCCGGCTTGACAGCGACGTTGGGAATTTACGCGGCTGGCAAAATCACATGGTGGCAGTTATCGCAATGGAAGGCAATGACGCAGAAGACAACTGCTCTGAAGGGTATAATTAGGGCAGGCGATGAGAACAGTATGCTATCTGAAACCAACTTATCGTACGTGCGCTCACAGCAAGTACGCAGAGATCAAGCTCGAGGACCTTGAAGTACTGATCAATGACGGCGTGAATTCCAATCTGCAATTAGCGTAAACCTACCACTTTGTTACCCCTATACATGTCATTGACTTCTTTATTCCTTAGTGCAACAAAGCTCGTGGTCGAACGCATACTCTCCCCGGACAACCTCCCCTCCCTCCTCCACGCTTGCATCTCCTCCAATGCCCCAACCCGCGTCCGCGCCCTCCGCGTCCTCCAATATCTGACCTCCTCCCGACCTACCACAATTCGCCTCTGTACCCCCGCCGTCTTCCTCACCCTCACCACCGCGCTCCTCAACGTCCTAGCCGACGAAGACGATTCACCTCGAGACGAACGCGGCGAGCGTGAAGCTCTGTCGTGTTTAAGTACCTTCATGGCGCTAGGGTATACAGCGAAGAGCATGGCTGTTGAGGCGGGGGTTGTGGCGTGGTTGAAGAGGTATGAGGCCGATCCTAATCCGTCCTTGCCTGTTGCAATTGGGGAACACGAGGATTTTAGTACGTTGTTGGTTGATATTGTGCGTGGGCTTTTGGACGTGGAGCAGGGTCGACTACAGCTCGTGGGTGCGGGGTTGTTGGGTGAGGATGCATTGGAGAACTTTATCCCGAATCTGAGTGATCCTGTGTTTAACCCGGAGTTGTATGTCGAGGTCGACCTGGAAGAGTTGCAGCGGGATGAAGACGGAGATGTTTACATGATCGAGGAAGAGTACGAAGAAGAAGAGGAACTCACAGATGAAGATGAGCACGAGCACGAGGATGAAGAAGAAGAAGATAGTGGCGACGGAATTCCCACCTACATCTACTCCGAAGCTTCAGGCGACGACGACGATGAAGAAGCAGCCCTCGAAGTTACAGAAACAATCTATCAGCAACTCGCCTCCACCGAACGCCGAATCCACGGCCTCTCACTCACCCCGGCCCCAGCCCCAGCCCCAGGCCCCGCCCCCGACGCAATGGGCCAACTACTCCTCCTCCTCGAACAAGAAACCATAGCCTTCGAATCCCTCATGGCCCACATCAACAACCTCACCATCCCCGTCGTTCGCCGCCACGCCCCTGACTTTGACGCAGTCTTTGAGCAACTACGACAGCATCAGCGGAATGTGACACTTAGGGCGGGGGAGAGACCTGATGATCGCAGTGCGCAGGCGAGGTTGGATAGGATGGCGGAGGTTTTGCAAGCGACGAGGGGGATTAGAGAGAGGTTGGCGAGGATGGTGGAGAGGGTTGAGAGGCAGGTTGTTGATCGTGGATTGTAAGCAGGAAGGAACTGAGCATATGGATACCATTTATACCAAATTCTGCGGTTATAGCTAAGGATATCGCAGGCAAATATAACAATACGGGGTTATTAGAAGCGCCTATGAGGCCTCCAGAATGTCTCTCCGTCTAAGTGGTTCCCGTTCCAAACTGCACCACGCCTGTCTACGTAATTTACCGGCTCTTCGGCGTAAGCGTATCCTGTGTTCTCGTAACAATCTTGCTGAGAACGTTCACACGCTTCGCCGAAAGCCTCCCGCTCTAGTCTCTTAATGCTCAAGGAAGTATCTGCTTCGAGGTATTTATCGCTGTCGGCCATCGCCCGTTCGGCATGCTGCGGTTGGTCTCTGTAAAAGTCATGTCCTATTGCATGCGTCGGAGCATGCATGCCGTAGTCATGCTTGTCCTCTTGATGCCTATAGTCGTTCTCATGGTGATACTGGTCAACCTCATGGTGGGCGCTGATACCGAGAAATCCTTCTTCTCCGGTATCACCGTCGAAGTAATCAGCATGCCCTTGGTAACATTGTTCTTCAAAACGGCAAGTTGTGGGATATTGACGGTCTGCGCCGGTACGTGGGTAGCTCTGGTGCTGCAGAGCGTGAGACGCGGGTACTTGAGTGACGAAAACCGACTCGACCTCACCTGCGACGTCCGGGTAACGATGTAGGTACTCGTTTTCAGGACGACACTGCATTGGTTCAGCAGTTGCGTGAGTTTTATCGTCAAACGGCTGGCTTGGCTCGGCAAGCTCTTCACCTCCATCTGCGTGAAGCTCTCTAAGGAGGGCGGCTTGTTGACTGGCCGTTAAAACATCTTCGATCTCATGGTAAAGCGCTTGGTCGCTTTTATGACGAACTCCGTTATTCTGTATCTCTGAGTTGCGCTGAAGGGGGTTCTCAGACGATTCAATGGTACGAGATAAACGAGCTATGTGTTCCGACTCCCTTGGCTGCCGTGCAACGGGCTTGGTTAAGGATACCTTGCCAACCGCAAAGTTTTCACCTACTGCATTGGCACAAGCAGCAATGAGAGCCGATAGTGGGGACCGTTCAATATGCATATTTGGCGTCCCCACATATTCACAGATTGCAGGTTCGCATAACGGTGTCTGCTGCGTAAGGGAGGCCTGCTCATTCCTTTTCTTGGGGACCTCCGTTTTTATAAGCTCGTGCCTGTCGGACAGTTCGGAGGAAACGGCAGTAGAAGACTGCTGCCGCCTAGCTTCTTGCGTCGGGGCTGGCAAGACCTTCTCGGCTCTCTTCTGTGTTATAGTAACATCAGCCCCACCCGCAAAGTGCTTCAAAGTCGACGCATCCAGGGTAATCTCGTCTCTGCTTTCTGCTGGCATTGCCGTCGGTCGGCCTTTCTTGGATGTTTTCTCTGTGGTCTCAGGCTCTGGCGTAGGCTCCCAAGTATAAGGTTGATCAGAAGTATCCGCTGCTAACCGAGTTGCAGTCCCAGATGCTTCAACAAGCTCTTCGTGAGTTTCCTCGGTAGAAGGCATGGATGAAGTCTTTCTGCATTTGTCTGCGTGTTGCTTTTGCGGCGCTGACTTCTGCTCTTCATGATGCCGCTCTATGTCCTTCGCACTTCTCCTCTCCCCTTCTTTGACCTGCATAGCTTGTTCGCGTTCTTCGTCCATGATCTTCGACTTTGCCGGTCCTTTCTTGCTCGAATCAAAATACGTCGAGATAGTCAGCGGCCCGGTCTTCTCCTTCTTCTTCAAATGCGGCGGGGTATACTGCGATGGATGTACGCGTTTCATGCCGGTAAGAAACTCCATATCGGAAAAGGACAAATCACCAACTGTATGCGCCTGTTAACCTGGATAAATGCAGGCGTAAAGAAAGCATACCTCCTTGGCTTTGCTTGGGAACGGCCGGCGAAGCCTTTCCTTTACGAAAGATCCCGAGGCTGTGCGAAGGTTTGAGCTACAGCATACATGGTAAGCGCACAGAGCATACACAAAATTTGCCTTGTTACCGTCAGCCTGTCGCTTCTGATGACTAGACTCGATTTGAACTTGTCCATCACCAGTGACTTCCCCACTTCGGGCTTCCCTTTGCTCTTGGATGACTTCCTTTCCTTTACTTTCTCGTCTCGAACAGCTTTGGCCTTCTCCGTTACCACCGTTTTCTTCATCTCACGGTCTTCGTACATCTTGTGTCGCGAACGTTTCTCAAATTTTGGTTCTGTAGGACAGCATACAGTTAGCACAGATGGACAACATAACCCTTACTTTCCCTACCGTTTATAACAACTGGCGCAGGACTGTCTGAACGAGTGTTAGAACTGGAATTTTCCGACGACAACGACGAAGAGGGCGGATCTGCTTGTCGTAAACACGGCTTCGGAGGCGATGGCGGTGGCATTGGAGGACGCTTTGGCCGAGCAACAAGCACGGAGCTGTCTGAAGACGCGAACACTTCGGGAACCGCCTTTTCCTGCCGCATATATCGCTCAATGCTCCTTTCCTTCCTGTGATGATGTCGATCTTGGGACTCAATGCTGCGAGAACGTGCGCGACGATCTCGATGTCGGTAACGGTGATCCTTGGGTGAACGAGACCGTGATTGACGTCTGGCATATTGAAGCCTCATATTCTCCTTCTCGCGACCCCTTGACCGGCCTCGCTCTCGTGTGGTGTCCCTCTGTGATGTCTTCTTTCGGAGTGACTGCGATGTCGATCGAGAGCTTGAACGTGATGACCTCGTTTCGCCACCCCCACTGTCACTCACTGCCCTGCTCCTGCTCCTATTTCTTCCTCTCCTTTTCCTTTCCTTCCTCGAACTCCGTCTGATCCCATCAGTCACGTCATATCGATCACGTAAGGCGCTCCTCGGATTGCTGTCGAAAGTGAGCTCAGTACGCTCAGATGGTATTCCTTGATGAGCGCCGACGAACTGCAGAACATAGTCGAGCTTGTTATCCAGCTCTGCACGCCCGAGGGCATCCAGATCACCCGACTTGAGGGTCATGGCATTGATGCTGGTTGAAAAGGAGTTTGTTGTTGTTGAGGTAGTAACACGCGCACATTCGTACATTCGCACGCGAAGTGTCCGGGTCTCACGCCCGCACAGTCACACGCAATCTACCTCTGACATGATGCCAGAATCCAGTGGAGGATAGGGGTCTTCGCCCTTGTTCGGTAACTTGGAACAGTTGTGAATGTCGGCAGGGTACAATGAAATGGTAGAACGCCGCTTTGTGCCAGGCTGGATCCGTGGGAAAATCAGCATGCTCTAATCAAAAACGCCCGAAGTGAGGCTCGAACTCACGACCCTCAGATCTCCCAAATGCTTAAAAGTCTGATGCTCTAGCCAACTGAGCTACCCGGGCTCAGGGTAAGACTTCTTTGTCTATTGCAATACAGAATGCACAAGACGACGAACCCCGCGCCCGGCAGGGTAAACTCAACGATCACCCACAACCTTCACTTTGACCAACGCCAAAGTCGAGAATAAAACCTCGAATAGACAAGGCCGACTCTCTCCTATCGCGGATCGAAGCACTCGGGATTACTGTGCCGGGTTCTGCAATTTCCACATCCGTGGAGCTTATGCAGGCTGACTCCAAAAATTCAGTCCCGCCCAAACCCTGAGAGGGGAGCTGAGACTTAACTTTCTTGGGCAGCCGTCCGACACCCACCTTCCGTCACCACCACCATCGTCAGACGACATTTTCGATCTCTAGTAAAACATTCAGGATACAATATCCTGATGGCTTTCTAAATAAGAGACCCGAACAGATCGTCTTTTTACCTGAGGATATCATCTTCAACTCTCTCGCGACCGCAGAAGCAACTTTTAAACTAAGGACATCACATTAACTATGGCATTTTTCTATGGAACTGGAGCTACCCACGTACGTTCCATTCCCTCCCAGAAGGCCTTGCGACGTCCGATAACGACATTGGAAGCGACCTTCTGGGTCCGCCATGTCCTTCCTGAACAACCGCTGATCATGTCCTGCTTTCAGGTTGGCAACGACGTTGATTGATCAAGAAAACCGCAAAGCAAACGACCTTACATTACACTCTACTATCATCGCGACTGATCGCGAAACTGTGCAAAATACTCAGCACTCCAACAACACCTCCGCAATGGACACATACGCTTACGACCTCTACCCCGCCGGCTTCGAGCTCGGCGGTGGGCTTCCGCTTGGATTGGACGCTTCCTCTCCCATGCTCCCGCAAGGATACGCCATCTCCCTCTTCCCATCCGCTCCTGCTGCCAAGAATGAGACAATGACGGCTGCGTACAACTTGACGCCGTCTGGTAACGAGAATGACAACAGCAACAGCGCTGGATGGGTCGCGGATGGCGGCTTCTTTGGCGAAGAGTTGGGATTGGCGGCACAGACTCCTGACCTTTCTTTCTCCGGCTCTCCCTACTCTTTGTCGGACGATTACCCTATCGTTTCTCCTACGGGCAGCTCTTTCATGCCTACGGGTCTCGAGTCCTTCTTCCCTACCCTCCCGTGCAACGATGATGACAGCAATAGCGCGTTCATCGCATCGGCGGACGTCAACGTTAACATTAACGTGACCGAACAACGCACCTTCTTCCCTCAGCAGAACGCTCCGCAAGCATTCATCTCGGACGCTCAGTTTGCCAGTTTGGCGCCGACCGATATGCTCCCCCAGTTGACCCCTCCCGTCTCTTTGTTTGAGACTATCGAGGAGCCTCAGTTTGGTGATTATGACATGAACTTCGGGATGAACCTGAACCAGCTTCCGTTGGCTCAGACAGGACCGTTCGCTGCTCCCGCCCAGATGAACTTCGAGATGCCCTACAGCACCGGAGTCGGAGCCGAGCCCCAAATCAAAATCGAAGGAGGCAGGAACAACAGTATCACTTCCGCCGACTCCTCCTGCCACGGCCATGGTTCCTCTCCCCGCAGGACGACCGCGAGGGCTACCAAGCAGCCCCGCGAGCTTGTCTGCTTCAACTGTCACGTCACCAAGACCCCTCTCTGGCGTCGTACCCCTGACCGCAAGCACTCTCTCTGTAACGCCTGTGGTCTCTACCTCAAGCAATACAACTACATGCGCCCTCTCGGCCCCCGCGCCCGTACCCACCCCTCTCCCTCCACCGCAGCGGCCTCAACCCCAGTTGACAAAGGCAACCGCTGCGTCAACTGCGCATGCACCGAGACCTCGTTGTGGAGAAAGAACGAGAGGGGCGAGGCGGTGTGTAATGCGTGTGGATTGTATGCTAAGCTTCATGGACGTGAGAGGCCGGTCAGTATGCAGAAGAAGAAGATTACGAGGAGGAAGAGGCAGGTGCAGGTTGCTGAGAAGAATGCGAAGAAGGTGAAGGTTGAGGGTGGGGAGATGGCTAAGGAGGAGAGTGGGAGCCCGGCTCCGAGTGCGAGTGGGAGTGAGAGTGGGGAGGGGAGTGGAGCGAGTACGCCGCAGAGTGGGTTGACTACGGCTATGCCTTCGCCGGCGATGCCTACTGCTGCGATGGAGTTTGTGAACCTGGAGATGTTCTAAACCGCCCGCTTGAGTGTAGTTTTGATTCTCAATGATATCCTAATACACCGTACACTTTACTCGATCGTCTCGAGCTTCTCGTCAGCACCAGAACGTCTAAACCTGCGGTTGGCGTGCGGAAGAATGCGTTGGGCAGCGCGCGCTGACGCATCCAAAGCTGCTGATGTCAATGAGCGTATTAAAAAGCACATGCTTGTGATTCCCTCGAGGATCGCACACCGGAAACCGTCCCAAAGCAAGGCCTCAATTGCAATTGCCTGGCTGGCTGCTAACCGTCAAGGTCACGACGTTTAACCGCGCTGGTCACCCTCTCGCACATTCACCGACGCTCGCGCAGACACTTGGGCAGGATGTAGCTCACGCCCCCAGCTGACCTAAGTAAGATCAACCGCAATGAACGTGCTTTGGGACTAGGCCTGCCTGCCTTGAACGAACAAGGAATTTTGGATGACGAGTCCCCCGTTGCCCGCTCCTATAAATTCTCCGCCCCCCCCCCGCTGCTTCTGAATCGCAAAGTTCAATTGAGTGTTCGAGTTTGGTTCGATCAGTCAGTTATCCAGTCAGTTATCCAGTCAGTTATCCAGTCACTTAGTCAGTATGTCCACGAAACTTTTCATCGGAGGCCTCGCCTGGGTATGCTCTCATCCTCTTCGCAATTGTCTGTGAATGTACGCTAACTAATCGTCACTACAGGCCACTGACGACGTCTCCCTCCGTCAACGTTTCCAGGAGTTCGGTCAGATCGACGATGCTGTTGTCATCAAGGACCGCGAGACCGGCCGCTCCCGCGGTTTCGGATTCGTCACTTTCTCAACCGCTGATGAGGCCGACGCCGCTGCCAAGAGCATGGACGGACAGGAGCTCGACGGACGCTCGATCCGTGTTGACAAAGCCTCTGAGCGCTCCGGTGGCGGAGGTGGTGGTGGTGGATTCCGCTCCGGAGGTGGAGGCGGATACGGAGGAGGAGGCGGTTACGGCCGTCAGGGTGGAGGTGGAGGATACGGTGGTGGTGACTCCTACAGTGGTGGTGGTGGATACCGCGGTGGAAACCGTGAGGGCAACGGCGGTGGTTACGGTGGTGGAGGCTACGGTCGCCAGGAGGGTGGCGGCAACGGCGGCAGCTGGTAAGCTGGCCAGCCGCAATTGGTATGTCTTGTCCCTCTCCTCTTCTTCCATTGTTGTCAAGATTCGGTATACTAACTCTGATGTTGCACAGTCGGCCAAGCCAAGTCCAAGTGTCCCGTGGTGATGCCATGTCATGTTCATGTTTCTATTATCTTTGATTTCTTTTTGAGTTTCGAATTCTTTACGCCAACCACCCTCGATATCAACGTATGTGTACTTCAGTCAGTGTGAGAGATGAGTTTTACTATATTTGCATTGGCTATCATCAAATCTGTCTGTCTATCGTCGTTGTTCGTCGTTCTTGGGCATGTTTCATCAGGGGATACGGAGTTTGGGAATCTTCTTCAGTTTGGTGCCTGTCCGATAGCATACAAAAGATCCGTCCGTTCGCTTCTAAAATTGTTCATTTATAGTTTACGTCTTCTTGAGCATTCTCTGCCGTGATTGGTTTATTGCAGCTGGTGTAGTGCACGTGGAGGTTTGAGGATGTTGCTGTGAGAGATCGAAATGCTACGCCGGCGCTCTTGCACGTCAACGGATACGTAACCGGGGGTCAACAAGGAAACCAGAGTCAATTCCAGTAATAAGCCAATTAAACAGTGTACCCAAAAAGAAGAAATCCCATATGACGACGACGAAGTATACCCCATAACCAACCCATAACCCTAGCAATAGCGTTAGCATCTGATGCAACACCAGTGAGTGAAGGTGAACTTACCAATCCAAACTCTGCTTTCTATCCTTACATTCTCACGCAAGAGAGAGAGGCGGAGCGCAATGCTCTACGACCTCCTCGCCTGCCACGCCCTCGGCTCACCATCCAACCTCACTCTCTTCTCGTCAGCGGCCATGGCGGCGGGTGACTTCTCGTGCTGCAACATCAACCACTCGGTCATCGTGATCCCCAAGATCTCGCACTCGGCGGCGACCATGGCATTGTGCGCATCACAGCGGGCCCTGGAAGCAGCGAGTTCCGCGCGTTTCATGGCGCGGATGGAGGTGAAGTGGGAGATGCCTGACTTCTTCGTGGTGGTAGTACCGGATTGGGCATCCGTGCTAGCTCGTTTGCAGGAGTCGTAGCCGGAATCAAACGAGTTTCTCTTCTCGGCTACGTCCGTAACAACGAGAACCTTAACGCCCCTTTTCTTTTCCCCCTTTGCCTTCTTCGCCTCCTTCTCCCGCTTCTGCAACATCTTCTTCATCTCGCCCTTACACGTCGCGCTCCTCGGCCGCGGCTTGTACGCATCCGGACGGTCGTTACACACGGCAACGATCGCGTCGGGGATGGTGACCAGCATCAGCTCCGCAGATTTGATGAGGGCCTTCTTAGTAGCCTTGCCGAGTTTGGCGAGGAAGGACTTCTTGGGCTTCGTTTCGGTGGTGGTGTCGGTGACGGTGGTAAACGTAACAGCGGTCTTCTTGGAGCACTTGATAATCTTAAAGAGTGCCATGGTGATGCTTTGTAGGTGGTTTAGTAGAGAGAATGGAACTCGTAGAGATGGGAAAGTGCTTGTTGGGAGTGTGTTGGTAAGGAGACGAGTGTTGTGGTTGGGGAGAAGTTTGAAAATTGATAGAGCGAAGGCTATTGAAAACGCTTTCGTGCCGATGGAGTCATGACGTTAACTTGGGCACCAACCAGCGAGTGATGTTGGTGTTCCGTTTCCGGAAATTCAGAAGTATGTGCCCCCGCAGCACTCGCGCAGCTAAAGTCCAGGCTTTGGAAAGTATATCTAGATCCATCGGTGAAGAGTCGAAATTATCATAGATGCTATGTTGACGGTGTGTTCTTTCCTGAGGTCTCTATACTTCCGTATTGACCGCTGAGAATCGAGGAGAACCTCTCCACCCCATGTTAACTAACATACACATACACACTGCACACATAGCCTGGCAGTACTTAAAACGTCTACCATATATAATATAAGAAGCTTCAAGTCTTCAAAGTAAGTGTACCTCAGTACTCCTGGCTTTTCATGACATGCGCAGGCCGGATTTGGCGTCGTCGTGCGTGCGTGGGAATCCGCGAAGACTTGAGTCTTCATTCACAGTATATGGCAGACTCCGTCCGAGTCCTCATCTGGGCTAGGGTCACGCAAGATACCTACACGACGTTTTAGATGAGATGGAAATAGTGAATTTACGTTCGTAGGTGTTCTGGAGTCTACAACCATCATGTATGCAAATCCCTGCTTTGTCCTCACTGTAGAGAATCCCTTGGCAGTGCGCTTACTGACAATACGGCCCCCAAACAAGCACTTGCAGTGTTTAGCAACTAGGCAGGCATCTGCCAAGCTTTCACGTCTATGCCCACAGCTTTCTGTCATGATTACGCGGGTCCGTCACACCGTGGGAAATTTAGACATGTAGCATACGCTCTATTGAACACATACTTGGAGTGAGCCTGAAGTATCAACAAGCACTTTCAGAAGCATGAGTGATGCGACCTGCGGTGGAAAAGCTCCATCTTCATACCTCTGCCACCAAGTAGGAACCAATTTATACACGTAACGCTCTAGATCGTCGAATCTCCTCTAAACCATTCATGAACGAGCAATTGACCCGCGGCCGTGAGATGCCTTAAAATGGACTTGAATAACCGAAATCCCGTCTACTTGAGTTCGTCAGAGGACCGACGGATTTTCCGTAATGAGTCGTTTGACCACTCCCTCCTCCTCCCCAGCGTCCGGCGCGGCTGCATGTCCCGTCTCACTCAGCGCGGCGCCCGGGCAGCGGCCGAACCTGCAAGCCAACCTGGCCATGGCGCACAAACAGACCCTGGTCAGTTCAAAGCGGCAATTGCAAGGATGCCGCATCTTGCAACTGAGGCGGCGGTTTCACCTTCACTCATCAATGGCTTTGCACGAGCAGCTGTCACTTCCTGGCGGGAAGGGAGCGGTGTTCACGTGTACACGGACATGTGTCCCCCAATGCCCGGGTAACTTTGATGCGAATCGCGTGTTTCGGACATCGTGCCTCGTACGGAACAGATCGACGCTTGCGGGTATTCGAAAACACCAGCTGCTGGACGGCCTTACCCATCTGCCGTATCCCTGCAGCGCGGCATGGCGGTAACGGTGGAAGCCTACGAAATCAGCTCCGGCATGCCATCGGTTTCATCAAGAGGTTCGAGGGTCCTATAAGAGGACCTCTGGCTTAGCGGATGGAACGTGTGATCTGGACTGTTTCGTGCAGCGTGGACAGTCGCATAGTTGAGTGCACTCTAACGGCACAGCGATCAATATCGCTGATCTCCACCTACTGCCCGGAGTTTGATTTGACGTTTGGCCACAGGGGGTCTGACTAAATATAGGGGGTGAGCTGGCAGTCACTCATTCAATTGGCAAACCTTAACGACACACCTTCCTCCCACCGGATCAACGTGCTACGAAGCAGCCGCCATACAACGCGGACAACACGCTATTGCTACTCAAATCGCTTTGGATCACCTACAATTTCGCGGATCAAGCACGACCGCGGATCAGAACGTGCTTCAACAACGCCAATACCTACGATAAGCTTTCCGGACCTTCGCTTGACCACTGATCCGCCCCTTTTCAACCTCCTACGACACAATGACCATCGGCTATCAGCAGATCAAGGCCTCCACCATGAGAGATCAACCCTCCCTTAAAAGAATGCCCTCCGGTGCCAAACACCTTCGCGCCCCATCCCCCGCCCCGTCCATCCGCACAAACATGTTCACCGAAGCCCGCTCCCGCCTTACCGACACCAAAGGCAAACTCCTCGACATGCCAAACTGCAACATTTACCTCGACAAACCCTCGTTCACCCTCGACGAGGAAATCACGGGTATTGTGAATGTGGATTTGGTGGGAGCTTTTAACCCCAAAGCTGCGGATGTTGCTGTTAAGGTGCAGTTGAGGGGGATGAGTAAGGCGGGGAGTAAGGAGGTTGAGTTTGTTGCGCATGAGATTATGTTGCATCCTGTCTCTGCTGATCCTGGATCAGCTGGACTAAGGCCCTTGGCGATTGGGGAGCTTCATACGATGCCGTTCACCTTCACGCTTCCCTCACTCATGCTCCCCCCAACACTGAGGACGGATCGTGCAGCCGTATCATATGTTGTTAAGGCAATATGCTACCGCAACAAATTGATGTCCATCGCCAAAAAACAAAAAGAGGTTATCCCGGTCCTGATCAAACCACCCCGAATGAACCCACTCGAACCAGTTGTCGAGAAGGAGATCCAAGTCTACGGTGGTGTCGAGGGTGCCTTCATTTGTTTGGCACACCCGCCGTCGTTGACACCGAGTTCGGATCGTGGGTCGCATAGGTTGTTGTTAGCATATGATCCTGGACATATTCTTGTGCGGAATTTTAATTTGACGTTGACGTGTGTGTTGACGACACAGGCTGATTCAGCGAGGAATGTTACGGAGTATCACTTGCCGTACGCAGTTACCTCCGACGACAGATCTGAGGGGCAGGCCGAGGTCACGTTCGATGTCCCGATGAACGTCGAACAAACCATCAATTTGAGGAATATCACCCGTGTGTACAAATTCCGTGTTGCGTTGGAGGTTGATGTCGCTACCTGGAGTGGAAGACCTGGAGGGATGAAGAAGGTCGAGATCGAGTTTGCGATTAATGTGTATGGGCAACACATCCCCTTCGCTCTCCCGACGAACTTCAACCCCTTCGAGCGTCGCGGGACGGCGTCTTCGCTTGGGTTTTATTCCGCGTCGAGTCTGAGTGGGCCGCCTAGCCCTGCGGTGTCGGGTACGGGGAGGTTGGCGAAGAAGAGTTCGTCGTCGTCGCTCCGTACAACCTCAACGTGGAACAAGACTCCGAGTTCGCCGCTTGAGCAGTACTTCCCTGACTTCAATGCTGGATCGGTCTCGCCTCGTGTCAATATTGCTTCGAGGAGGAAAATCAATCTCCCACCGGTCGTCGAGGACTTCACTTGTGTCCCACCCGCACAGACATCACCCCTTCAAGGTACATTCTTGAAGGCGAAGCGTTCGTTGCAGTCACTTCAGGCGTTCACTACGCGCAGTAAGGGTTCCTCGCCACACTCTTCGCCGGATATGGAGCGCCCGGGGTCTAAACTCCGTTCGAAGCGGTCGTTGGATTTGACGACTTTGTTCTCTAGTCTCGGACACGAGAAGACTTCACCGAGTGTCAAGCAAGATGCATTTACGCTCATCTCTCCCGGACCTAGCGCACACAACACGATCAAGGAGAAGCCGACCGGGAACGGTGACCGCGTGTTGCCGTACAAGTCGTCGCCGCGCACACCACCAAGTTTCCCTCCGCCGCCTGTTCCACCGCCGAGGGTGGGGTCGCCGTTGTTGCCCTCGTTGCCCGCGCACCCTAAGAGCTACCGCCCGCCGACTGGGTTGGGTATTTTGACGGTGTCGCAGGCCTCGGGTGAGCGCTCGCCGGGGTTGCCGGCACTTAGTGCTAGCTCTGGCTCAGATGGATCTTCGTTCGTGATGACGGCGGAGACACCTGCTACGGAGCACGGTCCCAGCACTGCCGTCGAGAACGTCCCGATGCCGATTTTGGGGTTCGTTCCGCGTGCGAAGGTAGAGATTAACACTGCCGCTGTGCTCGCCGCACCGAAGCGTAGGTCAGTGTACATGCAGGAGGTCGAGGACGAAGCATTTGCGTTCAATGGGAGTGCTGGGAGTCATTCGAAGGATGGGAGTGCTGATTCTGTTGATGAGTGGAGGAACGTAGTGGAGCAGGCGTTGGAGTACGACATTGACCTCTTGCAGGCGGAGTCTCTTGCACTATGAAAGGTATGAAATGGCCATGGATGGTTGTGGAGACGGAAGGTTTTCTGGACAAGTGTTTGGTAGGAAAACGTGTTGGCGTTCCTCACTTTAAGTGTTTTTGTTTACGATATCTTCTTGGGATGGATATTTATGACCAGGACTCTTTCTTTGGACACGGTGTTGTTTTCTTGAAATGTTCCCGATTTCTTTGCTCACGTAGCGGTCTACAGGTTCACAATTCTCTGTCGAACTGCTCTTACATCATAGTTGTCCTTTCCTGCTTGGCTTGTTCTTCTTTGCCCACTCCAATCCTCTCCATATGAACTCCTCCTGATCCCCTATACCGCCCTTCGCTCTCACCAGCCCAACTGGAAAGTCAGGCTCCGCCCCGTACGCAATTCTCGCAGCATCAATCATCATCCGTGCCGTCAAACCCCAAACGCGCCCTTCCCCACCTCCCCCAAACTGATGCAACGGAAAGTTCTCACCATTCCACGTCGTGTGAGAAAGAGGGTCATACCACCCTTCCCTGCCGCTCAGGAAGTCCTCGAACGGGACAGAGAATATTTTGCTTACTTCGGCCTCGTTAAGCCGGAAGTTCGGCCGTCCGTTGTCTGCTGGCCAAAATGCAACACAGGGTGTTACTACCAGGTGATTCCGCGAAAGGTATGGAGGCAGCAAGGTGAGTTTCTCCATAGCCGAATCGGGTAACAAGGCAATCTCTTCATGAGCTTCTCTTAAAGCGGCTTGCCATATCGTCTCTCCTTCGTCAACACGACCTGTCCGACGAGTCAGTCACATAAACACGTACCGAGGCCTATGGGACAAACCTCCAGGAAGTGCTGCATCTCCAGAGAATGTTCTCATATTTCTGGCACGTACGGTGAGAAGTACACGAAGCTCGCCTTCCTTGCCACCGAACAAAAGTAATAGGACTGCTGCTCGGAGCCTGGGAGTATTGGGATATGTATCCGACGGAGGCTTATAACTTCGTAATCGTTCTAGGCATTGCAGTGATTTGGACGTTAAACGCATCATGAATCAAGACTTGTGAGACCCTTTCGACAGGATCCAGCGACGTTGTATTGTTCACTACATCATTGACGTATTTCCTCATAACACTTTCCCCGCACACTGCCGTACATCCCGTATGCCAGGGCCACCAATAGCAAAAAGCTTATCCCCAAAATGTATAAAAAGCGACCTGCACTCTATACCCATCGTTTTCCTCATCAGTATTCCATGTCCAGGTTCATTGCGCCTCTTCCGTTGTCCCATTTGTCTGTCCTCTCTCCAATGATGCTGCGGCTCGGATCTTGCTGTTCAGCGCGGCGACTTCTATGCGTGCTTCTTCAGCAACTTCGGTAGCCTGTAGTAGCTCCTTGGCTTCCTCTTCGTTTGCTTGCTTCAACTCCTCGACGGCCGCGGATAAGTGCTCTGCGTGCTCTTTCTGTTTTACCTCCAACGCTTCGCGCAGCTTCTTCCCTGCTTCCCGTTCCTCTTCAATGCCCTTCGCCAGTTGTTCAAATTTCTCAGCTGCTGCTTTCGATGCTACCGCATCCTCTTCTCGCTGCTTCTTCAGGGTCGCAACACTCGTTGCCAACCCTTCTAGGTCCTCCTTCGTCTTCGTCCGTAACCGTGCAAACTCTTCCTGCAATGTCGCATACTCTGCCTCAGCCTTTTCTCTCCGAGCGACTTCAGTGTCTACTCTCGTAATTGACTCGGTCAATGCTTTCTCCTTTTGGGCGACCTCCTCTTTCAGGGCCGTTCTTTCAGACTTCATCTTATCAACCGACTTCTCCAGCTCCTTCCGAACCACAGTCTCCTCCGTCAAGGTTCGATCCTTCCGGCTGACGATAGCAGTCAGGTTTTGGTTCTCCATTCGTAGCCGGTCAACTGTCTCTTCCGCATTATCGACTTTGTGCGTTAGTGCATCAACCTTAGCACGCTCAGCCTGTAGCGAATTCCGCTCAGCATCGAGCGAGTGTCGAAGAGCGTCAATCTCCCGTTGTAAAGTATCGATGACTCGTCCTGTCGAAGCGCTCCGTTGACCGGCTGGCGAAGCGGAGGCGGCAACTTTCGGGGGTAGGCCAAGACCCGTAAGCCTCTTGCGGACCTACACACAACACGTCAGCACGAGCGCACAGACAACCAAAACAAGGCGCATTTACCTGCTCCAACTTATTGATTTCAGCCTCCCGCCCAGCAATGTCCTCCCTCAGCGCATTCAATTGCGACCGGAGGTCCTCAGCCCCAGGCGCAGCGCCAGCATTCGAATCTTCCGACGGTGTCGACATCACAGCAAGTAAATTACCAGTTGAGGTAGAACGGCCAATAAGAGTATACGGAGCCAAAAATTGTCGTCTGGTTAATGTCTGGATACGACGGATGGCGGAGCTTATTGATATGAACTTTAGTGACGGAATTTGGACCCTGGCAGCAGCCAAATGTGCGGGCCGTCGATGGTGCCTTAATCTAAACCACTTAAAACAAAGACTTTTAAGAAAAAGATCAAAAACGCCTATACTATCCTGTATGCTCAGAACGTTCTCTTCCACCCTTTTACCTCACGCGGTGACCTGCGCAGCCTCAACCGCCGGTGCAGGCTGTTCACCGTCGGTCTCGACTTGCAACGCCTCCGGCCTCCACTTCTTCAATATCCTCTCCAGCGGGGTCATAATCTCCTTATGCTTCTCCCTGCACAACTCCTCCACAAGATCCAAACACGTTCCCCGAATCGGCGGTCTCAACATAATCAGATACCCCAACGCCATAAACCCCAACTTCGTCTTATCCGGATCAAGACACAAAGCCCTAAGACTCTGTACCATACCCGTCGTGAGCTCCGGTAGTTCCGACACCAGGCGTAGGAAGATCTTATCTTTCGCTTCCAGATAGGGAATCATTGACTCGATCACCCTCGATGCCCACTTCTCATACTGCGGCTGCCAAGTTTCCTTCTTTTCTTTGAGCATCATTTTGTCGTGGTACCACTCCTCCGTCAACCACGCAACCGCGATATCAATCTTCTCCCTAAACTCCGTCATAACATACTGAAACAACCTCTCCCTAACATAATCCGCCAAACTCCCCTGTCCCTCCGTCTTGACTTCCGAGAAATCGATGATAGAAAGCCCGCGGGTACTGAGCCGACTCAATAATTGTACCCAACTTTCTTTGTCCCAGGATGTGGCAGCCATACGGTCAATACCGGCTTGAGCTTTGGTAGCAGTGGCTGCCGAGGAGGTGGTAACAACAGATCCCAAAATCCGCTCAACAGCCCCAGCGAACTGCTGCGCAACCTCCGCAGGCCCCAACGCAGCCGGCCTCGGCATCTCAAACCTCGCCATCGTAAACTCTGGCTGTTCCTCCACAGCCTCCTCCTGCGCCGCCTGAGATTCCTGAATAGGAGCTGGTGGAGCCGTCATACCAGAAGCGGCGGCACCAGGTCCGAGAAGTAGTGCCGGATTCTGCTGCAATGCGACATACTTCACTCTCAACGCTTGCACCGCCTCCTCCATCATCCCACCATCAACAGCAGCCAACCCACCAATTGCCATCTGGATTACCAGTTCCGTTGGGAGCGTCGATACGTCGAAGCTTTGTAGTGGGTTTGGTGGGTCGAGAGTGAAGAATTGGGCTAGGGACATTGGGCCTGATGGTGGGGCGGGTGCTGGGGGTTGGGTGAGGATAGGGGCGGGTGTAGTGGTGGGGTTGGGGAGGGGTGGGGTTGGTGTGTAGTCATCCGCCATCCTCGCCCTCTTAACGACGGGATCCTCGAATTCCGCCGCAGCCGCCGCACGTTTCCGCGAAAGGTCTTCACCAACAACGGGCGGTCTCGGCCGTGCCGCCTGTTCGCTGAGATATTGTTGAAGACGAAGCGCATGCTGTCCCGCCGAATTCGTGCGCAAAAGATTTGTGAAGAGTACTTTGATGGCTTTGTCGATACACCGGACCTGAAGTCTCGCCTTAACGACGTCGTTCTCATCACTCACAAGATCTGTTGTTCGTTGTGCCAGGATGGTGAGGATGATCTTGGATGAGATAGTCGCTCGAGTTCGCGCGAGGATGGCGACGGCGTTGAGGGTTGCGGTGATGAGGATGGGGTTGGGAGGCCTGTCATGGAAGACGTCGAGGAGGCGGTCAAGGAGGCCTTGTCCTTCGGCTTCCAGGTTCACGTATTTCAGGACTGGGTGAGTCAATGGGACGTGGCTCAATGAGATATCGGACTTATTGGCCAGTCGGGGGTCTTTTGCGCCAGGAGTTTGCACGAAAACGACTCGCTGCACGAATTTGACACAGCAGATTCGTACACCCTCCGCTCCCTCATCCCACAATCTCAGAACTCTGGATTTAATTGCGGTCATGATCTTCCATGACCTGGCGTCCTCCTTGCCATTTGTGCATATATACCCAAACACAATATGATATATAGACGCACACGCCTGAATCGAACTCTTCAACAATACGGTATCATCTTCATTTACGAATGCTTGTAGCGTCTTAAGACACTTCAATCCCAAACTCAATTTGGCCCCATCATCCAACTTTGGCGAAGCAAATGCATTGGAAAGGTACTCTGCTATCCATCTCCGGAGCTCGATTTCTGGTTTGACGGCTATTGGAAGGATTCCTTCGACGATTGTGGGATAGAATGCGGGGTCCCGGTCGGAGATTTCGCGGGCTGCGTTGAGCTGGGTGATTTGGTCGGCGACAGGGAGTGCTGTATCCGACATGTTGACCTATCTAGATGTCCGGAAGACCCGCTCTCCTATATGCTCAAGGGGAAGGAGCAAGAACCCTTTGGTGTTGTACCGAGTCTGTACGGCCGTGCCTGGCAGCCCTGGGCCAGGTCGAGGAGCATGACCAAATCACAATCCACACAACAAACCTCCACACCAAAAATAAAATGACCAGCAACAAGTCTGTCTCCTTTCGAGATCGTTGCATAGTACAGCTCTGATACTCCTTGTACAGGATCCTCCCTCCCAAGCACCAAAGACTCTACGCGCAAGACCAGAGCTCAGCAGTGCTGATGAGAAATGCTCGTAAGCCCTACGTCATGGGTAACTTGATTACTGGCGGCGTGTTGTTGGCGTTTGTCGCCTCAGCTTGTACGTTTCTCTTTGTGGGTGCTTGTTTCCAGCGCTTTGGCTAATATGCGGTATATAGACTGGTACTCCATTAAGGCCGTCTCTCAGGATGACTTCAGTGACGTTCCTTTGCCTGCGGGCGCCGGTAAGCAGGCGCCTGCTGGTAATGGCAACTAGGCGGAGGACAGTAACTGCTGAAGCAGTGATGCTTCTGGGTCTCTGTCTATTAAGATTGCTGGTGATTTGTGACGATAGTGGGTTTGATATGACGTTTATGGGTGTCCCGGCGTTAGGCATTTGATAGGTTTCCCTTCTTAAAAAAGGTTTTGGTACATATACAGTGATTTTTCCTCTTGTAAATCTATGGTGCTTCACATATTCCCACGTTTGTGAGTCTATGTTACAGGGACCGAGGACGAACGAGTAACGTAGTTCCCCAAAACACAGCACTCAACCGACCCTTTGAATGGATCAAGCATCATCCGGAGTCTCCACTCCGATCAAAAAGAGCAAGAGCGACCTAAAGCCACTGAAAGCACTAAGAAAATTCCTGCGGAAATGTCGTGTCAGTCCAGAAAACCAGATCGACTTCGAGGAGGTCCTCAACGTCGTTCTAGAGGTACGCTACGCCGTAACGTCTTGCTAAGTGGAATGCTAAACATCTGTGTAGCCAACTTACTTTGAGCATCAAGCCCTCGCCGTCAACCCTGGCAGCAGCCCACCTCAACTCCCACTCGACGACGAAATTGGCGACGGCTTTCATCCTTCTCCCGCACCTCATATCCTAGAGGCACCCGAAGATGATGAAGTCTCGGAGTACGATGAACAATCTGAATCACGTCGAAAACGCCAAAGAATCGCCCAGAACGTGAAAACCTATGATGACCTCGACTCAGACTCCGGATCTGAGTTTGAGTCCGGTACCAGACACAAAAACCGAACCCAAACCCCGGGCCTTTCGAAGAGACGCCGTCGTACAGCGTTGAACGAGGCTGGTATACAGAGCTTGGTGGATTTGGTGTCATGGAAAGAACAAGAGAGAAGTCCTGCTATGCGGAGGTTGCGGAGGAAGATTCTGCTACGGAAGGTGACTATTTTTCGTCCTGTGATGAAATGCCTTGCTAAGCGTGACTATAGCGCAAGGCCTCTCTACCAAATCCAACACCACCGTTCTCAATCGAGACGATCCTCCGGCGTATGTTCAGAGCTCAGCCATTCATATCTCCCTTCGACCTCCCCGCCGCCGTTCGCGAGACGTTCGAGAGCGGAGTTCACCCCACCCCACACTCACAAGAACGCATCGATGAATGCCACGCCATCACGCGAACACCCTACGAAAACTCCTTCCTCTCGCGTCTCCACGGCATCAGTCGCCCGCGGGGGTCACTAATCCTCCGCGACACAACCTCCACCCCACCCCAGCTCTTCCACCTCCAAGAACTCCTACTCCGCACAAACCCCACACCCTCAGTTCCCATCCCCCCACCCTCCCCAATCGATTACCTCCCCTTCTCCCGCGCGCACCTCTCCCAAGCCAACGCACTCCTCCAATCCCTCTTCTGGCCCGGCATCGAATTAACAGATTACCTCTCCCTCGACTCCGGCATAGGCGTGGTAGCCCTCTACCGCTCCCTCCTAGTCGGCTGCGCATTCGCGACCCCCGAGGGGTACATATCCTACGTCGGAACCCGCCCCAACTGGGACCGAGCCGGAATCGGAAAATTCATGGTATGGTATTTAGTTGAGAGATTGGGGAAGGAGGTGGGCGTGGATGTTACGTTGCATGTTAGAGCGGATAATCCGGCGATGGTGATGTATCAAAGGTTTGGGTTTAAGCCAGAAGCTTTTATTGTGGATTTTTATGATAAGTTTGTGGAGGAGGGGAGTGATGTGTGTAAGAATGCGATGTTGCTACGGTTGAGGAGATAGAAGCTCAGTCGAAGGACTGAATGGATGGAAGGATCGAGTCCATAAAATTCAATAGAAGCTGTATCATGCCTCAATGGACATATACCATATGCTTACAACTACATACCTACATGTATACATTCAGCTTGCCCTACGGTCATGTGCAGACGGTCAAGTAGAGATGTGGAAGGCGTGAGGTTGTACATGGCCCAATAGGGACACAGCATCCGTACTTCACTTCAAGTCTGCTCTACATCCAGAAACAATGCCATTATCATATCACTCGGCTGCAGGTTCACTCTGGACAATGCACTCATGATCGGCACTTCACTTACGACAAACAGCAATCAAGGATTAAAAGATTTGTATAATAAGCAAACAGCAAACAACAAAAGCAAAATATTTGATCACGCCCAAGAAAGAACAATTCCCCCTATCTTAGTCTTTTTTGCAGCGATAATCGTGGTATTAACAGTCTAGTACATTTCCTTTGGCGGAGCGAGAGACGTTTAGTACTCCTCCTCCTCCTCCATAGTCTCAGTAGAGTCCATAGAAACCTCCTCGTAATCTCTCTCCAAGGCGGCAAGGTCCTCACGGGCCTCAGAGAACTCGCCCTCCTCCATACCCTCACCAACGTACCAGTGCACGAAAGCACGCTTGGCGAACATGAGGTCGTACTTGTGGTCCAAACGAGACCATGCCTCGGCAATGGCGGTGGTGTTGGACAACATGGTGACGGAACGGTCGACGGCGGCCTGCTCGGAATCGGGGGGGAGTACCATCTTCTGGTTGTTGAGACCGACCTTGAAACCAGTAGGACACCAGTCGACGAACTGGATGGAGCGCTTGGCCTTGATGGAGGAGATGGCAGCGTTGGTCTCGCGGGGAACGACGTCACCGCGGTAGAGCAAACAACAAGCCATGTACTTGCCGTTGCGGGGGTCACAGACGACCATCTGGTTCTGGGGCTCGAAACACTGGAAGGTGATGTCCTGAACCTTGTGAGACTCGTGGTAGGCCTTGTTCTTGGAGATGATGGGGGCGGAGGAGATGAGAGGGAAGTGGATACGGGGGTAGGGGACCAAGTTGGTCTGGAACTCGTTGAGGTCGACGTTCAAGGAACCGTCGAAACGGAGGGAGGCGGTGATGGAGGAAACGACCTGGGCGATGAGCCTGTTCAAGTTCTGGTAGGTAGGACGCTGAATGTCAAGGTTGCGTTGGCAGATCTGGTAGATAGCCTCGTTGTCAACCATGAACGAACAGTCAGTGTGCTCAAGAGTGGCGTGGGTGGTAAGAACAGAGTTGTAAGGCTCAACGACGGAGGTAGAAACCTATTCGTCAAGTTAGCACAGCATACACGCGAGAAAGTCAAGCATCAAAACGAACCTGAGGAGCAGGGTAGATAGTGAACTCAAGCTTGCTCTTCTTTCCGTACGCCAAACTCAGCTGCTCCAACAACAAAGCACCAAATCCAGATCCCGTACCACCAGACAAAGAGTGGAAAACGAAGAATCCCTGCAACCCATCACAACCATCGACAACGCGGGACAAACGGTCCATAACGCGCTCAGACATCTCCTTACCGACGGTGTAGTGACCACGGGCGTAGTTGTTGGCCGCATCCTCCTTACCGGAAAGCAAGTTCTCGGGGTGGAAGAGGTCCTTGTAGGTGCCGGAGCGAACCTCCTCAATGGGAGAGGGGTCGAGGTCGACGTAGATGGAGCGGGGGACGTACTTTCCGGAACCGGTCTCGGCGAAGAATGTAGAGAAAGAACCGTCGACGGCATCCTTGGTAGGGTCCATACGACCATCGGGCTATGTCCAAAATAAAACATTAGAAACGCGTACAGGAGGCCAATTGAGAGGGGAAGAACGTACGTTGATACCGTGCTCCAAACAGTAAAGCTCCCAGGAAGCGTTACCGAGCTGAACACCAGCCTGGCCGACGTGGATGGAGATAACCTAGCGGCGAGCATGCACGTCAGCACGAGAACGAAAAAGCGTCAATTGAGCAGGAGAACACACCTCACGCATTATAGATGATTAGAGATGGGTATCGGGGGTTGGTGGATTGTCGAGGGTGGTCGTCGTTGTTGGTGTTTCGATCGAGGACGTCGTCCAGTTCCCTCTTGTTGTTGTCTGCTGAGTTGTTGTGATTCTGCGCTACTACGCTTTCGGGCGGTAGCGGGAACCCAGGGGGGACGATGCAGAAACGTACGTTTCAAGTAACGATTTGGATAGGAAGGAGTTGCGAGGAAATAGCAATTGTTCTCTTCTTTTCTTTTCTTGCCTTTTTAATCGTCGTAGCGTGCGTTCAATTGATCAGGCAACGGACGTCCATTTGTATCGTATCACCGCAGCATACAAGCCTCTAATCCATGTCTCCCTCATATCATACACCTCTCCCATGGTAATAATCCACCGTCCCACTCCATCCTTTCCATTGGTATCATACAGCACACACGCACGTCTCCTCTTCCAACTCCTTCACACATTATGCCACACAAAATTCCTCCACCCCTCCCACCTGTCACTCTGACTATACAAATACTCCATACTCTTCCTCAAACTCGGCTGTAAACAATCCGGATGATTCTGGTAAAGCCACATCACGGTTCCCCATGTCACGCTTGCGAAAACTGGCCAGTAGTAGTTCTCTCTGGGGCGTTTGAGGGAGGCGGGGGAGGTTAGGCCTGAGGCGGAGGTTATGTCGACGGTTGAGGGGGGAGCATGGGAATTGGAGGGGGTGGAGGAGGGGAGGCGGATGTACCCTTTTTTCACGGCGAGGTTGGCGAAGCCGAGGACTACTCGGGAGAAACAGTATAGGTTTATCTGTAAGGTGAGCATTAGCACGCCATAACCAGTAGCCACGTCAGCGTCAGCGTCATGGTTCGAACTTACCTGTTGATTCACACTCGAATTCCGCCCAAACACAATCCACCCCCCAACCAACCCCGCAACAAGCGAATCCCCATTCCTCTCCTTCCCCGCTCTACTCATCATCCTCATAACCAGCATTAATCCCTTCCAAATCGTGACATAGACTCCCAGATTCAGGGCATGTGCTCGTGTAGCTTTGTATATCATCCGAGCTTTATCCTGCAGCGTGCCAGAGCGGAAGAGGAATGTCATAACGAGGGCATGCGGGAAGCGGATTTTGGTGCCGTAGACGAGGCCTGTATCAAGTTGTCAGCATTTGCGCTCGGGAACACAAAGCAATCCCTATGATACCATTTCGCAGTCCTTTGAGGATGGCGAGGATGTCATGGTTTGCCGGGTCCAGGATAAACCTGGTTAATGCCTCCACGATAGCGTTTGTCATTGCATTCAGTAGCTGTATGCTCTATCTTCCAGCAGCGATAGACAGGTAAGCTTGGATAGCAGGTGATTGTCAGATTGACGGGGTATATGCTCCTCCTTCTTCTCCTTTGCAACTGGTCGATTTGTGTTCAGTCCACATTCGAGGGGGGTCGTGTTCGTGGGGCCCGTGAAAGCTGCATGCGCCGATGCGGGGTGCGTCCGATGACCGACAGCTGGAGCGGAGTGCGGGAGACGGCGGATCATAGGATATAGGATACGGGCGGAGTTACAGGGACGAAACGACGAAAGACGATGTGAATGTGATGGTTGGAATATGTAAGATCTATTTGATTCGATTTTGCTTTCTGGATTATATGGTTGAGAAGATGAAGAGCTATTAACAAAAGTCAGCATTCCACTCTCTTCGCAACTCTGATGATTGCAACTTACGTTGTTCGTTGCCGCAATCGCAATCGAATCCTCATTCGGATGCCAACTCGCATGCAAAATCTTCTTGTTGAAATCCAATGAATCAGGATCAATCTCCTTCCTCAACCCACTCGCCCCCGTAGCTCCTCCATTCCTCGCCGGGCTAGCCGTCCTTCCCTGCGCGTTTTTCTTCTGCCCAATCTTCTTTGCCTTGAACGCGCTCTTATCAGCCTGCAACATGATCTCGCCCTCCTTCGAAGGATCTGTTGGGTAAATCATGAGGTTGTTGGAGTATGAACCCGTGAGGACGTTCTTGTCGTCACCGGAGAAGGTACATTCGAATTTGTCGAAGATGCAATCGTTCTCGTAAAGGTCGCAGAGTTTGTCGCGGAGGTACTCGTGGATGTTGATGGTCTTCACGGGTGCGCGCTCCATGTTGACGTCCCAAATCTTGAGGGTGAGGTAGTCGCGAGACAGAATGTAGCGACCATCGCGGGAGAATCGGACATCCGAGATGGATGAGATGATCTCAGAGAAGAAGGACTTGTTTGCTGGGTCCTCTTGCTCCTCGAAGAGCTTCGCGTGCTGGTCACACAGAGCAGACTCACGCATATCCGCAAGCTTGATCGTTCCCTTACTGCTCGAGTACATGAAATGGTTGCAGTGAACTGGGTGGAACTCGGCCGCGGTAATGACCTCCGTCAACTCCTCCATGTTCACTGGCTTGATATCCACGATGTTGAAGCTCTGGTCTGCGATATCCAGGTTCCACAGGTTGATGCGCAAGTCATCTGCTGAGATGTAAGTCTCTGCGTCAGAGTTGACGGAGATTGAGTTAATGTGGTATGCGTGAGCGTTGGAGTATGTCTTTCGTGGCACAGCGGCAATGATGGTATCGTGGTGAGACATGCGGGGCAGTTTCAGTGATGATGAGGTCAATGATGGTGCCCGCATACCGTCGGACAGGTTATTCTCCGCGACGACCTTCAAGGACTTCTCAAAGACTTTCCAGAGCTTGATGGTTTTGTCTGTAAGTCCCAATCAGCACAAATGCATACTAGATTACCGAGAGCGACTCTTACCATTTGTTGACAAGAGGAAGTGAGACGCGTTTGATCGGCGACACCACTTGATCTTGTTGATTTTCTCCTCAATCTCCAGAGACTTCAGGTAGTCGAATTCTGGCTCGTGCGACTGGAACTCCGTGTAGAATTTGTATTCACAGCCCTTCTTCTAAAGCGCGCATTCACATCAGTGATTTGAACACGATGACAATTTTGTCACGCCTACCGATTCGTTCCTCTCAAACAAGACCACTCGACCACCCTTATCACCCGTCGCGAGGTAGTCACCGGTATGGTCGAATTCAACGGTCGAAATGACATCGGCTGTTCGAACTCATGAGTAAACATCGCTACCACGCGCATTCAACAAATCCCACCTTCTGTGATGTCCTCTACGTCGCCCTTATCTCCAAAGCACCTGCAAACCCGTCAGCGCACCGACCCGCCAACACACGAAGAACAAAAACATACTGGGCAAACTTCCAGTTATGCTGCTGATCTCCGTCCACCATTTTCAGTTATTTTCTTCGTTGATTTACTGGTGAAAGAATTGCCGAGTTGGGACCCTGGTAGCTGATGATGCAATTGGATGCCTTGCCGCGAAGATCGTGCACAGTCGAACAAGCGGGAGGAAACTGTCGGACGTGTAACGTAGACTGAATGGTAGATGTTCGGACTCGATCAATCACGCACAAGACGACAAATAGGCCGTGAACGAAGTCGGTATTTTGTTTGTCGAGATTTGCTATTCTGGTGTTGTTCAGGTTGTTCGTGACGCCTGCACGGATGAGAGCCTCGAAATTCACTGGCGCAGGCAACAAGGCCCAGCCGTACCCCACAGTATACGTGCGAACAAAACACAAAAATACCTGTTTTCGGTCCGCAATCATGCCAAATACCTCCGGAGACAAGGGAAAGGGAAAGGCCGCTCCTGCATCATCGTCTCATGCCGGATCATCACTCGCAAACTCCGCAGCGTCACTCCTTCGATCTGCACTCTCGCCCAACGCAGCACGAGACACCCTCCAATCCTCGGTTCAATCGTCTGGCAAGGCGTCAAGTGGCTCTTCTACCTCTACATATCAGCCTACAAGCAGCGGATCAACAGAATTGCTCGATGACGCAGCAGTACACAGCTCATCATCCTCCGTCCTCACAGGCACCGGCTTCCGCTCCTCCGCCGAACCTTCCAATCTGAACGCAGAATACGCCGAATTCGCCTCCTCTCACCAACAGCAAGACCATTCAGACGTCTACAACGATACCTCCGCCGAGGCAAACATCCACGACGCCTACCTCTCCCGCGCCCTCCACCGAAGCACCCACGGATCCCTCCGCTCCTCCACTTCCACCCTCCACCAACCAACCCGCGATGCCTCCCACGACGGCGCAGAAATACTCGCCCTCCTCCGCGACCCCTCCCTCAACCTCACAGATGAAATCGACGCCGTCCCCCTCCATTCCCGCCCCACAAAATATAAACCAACCTCCTCCCTCGTCCGTGGGCTACAGGCGTGCGAAGATCCGGTCGCGTACATCATGTCTACAAATACCTATACGGAGGATGTGTGGGATGAGACTAATGTGGATGAGGAGGAGGTTGGGGTGCGGGAGGCAGTCAAGGCTGCGAGAGAGGAGGTGCGGGATGGGAGGAAGGGGGAGGCGGTGGAGAGGTTGAATATGGTTTGGAAGCATTTGCGGGCGAAGTTGTAGGATGTGGTACGATCAGAGATTGTTGAGTATGTGTACGATAACAGCATTATATATGGCAGTGACAGTATAGAATATCATCCAACGGTGCTCATAGAAGGGTTCGTTACCGAAAAGCGTTTGTGAGACGCGTACGGCAGATTCCCGCGTCGTGGGATGGCAAGTCATGACGATGTCACGGTACAATGATACCCCGGTAACGTAAGACGGAAAAGTCATCCCCCCCCGGCCGTCGACTACAGACCCTTAGATATATCGAGATGGAAGCCGGCTTCCGCCTGCAACAAACACCGCGGTCACATGCTCTCAACACAAACCCACAATTACACCTTCGCTGATCCCACCCACAAATTTACTATATCCAAAGCGCACGTCTACCGATCAATAGCCGTTCGGCACCTACTCGGTATGCAAAGCCCCGAATACGAAGAACTCCGCCAAACAGCAACATACTGGGAAGTAACCCGTCGCCTCACCGGCGCATGGCGTCTCCGCCGTGCACTCGACTCAATCGGCATTGATCTGGTTCGGCAGAATTTGGAGAGTGGGAAGTGGTCGTGTACGCTTTGTCAGGATGTCCAAGCCTTCGACAAGCTTTTGGAGGAATTCGAGGATGCGAGGGCAGCTTTTGAGTTGGACAAGGATCGGGCGTTCACGCCTTTCTATCAGGTGTATTTGATGCGGAGAACGGAGAGGTTGGAGGAATGTTCATCGCGGTTGGCATGGGTGATCACAGCTATTGTGCACAAAGGGCATCTGAAGATGGGGGAGGAGATGTGGAGAGGTGTTGGTCCAGATGGATGACATATGCATACGGGCATGATGCTTCGGTCAACGCGTACGATTGATTGTCGCGCATAACAGGACGTTCGTTTAAAGATCGTGTTCGACATTACTATAGCTAATTACAGCCTTCATTGGCCAAACTTGGTAATAAACCTAAACGAAAGTACTCCCTGACCAAACGCCGTATAATCCCAGAAAATCAAATCAACTTTGAATAAAGAACGAATCTCTCATCATATCACCGGATCTCATGTAGGCACACCAGCTCTTTGTCCTGGAATATCCGAGAACAGCGAGCCAGGCGGGATCCGTGTGACATTCTTCTCACCAGAAGGTGCCGTAACATAACCCTCCGATCTTCTTCGCCAGTACGCAGCAAGAGCTCCTGCGGTAGTCAAGAGAAGCATGATACCAACCGCAATGGCAAGCGAGATCAGAATAACGAATCCACGGTCCATGTAGTGCTTAGCTCCAGGGACAGTTCGAGATTTCTCCTGAATGAAAGCGTAAATCTGACCATCGACGTTGTCAGAGGTGGAAGAGATCAGGTATGGCTGCCAAGCAGTGCCATTGAAGGTAGCTGCAGACACGTTTCCATATTTGGGGAGGTCCAGCCTTCCCATGATCAGGACAACGTATCCGCTCGGCAACACATTATTGCTTGCGCTGTCACCAACCAAAGGGACAGCCCTCATGGTGTGAATGACGGAAGAGCTCTGAAGGTCGGATCCAAGATCAATGAACTGCGTTCCATCCCACTTCTCAAGGTAGGCTCCGCCGCTGGAAGTGTTCTCACCTGCGAGGTAAAGCACGTTCTCCGTTTTAGGATCGAAGACAAAGCTCGTAACAGGTCCAGGCAATGCGGTGGACGCGTTCGCAAACTCACTCCACTCATTCGAACCGAGGTCGTACTCGAGAACAAGAGCAGACGTTCCGTTCATCGTCATATTACCCGCAGCAACAAACTTCTTCTCTTGCGCAAATAATACCTTCTCACAATCTCCGGAAACACCGGAAGTGGGTGCAGACCATTGCAATAGCTGAAGGTCAAGAAAACATACAGCTGGGCAGTTCAACGATCCAGCACCGGTGAAGGTACCAGCAGCAATGAGATCGTTCGTGTTAGGTGAAATCGCGAGGTCGTTTACCTGAACGTTATCACCAGTCAACGCAGCAAATTGCTCCGTACTCCACGTCTTGGTATTAAGATCGTATGCAACAAGCCCGTTCACCTCCTGTCCATTGATAGTACCGGTGACGTTTCCACCAGCATACAAGACATTATCATGCACAACCATCGAATAGAAGGAGCTAGTGCTGTCCAGACCGGCCGGTACACCGGTGATCGTTCCATTCTCGGCAATGAATGCTAAGTTCTGAACAACGCTGCCCGTACCGTTCGAGATAGAGAAGTGACCACCAATGATCACAAGGTTCGTGTCAGAGTTATTGTAGTAAACTCCACTGTAGACACCATTAGCTGCACCAACCTCCGCCACGGCCCTCTTCGTCATCGCAGAGTTCGACGTGCTCGACGTGCTCGACTGTTCCGAGAACAGGCTGAGCGCATTGACGGTCAAGTTGCTCTGACCCTCAGGCAACCTGGCCACGAATCTAGCAGAAGTAGTCTCACTTGCGCCAACGGATCCAACGTACAATGCACTTCCATTACTCAAGAAGGCAGAAGAAGCCAGGCTGCCCTGAAAGTACGTAGGGCCAGACAACTCTTGTGCCCACTTGCCGAAGCTTGGAATCCAAGCCGCGAATGCAGCGACAGGGATAATCGTCCCACTGTTAGTATTAATTGCGGTGAAGGTACCCGATACACCAATTGCATCGACAGAACCATTTGATGTTTCCACGACCATCTGCACAAGGCTGGTGACCTCGCCATTAACTCCCTGGCCCAGTGCCTGCAAGTTGAGATCCGAATCATACACTGCAATGTAATTCAAGTTCGTCACGGAACCATTCGCGCTGGCAGTAAAGTTCCCACCAATATAAACAGTATCGTTGAACGTGATCACGGCGTTTACAGGTCCGTTCAATCCTCCATCCGTAACGGCAAAGAAATCGGTCTCGTTGACCGCAAGCACATTCTTGGAACCAATGTTCGTAGCACTAAAGTTACCAGTAACGATCGTGGCAGACGGTAACACCGCAATACCTGCAATAGTCGGGTCGGTGCTCAAGATTTCTCCTGCGCGATCGAAGACACTTGAATCGTTCGCGGCGTAAGTTGTGGTGGTAGCAAAGTTAGCAGGATTGTACTCAAACAAGCCCCGCAATCCACCACCAGCGCTCGTTGGAAGGAACTGCACAGACTGCGCGACAACATTGACGGTGCCGGACTGCCCCGTAACAGGAGAAAGCGCCACGTATGGACGCCACGAGGTGGTCGGAGCTGCAACGACGCCCTGGTAGGCCGTGTCGTACTTGTCGCCACTGTTGGTCTGGAACAAGACCGTAGAGACAGGGTCGAGAACCGGGTCATAGTAAACGGAGACGTTGACTTGCCCTCGGTTGGAACACGTATCGTCAGCGAGACATCCAGGCGTGTGGATCTGCACTGTAAAGTTGCCTTCCTCAACAGTTTCAGGGAAGAACGAAACGCTCGCAGCCGACAAGGCGTCGTCACCAGTCAACCAGGTGGTGAGGTACGAAGTGTTACCCTCCTGGGTCACATTAGACCAAGGTCCACCGGTGGTGTTCGAAAACGAGGGGAATTCAAGACCGTAGCATGTGGGCTGGTTAAAGGTATTCACAGCAAACGCCAAGATGTCATCTTGGTACAATGTCACACCATCCAATCCTCCACCAGAACCATACCAGTCCTGAATCTCAATACTGAACCCAGTCATCCCGATGACATTCACGAAGTGAAAGTCCGTGTAGTACACAGAAGAGTCATTAGTGACCTGCGGCAGCGGGCAGAAAGCATCGCAAGCCACGGTGTCTCCAGAGGTAGGGTCAGTGTAGGTCATGTTCATGATACCATTGATTGGCAGACCAATGACCCGGAAGGTCTTGGTCCCGCGGTTCTCTTGGCGAGCATTGAACAACCTAAGCATCGTCGGCCTGAATCCAAACGAAGTCTCTGCAGTCCACGAACCCGCAGTGTCATCGGCCAACAACCAGGTCTGCCCAGCACCAGTCCCGCCCGGACAAAGGATGTTGGACGCATTGTTGAAGCCAGCGGTGGTAATGGTTCCGGTAGCCGTGACATTGGCCGTAACTAGGTTAATCGCCTGCGAATCCTCGAAACTTCCAGTCGCTCCCGTTCCAGTAGCATCAAAACTTCCTCCGAACAGCAGATCTCCATTGGCTGCCTTCGCGATCGCCGTAACCGGTCCATTGAATCCTCCAAAAGGGAATCCAACCCATGACTGTTCCGCCACATTCCACATCAAGGCATTGGTCGAATTCTGCGTCTCATAATCTCCTCCCACCACCACAGTGTTGTTGTCCGTATTGCAGTAAAGCGCGTACACCGGCCCTGGCACTCCTGAGCCCAAGGCTGAGAACGACGAGGTTGAAGTGTTGTAAACCGCGATATTCGACGCATTTACCCCCGCAATTCCCGTAAAATTTCCTGCGATGAACACCCCGGAGTCCATGAAACACGTCGCAGCAATCGTCCCATTCGCTTGGCCCAAACTCTCAAATCTTCCATCCTCCAATTGACTCAGCACAGAATCTCCAGTCGTGCTACTATTTGTCGTTGACTGTTGTGATCCAGTCCATAGGGAAAGACCAGAGAAATCACCTCCCAGCAAAACATTGCCGTATGAGGAGAGGTCGAGCTGAGGCAACGTCTGCGCCGCAGTCGCCGTTGCGAACGCCAACAACGCCGGTACAATATTCCGCATGCGTTTCTGATATTTCCAATCCGATTCGAATGTCGTTCTTCCCTCTTTTCAGGATAAATGCCGTCCCAATTCCCCGTTGCTGTGTCGTGTGCTGATCCTCTTCGCGTATACCGATCAGAAATGCTCTCCGTAACCGATGACGATAACCTGCAATACCGACGATCAAAGATGGAAGTCAAATCGACGGAGCCTTGAACAAAACAAGGCAGAAGGAGCGTAATTGGCTGTTCAAGAGAGCGGATACCGGCCGGTGGAAATGTACGGTTGTTTGTAATTGGCGGTGCCTGAGCCACACAGAAACTCTAAACACAAGGCTCTTGGGAGATACGCGCGCGGCAGAAAGGGGGACCCCATGGTGAAGGCATTGATGTTTGACAAGAAAATGCTTCAGTAAGGATTGTAGGCTATAAATATCAATCGCTGCGGTCATCAGACTCTTCCCATGCCTTTCCTCGACCGACCTCAACATGCATCCCTACTCCAGGCCTCCAAAACAACCCTCCAGGCGTGACGAATACAGCAATTGTAAATCCTCCTTACCATAAGCCATCTGCTGGGACGCACTACGTACTCTCCCGAATAATCGTCAACAACGTCTGCCACCCTGGCCTCTCCAAAAGCGCATACGCATCAACCATCTCATGCCCACACGCAACCTTCGCCAACGCCTTCTCATCCTCCTCCTCCAGAATTCCCATCCCGTGAAGGAAACACAACATATGGAAATCACTAACTGCATCGACACCAGTCTCTGCACTCTTACCCGACCTCCTGACACCGACTTGGGAGCCGACGGCGGCGAGGTCTTGGACGACGCCGATAACTTCGCGGTTTTCGACTGGGAAGCGGTGGGAGAGGAACATTGGTTTCGGGTTCTCCGGGAATCCATGGGTAAGTGTGACCAAAAGGTATTCAACCGGAAAAGCAGGTTTGGCGTCGATTTGCACTGCCCGTCCATACTCATTCACCTTCCGATAAAACACATCCGGGATGTACCTCGTCTCATCCTCATGTTTGACAAGCATACTTCCCGGATCCACACTTGGCTCAATAACATCCGCCCTGATCATCGCCATAGCCGAGTTGCTGGCTTGATATGCCGCAATATCGATTTGTCCTTCGTCGTTGCCGCTGATCACACATGTCACGAATTTTGAGCCGAATTCGCCAGTTTCGGACCATCTTGAGGTGTTTTTGTAGCGGTTTTGCATGGTTGCTGCCATGTGGATCTCGAGTGCACTCAGGAAGTAACTTCCGGCATGGCGTTTGGGGATGACCGTTCCCTTCCCCGTCCCATCATCTACCAAATCCGTAAAGATCATCCCTACCATACGTAACCCGCATCCCCCCGCAACCTCACTGATCCCGTGCTCATTTTCCCATTCCGCCAACGCCAACCCATCCGTCTCCCCGCCCTGCGGCGGCTCATAAATCGCCTCCACGACAGCCTTCATCCCCAACGGCACCTGATCATACCCCTCATACCTCCCATATAAATACCCAAACCTCTGCGTCCCACTCTTCCTCCAAAACTCAATAAACCCATTCACCAACTCACTACTCGCAAACTCCACATGATCGACCATCCGGAACTGCTGTAACTGCAGCGATATCGCGCCTGGTTGGCATTTCGAGCAGATACCTTTTGGCCAGGGAGGGTGACCGGAGGGACAGTGGGGTTTTACACGGCATTCGGGTTCCGAGAGCGGGGGGACGTAGGAGGCGCCCATTTCGGGTTTGTTTGTTGCGGTGTTGAGTTTTCGGAGGTAGGCGTGGAAGGATTGATGTTTGATCTTGTGTTCCTCCAGATAGTTCGCGTCGTATGGCTATGGCACATCTGTTAGCTTCGTGACGGTAGGGACCCGGATTCGACATAACATACCTCCAATGGCATACAGTAATCACACATCCCCTGAGGTCCATGGCGACACATCCTCCCTTGCTTCCGGTAAATCTTCCCATCTATCTTCTCCAGGACATCATCAATATGATCCTGCTTCACGCTCTCAAACGCGTTCTTCAAATGCTTCGTCTCGTCACCACCGATCGCTACAGACGGAATCTCCCCCGCAGCCACCTCTTTGCCGTTCAATCTCGACGTCGTCCCTTGCGGTGCCGTCGAAGTCGTCGGTGATGTCTTAGAGGTAGACACGACGAGTTTAACGAACAGCATATCTCCATGCTTCAGCCCCAACTCCGCAATCGACTGTCCACGCACCGACGAAAGCGTCCTTTCCTCTCCCGCAGGTTTATCAGAGATCGTCGTAGCATCCGCATCGACCGGATTCTTCAGCACTTGCTCGAGCTGTGGACCCTGTCAGTCATTGTCGTCGACAAATGGCTTGGTATCAAGCACTCACCTTCTCAGATAACACGGCGGCATCATCATTTGGCTGGACCTCGATACGAGAAGTTCCTTCCTTTGACCTGTTCGATCGAAAGTTAGCGACGGACATTGGCCACAGCAAGTTTCTCGATCAAACCTTATTCTGATGAGCATTGCGATGTTTTGAGCTTGTTACTCTTGCAATTGCGGTGTTCTTCGTTTGTATGAACTCGTGGGACGCGAAGCTGCAGTTACCGGGGTTGTACGAGATGACGTACGCAGGATGGACTCGGACTGTCAAGAGAGGAAGCAACCGTCTTCTATCCTAAATTTAATTCAGAGTAACTTAAGCCCTCTTTCCACACAAACATTCAACCTTCCTCGCCTCCCCTTGTCTCGTTCCTCCTCCGTGACGCACATGCAGCGGCCCGAGCGCATCTCGTACTCCTCCAAGATCCTTTGAAATCCTCGACCACCCAACGACTCAATTGATCTGGACAATATGCCAACATTAACCTTAATTGTACCACTGGCATACCTGACCGTTCTGGCGGGCTCACTGATCTGTTTCTCCTTCTTTTACCGCCGAAGAAAAGCTGGTACGTGGCATCACTACATCAAACGCGTTCCTTCGTCCTGCCCCATCAGGATCCGGGGCGCGGTGTTTGGGATACGCTCAAAGAGAAGAGACGGTTGATACTAATTGACGTGTACCATAGGCCAAATCCAACAACTGGAACCCTGGTTCCCCCCCTCCCCCGCCCGCGACGTCTACCTCTCACTCCTCCACACCGACCCCCAACCCCCACCCACCCTCCTCCGCGCCGCCCTGGTCACTCGCGCTGCCTCCGCAATCACCTCCATCATCACCCTCCGCGAACAAAAACCCGCCCTCGCCCTCCTCTCTCAAAAAGGATCCGTTCCCGAAAGTTTGCAGAAAGAGTTTGATTTGGCGGAGCGATGGGTTAATGGAGAGGTTCAGGATATCGTGCTGGAGGCGGAGGGGTGGGAGAAGGGGTGGGGACAGGTGATTTTCCAGACGGCGGGGGAGGTGGCTGGGTATGAGAGGTTGAGGGGAATTGTGAAGAAGCACGAGGAGATGTCGAGGGTTGAGAGGGCCAAATATGATGCTGAGATGAAGGAGAAGGGGATGATTCAGGAGAAGCCTGCTGAGGTGAAGGCGGAGTAAGGAAGACTGAGAGTCTGCATGGCGTGAATGTCAAAACAAGATAAGCGTGGGATATTCACGTCCCTGACCAATTGATCTATGATACCATTGGCTCCGTTCCCAATTTACAATCCTCCACCACCCGCTCCAACCCGACCAACACCTCCTCCTCCCTCAACCTCCTCCCAACCAACTGCAACCCCACCGGCATCCCCACCATCCCCTTCCCGAATTCCTCCCACGTCGCCTTCAACATTTCCTCCATCTCAGTCCCCTCCCTCGCAACATACTCCTTCCACATATCCTCATGGGTGACCTTGTCCACGGGAAACACTGCCGCGGGTAAATCCAGGAAGTTCCATATCTTCGTATACCCAACCCACTTCGTCCTCTCATGCGGGACGGCGGGGTGTGGCATAACCGGGCACAGCACGAAATCCAATCCAGCTGAAGTCCAGAGCTCCAGGTACGCTTTCTGGAGTTTAATTTTCTCAGTGTTCATCTGTGCGAGTGTTGAGTTAGTCACATCCAAAGGAGGGTGTATTCAGATGTTCGGTACATACCTCCCAGTACTCGAGAACTGATACAGCTTTTCCACGGCTGATTAGCCGTTCGACGTGTGGCAGGAACGGTTCGCCACCTTTTGTGACTGAACGGCGGATTTCTTCCCCGCCGTCGACAGTGTACATGCGGTCCATAAGGGTAAGACATTCTCTGTGTCCAAGCGCCGGCCATTCCACCAACTCATATTTCTCCGGCATGCCTTTCAGCTTTTGTACCAGTTCTTCAAATACTCTCTGTACGGGCGGCAAGGGTGTCACTATATGATCCGTCCCCATAACCCCGATCCTAACCTTCTTCCCAACATACGCAGCTTTCACCTCCTCGTACCTCCAGGGCATCGGAGCAACACCCGGATCCCGCTCCCACGGCTTTCCACCAAGTACAGCACGCATCCCGACCTCCAGCATCCCCATTTCCCGCGTCAATGGGCCGACGACGGATGGGATAGCGGGTTGGCCCTCTTGACTTACGGGCACACCCGAATATGGGATACGGGTACTGGATGGTTTGAGGCCCCATAGACCACAGAGAGCGGCTGGGATACGGATGGAGCCACCGATGTCCGTGCCCCATCCCAAGTGCGAGGCAGAGTGTGCCAGGAGAGCGGCCTCGCCACCTGTTGAGCCGCCGGGTGTGTAGGCGGGATTTAGGGGATGCGTGGTGATCCCGAAAATGGGGTTCTGGGTTTCGCACCAGAGGATACTCTGCGGCAAATTCGTCTTCACGATGGGTATCGCGCCCGCATCCTGCAGAATTGAGACTAACACGCTTTGTTCGGATTTCGGAGCGGGTGCGTGACAGCGGGAGATATACCCAAGCGTCGTATCAACCCCAGCAACATTAAATTGATCTTTCAACGAGATCGGCAGACCGTGAAGGGGCCGACGCGAGGAGGGGGGTAGCGCATCGAGTTCGGCGGCGCGGGAGAGGGCGGAGGAAAAGAGGGGTTCGGTCAGGCAGTTTGTCTGTAAAAGACATTCAGCACATCAAATATTATGACCTCGACGCGGAAAATATCTTACCAATTGGTGCGCAATAGTTACGCGTTGGATGAAGGCAGTAGTTACTTCGACGCAAGTTGCAGTTCCTTCACGGAGGGATTGGAGGAGGTTCGAGGCTGGCCAAGACGTGATTTCGACTTCACGATCGGTGAGAGCAGCGCACTCATTGACGTATCGGATCCTTTCACTGCCTGCTACCACAGGCGATGGAAGGGAAGATGTCGAAAGGAGGTACGGCTCAAGAATGGCATGCTGCTCCGCAAGCTTCTTGTCCCGGACGGCCTGCCATCTTGTCTTGACAGCCATAGCTCTCAGGGGATGGAAATGTAGAGTATTGGCATCATCTTGCTCGGTTGGGAGCTTGTGTGGTTATCATCATTTGTGGTCGGGTATCGGCAGTGCGGTTGAGTGGTAACGTTGACACCCCGCTTTCCCCACTCTGCCAGGCGCGCTGCCGAATCGGGCAGGAGTTCTCACGGCAACAGGGTTACACAACTCTGCGAAGACTCCATAACGAGTTCTCTTGATATATCCGATATGACCGAGCGGCTACCCTATATTACTCATCCCTTCCTATGCCTTGCTATCGCTTACCTCGCAACCTCCGGATAAAACCACACCGCAACCGCAATAATCAGATAAACAGCACACAACAACACCCCCTCCAAATAATTACTCTTCCCGTCCCCAATCAAATAATTCACCAAAATAACCGTAACAAATAACAACACAACCTCAAACGTATTAAAATCCAGACTCATCGCATGTCCGGTCCACCAGCCCAACAAACACATAAACGGCGTAACCAACAACGCGATTTGCAAACTACTCCCCACAGCTACACCGATCGCGAGGTCCATCTTGTTTTTGTAGGCGACGGTTACGGCTGTGACGTGTTCGGCTGCGTTTCCGACGATAGGGAGGAGGATGAGACCGACCCAGGTTCGGGAGATGCCGGATTCTTCGACGAGGGCGTCGATTGACGAGACGAGGAATTCTGCGCAGACGGCAACGAGGACGGTTACGCAGATGAGGAGGATGATTGCGGCGATGGGAGTGATGTTCGCCACCTCTCCGCCTTCTTCTTCTTCTTCGGAAACGGCTCCTTCGGTAGCGGTAGTGGTGTTATCGAGGCGAGCTTCGTCGGTGGGGAGGGTTGATTCGAAACCTTCGGGTTGTGTAGTCCGTTGTTGTTGCATCTCGATATCGTTTCCCTCCCTATCAACCCCCGCAATATCCCTCTCCTCATCCTCCGCCTCCTCATACAAGTACGTATGCGTCTTCAACTGAAACACCAAATACGTCGCATAAACCACTAACAAGATCACACTCGTTCCCCTCGAGATCTTCAAAACCCCATCTTCCGCCTCAGCCGCCGTATCGAAACTGTTGGAAAACGCGGCAGGGATGAGGAGGGAGGAGATGGAGAGGATGAGGAGGGAGGCGGACATTTGGGCGGAGGTGTAGTTGAAGGATTGTTCTTTGTAGCGGGAGCCGCCGGCGATGAAACACATTCCGAGGACGAGGAGGAGGTTGGAGAGCATGCTTCCTAGGAGGGAGGCTTGAAGGACGGTGATCTCGTCTTGAAGGAGGGCGATGATACCCACAATCAGTTCGACCGCATTTCCGAAAGAGGCATTCATGAGACCTCCCAGGGTCTCTCCAATCCTGATTGAGATTTCCTCCGTTGCGTACGACAGCAATGCCGCTAACGGAATGATCGCCAGGAAGTTCATGACAAAGACGACGACGGGGTTCACGCCCACCGCGTGACACGCGATTCCCACCGGCACGAACACCAACAACGGGTTGGCATAATTCGACAGCGCAATCGTCTTCATTGTTTGTAAAACCGTCTTCTTGTGCGCCGGGATAAAACCGTTCGTCTCATCCCTCTTGGCAGCTAGCTCAGCGAGATTCGGGTCGTTCTCAATGGTATGTTTGGGTGCATCTCCATCTCCAGAACTCAATTGCTTGGTGCCCATGCTTGCGGTTCGAACGCCACTGGTACCAGAACGAGAGATTCCATGACCAGGCGGCATCGAATTCGCCCGACGAGCTGCGTGTGCGGCATTGGACAGAGAAAGGAGTGTCGAGCGGCGATGAATTCTGTGTCGACCATACACTTGTTTGAACCGGTCCTTGACCGAAACCCCGTTCGATGCTACTCCTCAGTGATCATTAGCCATGGCCCACATATGGATCAATCGCAGACTTACACATAGTAAAAGGCAGTTGGGGGTTGTTGTTTTTGCAATTGGTGTTTGTGCGGGACGAGCTGGGTTCCCTTATAAGCGACGCTACCGCCAAGTTAGGCGAGAGAGGGGCTTTCTAAGCGGCGCGCCAGATTTAACCTTGAATGGAGATTGGCCAAGGCATGTCATCGTACAGGTCGCCATCAAGGTTGAATGGGTGGCTGGTTGTATGGCAAGGTCATTTGGACTGGAATAACTTGGAATGGGTGTTGATTGCAAGTGGATTGTTGGTAAGGCTTGTGGAGAATTGGAATCGGAGACGGAAGCGAGGATTCACCTAGTGCATTTACAAATTTCACGGTATAACTGCGTTGCTGTTGCTAAAAAGTTTTGTCAAAGAGACCCGCCTGTCTCATCATCTAAACCAAAAGAGTGTAATGTAACGAACGCCAAAAACCCCGTCTCACAGATCCAAAACCTCACCCAAAGAATGTCAAAGGTATATCCATATAACGCCAATAACTAATACACCAGTCTCGCCTTCCTCGCCGTCGATATTATATCGTACGTATCCCTTACGTGCAAGGATCTCAGTTGACTTCGAGGTCGTTGATATAGTCATCAGCACTATACTTCTTCAACCCCATAATCCGCTGTACACAACAGTCAGCACCCTGATCAACACAAAGACGTTTCGCCACGTACCTCATCAAACCACTCCACCTCCCTCAAATCATCCATCCTCATCCTCTCTTTCGCGCCTCCATCGTCTTCCGGATAAATCGAACTCACTTCACTCTCATAACTCAACTTCCTCCCCACAAAGTTGCGAGGGGATGAGGAGTCGAAGAGGGATTCGGGGGAGGAAGGGGCGGTGGACGGGGAGTGGTAGGTTGCGGGGGAGTACATGTGCGTCTGTTGGTGGTCCACCGAGCGGCGTTTGTCGCCTGTTGATGAGTGATCGGGTGTGGAGGGGATGACGTCCAAGGACGTTTGGCCACGGTTTGCGGAGAATCCTCCTGGACGCGTCATGTTTGAGCTGGGTTTGGGCTTTGTTGGGGAAACGGCGATGCCGCTGTCTGCGGTACTTTGACGGGAGTGGGTTGAGGAGGGCGTCGGAGAGGCGGGAGACGAGTTAAGCTTTGTCTTGATTTTGCTTGTCAAAGATCTGGTGAATGAAGGCATTGTTGGTTGTTTTTGCTGTTGGTGATGATGATGGTCGTTGATGTTTGTCGTTGTCGTTGAGTGCTCGGTGTAGTGTTTTATGCAATGCGTGATGATGAAGAGGAGAGTACACGTGGTAACAATCTCAAGTCTGGTGTCGCCCGAGAGACGTTCTGAAGTTGTGAAGAAAAGTTTGAGATTTTATAAGAAAAGACTCATGATGTGACGAGTCGGATTGTTTTCTAATTTACGTGTTCGGGCCGGTCGTTGGGGCCCAAACTGGGCGTGGGATCGTGCGGCAGAGGGGAAGGACTGCTGCCTAGACTATGCTTTGCCAAGTCTTCAGCTAACAACAGGCCAGAATGGCATCTTGGCTGTCTGATCAGAGCCGTGTCGGACGTTAGCCGTGCTGTTCTGCCGTCAGCTGGGGCAGTTGCAAGCGGCCTGAACGTCATTTATTCATATGACGCGGCATGCACGCAGATTGCCGACGATGGTGCCGGCTGGCAAACACAAAGCTGAACGACTAAACAAGATGATGTGAGAGCAAAAGGGAACATGGCTGAGTCGTTGTCGGAGTAGCATAACAGCAAAAGTGGTCACGGAGAGGCTCGAACTCTCAGCCTTGGCGTTATTAGCACCACGCGCTAACCAATTGCGCCACGCAACCTGGTAGATGTTCTTTTCAAACTTGCAAACACTCATAACCTCAACCAAACCCATATGTTTTTTCTTATCGATACCCGCCCGCACATTGACGTCTGAACATATTCCTCTCCTCACCAGCTCCACCCATCTACACTCCTATACCTACCGTCAAAATGGCCTCCATCCGTGAAATCGCAACCGCAGAATCCCATGCTCAACCCTCCTCCAACAACTGCGCCCTCTGCTTTGACCCCCTCCTAATCCCCAACCCCTCCGACGAAGGCCCCGCAATGATCATCGACGACGTCGAGCTCCGCTGCTCGCATCATTTCCACTGGAGTTGTTTTACAGAGTATGATGCCGACGGAAACGATAGAACGCTGTGTCCAGAGTGCGGGGAGACGACACTCCAGCGTGGCGGACAATTATTGGTAATCGTCCGTAACGAAGGCGGAGTCACAGCCGGCTTCGACCTCGGCGCCGCCCTCGACGAAGAGAAATTCTACGACGATAACCCCGCCCTACGTCGAGAAATGGCCTTCCTAAACATGATCTCCATGTCCGAACTCGAAGCCGCACAAGAGCTTCTCGAGGAAGGTGTTGATGTTGATTGTAGGGATTCGGAGACGGGTGGGACGGCATTGCATTTGGCTGTTGTGAATGGGGATGAGGAGGGGATTATGATGTTGTTGGGGTATGGGGCGAGTAGGGAGGTTAGGGATTCGAGTGGGAGGACGCCGGCGGATGTGGCGAGAGAGATGGGGGCGGAGGCGGCGTGGAGGTTTTTGCAGCAGCAGTAAAGAGCCATGAAGGTTCTTGATTGATGAGGCTGGAGGATATCCGGGTAAATCAAGGCCAACTGGATTGGGGTTATCGATAGAAGCAGGGTACCGTAGAGGTTACGATTGATAGAAGAACGCGTGGACTGCACGATATATTTCGCAGTTGAGCGGATTAGACATCGTACTCCCTGATCTTTCTATTAAATATTACTGGACAGCTTGCCGGACGTTTCGCACGATCGATGCATGGGCACGTGCACGCGCGGACAACCTGGTACAAAATCTCGACTCGACGTCGACGACGCAAAACGCTCCTCAACTCCCTCGACCACAACACCATCCACGACTACCTATCGGTACATCCAACAATTAACGATCGCGAACGCCCAACCAACCAACCATTCCTCAATAGGTACGCTCACTCTCCTTCCAAGCATGGCACCCCAAGTCCCCGAACCCGCTCCGTCCCAAAAGATGAAAAACTTGATAGGGACAACAGAAGCCCCTTCGGGGCGCATGTTGAGCCAATCAGGAACTAGATAGTAAAACCCCTGAACATATGGATGGACATTGTCGTTTGTGGACTTGCGGTTGCGATGCTTTGGGTTACGATGGTTCGATGTCAAATGGCATGGCTAACATACGTCGTCGTTCGCAGTTTGATTAGTTGAGTTTAATTGATTTGTGATTTCATTCTTGTGGTTTCTTTTCATCTAAAGGTAGACCTTCCTTTTCATTTGCACTCCTCTCAGACCTTGGTCTAACAGCTGCCCGTCAGTATCGCCTACCTCAACCCACACATATACAAAGCAGCCCAAGATGCTCTTCAACGGCGTCAAGCGTGCAGCAACTTCATCCGTGCTCTTTAGCACCTGCCAGCAAACCCGTACATAGACTGCACAACGCACCGCCCTCCCCCGCCCGCCTCTTCCCACAAAACGTCTTGTACGTGACAACCGCAATAACCCGCTCTGGAACCCTCATATGAACTTGGCCAACCGATCAGATGAGTCTGGTCGCACGACATTGTTCCAGTCTCGTTATGGATTTGACATTGGTGGGGCGGAGGAAGAAGGAGAGGATTCTTTTGCGGATTTGCTTGTTGGTGTTGTTGAGCCGTTGGAAGGAAAGGAATACCAAAGGAAGAAGGGCAACAATAAGCACGAGGGATTGTTCTTCAACGGCGTTATCGGGGTTTTGTTTTTGCATACGGGATTTGTACGACTAGATTTTTGGGCAGGATGAAGTTGAACGACGTGATGCATTGCGAATGAAGAATGTCTTGACAAACGTTGTACTCAAACAAAAGCCAATTGCAAAGGCAAGCTAACACAAATCAAAATCCAAAAGACGCGAATCGCAAAGCGCAAAGCAACATGTAAGCTGTAGCATAGCAAAAATAAGTAGTGGAGATCCCCGTATAGAAACTTCCAGCAAAAAAACACAATAATAGACCTGTAGATAGAGAATGATACGCCCGCCGCACCCAAAAAGATCGCAAAACACATGAACGAAATCCAAAAATCAAAATCCTACCGAAAAAGAATGAGTCCTTTGCGTGCTCGGCATTACACACCAACCCACGACACAACGACACAACGACACAACGACACAACGACACAACGACACAACGACACAACGACACAACGACACAACGACACAACGACACAACGACACAACGACACAACGACACAACGACACAACGACACAACGACACAACGACACAACGACACAACGACACAACGACACAACGACAACGTCCAACGTACGTATACTCTACCGCCTCCAACCTGCCCACAATGAACCGACGATATCCTTCGCCGCCCCAACAAGGGTAACGCCCTTGCCAAACATACTATCATCACTCGATGCATACCCAGATCCTGTTCCCGATCCCGACCCCGAACCTTGCGCCTCAGCAGGCGAAGGCGACGGAACAGGACTTGGGCTCGCAGCGGGAGAAACGCTCGCCGGACTAGCCGCCTCACCCGTATTCTGTGAAGCCTGAAGAGCATGTCCAACATCCATATTCTTACTCCTGCTCTTGCTCGAGTGCTTGGAGTGAGACTGTGCCGTTTGTCTTCCCTGCGCAGCCAATTCGTACTCGATGACGCCCTTCATATAACTCCTACAATACTGGCTGCT